TTGTCGTTCTTGTGGGTGCGCACCGTCTCAAAAGCAGAACCTGAGCTCTCACTGCCCGACTCCTCCAGGAAAACGCCGGAATCGTGCACGGTCTTCTGTCTCTTCGCTTGAGGCATCTTCACGTATCAGATAGTATGCGACTAGAGTTTAGTAGGATTTAACCGCTGAGTTGAGATGAATGCCTATCAATCTTGATGAGTTGTGATTGTAGCTGATGAGGTCGATTCGGATATTCGTTGAATCATGACATCAACAGGTTTCGTAATCGATCCGGAAGCCCCTGAGCAACGCGGATCTATCACGGCCGCACGTGAACAACGATTTTGTTGCTGTGCGACGCGTCTGACAGAAGACGGATGCCAGAAATTTCTATAATTCGGTATATCTAAGATCCCCTATTGCATTCTTTAATACAGTCGGGATTATACCAGGTGTAGCTGGCGGGCGTTGCACATTCCAAGGATGGTGAGTGCTGGGGGGACGCGTCGATGGCTGATGGCGGGTGGCATCGAGGAAAACATCCATCGATGCGTGCTGTGACCATGCTAGCTCCCCAACACAACTCAATCAGCTAAAAATTGCTTTTGTGTCCATGCTTTCAAACCTACAATGTGCTCCCCGCCAAATCACAATATTTGAGATGATGTATTAACCAACTCTCGTTGTGAGAATGCGGCTGAAATTTCCAAGCAGCACAGCCTTGCCGCAAAGGGAATGCGAGGGAAGAACAATATCAAGTCAAAGAATACCTCGCGACTGGTTTTTGCCTTACTCCTTGCAAACTTGTAACCTGGGGAGCCTGCGACACGTTATCGCGGACAATTCCGAAAAAATCATGACCTGGCAAGTTCTACATGCGTGAACTCGCAAAAACGAAAAAATAAATTGTCCCCTGCCAGACTCGAACTGGCGGCCTTGGGATATCTACTATGATAGTAGTCATATTTGGTGATATGAGACCCACGTGATAACCAACTACACCAAGGAGACTTCTTCGATGGAGAAGCGAGAGAAATATTGCCATATATTGTGGCTACAAATGGGAATACTGCTCTGCGTCGAAAATCTCATCTACCGCTAACGTATGGTCAAAGAACTATAATGACTTTTCAGCCCCACGCAGCGGCAGCGTGATCCTGGGCTTTTCCTTCTTGTCCCAGTCCCCAAAGTCGAGCTCTGATCTGGTGGAACGCCATTCGGCGGCTTCTCTCTCGGCGGCAGCTTTCTTCTCAGCGTCCGCCTTCTGCTTGATACGGCGGCGGACATTGCGCGACTTCTTCTTGCTACGTTCAATCAGTCTCCTGATCTCACAACACAACATGGTGGTAAGGTAGCTCACGCAGGCGGCACATCTTGCGCGTCCTCTTCTCACTTTCGCTTTCGCTCTCGTTCATGTGCCTTCTTCTCTTTCTTCTCTGCCCGGTAGATTTTCTTAACAATATGTTAGCTTGGGTACAAGAGCGTGGCTGCCAGCTCACCGGAGTTGAAAGAGATAGGTAGTGGAACAATGGGCTGTGAAAAGTGCGAGAGGTGAGAAGTGCAAGAGGTAGGAGGTGGTGACGTGGAAGAGCAAGACGTGGAAGAGCGAAGAAATGGAAGAGCAAAGAGATGGAAGGAGCGAGGCAATGTAGTTTTTCGGAGGGTGTGAGGAACTTCCAGTCGACCCACCCAGTCGAGAGGCGTTGGCTTCGCTGGCTTTGTGGTAGCATGAGTCTGCGATACTCGAGTTAGTCCGGTCAATGGTTTACAGGCACGGCATCTCCGCTGTGCAGTCTTACTCACGTTGGTGGCCATGGTGTCGGTTGTGGGCAGTGGAGTGGTGTGACGAAAGAGCAGGAAGTCTTGCAGGAAGACGCGAAGCAGCTACGCGTCACCACTCATCGGATACCCTTAAAGTCCGCTCTTCCAGTCAAAAGGCGCGTGTTGCTCGAGATGGCACAGTGCTGAGCTCAAAAGTGGGTCCATGTTGGTCTTGGAGGAAGGCACGACTTTTGCCACCTCTGCAGCTAAAGACACTCCCCGGCACGGTTCACAGCTACAACCTCTTAGATTCGCCTTTGGCGAAGTTGAGAGACATCTATTGATGGTGTCTGGTCATAGTAGTCGCCCAGCTCCACCCAGGTACACAGAATATGCATAATCAGAGTTGTTTGAAGTCTGGAAGTCTTGCTGAGTTGCTCTTTCAACGTGGGACGCACCTCCCTCTATCGCCCCTTCCTCACGCGTCGCTTCTTCCGCCAGAAGAGACCCGCGCTAGTAATGCAAGACGTGTTAGCCCTGTAAACACGTCAAGCTTCTTGCTGTTGAAGCTCCTTTCCACTTCGTTGTTGTAAGAGAACTGTAGCGTGTGTCTTGTATGCGTGTAAACTTCTAGCTATCGGATCACAGGCATGGTGACAAGACAAAAATGCGGATCAGCCTTGGAGGGTGTGTTTCTTCTTATTCTGTTGTACTTCTATCCAACCCAATCGATCTCCTTCTCGTACTGCCAGAAGCTACCCGTCTTGTTCTGAATGTCATGGATTGCAAGCAGCACCGGCGTTTGAGCTCCTTCTTCTACAGTTCGTGTTCCGTTGCCTAAATTTGGTATGCCAAGTTAGTTAATGCTTCCTTTGAAGTCCGCACAGGGGAAATTCTCACCTTTCGTCATATCGGTATTGACGTAGCCAGGACAGCAGACGTTGATCAACACTTTGCTTCCCTTCTCCTTCTCCTGTCTGGCCAGCGCTCGTGTACCTCCAATTATTCCCGCCTTGCTCACAGCATAACCTGCACTAGGAAATCCAGCGTCCTTCTCTTTGCCAGCCTCCACAGCAGAAACGAACTCCTTCATGATCTTTGTGACATCTTCCTCGGTCTTGGAGGCGAGGAAGCGGTTACGGACTTCTTCGGAGTACTTGTTGAGTTTACCAGCCATGCTGCCGAGGTTTACGATGCGGCCCGTGGGCTTCAGGAGGGGAAGGAAAGCGTGGCATGCCTCGAGCGTCTTGTAGTAATTGCAGTCGAGGGTTGTCTTGACAATATCAGCGTCTGTAGCCGTTAGCATAAGCAATACGTGGTACGGGAAGCGATACGCACTAAAGCCATCCATGGCAATTCCTGCGTTGTTGATGACAAAGTCAATGCCATCTCCGTGCGCCTGCTTCAAGTGGTCTGCGAGGGTTTTGATGCTGCTGCTGCTCGTGATATCAAGCAAGTGGAATTTAATCTCCGACAGCCCTCCGTCGGCCTTCAATGCCTTTGCCTCCTTGAGCTGCGCATCTTGCTCCAGGTCCTTGACGGCAGCTTCTCCCCTGCCTTGATCACGAGCTGTCAGGTATATCAAAAAGGGTCCACTGTTAAGCGGCGACTTGGGATATTGGAGGGCTAGCTGCTGGACGATTGCGCGTCCAATGCCCTATAGGAATCAGTTTAGTACCTGCGAAGGGACCGTGGATATGTATGAGTACCTTGTTCGCGCCGGTCACGACGCCTATTCTGCTGTATGACATGATTGTTGATATGCTTCAATCGATGGACGTTTGAAGAAAGGAAGCGGGGATAGTGATATGCAACACCATCTTCCCCACATCCGTACCATTAATCATCAACGAAAGAGCTACGTTGTTCGGAGTTAACAAGGTCGATGCGTCACTAATCATCGAATCATCGGTGGATCCCCTCGGCGGGTCTCTTCGGTCTCGAAACATGCCATACCCGATGTGGTTAGCACTACCGCGGACAGATCTCTCGCCTCTCTCGCTGTCTTCCAAGATCGATTTGCGGAGGATCACAAAACTATTCATATCACATTTAGATTAGTGATCGAAGGTCGGCGACCTGATGCGAAGCTTCTGCCTTTGCTACTTTGTATCTGTTCTTTCAAGAGCATGAACTACAACAACGAGTGGCCCAGCAGTAACAATCTTCAGCACAGACACGGTAGATGTATTGTCTGGTAATTACTGCACGTCCTTCCACTCGGAACATCGCTTCCGGTCTGAAGGTACAAGTCGTAGTAACTTGCGTCCGTCGATTTGCATACGAGGAAATTTAGCTCTACATCGCTTGTTAGCAACAAAAAGGGCGAAGCGTGCCTTCTACACCTCCTGGGATGCTTACGCCGACCATAGCTGCTACCTTGTGCAGTTATAATGGTGTCACCCTCCAACCCCCATGCTGTCGTATCCCCAGTCGTCCCCCATACCAATGGCTTGTAGCTTGTCGACGTGGTCGCTATGTTCAGGTACAGACTTGTCTTCTTCGATTGAATTGTGCCACCAATGGTAAATTCGTCAGCTGCAGTTTCGGGGCCCAGGACGGGTATGGATGCTATATGTGTTAACGGCAAACTACTGGAGAAGTAGAAAGAGGCAGGCTGATAGATGAGGGGTGGCATACCATTTTTAGAGTTGGCCTGGAGATACAGGTGGTAGATCGGATCGCGAACGCCTCGTATCTTGCCTACGGTTGCTGAATTTCCAGCGTTCTCAACTGGCACCGCAAGTACGCCTGAGACAATGAGCAAGACTTGAGCGAAAAAGGAGAGCATTGCCACAAGAATCCAAATTCACAATTTGAATACACAATGGGGACATTTACCTTGCTCTCCAGGTCTCTTTATATGTGCTCGCGTCTACGCATTGCTTGATCCTGGTCTGCAATATCGCGGATTGATTACAGTCGCGTCACACGTAGGCATAATTGCCACCGGATATGAAACATCCCTGACATTTTACAACTGTCGAGAAAACAACACAGAGCCACTCATGTCATCATCACAGTGATCTATCACTACCAAACAGGAGGTCCATCCTATTTCGGCTGCCGGTCAACCCTCATTTTGACCATCCGCGCTAACCCAAAGCATTAGCGCGAAACGCTAACACCGTCTACTTGGCGGTTGCCTCTCATCTCTATCTATCCGCTCACTGACAACCATTCTCGATCCGTGATCTGGTGCTAAACCGCTTAGGATTTTCGGCTGCTCCTGTCGACTCCAATGGTGATACACGTTTGTGATGGTTGGACTATCATCAATTGAGTTGGCCAATCCATGGGCAGTGGCCAGACATGACCATCGAGCGACACACAAGAAAATGGATAACGCGGCTGATAAAGAGATGAACGACCGTGAAGAAGCTAGGTCTGTGTCTTCAGCGTCTGCCTCTGCAGCGACCGGAGAGTCTACGCCAGTTACTCCAGCGCTCTCACCAACCGACAATAATATCAAAAGTGCGGAGACCAAGGCACAAGACATGGATCAGTACATCGCTCTTGGCTGCCTTCACATCGAGCACCCTATCGATATCATATCAGCTTCACCATCGAGTGGCGATTGGATTGAACTACTGTACCGCGAACTTCCGGACGAAGTCAAAACAGTTATTGGCACAGAAGCATCGAGACTGTTGGAAGCCCGCTGGATTCGCTTGTTTTTCCATAATAAAACGCTCAACAGCGCTTCTCTTCGAAGTCTCCTCCGCGTCTACTTGTTACCAGAAGACTGGGGTCGTCGATTTATCGACCGGAATAGCAAGAGTTTGAAGACGGCTTTGCGACAACTCCTACAAAAGATCGATATCTCATCGACTTCCTGGAACGGTGACTACAGGCAGGGTGAGATATGTTACTTTGATCCTTGGGCCAGCGCAGAACCGTCCTCGTTGTATTACCTGTTCAACAAGCTACCATCCCCTGCGCCAAATTTAGCGGCAATCAAGTGTCGTTATACACGTGCTGCTGTACAAGACGTACTAGAATCTGCAGCGGTATCTGAGTGGTCGGATCTTGGCGAACAGGCGCTGCCGGGGCTCAAAACCAGGCTTTACGCTTATCAGACACGTTCGGCGAGCTTGATGCTGCAACGAGAAGCCTCGCCACAGTTGCAGCTTGATCCACGGTTGGAGATTCGCACCGCACCAAACGGAAAGAGGTTTTACTTCGGGGCTCGAGATGGATCATTTTTGCAGGAGCCGCGCTACTACGAAACGAACCGTTGCGGTATTCTAGCAGAAACTATGGGCTTAGGAAAGACAGTCATCTGCCTAGCTGTTATATTGGCAAGTAAAAACCATCTTCCTAGAATGCCCGCTGCATACCGGCCAGTACCTCCTTCCCGAAATCGACCTGGATCATTGGCAGATATGGCGATCTCCGCCGCGGGCCGGCATTCTATCCCAGCCAAAGCTTTTTTCGAGCAATCTGAGGCAAACGGTGCGGGGGATATGACGAGGTTCATGGAAGCTCTTGACCGAGACATCCCATTCTATGAGATACCACCAGATCTCCCACGTATGAATAGGAACACCCGCATACCACTACCGCGCCAATTGGTGCTCTCTTCCGCTACCATCATTATTGTGCCTCGGAACTTGCTGCATCAGTGGCAGTCGGAGATACAGAAGCATGTTCTTCAAGGTGGACTGAAGATCCTCGTGGTGGATTCTGTGCCCAAGCGCTCAAGTAAGGCCAAGATATCTCAACAACCTAACGAGACTATGGAGTTCCGGAGCGAATTGCCAGCTCCTACCGAACTCATGAAGTTCGATGTGGTTTTGTTTACTCGCAACCGCTTCGAACAGGAGATACAGGACGGCCAAGACGAACTTGGACGACGTATGGTCTCGGGTGTCTCTCGTGTTTGCAACTGCCCTTACATAGGAGCAACCAGGATACCCGATTGTAGCTGTGTTGACACTGATAGAGTCTACGAATCCCCATTGAAGAAGATACATTGGCTACGTATCATCATCGACGAAGGCCATTCATTCTCGAGCTCTGTTTCGAATGCTGTACTGGTTGCTAAACAGATACAGGCCGAGAGACGCTGGGTTGTGTCAGGGAGTAAGTCACAAAGGAGAGTTCCTCATTTACACGTAGACTGACATTTTTTTCACAGCACCTGCGAAGGATCTAGTGGGTGTGGAGGTGGATATGTCCACAGTTGACGTGGAAAGCGACCATGCTTTGCAGCGCGAGCTCGCTATCGACCAGAGGAAATCGTTCGAGTTCAACGCAGATACCAAAGCTGCAAAGGCTCTAGGCATGCTCGCTTCAAACTTTCTCATGGTCAGACCTTGGTGCGACAACTCTGAAGCTAGACTCGATTGGGACGAATACATCTACCGTCACGAGCACCACTACAGAAAGACCTACTCCGGATTTTCATCGTGTTTTAGCCGAACGCTGGAAGGCTTGGTCGTGAAAACACGACCGGAAGATGTTGAGAAAGATATCATTTTACCCCCGATGAGACACCGGGTTGTCTATCTCAAGCCATGTTGGTTTGATAAAATGATAGCCAACCTCTTCGTTCAAGTCCTCCGAGCGAACGCCATTACAAGTGAAAGGACAGATGTCGACTACCTCTTTCACAAAAACAGCGTCAAAGCCCGTCATAGCCTCATCAGGAATTTACGTCAGTCTAACTTTACATGGACTGGATTCAGTCTTTCTGATGTAGTCTCCACGCTTGAGACTACTCACAAGTACCTTGCGAAAGAGGACAAAAGTTGCTCCCTTAATGACGCAAAATCCCTCTTGGAGAGCAGCCAAGTCGTATCAAAACTTACAGCTTCCGCCGAATGGATGGCATTGAGCACATCTCATGAGGTAGGCGTAGCTGTCGAGAGTTGGCCAAAGGAGGCTCAAGAGGCTTTCGCACTTGTTTACCCGGCGAAGCCTATCATGATCGGAGCCACACAACTCATTGAAGGTCAACTTTATGTCGATAGCAGCATACGCTCGCTGGATCCCGCTGCCGGACTGGAGGCTGTTGGGTATGCTGCGAAAGCAAAGGCTATCGCGATGGCTGAGGAAGAGAGCAAGGCCAAAGAGTCGAGCGAGGGTATGGTCGATGGCGCGCCCTTGCAAAGGACTGGAGTTCCAACTTCGTTGGTGCAGCCACTGACTAGTCGACGGGCATCGATTATTACAAGCAAAGCTTCTCCTCCAAAAACAACAGGAGCCAAGCCCGCAAATGGCATCAAAGATCACATAGACAGTGCATCACCTATTCGCTCGAAGAAACGAAAGCTCACCTTTGACGACGAGACAGCGGAACTTGCCAAAGACTCGAGTCTGCGGAACACACGTATCGTGGGTACGACGTCAGCCAAGCTTACCTATCTCTTAGATAAGGTGATGAAACATCAGGCGGAAGATAAAATTATCATCTTCTATGACGGGGATAACGCGGCGTTCTATATTGCCCAATGCCTCGAGTCGATGTATGTCAACCACCGCATCTACGCCAGAACACTGAACAACACTCTACGATCTGAGTACGTACGCTTATTCAACGAGGATCCTGACGTTCGTGTCTTGCTCATCGACGTCGCGTGTGGTGCTCTGGGGTTGAATCTGAATGCGGCGAGCGTTGTGCTCATCGTGAACCCAATCAATAGGCCTAACATCGAGGCCCAAGCCATCAAACGAGCCCATCGCATTGGACAGACGAAAGAAGTGCTCGTTGAAACTCTTGTTCTTGAAAACACGATTGAGCATGCAATCTTCGATCGCGCGAAGAAGATGTCTCGTGCTGATCATCAAGAAGCCAAAGAGCTTGAGGACGATGCTGGCATCGTTGAGATTATTCAGAACGCCCAGATACTGTCTGTAGGGGACGACGAGGGCGAAGGCGTCTCAAGCTTCGCACTATTGCAGACACCGCAGCAAGTTTTTGGGCGCCCGAACCGGCACAGGTACCATCGGTATGGAGTTGCAGAGAAGAAGACCGAAAATGCACCGCAGAAGAAGGCAAAGACTTCCAAGGGTGCAAGAAAAGGCAAGTTGAATAACGTGCATGATGCGCACATTGCGACGACATCCTCTGGGACCGACTCGGATCGTGGCTTGCCACTGCGAGGGCAAACTCACGATGGTAGTATGTCAGCGGCTGGTGCAACCTCATTCGCGCCATCGGCTAGTATCTTCGGCAATGGTTAAGGTACGACGGCCTGTATTTCACGTTCTGCGTACAATTGTAGGCTCATCCACCTCCAGTGACGATGGAGCGTTTCTTCTTTTCATCTATACCCGTCATTCTTGGCTTCGACTTCTGTTCTTACTGCTTCAATGCAATACCGTATCTGAGCGCGAACATCAATAATACACTCCTCTGGATACACTTCAAATTCATCTGCCTCATGCCATTTTGGTGAAATATGTACAATGCTACCTGTCTAGAACGCCGATGAACGCCATGCTAACCAGGACGTGCATTATCGCATCTCCTGTTGACCATCCGTACCCTCGACGTCATCGTGCTTGACCCATACACTCTCCATGGCCTGGCTCAGGATTTGCATACCCTCCTCGATTTCTGCTTCGCTGATGACAAGTGGTGGGACAAACCTCAAGGTGTTTGTACCACAGGTGATGATCAGGAGACCTCTTTCACGAGCAGCGGTAACGATGGGCGTGGGATCTACATCGAGTTGAAGGCCTAGGATAAGTCCCTTGCCTCTGACTTCCTTGATCTGGCTTGAGAAGCGCTTTCGCAAAATATCAAAGTGTCTGCGGAATGCTTGCTCTTTAGCGGGTATCGAGTCGAGAATGTCTGGCGATGACAGACGAGAGAGGATGTATGAAGCGACACGCGATCCGAGAGGGTTGCCGCCGAAGGTGGTGCCGTGGTCACCAGTCTTGATGTGTTCGCAGACAAAATCGTTGACGATAGTGGCGCCGATAGGGAAACCATTGCCAAGTGCCTTGGCCGTGGTGACAATGTCGGGGTGGCATTCCTTGGGATAGCCTGCATGTGCCCAGAAAGTACCTGTTCGGCCCAGGCCGCATTGGATCTCGTCGAAGATGAGTACTGCGCCGACTTGTGTGCATCTCTTTCGCAGCGCGAGAAGAAACTCGGGCGTTGCGACGTTTACGCCACCCTCTCCCTGGATTGGCTCGACAATGACACCACATGTGGCATCGGTGACTAGCTCGTTGACGGCGTTGACGTCGTTGAAGGTGCCGTACTTGAAGCCGGGCACCATTGGGGAAAATGGTGTCTGGTACTTGGGGTTTGGTGTCGCGCTCAGACTTCCCATAGTGCGGCCATGGAATGAGTTGTGGAAAGATACAAAGTCATGCTTGTCCTTGTCTGGTGACATTGACTTGCCAACCTTGCGCGCGAACTTTATGGCAGCTTCGTTGGCTTCGGAACCGCTGTTGCAGATGAAGGTGCGAGTCGCGCTGGCGAAGCCCCCGGTCGCGTGTGTGAGCTGAATGAGCTGCTTGGACAGCAAGCCGGTGTGCGGGTTGTGGTAGAGGTTTGAAGTGTGCATGAGTTGCTTGGCCTGTACAGTTGTCAGTTGGCTGTATCTTTGGTAGTGGTGGCAGACGCACCTGTTCTCCAATGACCTGGGCTACCCCAGCGTCGCAGTGCCCGAGCGCATTGACGGCAATACCAGCTGTGAAGTCCAGGTACCTCCTGTTCTCGATGTCCCACATGTAGCACCCCTCTCCCTTCTCGAACATGGGCGGTGGTCGTACATAGGTTGGGACCATGTACGGTAGCTGCTGGTTGACCAGGCCGGCTGTCTTGGAGGACGAGGACGGGTCGGGCGTGGCCAGTGTAGAATCGCGCTATACCGAGTCATTATGGAAAGCTTCAAAGGAGTGCAAAGTGGCTGTTACTCACGGCTATGGCATCCTTTACATCCTGTGGTAGACTGGATCCCCTAACTGCAGAGGCTGCCGAAGCAAACCGCGCCGACGTGTAGTTGGCGCGCGACGTGCGCAATGCAGCGCATATGCGCTTGGAAGCCATTCGTGAAGCCATTGCAATCTACAAACAAGTTCAAGGCCTCGTCCGATGCACGACAAGTGACTGTTCGCCGTGACGCAACTTCCCAAAATTTTAGCGTGCACGATAAGATAGGCCGACGTCGGAGGGTCCGAGAGGCGCCATGACATGCTGAGAATGACCATGACACTCTGTCTACGACGACTTCACATCGCACCGCACATGCAGTGCAACAACGCTGGTCGGCTCCGTCCCGAGAACTGCAAGCAGTCGGGATAGCAACCGAAAGAGTGTCGTTGCACGAGTCATGGTGGTTGACGCTGCGGGGAAGAGTCCGTCAGACACATCTTGGATATTGTTCTCCGCATCAGCATTGACAGCACCAGACTGCTGCGAGCACAAGGGTTTTGCACATTGCAGTGTGGCTGGCTTGGGTAGCCATAGTACATTCCAAAGCGATACAGGCTAATTCAAATGTGAAAGCAAGTACATATACTAGGGCCCAGCTGATACGCGTCGCGTTCCTGTCCCCACGAGCTCTTCACTGTGCATGCTTCTCGGGGAACCTATCTTGACGTGTTTCTAGTGTCTGAACGATGAGCAACCACGCGCTTGTTTACGGCGCTTCCGGTATCTCAGGGTGGTCTATTGTTAATGCCATCCTCAACGGATATCCCTCCAAAGATGCCTTCTCCAGAGTCACAGCTATGGTCAATCGGCCACTGACACGTGAGATGGCTCTCTGGCCCGACGACCCTAGACTCCAAATCGTATCTGGTGTCGATCTAGTCAGAGGAACGCAGGAGGAGCTGGAGGAGCAAATCAAAGAGAAGGTCAAGGACGTCGAGACTGTGACACAAGTGTACTTCTACTGTAAGTTAAAGGCTCTATGGAAATTTGCCGGGTCTAACACGACCAAGCATACAAGCAGATCGATGACCCCGACTCCGAGTGCAAGACCAATGAAGCCATGCTCGAGCGTGCCGTGACTGCGATCGATCATCTTTCATCCAAATTGTCATACGTAGTTCTTCCTACGGGCACCAAGATCTACGGCTGCCAGATGCTCGACAAGTTTCCATTTGCGGATGCGCTACCACTCAAGGAGACATTGCCACCGATTCCTGAGCCATATCTCTCACAACTTTTCTACTACAACCAGATTGATTGCTTGAAACGCATCTCCAAAGGAAAGAACTGGAGTTGGTGTGAGGTCCGACCAGACAACATCATTGGATTCGTACCAAATAACAACGCATACTGCCTCGCGCAAACGCTTGCCTTGTATCTTTCGCTCTATCAATACATTGAGGGCGAAGGCGCAAAGTGCCCGTTCCCTGGTACTGAGAAATCGTGGGTGAACAAGTACAATGAGTCTCCGCAAGACATGGTCGCGCACTTCTCGATCCATGCGTCTTTGAACCCAGAGAAAACTGCATCACAGAGCTTTAACGTGGGTGGTCAAGAAGACAGCTGGAGCGGCAAGTGGCCGATAATCTGTGATTGCTTTGGTCTAAAGGGTACTGGACCTGAAGAGGGCTCACCTCAGCCTGGAGCGTACATTGACGCGCACAAGAAGGAGTGGGAGGAGCTAGAGAAGAAGCACAACCTCAAGAAGGGCAGCGTAGATAGCGATATCACGCATCCGGGATTCCAGGTAAGTGAAGAGGATTGCTGAGTGTGTCTTTCGCGGGCGTGGTAGCTAACATGCACCAGTACTTCATCATGACGATGTTTGATTTCGACCGCCAGATGAGTATGGAGGCTTCACACAAGGTTGGATATACAGAGGAAATAGCAACTAAGGAAACATGGACGACTGCGTTTGATCGCATGAGGAAAGCGAAGGTTATACCATGATGTTGTGGAGGCAAGGCTCTGCTATTCATGTCAAAGGGTCCGTGCATAGAAGGGTCCGACGTAACGCCTCCTGAAGTCGTTATTGCCGGGCCCAGTGCCGTTTCGACTGGCGCAGCGGAAACTGAAGATGCATCCAGTTCGTGCTTACAACGCGCGTCTCTTAGTAAAAGTAGCACCGTCTATGAATAGCGCAATGCCCCTATATGACTAGAGCTATGACGTTCACCACCGACTTATAGCAAAACCCCTCACAGCTGCACGACCGCAACGCTTGCGAAGCGATTCAGATCTCCGCGACAAATGACAATTCTCAGCATTATACCATGTATCCATCCGTTGGAGGCCCGCGATACAAGGCTGTCCTGAAGGGTATAGGCCTGGTGGGCGTGATTTGCCTAGGTACGTCGCGATGCTAACGCTATGCTAATGCTATGCACGGAGTTGACTCAAATCCCCATTGAAGCATTGAGAACTCCACGACGCTGCTTGGAGAATGTAGTGAATATCTCTGTTCACTCGTGCATCAAGACAATTACATCTTGTGTATCGCTAACATCCTTGCAGTGATCCTACTCATCTTTGGCCTTCCCCACAGACAACCCGGCGCGAACCTCAACCTCCCACTACGCATACTACCACTTGGCGACGCAACAACATGGGGCTGGCAACCAAACCAAGAGAATGGAACAGACGGATATCGCGCGCGACTGCTACGTGAGCTCGTACGTGCGCGTTACCACTCGGTTGACTTTGTTGGCACACAGCACTCTGGGTTCATGGACAACAATGACAATGAGGGGCATGAGGGGCATACAATTAGCCAGCTGCAGGGCGTAATGAGAGACGGGCTACAGATGCGACCAAACTTGGTGCTGCTACACATTGGCACGAATGATCTGGCTCGCCCTGAAAGTATAGCAGAAAGATGGTCTGATGCGCCGAATCGATTAGCAAGTTTACTGGATGAAGTGCTGGATGTATGCCCGGATGCCGTTGTGCTCGTTGCAAAGATCATACAGGCAGAGAAGATGCAGACCAGGGCAAATATCGAGGCCTTCAACGATGCAGTGCCTGTGGTGGTGAGGAAGAAGCTTGAACAGGGCTTCAAGCTCGCGGTCGTCGATCACAGCATCATCGGGCCTAGTGAGTTGGTTGATGGGTTGCATCCGTCGTACGCTGGGTATTTTCACATGGGGGAGATCTGGCTGGAGGCTATCAAGACCATCAGTGCTCAAGGGCTAATAACACCGCCTATTGCGGTACAGTACCACACATGACCACCAAAGATCTCGAACATGCATCATTGGCCAGGTGTCAAGAATCATTTGGTCCGGTGAAGCTTCAAGGCGTATACTGCTACCCGACAGTACTCGGGACATAGGCCGGACGCTTCGTATCATTGATGTCTTACACGCACACTGAATATTGGTTGAGCAATCCATATTGCTAGACCGAGCACAGCAGAAGAGCAATTTGGGTGTGGCTACAAACTCGCTACAGGCGATTCCATCCGCTCCAGTCTTCATCGATGTCATGTAAGGCGCCTTGAATATTGTACTGCCTTTACGATTCAAGCCTCATCGTTCCGATGCGTTTCACGAGTCGCGTATCATTGACTTGCGCTTATTCGCCAGATGCAACTTTGAAATCCTGTGCGGGGTTAACATGCGGGCACGCGGGGCGTTCACGCTACATCACGCTAAAGCATATCCAAACTCCAACTTTGGAAATTCACCCTTCTCAAAGACGAGGTGATTGCTTATCCTAAGTTCGCATTACGGGCAATTACGCCTCAAGGCGACGGCATATGCTGTGAATCAGCACAATTCTGTTTCGAGAACCTCGCTTGACGGTCAGTTCTTATGGTCTGATGCTTTTGGCAAGTCTCCCATTTTCCTTTGCATACAAAGCGTCGGAAATGCTTTGGCGAGCAGCTGCCGCTACAGATAGACCGGATGACTACACATCGCAGTACTGGTAGCGTCATGGTCACAGGAGCCTGTCAGAATTGATATATTCCATCAATCGTTCGATTCAATTTTCTGTTTAACCTTACTTCATTCGATTCCACTTAGCCGTTGTCATCAGTCCTTCCTGGTTCTCGAATGTTGAAAAGATAGGTCAGAAGATAAAATTCGTCATGGGGTTTGTAGATGAAGATCGTCTTCGTCTGCTTGCTATATGGACGCCCGTCGCGGTACGTTCTTATTGAATTCGTGTCTAAGAACTGACCTGATAGCCCTAGTTTGTCACGTATGTAGTTGTGACAGCTGTGTACAACCTCACACTTCACCCGCTTGCCAAATATCCTGGACCGCTGTTATGGCGCATTTCTCCTATACCCTCCATCGTTTCTTTGCTTCGTGGTCGCATTGCCTTTGAGTACAAGATTCATCACGACAGATACGGGCCCGTCGTGCGTGTCATGCCCAACGAGCTCTCTTTCAATACAGCAAAAGCATGGGACGACATTTATGGACACCGGGTTGGACTTGCGAACATGGATAAAGATCCTATTCATGTTGGTGCAGTGGAAGCAATACCAGGTGCCACCAATCTGACAATGGCACCGGATATCCACCATGCGAGGCAGAGGAGAGCACTTGCTCATGCGTTCAGCAAGCAGGCACTGCTGGAACAACAGTCGATCTTGAAGGGATACGTAGATCTGTTTGTAGATCGATTGAGGGAGAAGGCGCACAGAGGTGAACCGGCGAACATGGTATCGTGGTTCAACTTTTGCACTTTCGATATCATTGGCGATCTTAGTTTTGGCGAGCCTTTCGGGTGTCTGCGAGAGGGTACGTTTCACCAAAACAGTACTTATTGCGACCTGTCCCTCACTTTGTACTGACAGACTATGCACAGGCGAAGGTTCGGAGTCGGCAAACTGGGTTGTGTTAATCTACGAAGCCATAAAGTCCGGCGCTATTGAACAAGCTACCCGCCGCTTCGCTAGGCCCGGTTCTGTCGCCCAAAAGTTCCTCATGTGGTGCATTCCTACGGTCGTCCGCGAGCGCCGTTTCCGCCATTTACGCAACTCGACCGAGAAGACTGTGAAGAGATTGAATCAAAAAGACAACGATCATCGCGATTTCATCTGGTATATCTTGAAACAAAGAGAGAAGAAGAACGAAGTCAGCGACGACGAGGTCATCATGAACGCAGCGCTGTTCATCGTAGCAGGGAGTGAAACCACTGCAACAGAGCTTTGCGGGTTGACAAACTACCTCTTGAGGAACCCAGAAATATTCAAGAAGCTAAAAGATGAGCTAAGAGGCGCGTGTAAGACTGAAGCGGATATCAATATGGATGTCCTTGGCAACCTACCGTACATGAATGCCTGCATTGAGGAAGGTCTTCGAATCTTCCCTCCCGTACCTATCGGTCTTCTCCGCACAGTGCCCAAAGGCGGGTCGCTGATCGATGGCCATGCCGTTCCCGAAAACACATCCGTCTGTGTCAGTTCCTGGGGCGCGTCGCACTCGGCGTCCAACTTCGTAGAACCCGACTCTTTCATTCCTGAGCGCTTCCTTGAAACGTCAGAGTCAAAAGGAAAGTTTGCTGGCGACTCCAAGAAAGCGGCGCAGCCCTTTTCAACCGGTCCACGAGGGTGCATTGGCAGAAACTTGACATATGTCGAGCTGCGGTTGATTTTGGGCGCGCTTCTCTGGAACTTTGATATCGAGCTGGCGGATGGAGCGCCGCTTTGGCACCCAAAGAATGAGTTCGAGGGATTGAAGGCGTACAATACTTGGGAGAAGAGTCCGTTGATGGTTAAGTTGACGGACATCAGGGGGCCACCTCGGTGATACCACCCTGTAAAGTTCACGTTTCCAAATAATCCATTTACCGCTATGTAAGCTAGAGAGTGGCTATCATTACCATGTTGCAGCGTGTCGTTTGGTTCTCAGAAGACCATCTAGCCTGTATGTCGCACGTGACCTCGTGATGACGCGAAGTGGGGCTGATGCTGTAGCTCCGAGTCTCATACGTCAGCGTCGACGCTCAATACATGTTGACAATCACTACCAATGCACAGACGCCTGGTTTGTTCCCTGGTAAAACGCATCCCGACCTCGACTCAACCCAGCCCTTGCATCACAGTCCAATCATCCAACCAGACTGTACTCAACAGCTTCCTCCCACGCACCTTCCATACCCGTGCACGACTCGGCGCAGCCTACAACATGCCGCAAGAACCAAAGATCATCAAGGTAGAAGAGCTTCCTGCAACCGAGGCCAAGTGGATCGAGTTCCAGAAAATCTCATGGCAAGATCAAACGGGTAGAGATCGCGTCTGGGAAGCCGCGGCACGCAAGACACGGGGCAAGGCAGGCGTCGATGCTGTAGCCATAACAACGATCATCCGCCACCCCTCGCGCCCGCCTTCCACTATTATCATCCTGCAGTACCGCCCACCTGTCAACGCCGTCTGCGTCGAGCTTCCTGCCGGTCTAGTTGACGAGAAGGAGTCACCTAGTGAGGCCAGCGTACGGGAGCTACACGAAGAGACTGGGTACAAGGGCAAGTTGGCCTTTATCAGCCCGACCATCGTCTCGGATCCTGGTCTGAGCACGGCGAACATGCAGCTGGCCATGGTGGAGATCAACTTGAAGGACGGTGATAAGGAGCCAGAGCAGGTGCTTGACGATGGCGAGTTCATCGAGAGGGTAGTGGTGCCGATTGATGAATTATACGACCGCCTAGTCAAGTACGACCAGGAGGGCAAGACTATCGATGCACGGCTCTGGCATTGGGCAGCAGGATGGCATGCTGCAAAGACTATGCTATGAGGAGGCTTGTCTGGGCCTGAAGCATTCATGTCGTAGGCAACATTAAAGCCTCACTCTACGTTACGATTGCGCCCTATTGCTAATTATTCGGCTCACAAGCACAATGGGCGGTGTGGTGCTGAACGTCACGAGAACACCTAATACCGGAAGTGTCAAGAGACCTGTGAACTACTCACAGTATTGTTCGCCTTCTTGAGCACATTAGACAAACACCCAATATCTGAGGCATTCGATTCTCCCATGACCCAACAACGTGATCTCTGATTTCAAACAACTCGATAGTTTCCATGTTCTGTTTCATGCTCTCCAATCACTGCAGCGAACGCTTTCAGTCTTCTCAGTGCCCTCATTCTCCCCGTGCACCTACCGCCTCCCACTCCACATACGTATTTGTCGCAAAGGTGCTCACATATGTCTTCCGATCGCAAGACCGGTAGGAACACACTGGAATAGCGTCATTAGCGCCAAATCAGTGGCTTGCAACATGTGATCTCCCTCTTGTTCCTTCCTTCTATATCAGCCTCGACTTCCTTGGTAGGCATCTCTCTCCGAAATTTATTTTCATATAGTACTCCATCCTACTCACTTACCTCACTTATCTCACTTATCAGATCTTCCGGGAACAACTAGATCCATTCGTCAAGTACAATATGTACTCTTACAAATTCTTCGCTGGTGAGAGTCTCCTTGGACCCCGTTATCTTCCCTACACTGACCATGTTCAGTTGCGCTCGGCTTCCTGACTGTACTCCTAAACGCTGCACCGACTTCTCCAAATCCCAACCTTATGTCTAAGGATTGGCGCCATGTCCTCACCCCAGACAACTTCCTGGCTTCTACTATCGAACCAGGCTCATCAATGGCCTCCGTTCTTGCCCCTGGCATGGCGAATGATCCAAATGTCCCTCAGATTCGCGGTGAAGTTAGGAACCATTGTTCTTTCTCTGTCTGGGCTCGTCTCTCAATCTCCCCAATCAGCTCTGGACCTAGCCACGAGAAATGCGACAACCCCGGCGAAACCAGCATGGTCGAAATCAAGCCGGGCCAGAGATATAAGGCGCCATTCCCATGCCAGATGAATCAGTGTGGTCACGTCAGTACGTATTCTCACACGTTCTGCACTCATACCCATGTCATTCTCAACAACACCGACTGATGAACATACAGTCAAGGTCGCCTACCACCCAGCGGATCTACGCGTCTACCAAATTGAATACTCTGCGGACGGTCATGATGGCCGCATGTGGTACAACCTTTCCGCTGAGGACGGCGCGCCTTTCCAAGATGTTAAGCGCTATCTGGGTGGCCGCGGCCCTACTTGCCCTTTCGTGCACTGCGCACCCGGCCAGTACGGTAAAGACCCGGTCCATGGATGCGATTGGCCGCTCCAACCCTTGTGTGATAGCCTGGGCAGTGTCGTTGCTGTCATCTGTGGAAGGCTTTAGGGTCGCCGAGATGAGGTCAGCATTTGACGTTGATCATAGATCTCCAGGAGAGCATGTAAGTCATACGGATGCCATGAGGCATATGGAGCGCGTGGACTTTGGATATCAAGACGTTTCGATATACATCAATTTTGGCGATATATGGACATGGTACAAACATTTCGAATTGACACCTCATGTAAACACCTGAAAACGTCGCCTTCTTGTTCTTGTTTTTGTACGTAACGCTGCAGGTATTACCACTCACTAATCTGTCTCGTAGTGGGGTGGTTTTCTTCCCCAAATCGATGGCTACGGATCATCAGCCATCCCAGCATCTGTAATTCTTGCTCTGCTGTATCTCCTGCTTCCTCTCTTTTGCTAATTGTTCGCCGTCTTATCATTGTAGTAATGCACAGTCTGATCAGCACACCCACTTGGCGTCTGATACAAGTAGTTACCCAAGTTGATATACAGTTTCTGCCCAGTGCACACATACCATGCGCTCTTGTTCGGGCGATTGACACCAGAAACACTCCATTGGAGATCGTCCCCACCCCATGCAAACGTTCCGTACGTGTTCTTGCTCTCGGAGAAGCTAACAGCAAGAGACATGCCGTTTATAGAGCGCTCCTCGGATACGACAGCATAGAGAAGCTTGACAGGCTCACCGGGAGCGGATACTAATTCAACTAGTTGACCGTCAACGACTTGAAACTGGCCGGCTGTGGTGTAGTCGCCTAGGAGAGCTGATCCTGTCGAGTAGAGGGGGTTGGTTTGGAAGTATTTGTGGAAGTTGGGCGCGGCGACTGAGCGGATCCAGTAATAGCCGCTCTGAAGTGTCTTGCCCGGTCCGCTTCCCGATGGGGTGCTGCTGACAGTGGGTGCCCCTGGAGAGACGGTTGTAAAGGTTGTAGGTGTCGGTTCTGGAACAGGGTCAGGTTGTGGCTCCGCAGTGGGCGCCGGGGCTGCACCGGGTTGGCATTGAGAGTAGTAGTCACTTGAAGGTTGTCAGACATTTGTCGTGAGAGAAGGATACAACCAGTCTCTCACTTGATCTTGACGCAGCCTGCACCTGAACTGCACGTGGTCTCACCAGACCAACTTATACCACCACCTGATCTTTCATTAGCAAAGGCCTACACACGACTTCGAGACGAGCGTACATTGCTGCCAATCTCCCACAGCGGCATAAGTAGTGCTAGTTAACAAGGCCAACAGAGCCGCAGTTGCGTACTGCATGTTGAGTTTGTGATTAATGGTGCTTCAAACAGATGATGAATTTGCTGAATCTTCCCAAGAAATGACCAGCTTAAAGTATGCAACACAGATACCATATATCTTCTATGTGTGTTCCAGAATATCACCATGTGACCACATATAGTGCATGACCCAAATATAAGTCGGACCGTGGTCGCCGCATAAAGTGGCTAAAGTGCAATATGCCTGCAAGCGAGCACCAGAACCCAGGAACGAGGCTGAACAGCAATATGCTTGTGCGACACCAAATTGCTTAATCAATATTCCGAGTCTTGAGAGGCTCCGATCCAATCCTTGTGGCAGTAGCGAATACGAAGATTGGCAACGGAACGTGTAGCCCGGGAACAGCTCCTATCGCGTACAACGGAGGCTTATTGGACGCTCTCCCAAAAGTCTGCAATGTCGACCTAATCATACTTTTCGCGTTTTTGGGCGTGAAGATTCGCTGATGTGCCCCGTGAATCATTTCGTAACCTTAGAACGAGTGCTCCCGCTAATTTGCGAAGGTTATATCGATGACTTGAGGCCTGTCATATCAGGCACGATATGCAAGTGTATTTCTCATCGTTGCGCGATCGTTCGAAAGATCTTAGACCACCAAGAGTGGTTCTCCTCAACTTCGGATTCGGGCGAAAAAACGTCTTCTCTTTCCTTGCCGATTCTTCATTCCACCTCAGAAACCCCACTAATCGGCTCCGGTCGCGAAGAAAACACAATTTTGTACCTCACCACCTCTACAATCTCCAGCTCTTCTTCCTTCGCACCGTCCTCTTGTTCAAGGCCACCCATGGCTACATCTTCAACATCTTTCTTTTCTTTCTTGCGCATGACCCCATATGGCTTGGGCAACTTCTTGCACTCGCCTGTCATGCGCTGGCCTTTGCCAATGTACATGTATACGCGCTTCATCCATTTTGTGTCGCTTGGATCGTTGATGTTGGGATTGTAGTATGGAAAGACGAGCTTTCCGACTTGTGTAGAGGGCCCGGAGGATTCCGCAGGCGTTGGGAAGTGGATTGTGCCTTGGATTTCTATGAGTGCTAGGCCAGAGGGTGTGTGGAGGAGCTGTGGAAGAGGATTCTCGGTGCGAGAGGGTGTTGCCGAAGGAAGGTGAATCAGCACCGAAGGCATTTTGAAGGTCCAATGGAGGAATGTAGTACTCTTGCGTTTTCTGGTGGCGAACCTAAGCGAATGTTGTGTGGTGAAGGTGGTGCTGGACGAGGGTCACGCCCGTGTCGAAAGGTACGCGACGCGTGGGGTCTTGGTGGGGCGAGCGCGTAGCATGATGATGGGCCACGATCTGTGAGACAGGCTTGCGATACATCACTAGGCACTCATGAGAATTGTGACTGTAAGTTTGTGACACTCCGAAGAGGGCATGGAAAATTAACGTTATTGATGCATTTCGTTTGATCATAGGTATAAGTTACACCGTCATACCAAGTCCAGTCCCTAGCACCATACCGAAAGCTCCTGCAGTACCACATCCTTGGAATTTGCTGTGCTCATACGTCTAGCACTCTCCCTTGGACTTGCAAGCAAAATCCATAAGCATAGCTCAGACAGATTTCCTACTACGCCTCTAACTCGAATCAGGAAGCAGACCTAACATCCAATGCAATGTACATCGTACAGTCGTAACAAAGTAACTGGCAGTCGTTTACATCATACCAAGATCTTCCATGGCTTTTGAGTAGCTGTCCCAATCGGTAAGCGCACCGAGAGCACGGCGCTGGTGTGCGCTGAGGAGCGTGAGACCGTAAACGTAACTTGCGTTGACCCATCCGAAGCTGATTAATGTTAGTTGTGAATGAACAAGAATGTAAAGACTGGACATACCCTTCGCGAGGAACACCCTTGAAGTCACTGCCTTGGTTACCGTACTCGGCCTCTACCCTGTGAGGATCAATCTTCCTCGTGACATCGTATTTCTCAACAACAACGCCGTTGAAGTCAACAAATGCCTTGGTGACCATGAAGAGCCAGCGGTAAGCCAGGCGTTGGGCTTCTGCATCGTACCCGTATCGCTGCATGCCGACCCAAGCGAGCATCTGCTGCGGCGCCCAGCCAAATGGATAATCCCACTGACGATTGGGGCGGTCAAGGCCGACTTTGCCGCGCGATTTCTCTGTACCCGAAACAAGCCCACCAAATGCCTCCAGCTTAGGGAGGGCCTTCTCCACAAGAATGCTAGCCTGGCGAGGAGTAGCAAGACCTGACCACATGGGCCAGAAAGTGGTGGCACTCTCGTAGCCGGTGCGTTCTTGCTTGACTGTATTGTAGTCGAAGTACATGCCAGCTTCTTCATCCCAGAGATACTTGTCCACCTGAACGCGGCGTTTTCTAGCACGGCGCTCCCACGTGGCAGAGTTCTCAACATGGCCAGGCTTCATGTCACCAGTGCGGAAGCCATCTGGGATCTCAAGCTTGTCACCGAAGTGATTGCGGATGCAACGGCCAATGTCCACTTCGTACTTGTAAAGAAGCGCATTGATGTCGACGACTGCAAGATCTGCGGCGACTCTCTCTAGACGGTATGAAGTGTCGTGGCCAGATTCACGTACAGCGCGGTCATGTAGGAAATAATCGTCAAGCTCAGGCTCTTCGACACGTCCGTTGTTGTATGCATCGACGAACTCCTTAAATGTCATACCATGCTTCTCAGCATACGGCATCAGAACATGGTGGAAATGGCTGGCTTCCGTCTCAGGCGGCACACCTCGTCCGCCAGGCCGGTACCTGGTGAGCCCAGTAACGGGGTCTAGGCGAGGCGCGCTCATCCAAACCGAGTGGTATTCCTTGATGGCAGCAAGGATGGCTTCACGTAGGAAGTCGAGCGCACCAGGCTCGTGCTTGATGCGTTCATAGCATCGCAGAGCCATATCAGTGAGGAAGGGAGGCTGAGATCGGCAGAGATAGTAAGTGCGGTTTGCGTTGAGGATCTTGTTATAGTGCTTGATGCAGAAGCAGAAGTGAATGACCATGGATTTGACCAGGTCAACACGGTCGTTGACAAGGAGACCGAGCGACTCCATATAGCTGTCCCATCCGTAGAGCTCGTTGAAGCGGCCACCTGGGACGACGAACGGCAGACCCCTCAGGTCCTTCTTCTTTGTTTCTGGGTCTATCCATTCTTCCATAGCAATAGCGAGCAGACCGGGTGCTTTGTTCAGATCGCGCACGTAATCGTTGTTGTCGCAATCCTTGTCCAGCCAGATGACATCCAGACGCATGTCGGGATGCTCGCGAGCAATGCGGGTGTAGTATTCGTGCTGCTCAGGTGCGCCCTGGGGGATGTATATACGCGGGCGTGGGTCGTCTGTCCAGTCCTTGGGATCGACACCGACTTTGGCGATGTTGGAGCCGTCGATGCGGCGTGTGAGACCGTCCCAGAAGGAGAATTGGATGAGGCGACTCAGGCGGTTTACAGGATTCTCGTTCAAGCGTGACTCGTCAAGCACGATGGTCTTGCGGCCGTAGTCTTTTGCAAGTGTGAGCTCCTGGAGCAGGTTCGAGAGCATATAGGTGCCGCGGACATCGTGCTTCTTGAAGGCGTTGGAGCCAAGAGTACCGAGAGACAAGGTCTGTGTCTTGTCAGCCGTCTTCTCTCTAGAGATGCATCATGTCGTACCTTGGGTCCCTTGTCGTCTATTGTGATCTGGTAGTTCTGGTCCGAGTCTTCGCGGGCGAGAAGCTGCTGGAGCGTTTCTTCGACATTGATCTTGAAGCGGCGAGGCTGCAGGGAGATTTCATCTGGTCTTGTCAGCACGTGTCGCGTCGGGAATGCTGTGGAAGGCACGCACCGTGACTGATGCGTCGGCCAGCAATGGCACCCTCGGCAATTGGGGCATTGCGCGTGGCATTGTCTACGTTCTGCACTCCATTAGTGCCGTCACAGCAGTAGGACAAGGGAGGAGCGCGGTACTCACAGCCGAGTAGGTCCTGGCTCTGGTGTGCTTCCGCGAGTGACTCTCGCCATAGTATATGTGCGGTGCAGCGTACGGGTCGAGAACAGTCGAAGCTCGGCGGGGCTTGGAAGATTGCGAGCTCATGCTACGGGGGAGTTTGGGCGAAGACAGCAGTGTGGGTGGTGAAGATGGTGCTATGGCGTAGGTAGGTACTTCTCTGGGGTTAGCTGGAACGGTGGTCGAGGGCTGGGGTGGGGGTGGGGCGGGACCTTTGTATGAAGATGCTTCAGACTATAGGGACGGAGAAGCGGCGGTCACACGACGATATGTTGTAAGTGCTAGGACGGGTGGCGTATGCGGTGTAGGACTGGAGAGAAAAGACGGATTTCCAATGGGCGGGAGGTGGTAGTTTTGAGGGATTCAAGGCCGGCAGGTCCGCCGATGGCTATAGAAATGCATAGCAGCAGGCGTCAGTGGTGGGTCTGCTATCACGATAGGCAATGACAGACCAGGCGGTGAAGAAGCTGCATTGTGCCAGAACCAAGCGGCGTGACTGCTATCAATGCTTCATCCAGGCGGCATGATGCTGAGCGAGCGAACACGTCCAGAGGATCCCGTGCACGCCGGAACCCCTGGGCGTACCTGCCTCATCACCATCACCACCTGCACCCTCGCGACTTCCACGCGGGCGCCGAGCTTTTTGCCGCTCCCTCGCAGCGCCCCACCGGTACGTCATTGCCCGGCCTCATGCTCCAACAATCGAGCAATCGAGTCGTCTTTTGTTCTTCGCACCCGGCAATCCATCTTGTTGAGCTTCAATGCCTTGTTGTCTGCGGAAATTTTGTTTTTGTCCTGCCTAACTCTCGACGCACCTTCAAAAGGGCTGCGCGTACTGTGACTGGCTCGGTTGCTTGGTCAGGCGGTGCTTGTCCGTCAGCCTGCAGGACGTCCCCCCACGGCATGCATGGACGAGTCCGCAGTACATCCGCAACACCATCGTGACCTCCGAACAAGACGGCTCTTACTCATGGCCCATACATGGGCTGAGCTTATCGCCTGAGATTTCCTCATCAGGTCGTCGAGTCTAGATGTCCGTCGGCCCTTGATGCATCTCCTGATGGTCCTCTCCACATCTCAACCAATGCGAGACGATTATCCTCTCATGTTTCATATCCGGCTCTCCAAGCTTGGCCGTCTGGACTCCGGTCTTCGGGTACTGTAGGGTCACACTGCACAGGTTGCAAGGTACATGTAGTTCATGTTTGTCGAAAAAGGCTTATCAAGGCCGTCTTTTTTGGTATAATATGTACATTAAACACTACAAAGTCGTGCTTTTACCATCGAGCTTGGAGTGGCTCTGCCATTGGCTTCGTGACAAATGAGATGATTCCGCAGTCTTCCATGGTATCCGTAATCCCCCAACGCCTTCGCTAATAAACATATACACAAGAAAAAAATGTAGAGACCGACAGGCCAGCCAATAGATAACTTTTTTCTTTTAAACTTCAATCTTCTTCGCAGCTTGCTTTCGACTCCTCCTCATGCTTCGCCAGCTCCATTTTCCACCTTTGCTTTCCGGTACTGGTACGCCTAATGTAGACGAATCTGGCCGTGGCACGTCGACGTTGCTGCTCCAGCTGCTTGAGGCTGTCTCGAGTGATGTGGCGTTGGAAGCCGTTCTTGACATGTCGACGCTGTATGCGCTCTCGTATGATCTGAGTTTGGATTTTGGCCTTGATGGGAGGGGCTCTTGTAGTGCGAGGAAGCCAGAGGCGAAGCATCCGCCGTACGCCTTCAAGACTTCCAACGATGCCGCTCTTCTCAAGGCGATGGTCTCTCTTTGGCTTTCCACGTTTCCGTCGTCTGACTCAGCAAAGTCACCGTCATATCGGTAGTAAAGTTGATCATCCATTTCACAAGCACTATCGAGCTGTTGTACTGTTAGCAGTGACCTGATAAAGACGTCATCCAAGGCCAAAACATACCTTCTTGTGGGTGGCAGTATGTGTTCGCAAGTTCTCCTCGGTGAGTTGGGTTTGCTTGAAGCAGGTTTCCCAGTTGGGTGTGCGACCAAGGTTCTGATACATCTTGGCTGGTGGTTGGTAGAATGCTCCGACGTATGTTGATGATTGATTGTATTGGTAGTCGAGGGTCTTGATGTAAGGCTAGTAGTTGTTGCTGTGCTGGGCTTTGAGTTTGACTGAACCAAAAGGCTAGGGCGATCAAGTGTTATATACCGAGTGTGACTTGGGTAAAGAATCAGGATGGCATCCACCCCAGCATGCGCCATAGCGCCGCGCTCGCCGATTGACCCCAGGGATCGCGCCCAAAAACGTGGTACATGGCTGCGGCTCTACCGTTTCCGTCATTTCACGCTCTGACCAGATCAGCGTTCGTTGCTTTTAGTTGCCGTCTGCGCAGGGGCCCCGTGGCAGATGCTAGTGTGCTGAGCCTAGGGGCTGGCTGTTCAGGCCTGCACAAACTCCACAATCTCGAGAAGCGTGGCGCCTCTACACGACGAACCTATCACAGGCGTCAGACATGGCATAATTCAAGCCTCAACCCCTCCTGCTGCAATCTGATCGCGGACGCCGATCAGCCACGGATTGGGAACTTGCACCAGACGCCTCAGCCGCACCTTCTGGTCAGTCTGCTGTCAATCTTCCCTACACGCAAGCATGCAGCCCTCAACGCCAGCATGATAGTCCACACTGACAGCTCACCTGACGTAGATAGCGCCATGTCTGCATCTGGGGTGGGTAAGCGAGAGATTCTGTAACGAAAAGCACAGCGGGCATCTGGCCTTCTCGCACGTTCAACATTTCGAAACAACAGCAGCTCATGGCCAAATCTCACCGCCCGCCCTGTCATCGTAGTACAACGCGTCTGGGAGACGTGTACCCCTCCACCTCACGGACGCTGGGCTAACTGCATGTTTCGAGGCGCCAAGGGCGGTGAGAGCAGTATTTGACAGCTGTAGCAAAAAGCACCAAACTGCCTAGCGCAGCGCGCCCCATGCGCCGAACGATGGATCCGCTACCATGTCGAGATGATGGACCTGTGATGCTGTAGCCTGTTCCTGAGAAGATGCATGGAAGTCGTGGTGCGATGCCTGATCGGGATGCGACGCAGGAACAAACTTCTGGGCCGCCTGACGGCGGGGCTCTCCACCAATCCACTCTCGCAAGCTGCCTGGCGATCATTGCCAAGTGTCATCCTGAATCATGGCCATATGCTCGTCATGATTGCCAGCTCACAACTTCGGTCTTTCTGCAAACTATCTTGACCCCTCTGCTCAAAGCAATAAACGATGGGGGTGGGGATTGTTCTGTTCAATATTCACGCGCTGGAATGTGCCGTCTTCCCAACCACAAGCCACTTTCTCGGAGTCAGCGACCACCTCAGCTAGCCAGAGTCGCACCCCTGCCCAGGTTTGCTAGCGTGAAGCTCCCCCCAGTGGCTGGCTCCCATCTGAGAGGCCGAACAGTTGCTGTAGATACCTGTGGCTCCGGATCGCGGCCGAACGAATGAGCCCTCTCCCTTGGGCGCTGGGTCCAGTCAAGCAATCTGATCTCTGATCTCCCGCGAACCAGGCACCCATTTGGCCATGTACCTCGCATTCGGGACTAATGCACCCTTGTGCGAGAAACAGTCAGTCGGACAGCAACGTTCATGAGACATCAACACCAACGCTCGTCTCACTTCTCTCGGGACATGGTAGGACGGTAGACGACACCTGCCTTTCCTGAACAGACCTGCCATGCATCGCGCGCACTGCGACAGCAGCCCGATGCCATCATCACACATTCTGCCCGATTCGCATTCGCAGCGTGATGATGCCCCATCAATGATGACTCTGTACCCTGCTGCCAACACTGCAGCATCTTGGAGTTGCCTTCTGCGGAATACTGTGCGAACCCACAGATCCAATATGCGCAGCCTCGCCGAACTGTCAGGCATCATTTCCAAATCAATGAACCCCAGTCCGATTTTCTGTCCAATGACGCCTTCACCCTTTTAACCCCGGTACATATCCAGCAAGCCGGCGACCTAATCCTCGTACAACAGATACCCATGATGCAAATCTTCACAAATGTCCATGTTCACGATCGTGATTTCCCATCTCAACTGACTCGATACCCCAGTCCGGATCATCCAACTCCGCGGACTTCTAGATCGCCGACGACAGATCAGGAGCGGATTATAGTGAGATGCAGGATTCCACCCCCAGTCCAATACACAGATATCGTGATGAGAATAGCCGCCCTGCCTCTTGACCCGCCTGCCTGGTCGCCGGCCAGATCCACCGGTAGCGCAAATCTATGTGTGACGTCGTACCCGTCTGTAAAGAGAAGGAGTTTGGGCCCCCTTTAGAGGAGCAGAGTGGAGATTTGTGCGACTGTACATATGTTTCGGCTCTTCTCCCACTGCATGGCTTCTGCCCGATGATGAGGCTCGGTGGATCTACGGATCGAAGCCTAGGTCTTAGGAACAAAAAAGTATAATGAGAGCTGTGGCGCATGCTACCACCACTGCCATTCGCGACTCGGTGAGTATTCGGTGGGCGGTTGTTTTTCTTCCACCTTCCTTCGGCAGTCTGGATTCTGCCGCTGTGCTCTCATCGGACCTTTTTTCTTCTCTCTCGAGTAATTTCATTTGAGCGCACAAGGTGAGCTGGGCCTAGATGCTATGCGTTCGATCCCAACATCTTCATGTTTCCTGTCAAAATCGGTGCCTTGTGCGTTGTTTGAAATCGTGAGATGAGCTGACAAGAAAGCAAGGTCGGGTCAATCTAGAGCCAGTCTTTACATGCGCAAATATCAAATCTCGTCAACATGGATATAGATTCAAACAACCCTGTTTAGCCAGGTTATCCCAAGAACTGAACTCCGTACGCCAGTCCTCGCTTCATTAACAACACACAACCTTACATCTCCCGTCTCACTTCTATCGCGAGAAATTAGTACGTGTCGCAGCTACATGAGAGGTTTACTTATTGCCTACCTGCCTTGCGCATTACCTCGGTTTCGCTGCTGCTCTGGTTGTTTAAGCAGCACGGCCGTACACTTCGGCGACATCAGCTAGCCACCTATCCAAGTGTTGTCTAATATGCAGATGTGCATGTGGCATGCGTAAGTGCGGGTGTGGAATGTGGAAGTGGTGCTGCATCGTGTCGGTGCTGAACTTGAAAGATTGGTACGGTATTGTGTAGAGCAACGATTTTGTATTGACTTCTTGTTGGCAGATTGAAGACCAGATGAGATTAGATGCATGACAAGGTAAATTTATATGTCAAGTCTGAAAACGTGGAAAAAATTTTTATCAGCATTACTTGTATCCCCATGGGGAGATGTGTGAGCCATTTCTGAGGTGGCGTTACCATGGTGTTAAGTGGAGTGACTCTTGGGATCACAACCATGAAGTAGGCCAATATGACATTTAGCCGGGAGACTATGGTCACGCCACGTCGACCAACTTCGGAATCCTGCGACACTGTTCAGCTTACTTCCACGAAAACTCGCAAAGACCACGCTTGATCTTTGCGCTCACCTTCTTCTCTTCCTTCAGTTCTTCTTCGGCGGACTGCACATGGTGCATTTACTGCCAAAGTTCTCCCGTAATAGTCAGTTTTGGTATCTAAGTAAGTTTGCAACAGCGGGAGTAGGTGCACGCTAATTTGAATTCATACTATCCGTTTGGAACAAGAATTCAACACCGGTTCGACTATCTTCGTGCGCCTACCTGCTGATTGAGCAGGTTAAGTTAATTCTGTAGTACAACAAATGAAAAATAGCTCACAGAACATCATACCTAGATAATCCCATCTCTCATTTTCACCCGTGTAGTTTATTCTGTGCACATCCCCAAATCATACACTCGGTTACCTGACATATTGCCCATTCCGCACCATGGTTCGCTTTCGCTCATCTATTTTACCATTCCTGTATAGTCTCGGTTACTCGGTATGCGCTCCGGTGATATTCCTGGACCGGGTCCCAGACATAGACAGACTCGGGCCAAGTAGCTTCGTGGTCAAGGTGGGTTACGTACGAGACGAGGAAGAATAGTAGGTGGTGAGGGGAGAGCTTGGGCCGTAAGCGAGGGAAGATGGACCAGGAATGCATGGCGAGACTAGGTTGGACTGCACGTACGGGATAGTCGCGGGGTGGTTTCAGCGGAAGGAGTGGAGATAGAGACGGGAAGGCAAGGTGATGAGGGTCGGTGATTGTCGGCTGAGGCATGGGACTGATGGCGGTAACAGGTATTGAAACTGAACGCTATGTTGAAGCCCTGAGTATGGTAGTAGTAACAAGGGTCCAGGGTCACTAATGCGGCCATTTGTTTCACAAGTATACTTGCTATCGTCGCTGAGGGGAGAGGTTGAGTTCGCCTTGCATTCATATTCGCCCGATCTCCAGGTTAGCATATTCAGGGTTCGAGATCGGAATAAAAAACGGTGAAGACCCTGAGGCTGGACTTGCTGTTGTTTCGTCTGTTGAAACATTCGCTGCGAACGACTTACCTCGCACTGCCCTCTTGCATCCCCGTTGCAAGCCATCGGCTGTTGCTCTTTTCTTTTCGGCACATCCATGGCACGACGTTTAATTCAGGGTAAAACTGTAAAACTTTGTTCTAGGCTTGGAGGAGGCTCTTGCGGTACCTGTCTTGTTTTTTCTTCTAGAACACATGGTACTGTGCGCTGCAGTGAGCGAATGATGGTGGACGTTTTCAACTCCGGTGGTATGGCTTTCAGATGGACTGTGTGTGACTCGCATGGAGCACCTGTATACACGTAGTCAAGGCTTGCTAACCTCGAGTTCTCTTCAGCTCAGGGTCTATTTTGACTTTTTCTTTCACGTTTTTGTTCAGACAAGCAAACATGGCCTGCACCTCGGCACCTGAAGATGAAGCTCGCGATACAGAGACAAGTGTGTGACCTCTAGAGATCGTGAAGTTTATGTTTCCAAGACTGAGACTACAGTCAAAGGAGAGACGAAAAGATACTAAGGCATGAGTCAGCGTGAAAATTTGAGTCACAAGGCTCGCAAGAATGAGCCATTTCCTCATGAAGTTTAACAGACATGAAAATAGACTTGGTAGCCTGAACACGCGCGGCTTTCGCAACACTGCCAACTTCTGCACGCTCGAGACACGATGGCGGGTACCTTCCCTTGAACCCAACCCTTAGCTGGCCGTTTGACATTCGTTTTGCAAAGCGGTAGTTCTTAGGGGCTTCATACTTCGGTTCGGCAGTACCATACCACCATCCCTCGCACCTAAGCACTTTTTTCTTCGGAGATAATGTATCCGCCAAATGACGGAGGATGACGAGGGTTGCTAGTCGTGTTAAACTCGCTGATAAGACCCCTTGAGAAGCTTCTAAACGTGGACTTAGAGCTGTTGTACATCCAAGCCAGTGGTCAACAAGAAACATACATTTCAGGCAACCTGAGAGCGAGTTCAGGAATACTAGGACGAACTCCACCACTACCGTCTTGCCTAAAAGCGGTGTACGCGCAACGCAGCAGTATGAATAAGGATGAGCGAAGTGCATACACCGTCGTGAGCTTTGTCACACCTTAGCGCCATGACGCACATGCACTCGCCATTGTTTTCTTTTTCCACAACTAGGGTCCACACCAACTCCAGTAGACCCTCGAACACTATTTACCCCAACACGAGCTGACTTGCCTCAAACATGCTAGCGTTGAAGCGAAGACGTCGATCATATCACCTTGGACGCAAGGCTACATACTTTCTTCTTACGTCCCCACAAGGTTCCATGCCAGTTTACTTTTTCTGAGGATCACTGCATACTGCAATTTCTCCTCCTGCACGAAACTGACCCTTAGGCCTCCTTACGAAATCTGCATCTAAACTTTGACCACGACTACATTTAGACGTCGGTCCCAGCCTCATTCGGCATATGGGCACTTGGGTTGGGAAGAGGATAGCTGCGAAGGGCTAGTACGACCAACTAAAACTATGCTTGGTTGGAATCTCTCAAGATAGTCCCGGATCACAGCTAATGTGTTGACACCGTCGTCAGCGAAGGTGGCTTCTGTCTGGATAACGTGCTGATCCTCCTGAGTCTACGACGAACATGCTGCACTGATCAGTGAAGGCATGAGTCGCTCTTTGCCGCGATTGTCAGCCTCCTCACTCTCGCCCTGCCCGCCGTTGACCTACTCATGATCGGTTCTAGTCTGTTGACTATTCTCATCATCATCGTTCTTTGTAACACCCGCCCTATCGGTAGCTGAGTTGGTGGCTCCTTTGCTTGCCAACAGATCATTCGTGTTGATATTCTTGATCCAAGGCTTTAAGAAATCTGCCATGTTTTATAGGCTATCGAAAAGACTTTTTTTGAATCCATACATGTGATTCCTGCTTCAACGCTCTTGATGACCTCACATGCTCTCTTATGGCTAGGGCTTGGAGCATTCACATGTTTCTTCTACTCTTCACGTGTCGTACAGACTATCACGTGCCGATATCAGTTCTGCGGGGGTCTAGTTGGAGTCGATTATTGATTCCAAGTATGACCAATGACAATTCTTACACGACCACCATGACACAAGAGCGATTGTAAGTTGAATTGTTGTTCAAAATATCAGACTTGGATACTGTAGGTCTGACTAAACCGAATCTACGAGTACTCCATATCACACGGATGTTTGGGTTGCTATCAGGATTGGGACATGGTGATGAATTGCGGCATGTTAGGTGGTCAAAGTGACGAGGGCAAGACGAGACTTGAGGCGATGAGAGTACAGAACAGGTATCCTAACATCTGGCACAGAACGGGAACAGCGACGAAGACAGAAGACACATGTGAGAAGATATGCAATCTAACAAAGTTGGATATACGAACCGTACCCTAACGCCAGCCAAGATGTTCCTTACTTGGACCCAAACATGCTATTACTACAATGATGCGTACACCTAGAAGACGCTGATGTAGTTGCCAATGCGCTCCTTCTGGTTCTGCGCAATGCACTCGGCTATCCATGTGATGTTACGGATTTCCTGTAGATCATGTTAGTCGACATGTTCTCTTCATGGTAAGATTTGGCAACATACCTGCTCGCGCAGCTTTACCCATGCGTAGACAATGGCGTGGGTGAATTGGTGGGTGAATGCGAGCTTGGAGATCTCCATCTCCTTCTGGTAAAAGAGGTCCTCTAAACTCCTCGTCTCACCACCAACACCACCAGCCATGTTGCCTACGCCGCCACCGCCACCTCCACTGAGACCGGTCTGGTCGAAGAACATCTTGTAGTCGGCGACGCTCTCAACGGCAATACGCACACCCTCGACATCATCTGCTCTCGATAGCATCAAAGTGCCTTCTGGGTACAGCTTGCCAAAAGATGGGTACAACTTCTTCCTGTCTGCCTTGGAAAGCTCTGTGCCGAACGAGTTCAGGGAGATGTTGATGCTCCTGCGGTCGGCCTCGAACTCCAAGACCTCGGACATGACGTCTGACGTGGGTGTTCCGGCAATGTCAGAGCAAGAGTTGATCCACTGGTGGAAGTCCTCGAGGTAGTTCTTATACAGGGTGTTGCGGATAATCTCAATGTTGAGTTCATCGAGATCCTGGTGGCTGAGCGAGCCCTTGAAGTAGGGTGCGAGCGGCGTCTCGATCAGAACCGAGTTGTATAGCTCCTCGATGTTAGTCGCCACGCACAGCACCGGCATGGTCTCGAACCAGCCGAGTGGGTGACACCTCTCGAGCAGCTCTCGCGTATCCCTCTCGTGCAGCGTGCCGGTAATCAGCAGCGCGACGTTGTCGATCATGTAGCCGTACGTGAGGTATTCCATGAACTTGGAGAGCGAGCCGGTAGCGTTGGCCTGGAGATAGCGGAACTCGGCCACGAGCTTGTCGGTGGTCTTTGCGGCGAGGGCAGACGTCGACGGGTTCGGGGGCAATGAGTTGAGGAAGTCGCCGTACGCGGGCGAGAGCTGCAGCTTGACATCTACACCATAGTTAGAGAGGGTACCAAGGCAGCGGCGACTGGATGTGATGCACCGTCGATGGTTTCGCACTGGGTCAAGTTGCTGTAGTTCTGGCTGGTGAGCAGTGCATTGCGGTAACCGCGCACGATGCCCTCGATGTAGCTGCGACAACTGGTTAGACGTGAACAGCAACAGGTCAGCGGCGTGTCTCGTACCCGTATTTGACGTTGTAGTAAAGGCCCTCCATGATGCTGATGCTGGCTGCTGTCGACTGTCGCAGGCAAAGAGCTCCAGCTTGGTCGTCATGCCAAGGCGTGGCCCGTGTCGCGCCTGATCCGAGCCGGGGTGACGCGCTAGCCCCAATGGCCGGAGGTGCAGTGACAACTTTCTTAACTCCATTGCAACTTCCTCTGCCAACTCACACCCCAACACCCCAACCATCCCAACTCCCCCACGCAGTCGCATCTGGCATCACATCATCTACTGCTTCCTGGCAATTGCATCGCAACTGCTCCGTACGTCTCCGCTGCTGCTGCGCATCGCTCTTGCTGACCCCATCAAGGCACAATGTCTACCACTACACGGCGCACTACGCGTCGCACCGCCGCCGCCGCAGTTACCGAGTCCTCGCAGTCCGCATCAAGGCAAAGCTCACAGTCGGCATCGCCTGCTCCAGAGCCGGCACCCAAGAAGAAGCCTGGCCGCAAGCCCAAGGCTGCCAAGGTCGAGTCGCAGACTGTGACGGAGTCGCAGCAGACAGCCACAAAGAGTCGCGCTACGTCACGCGCAAATGCCGCGCCCCAAGTCACTGCCACAACAACCACATCATCCACAACCACCACCACGGCAAAAGCTCCCGTCGTGGCTAAGAAGCTCACCAGAGCCGCTCGCGCAGAATTGAAAGCAGCAGGCGTAGAGGCCTCACCACAGCGCAGTCTAGAACAGACAAAACCTGCGAAGCAGGGTCGCGGTACAGCCCGGCAGAAGGCCACCAGTCAGAAGCGAAAAGCAGTTGCTGCCAAGCTGGCGGCTACAACTGTTGAGAGCAGCGAAGACGAGGCTGCTGCCGATAACGAAGATGGCGTGGGCCTCTTCTTCACCAAAAGTAAGCACCGTTTTCTCCACAGCAACCCATCCCCAGAACACGCCATCGACAATGAGATTCTCAAAGAGGAGAACGCGGAGCAGCTCAGGGAGATTTACCACCTCCGCGCGCGTGTGACAGATCTTGAGGCTTGCAACCAGAATCTTGCCGACATGTTGCATCAGAAAGATCAGCAGATGGCCGAGTATGAGAGCGAGAACCTCCGTCTGCGCATGAAAAATACGCGTCTGCATACAAGTTTGCGAAACCTCACGTCATAGCTACGGATCCCCGGCTAACGTTAACTACGCAGAATTCGACAGTGAACTAGTAGGAATCAGCGAATCATCTCCAGCACAGGGTGTGTTTGTAAACGGCAATGAGGAAGCTCTGGCGCTCCTCCACAAGATTGAGAGCAACGCCAAGGAGACCCGACGTATCGAGCCATCAAGCAACGACAGTGAAACATTTGAAGACAATGACGTTGCTATGGAACCTTCACCACAACAGTCTGTCAAGAGAACATTTCAGGAGGTCTCAGCAACTCCTGATCGCCCCGTCGCGACACCATCCAATATCTTCAGCAGATCATTCTCCGCCTTAAAATCCAAACTCTTCTCCTCGACCCCCAAACCTCCCCCAACCCCCGAGGTCGCTTCACCCACTGTCACAAAACCTCTACCACCTCAGGACACAATTACTGAGACCCTATCACTCCCACCCACACCCGTTGGCGAGCGCGTCAAGACACCAAGAAAGAGGCGTATGCCCACCAACCCATTGATGATTCTTCTACTTAGAGGCATCGACCGTGAGGACAAACAGAAAGCAGAGGAATGGGCCAAGCAAATCATCCCCACATTGAGGAACGATCCCGCTTTTCGCGAGAAGCGTAAGCGTCTTGAGACACCAGTCCTATGCAAGGACCTGCCAAACTTCCCTTCAGCCAAGCCTTGGGAGACTGGCTTTGGCGACCCCCTTGGCGATCTGGACGATGAAGATGAAGTACCAGTCTGGGCTGTCTACATGGACATTGTAGCCGAGGAAGAAGAGCACGCCGCCAAAAAGCACAAGAAGACTCACGATGTCACAATTGCCGATGACGAAGTTCCCACCATTGACGAGCAGTTCGCCGCCAGCAACAGCGCGCGTGCTTCCCCTAATCTCTTTGATAGCCATGGCCAGTCTGCCTCCATCCGCGACTTCCACCCCCGTCGTTCAATCGACCCCTCACCCATGTTCTCCAACTCCATGTCACACAACACCGGCGGTAACATCTTCAGCGAATTGCAAGGACACGATACCGCGGCAGAGATCCGTGAGAAAGATCGCGAGATTCTCAAAGTTGCGACCAAGGAGACTACTGAGGGCGCCCACACTCATAACCCTAACATGGGTTCATTCAGCGTTCCTGATGACTCTGATGAAGAAGATTCAACAATGGGCAGCGAGACATCTGATACCGAGGCTACTCCAGTCTGGACCCAACCACCACCACCAGCCCCCGTTCCTGCGCACGCCCCACTACCTGGAGGGTCTACAGACGATTCGCCTCCCACCCCGACCCGTCAGCAGCCAGGAGATGAGATTGAGCGTCAGCGCCAGAGACTCATGAAGCACACACCTGCTAAGCCTTCTCGTCTCCGAGAGGCGACCTACCCTTCACCAAGCGTTCTTTCTGAAGCTGGTAATGAGTCGCTTCTTGCCGCCACTCCCGCACAGATGGCTGCTTCTGCGGCTACCATGGCCAACATACTGGACGACATGCCGGTAGCAGAGATGATTGAACTTGACGATGAATGCCAAGCCGCTTTCGACGAGCTCATTAACAGTCAAGAGTACCAACAAAAGCTCACCGTCGAATGGCAAACTCCTATCATCACCTACGAATCAGATGAGGAGGAGCCGAGCCCTACCTCCCCTTAAAAATATCGTTCTTATTGCATTGTCACGGCGCTTCTCATCCTTCCTATGAATCCAATACGATTGGCTGGAATCAGATCCCTCGCCTACGGGCAACCTTCATCACTGTATTGCGTTCTCTTGTGTTTGCATAGCCATGCGTTGTTTTGTTCGGGATTAGAACCACTGATGGGATGGAAGATGCATTTTCTTGTTGGCGTTCTCCAGGGGCACAAAAAATGGATGATTCACGATTGCTGTATACCCCTCACGGCCCTTGTGGTCGGACTAGGCGCGCATTTGAGTTTGGTAATTGCGTTGCCTGTTTATTTTCAACGGTAGCGTGTTTTGAAATAGTTTTAATAGTCATTGAGAAACTCGTATGCGTTTTCGATTTAAGCATGGGTTAGATGATGATGTCAGTCCAACATCTTGACATCGAGGCTAAAAAGCAGGTGATGAAAAGAAAAGGTCTGAAGCACCAAGGTACCTTGATTGTTTCCATGAGATCATTTTGCATGTCCTGGGATCCCACGTCGTTATGAAGAGTTGTTTAGGCTAGACAACTAAAGTGTTCCTGTGTCCCGATCTAGTACTCAAGACAGAACGTACGATCGAGATGTCGGTCTGATGCCATCAAAACGCACCAACATCACATTGTACGTCAAGACAATGAGGTCGATATTCTTCAATCCGCCGTACATGGCAAGCTACGTCTATCTGGATCACGCCCTTTGACTCCAATTGACCGGCGCGCGGAATGCCTTCCAGGACCGGCACCTACAAGAAATTCGTGTCCAGGATATGGCAACGTGGTGCCTCATTATAGCTTGATACAGGCGAGGTTCCCTGAAGCCGCATAGGATATGCTCTGTGAGTTGGACAATGAGGGCAGGGTTCTGAGGGGCACCGGATTCGCTATGAAGGTTGTCGACAGAAACAAGGTGGCCAAATTGTCCTGGCTGATGATAACAGCTTTCCTGGTCCAAACTTCGTTGACCAAGAAGAGGAAGAGATGGACATGTATAGCTGCAACAACTCAGACTTAAGAGAAATGAACGACGACCTCGTGTATATTCTAGGAAGAACCATACATGACTCTGAAGGCCCTACCTATGCTAAGAATGTTGCAAGCCTATCCGAGACCGACAGGATGTTGACAACGGAAGGGCTATTTGAGGGTCACGATGAACCCATGGTAGTCCACAAGCGCAAGGCCAAAGAGGATCTCAAGGATGAGATCGATGGTACCAATATCGTTGCCGAAAATAAGTCTGCCGACAACAAGGCAAAAGTGATGGTGAGGCGGGGAGAAGACTAGCTACCAGCAAAGGGCAAACGTCCGCTTTATCAATATCTACAGCATTCATCGCTGTGCCAGCTGCTGCTTCGAGAAAATCCAGACGTCTGATAAGAGCCATACAGCTCCTCAGTCGTCTGTTTTGTCTTGGTTGAAGCATAGCCAATCTGTTGTGGACACACCGTTCGTATCGCTTCGACCGCCTCGCATCTTCCAGATAATTGTACAAATTACACGCTTCCCCCATGTATGCTGGGAACAATCGGTGGCCCTTTGAATCATTTCATGAACGGCGTGTTTTCGCCGTGTTTGCGAGATTGCAAACTGCTATGGCGACTAATTGCGATTTATAACATGGCTCGTTTTGAGGACGTTGGGACAACGAGGTTGTCTTCATCGATGAAGAGGCTTATCAAGTCCAACTCAGTACGAGTCGTTTGTGCTCAGATCGGATGCGAAGAAGGCTGTTTCAGTATCGTGCAGTTTATTGATCGTTAGAAGTGACGCAATGTACGATCTCATAGTACAATACCTTTACGTCCCATGGGAACGGGGAAAGGGAACATTATCATCCGTACCCCTCATAGACCCATGAAGACCAAGTAAGCTTGGAAAAACGGTGCGGAGAAGGTTGACATGTCAAGCGTAGTACTATCTCATCTAGAGAATGTCAGTACAACATCCAAGACAGTGTGTCTTCATCTTTGCATGCTTCTTGTTCGAGTATAGAAATGCCACCTTTAAGAATTGGAAAGAGGTCGGGTCAGCTCCACATTGTGATGTCCAAGGAGCTTGCCGAGGTTTTTGTGAGGCTCACATGTCCGACGCCGCAACAAGCAAAGTGAAGTGGGTCGGTTCGCCAATCTCTAAAGATCGACACTCAGAATGCTTGACTGTTCACCGTGACAGCTATTGGTCGCCCTGCTTCGAGAACAATCAATTACAAACATTTATTCAATTTTGTCGTCTCTACAGAGACACGTTGTTCGGCTCGGGAGTGTAGCCGCGTGTTGAAGCGATTCGTGCCCTGGGCGTAATCGGATCGGCAAACATGAATACATTCTCGGAAATTGTGAAGCCTCACTTTTCAGATAGCGCTCGTTGTGAAGAACTGCTCACAGAAGATTCTGGAGACCATTGGCTAGGCAGTGGATCCTAGGTAGAGTCGCGAACGATGTGCCGTATGCATTACATCGGGGATTAGCAAAGGTAACCGCGCATCGACCAGAGTAGTTGACGTGGCACACGAGATCAACGGTTCACGCTCAACATACCGTTACTGGATCCATAATTGATGTTCTTCTTGGGGGTCGCAAAATAAACCTATGTAGCTCAATGAGGCGGACGCGAACGGTATTGCCATCTTGTTGTCTCCCTATCGACACGAACGGATGAACCCTGTGTCTACTACCAAGCCCCCTAAGTCTTGTGGACTTAGCAGCCCTTTGTTAGTCAACGATAGACCAGTCGTATTCACTCCCAGGATGAAGCGTATGTCATGCGTAGGCCTTTGCGGCTGTGGGATCTCGGTCTCCGAATTAGGGCAGCGGTGTGGAGGTATGAATGAAGCTGACGTGAGTGACTGTCCTGAAACAGTTCTCGTTTGAAAGGATTCCCTTGCTCAAAGAAGGTCTAGATGACAGCATATTCAAGACGGTGGCACAAGTGATCCCAAAAGTTACACCTGCAGTCTTGCTGACTTGTATACTGGTGGCTGTCTCTAAAAAGTCGAACAGAGGATGATTGCACATCATTAGACTATGTTAAGTATTGCTTTGACAGTGTGTTGTCCCATGCATATTGCATTTCCGACTTTACTGGATTGTACTTTGAATGTTCGTCTGAACATTGGTGTCAGGAAGGTCGCAGATGGCGATGGCTAATGGCCCTCCGTCTCCAGTGCGCGGGCAGCCGATAGGAGTGCTCCTTTCGAAGGACCATCAGCCGACCTAGTAGCGCTCCAGTGAGAATCATGGACTTCAGCCAGCACATGCTTGTACAGTGGCTAGCTGGCTACAGGGAGATAGATGATGTTGCCAAGGGTATTATCTCCAACAACCACAAAGAGATTGAGCCTTGTCGATATCCGGTGAGCAAGCTCTGCGTGCCGACTGCCACAGCTGCTCGAGGCCAATCGCATTATGACCAAGAGATAGCAAGACGGCTTCTCAGAATTGTGCTTTCAAAGTCTATGACGAGTCGTTGAGTCTGAGGAAACCAACACCTGGATGCAAACGTAGTTCCTGGCTGAAAGTGGTCGCCGTACCTTGCATGTAGAGTCCTACAACGATTTTCCGTACCTGACTGTGCTTTCCCTTGACACTAGTTGCAGCACTCGCAGGCCGCTTGAAAGTCCCCTGTGCGGTTCTGAATAGTTATAGTAAGTAGACGCTTTCCAACCTTGTATTAGGTGCGGAGCACCTCGGGCTGCGCCATCTTCCGCTGTCTTCCAATGAGGTCGGTGAAATGAGGGCACCGACTCAACTATGGCGTGATTACGCATTCGTGGTCGCAAGGGTACCTTGTGTGCCCGCAGAGAGGCCGGAAACCAGGTTCTTCTTTCCAAATCACAGCCCACGCTGCATCATTTTGTCTCATCCATCGAAGGACATGACGTAGGATAAGGTATTGCGATGGCGTTCTCTTGACGACGGATGCAAGGTGAGCTGGCGTATGGGGGGACTGCATGATACAATCTGCGGGGTAGTCCGGTGCATAGTTTGTTGTAATGTAGCTAGGCTTGCTATAAGAACGCGATGCTTATTGTTGTAATCGAACCTGGACGCTTGGATGTTGGGCATTGGGCACATGTTCGTGTAGTCGCACACGTGTACACGACTCATGCGGCGGTTCCAGAGCCGAGACCGCCGTTACGATGGAGCTCAGAAGACGATCCCATGTTTTCGAGGAATGATTCGCGCTCTACTTAGGTTTGTTGGGTGTGAGAGATGATCTATGCCGAAGTGAACAAAGCCCATGAACACCTCAGACAGGACAGCTTCACATTCGAGGCGATAACGAAGGGCATTGTCGACCACGTCCCTCTCACCATTGATGGTACATGCCGTAATCTATCCGCCCTTCCAGTAGCACCAAAGTAGATCATTGATGACAAGCGGGGTAGACCAGGCTTGCCTCACAGTTAGTTAGAGTATACTCGCCACATCGTGCTGGCGCTTAGTCCGTCTGCGGTAGAAGAAGCCCAATTGCCCGGGTACCGTCGTTGCGTCAACTAAGATACATAGGGTGAGTTCTGTAGGGTCTCGGCTCGGATCTTGGAATATGTGGAACTTGGAACATGCTCGTAGCTTGATGCATTCATACCCAGTGCGTCGCGTGCCTGGAGGGATCTCCCTGACGCGATCGCATCCTTCGCTTAACGGATCTAGCGGTGAAGCTACTTTGACCCAACTTTAGACACCGAGATACTTTTTTTTCATGCAGTGCGATTACCGTGGGGTGACTGGGTGTCACCTATCGTGGAAGCTCAGCCGGGGTATGGATCGGCATTGGGGGTCTCCGCCAGGGTGTCTCTCGTGTGAAGTCCGTTGCACTTGAAGGAACAATATCAGCCGGCTGACTTGGATCTCTGCGGAAGGGTGTAGAGGAAATGACCCATTGCAGAACTCGCCAGAGAGTATGGTGGCAAAGAGATCGTCTTTAAACACCCGTAGTCGTCCTGACAGAACACCACTCTGTAGACGTGGCAGCTGTGTTGGCCGCTTCAGATATTAGCGCCGAGATGTGAAGCATATCGAAACGGCCATAGTACTTCCAAGAGTAGCAGATATACCAAACAATGCAGCGGAATTATTATGAGTGGTCAACCTTGAAGGGTGTTGTGTGACCCGGTCTTCGTCGCTGCCCAATGGCGGTGATTGGGCTTCTGAGGCGAACAATGAGGCGAACGTCAGTGCGCGTCCACGCCCAACGGAGGGACTTAATCGCAGCCGATGCATCGCATCCTCATCCGGACTGGAACCGGTGTAGACAGAATGTATGCAACCGATTAGCCAGTCGCAAGGCTGCCGGTCAGATGTATAAGTTTTCTGCGTGCCCAACCTTACGATCATCTCCCAGCGCACGAACACATAATCCACCTAACAGATACCCTGTCGACGTGATTGCTCCAACATAAACATCATGGCTGTTCCCAACTCGTACTTTGTTCCAGGCTTTGGCATCTCGAGAGCTGTTATCCAGAGCGAAATACGCTACCATTGCGGCCCGGATGCAATCGTTCGACCATACACCTTCCAGGGACGCGACGGGTTTCTGATAACCACTATTGGACCACCATTGACCAAGGTAGCTTGACTCTACCATGACACTGTACTTGGAGGCTAACTCAACAGGCACAAATCGACGACCTAAAGTTGTCTTCCTTAGAATACGAAGAGAAACAGTCTCGCATCGCCGACGAGTCCAATGTCTTCGTAAACGCACCTATCCCAATAAATCAACGGATACGACGGAGTACATGACCGCGGCAGAGAACACAGCTGTGGATTTCGCTTCAGTTCCCGGTCTAGGAGTTCGAAGAGCATTCGCCCTATACCCATAGTTCCACGTATTATACGTTCAATCTCTTTTCGTCAAGTATTTTTTTTAGCGTGCATGTCTTCCCATGGCGGAAACGAGTCGACGAGTTTATGGTATACGGGTTTATATGAAGTCTCGGTATTTCGGTTTGGCGTCTTCGGTCTTGTCAGAATGGATAACACACTAGCCACCACTTTACTGTTGGAGGAGCGCAGCAAAATGTATTCTAGTCCCAACACGAAAGGGTCTTTTTGTTCATCGTATTTGCCAATGCGTCCACAAATGAGTGTGTATCCGTCTAAAGTTGAGCTTTCTTTGGGGTAAAATAGCCATTTTGCAGGATAGACGAGGTCTGAAGGCTATCGCTCTGGGCGTATAGGGGTACAGCAATATCTTCTTATAGGAAGGCGGTCTGGGGGCTATTTCTGATGTGATTCCAGTCTTGTTGTATTGATCTTGGCGGTTGATTATTGGCGTCTTGTCTTCTTGCCTCGCCAGACGACCAGGGTGAGGGAGTTTGGTGAGCGGAAATGTGAACTAAGAGTGTTGCCCAGCACTTGGGCATCCGGTCCGTCATGTATGCAACAACTATCTTGGCGAAAGGAAGCTGGAGGAACGGATTGGTGCCACGTCGCACATCTGACTCTTCATGTATACACACGCAATGAAAGAAAACAAGGACAAACCAGGTGTTGTTGAACTGTTGAGTTGTAGTGATGAGGCGGAGTGTGAGCCGCTTCCAGGACGCAGGGACGAGGGGCGTGTGATTGGTCTGCATGTAAGCGAGCCAGAGGCTGGTGAAGTGTCGTCACAAAACAACGCAGCATCCGTCACATCACGACCTGAAACAGCGCATAGGTATGTCTAGCTGAGATCGCCTACGCCAGTACAGATCTCAAGATCTGGCCCTGGCTCATGATTGCACGAGGCCACTCCTGGATGCGGTCCCTACGCATAGCACTACTCAGAGTGATTTGAGAGTGACTACGTCGAGGAAACCCGGTCTGACCGCTTGCGACATTGCAAAAATCTGGAAATTGTCTGGTTGATCTTTTCGTTGGTGTCTCGCCGAAAACCTACAACCTTGGTTTTTTGCTATGGTCCTAACGCGTTGAGGCCTAGTCTATCCCAGCGGCACTGAGAGAGCAGTAACCAATTTTTCACCTTGTCTCTCACAGTGTAACTTATCGCACGTACGACATGGACGCCAGGAGGTCGTTGTCGCATTCTGGATTGGAGTCGCGTGTCGGAGTTGTAGCGTCGCTGCCAGAAATCCACATACCCCGCATACCCACTTTCTCGCATCTGGCACCCACGCAGGATCACGGCACCACAAAATGATTTTGCTGAATAACAACTTACAGATTCTTCGATTTGTCATCAATCGGCTCAACAGCTGTAAGTCTTGGCACTTTGGCGGAGTGGTTAACGCGCTGGCCTGCTAGTCCTTCACAGGAAAGTCAGCCAGTTCCTTCGGGAGCGTGTGTTCGAATCACACAGGTGTCGCACTAACCTACTTTTTTGCACATTCTCGTAGATCGTGAGTAGTTATTTTTTTGGACATCAGAAGTACGGGAAGAGCATTAAGGCAATAATAACGCAGACGATTCCGCAGCGTTCCACGTCAAGGCTGTGCTCTCATACACACAGCCACATCCACACTCTTCCATAATATGAAATGTTTTTGCATTGTGCTGGGTATAATATATGAAATGTAGAATGCAACCTCCATCGTGGCTTTTAGCCGTTCTGAATCACCTCAACGCCGTCCCAATGCTATTCCGATTCATCCATCGACTCTTAAACTGAGCTGGGATACATCATAACCCTTAGGCTAGCACCAAACGACTTTGGCGGGAGGTTGTTCGCGAAAGAAGCGCGTACGACACCTGAATTGCCTGTTCTTGACTCAACATTTGTGACTTTGGCATGAGAAGATGTACAAACCATGTGTCCTGCGGATCTTGCCCCAGATCACGCGAGGACCATCCTCTTTGCTACCTGCAACGCGGTAGACGTACGCGACGCGCTTGCCGAGGTACCACTGCGCGTCTTGCGTGTTGTCGACACCTTCAAGCGTGAGGAGGCTCACGTTGGGGTTCGTGTTGCGTTTGCCGCGCTGGTAGCTGACATGGCGGGCTTTGACGTATACTGCACACATTGTTACTATGTGCACGACATCATTGCAGCCGTTTTTACTTACGGCGGTGACTCGTTTCTGAAGACATTGCGAATGTTGTACTTGTTTGTGTTGTGCTAGAGATTTTCGATCAATTGGTGCGCGTTCGGTAAAATGCTTACTTAGCGTTTACTACGGGTCGTCGAAGTTCAGACTACCACAACAGCTTATATCACAATCTGTATCCTCTCGCTCAAAATTAGCGCTTCTTCAATTGTGAGAGTCAATGAATCGTTCCCACGGAAGATTGCTTTACGTAGTGTGAATGAGCGTTGCCAGGCACAAGCTGGGGACGCAGCATTTTGGTCATGCTGTGATTTAGAGGAGAGAAGTAAGCATGATAAACAGCAAACATTAGAAGCCAAGGGTAGCAAGAAATCCCAAAATGGTTGTGCTCAATCACGAGGAACCTGTCACGACAAAAGCGCAAGATAGAGGTGACGCGGCAATATCGACTTCAAAATCCCATACATACCCAAACAAGTGGACATTTTCGCACCTGATATGCCGGTTCACGTCGTTTGCCGCGCCTACGCCGACACCTTCAAGTGCCCCTCTTCTGAATGTCGACCCCGCCTTCTAGTAATAGGCAGCTTAGCATCGTGCATCGGCGTCGCAACACTTATCGCACATGATATTCGTCCACTCGGTAGCGAAGCGTGGCTTGACACGCTAAGCCCACCGTCTTCGGGAACCCCGACGATCCCCTAGTCTTGTTCAAGCTCTGGCGTGCGGGAAGACGACGTAAGCGAACAGTATATCCGGAATCCTTGTTTGATAAGGCGATGCCGAATGCATGGAGCTTGGAACGGTGGATATGATGCTGGGCGGTGCATGATCGTGCATGGCGTCTCTGATGATGGTAGCTTTGTGCGATCGATGAGGAGTTTCTAGGAGCAACTACAGCGGTATTGCATTTTGGCTTGAGAGGGTTGCATCGTTGTGAAGCGCATTGGCACACAGTCATCGTTACTGCTCAGCCCTACTACTACGACGTAATGTAGCAGACGTCATACGCTAAGCATCTGCCCTACGACCAGCCGTTTGGTAGAAGCTCCGTTGCATGTCGTCCACGTGCATGACCGGTCGGCTCCGCTGTATGGGATTCGATGGTACGAGCTCGACTCGCAGGTGCCTGTCAAGCTGAAGGTTAGTGCGTAACGCTAAAGACAGTTGGTTCGAGTTACCCAAGTCGCCCTTGCTTCGGCTTCTGACTCTTGGTGAGGAGGTGGTTAGTATGGGTGTGTGTCTTTATGAGGTGGTGTCGAACGTGCTGGGATACCAATAGAAATTATAATATTGACATGAAAAGAAGCAAAGAGACGAATAGAATAGAAGAACTCAAGAGAGACTAGGACATGGAATGCAGCCTAAAAGCAGCGACTGATAGCAGATGGGTAAGAACAAAAGAAAGACTCCAATAAAGACCCATCGGTCATATATCCCCGAAGATTCCCATGCTTTTGCTATGCCATTCTTCGCATACCTGTTGACTTGCTGACCAGTCGCTTGTACTTCCCAGAAGAGAGGAACTTGTTCCATGCACCAAAAACTCCAGACGCCAACGCCAACGCTAAAGCAGGCTATCGTCCCAGGCTACCCCAAAGAAACAAGTGTGTGCTTTCCGAACAATGTGACCAGCACTGGAAATGGAGGAGTGATCGAGTGACCCGGACATACAAGAAGAACGCGCAAGCATAACCTGCCACAGGAGGGCTGTCCGACGAGAAATGTATGGAAAACGACGTAGATGTGACTGGGTTCACCGCGGTATGGAGAGACGGAGGTAGTCGTGAAGCGTTCCAGTAAAACGATCGTACCGTACAGTCGGGCCCGTTTTACGATCGAGTAGTGTCGTCGATGTCTGGATGCTCATCGTCGGGACATGAGTATCTGTTGAATCTGCGCCAGCGAAGGATCCTCGTTCAACCACTTGCCTTGTGCGGCATCCGCAGCACGCAGCGTGTTTTCTACGTAAGCATCGCTGATTGCGAGTAGTTCCTATGAATCGACTGTCAGCGGGGATCCTGTCAAGACTCGCAAGGCTCATCTAACGTACATTTCTCATCGTAGCATCAGCCTGCTGAAGCGCACCCAAATGGCTCGCATTGGGCTTCTGGCCTCGTAGGATGCTGTTGCGGCTGTTCATCCACCGGAGGCCAGCGTGAGCTCGTAAATAAGCACGTTGGCATTGAAAGCGTCGTACAGCCGCGTCTGTGATGATACTGCAGAACTTTGTCAGCTCTTCTTCCACACAGTGCATTACCTCTCTCTACACTCTCTCAACTTGACATGATATAGAAAGGAGTGACTCACGCCCTCAATTGCTGCTTCTCGGACTCGGGGTTCCCTGAACCCGAGCTGGCACTGCCAGAGAAAGGTGTCTGGAGGATACTCTGTGCCTCGCTGGTGCACTGTCTAAGCAGGGAGTAACCTTCAAGGTAATACTCTTCCGCAGTGGGTGTGGCGCGTAACTGAACGAGGTAGTGTTGTAGGTTGCGGAAGTCGGTCATGATCTCGGCAACGCGCATGGCACGGGCATCGTTGACTGTGATGGTGTCAGTCTGCGCAATCTTGATGGTAGTATGGTTTGGTGGTGTTGGAAAGATGAGAATCTCGTGCTGGAGCAGGATGAGACTTACGACCGTCAGACATTATGGCTCTGGTGTTTCGAAATGAAGATCGGCTAGCGACAGATTGTTGAAGTGGCTAATAAGAAGTAAGTTGTAGATGATGGAATGAAACTGAGGCTTGCTGCTGTGGATGAATGGTGAAGGGTGGCGGCGTGGCAAGTATTATATAGCATGTAGAAGACATGTATTCACGATGATGATGGTGGTAGTGTCCATGAGCAAGGCTCTCGATAGCGTAGGGTAGGAATAGCCATACCTGCAGGGCTGCTCCCGCCGCTACCATAAGGACGAGCTCCACTTTGGGACCGCGAGTAGCTCCCAGCTGTACTAGGGCCCTACCTCGATACACCACTCACAAACTGGCATCCCGCACTTGGAGGCTTGTGGAGAGGTGTGAGAATCGGCATAGTAACATGACCATCTGTATCAGTCTCCACTACAACGGGATAGCCAAACATGCAGGAACCGTGCGTCTGCGTCTAACCATGCCTATTTTCGACCCTCCGCTACCATTGCTCTCCAGCTGGAATGGACAGCGTTGTGCTGGACCTTTTCAGCAGCCCTAGAAGCGCCACATCGCGCAATGTAGTTTAGCGAGCAAGCCCTGGTAGCCTGCATCGGGTAACGCAGCCAAGCCAAGGCGTGTATCTCAGCCGCAGTACCCGCTCTGATTGGCTGATGCTTATAATTAGCTGTGCGGCCTTCGCGTGGTCGTCCGCTGAGTGTGAACGTGAAAAGTGCGTGCCCGCGTAGGGTTGAACCTGTGCTTTCAAACGAACAACGCTCGCGAAAGCCACGATCAGCCACGCGACGGCTGTGCTGGGCACTCCGACGACTAGGAGCCAGTAGTATGACGTCGATGGGACAGTTCCTGAGTTGTTGCAGACCGTTGCAGCTGAGGTGGTATGGAAATCTGGTGTCATGGGCAAGTTGAGTCATGGCTGAACTTACGACATCTTCTGGTCCCCGGTTCGGCTGCTTCGTTCACAGTTGCGCTTATGCAGGAGAGTACAGTCTAACGTCTTCATTCATGGTGCTGCTGGAGCACTTTTGACGTCTGAGAGGTCGTATCATGCTACCTGTTGTTATCGTCATGGTTCACGTCTCGGTCATACTTCAGCGACCCACATCCTCCTTACAGCCCCACGGCCGTGGCTCCTTAGTCCTTGTCTGCGATTGACTGCAGTCGCTCATCGATTTCTTCCTCGGTCAGCGCCCTGAAGGTTGGGTCTGTGCCCTCCTGTCCATTGGTCTTGGGCCCTCCTACAATACCGATCTCCAATTCGTTCTTCTTGAAATCGACCGAGAGGACAGTGCTCAATGCGGTGATTGCCAGCTCGACAACCTCCTCCCAGTTACCCTCAGCGTGCTCCTTGTTCTTCAGCTTCTTCTCGAGGAAATTGAGCGCCTCTTGCGTCTTTGGGCCAGAGGCTGTTGCCTTGTATCCTACGTAGTAGCCAGCTGGATCGCACTTGTACAATTGGGGACCAAATTCCGAGTCGAGAGAGATGAGGGTCGTGGCCACACCGAGCGGTCGCATATAAGCCTGTGGTTGCTTAGCATTAACTTGCACCTTGCTTCCATGTCACGACTTACGCGCTGTGTGTAGACCTGGCTGATGTTGGCTATCCTCTTGGCCAGCACGTCGCAGGGCATCTCGTAGCCGTACTTGTAGCGGAACTCGGCAGCCTCACCCCGCGCCCTGCTCACTGAAGCTCTCGCGTCGGCGATGGATCCGGTCATGACACAGCCGACTGAGGGTGACAGGCGGAAGATGTGGGACACGGAGGACGGGTCGATGAGCTTGTCCTGTGTGCAAGTGTCAGTACCATGTGCAGCCCTCGGCATCTGCCATACGTACGGGCACCTTCTTCTGCGAGATGACTACTGCACAGTCCTTGCCCCGCACGCCCAGTGATGTGATGTTTGCTGCCGTAATCGCCTTGAACGCATACTCTGGTGCACGTGTCAGTGGTGCTCGATGGGTGATGTGTGTGTGTGTGTGTGTGTGTGTGTGTGTGTGTGTGTGTGTATATGAGAGAGAGAGTGTGCGTACCGACTTGGTATAGACGACCTTGGTCCGAGAAGATGGTAATGTGTCGGTCGTAGCCTGCGCTTCCTGTATGACGAGGGCAGCTGTTAGCATGAATGCGGCAAACTCCAGGTTATAGCTTCCAACGCACCAGACATGATGGCGGGTCGTGGGGTTGGGTATTTGTAATGGACGTCTTCAGCTTCAGCACGAGGTTGCGGTAATCTGCGTAAGCTCTGCGGGCGGGTGCGGTCTCTGGGTCCAAGGCGAGGTTGTCGGCGTTGGCTGTCACTACACGCGTTGCTTGTGGCCTGGAGCTCTGGGATCGCCGTCACTTGGTCTGTGCCTTCCTAGCATCAGCCCCGAAATTCTCTGCCTGCGACCTCTCATTCGACCTTTCCATACTGGCAAGACGTTGTGCTTCAGCTGATTCGGTCATGCGCGATGCGATTTAACCTCTGCATCTAATGTTACAGATATCCATATTCCCCATCTGATCATGGCTCAAGACGGCGTCAGAGTTCCCGCTTGGAAGCGACTGGGTCTCGCCCTCAAGAACCAAACCTCGTCCGGAGTCGCCGTACCTGAGCAACAAACATCTTCTGCCGACCCACAACCATCTACAGCCTATAGTGCGCATGAGACGTCTCATGAGCCATCTGTTCCATCCGATGAGCCTGCCGTAAATGGCAAATCCTCAAAGCTTGGCAAGCGGAAACACCAACATGAGCCAGCCGACGACCATCAACAGGATGCTAAGAAGAGCCGGAACCATGTTGCCGAGAGCGAGGTGAATGGGGCCGTCAGCCACAGCCTTCCCGTTGTTCCAATCGTTCAAGGTGCTGAGGGAGATGCTGTCATGGAGGAAGCACCAGCATCAGGCAAGCCAATCAAAGGAGATTCGAATTATCGAAAGAAGAAAGAGAAGCCAGTCAAACGCCGGAGAGAGAAACATGATTCTCAGGATGGTGGTTCTCAACCTCAGGCGCGTCCAAAGCACGGATCCGCTACCTCACCAGATGAGCCGGCGTACGCGACAGCGCGCCCAACTTTACTTGCTTCCGCAGAGCTAGATCACACCGACACTACCGCAACCCTGACACCGCAGAAGCTCACCAAGAAATCCAATCGAAAAGACGCTTCAGGTTCACCCCCATTAACGGACCGAAGAAAGTCTGTCGCGTTCACTCCGGACACCAAAAAGTCTGACGGCAACACTGGTCAGGACTACTTTAAAGCCTGGGTTGCTGAACAGAAAGGAACTGGAGCCGTCTCTCAGCCACCAGAAGTCTCTAACTTTGTTCTACACTCTCTGATCGCTGAGGAAGAGAAGACTGCTAGAAGGAACGGACAATTGGACAAGAAGCAGACGACGGTAGAAGCAGAAGCAGAAGCAGAAGAAGCCCCTAAACCGAAAACAGCAGACACTACATCTGAAGAGAAACCAACACCAAAGCCTTCACACAAGCCTGTCGAAGCAAGCACAACCTCAACGCCAGCGCCAGCGCCAAAGGGCAAAAAGAAGGATCCTTCCGTATATATTGCCTACCTTACACAATACTACAACGATCGCGACAACTGGAAGTTCAACAAAGCGAAACAGAACGACGTTGTTGATAACGCCTTGAACATCTTCCGCATTCCTAATGAACAAACTGACGCCTTAGTTGAATATGTCGCTGGTCTAAAGGGAGCTGGTGTAATCGATCGCTTACGTGAACGCTGCAGAGCAACAGTCAAAGATCTTGAGGAGCAAGACGCTCAGATGAACGAAGCTGATGCTAAGAAGGTTGCTCAGGAGGACGCAGAGCATGAGCGGATTCTTAAGGAGCGGAAACGGAGGAAGACAGAGGGCGACATGACAGACCTCGCGAACCACGAGTACAGCCCTGGCTTTATTCGACGACTACAAAGGCGACGAGCGGAAGCGCTCCTTAACGCTTTGGGTCGCGCTGCGCCTGTGTCACCTGCCGTGAATCCGAAGTCAAGCATCAATCCGCTGGTGCAGCATGTTGAGCCAGCGAAACCGATCGCGCGAAAGAGAAAGCGTAGGACAGAAGTCTCTAGTGATGAGAGCAGCTCGGACAGTAGCGATGATGATAGCTCTGACTCTGAAGCTAGCAGCGACTCAGAGTCAGGATCTGACAACGAACTTCCTGCGAAGAGCACAACTAGCTCTGGAAGCTCGTCAGAGAGCAGCGACAGCGACAATGATAGCGATAGCGATAGCGATGGAGACAGCGATTAGGTGAAAATGTGGATGATGGAAACGAACGAAGATAGTACCATCAATGTTGTCTTTTCGATCATTGTGGGAGACAGGCGCGAAGCTGACATGACATTGTGCTGCTTATGCTGCTGCACATGTACATACCCAATGTGCTCGGAAGTTAGCCTCTCTTCCGAGTTTTAAATACCAAAGGCATCTGAAAGTACTGGCCTGAAGTTCAGTAGCATTTCCTACAGTACATTGTGCATACCCAATCGATGCATGTACGAGACCCAACATGGTTAGTGCATCGTCGACGTGCATCGGGATCCCCGCGTATTTGCCTCCACACACTACACGAACTTTCGTTGATTGCTTCACTATCAGTACCAGACCTATTACAACAAGCAGTACCCCAATCCATGGCATTACCACATCTTCCCACCGAACTGATCGAGCACATAACCTCCTATCTTGACCTCCCAACCAGTTGTTCCCTCCGTCTCACCAGCTCATCTCTCAGCGAACAAACCTCACATGTATTCAAAGACCGCTTCTTCTACCAACACACTTTACAATGGACTCAAGAAGCCTTCTCTAGATTACAGGAGATGACTTCACACTCACACTTTGGCAACGGCCTGCGACATCTCATCGTAGACGCCACACCTCGCCACTCGATTCATCTTTGGCAAACACAAACACACATCTCAAATACTCAGGGTATATCCACGCCCTACGGAGTCGTATCAGCCACCCGTGGTCTGGAAGAAAAGTGGGCAGCTGATAGCAAGGTAGCAGATGATATAGCTACCTTCTTTAGCGAAACGAGGTTCGATCGGAAGTGCCTAGTAAGCCTCTTCGAGAGATTGGAGCAGCTAGAGTCCGTTACCTTTGCGTACGAAGGCATGGATGATAGGTACGCCAAATTCGCAACAAGGTACTGTAAGAGCAGCCAGCATGAGATGTCTCGGCCCTTTGTATCCACCATGTCTGCTATCGCGACGTCCAAGATACAAGTTCGCAGCATCAAACTTGATAGCGTGCAAACGTTTGGTGCTGTGGGCATCGGAAGACTTGAGAACATAGCACCCTCGCTTCGCCATTTCGACCACGCTTTCGAGAAGCTAGGTACGCTGCAGTTGCATTTGAGGGATCTGCGGTCTTCGCATTCGGGTTTCGAATTGGAGGCTCCACGCGCACCTTTTGTAGTACGGTTCCTGGCCAAGGCGCGGAATGTGAAGAGACTGGAACTCAGCTGCTATAGCAGTTTGGAAGGCAATGTCTTTGGGGAGATGGCACGACATTGTCGGTTCGAGAAGTTGGAGATGTGCAAACTGTCGACTATGCGTATACAGGCGGCGGAAGATCTTCTCGCTTTTCTTCAGCCATCCGAGAAGACGCTTGCTACTCTTAGTCTGGTCAACATTCTTCTCTCTGATGAGGTTACTACGTGGATGGATCTTCTCAGCACTATCGCTTCGTCAGAGGATGTTCTACCAAAGCTGGATAATTTTTCTCTAGGCAACATGTTTACCCTAAACAGGTTCAACATTTGGTTGAAAGGAAAGAGAGGGTTGTGCTGTGTTGGCGAGGACTGGCGGGGCCAGTTGTTCGACGCCATTAGCGAAATCGAGGAGCGACCCCCGGAACTAATATGGGGTATGGTCGCTGTCGTGTATCCATTTGTTGGGTTCGGCGTGTAAAATACATCAGACAATAGGTAGAACTTCTAACAGATACTGCACTGAGGCTGTGAACCTTCTAGGTATAGTTGATGAAGATTCGAATATACGTCTCCTTCTCTCATGTTTGCTTACTGACATCGGGTGTATGACGTGCAACAACCAGACAGGCGCACAAGTACGTCTATTCTAAATAGCTAGCGCCTGACTAGAACAGAAACCCTCTATCAAGTTGGCTTGCTTCTCATGTATATCATCTAGGCAAAAGAGAAATCGTCAGCGACGCAGTAGAGCAACTTTGAGAAACTTTGATATCAACACATTTTGCCAGCCTATATGTCGAATCAGAATGATACCAGCATGGAAAGAAGTATGACAGGCGCGACCTTAAGACAGATGACGAAGGTGGCCGTGCGAGTAGTAGGTCCCCGAGGATCGCGAGCGATGTGTGATAACCTTTAACTGTGGCCCGATAGCCGTTTCGCATTGCGAACCAGTGACGGACCGCCTCGGCCGTTATTGCGAAGTGGGTCAGATCGCAGAGCCGATCAGCTCAGTTCCCTGCAAAGCATGAAGTAGTTCAAAAGTAAGTCGTCCACTGTCAGAGCCCAGTCTAGGAATCCATGAGCACAAACAACTTTACGCGGCACCGATATGGTAGTATTCGGGTAATGTACATGTTACATGACGGACAGTTCAAAGGGAGATTACTGTGGTGATGAAATTTCAGCAAGACTGTTATTACTTCACACCTATATCATGGTCGAGCAAATCTCGGATGTCAGCAACGGCAAAGCTGACATGAGTGTTCAGCGTCGCATCGTAGCGGTCTCGACCCTTCGCGATCAGCAAGCGTTGAACGGGAGATAATCACCGATGGGTAGTGCAAGGGATACCCCATAACACAGCCAGTACAATAGCAGAAGACTGTGGTACAAAAGTTTCGCACCCCTTGGTCTGACTGGTTGGCGAAGGGAAATGAAAGGGCGGATGCGGAATAACCCCACAGAAAAGGATAAAAATGGACGGCCGTGGTTGGTCGTGTTTCGCATGCATGTTAGCAGTCCGACAAGCCTGCCGAGCAGCATGGGCGGGCAGCATTCTTGCGGTACCTGCGGCTGTAATGGGCTTGACAGGTGCTCAACCAGAGTAGAGGAAGTGTTGCAGATGGGTGGAGCTTTCGGCCAGCTGGGTGGATATGTTTGTGGGAAAGGATACATGCATCCTGAGGCTTGAAAGTGGCTTGCGCGGAATCTGAGGTGTCGCCGTGAATGGGTCAGCAAATGCCATTAGTATCCAGTAGCATGAGTTGGTGAAGGCGTTGCACGTGTGTGGGAGATAAGGTGGATGCTCGATATATTGGCCCTGCGGAGAGACGAATCTAGACGCACAGGTTGGTTATTTATCCAAGAACGAAGGGCCAATAAGGGCTGGGGGAGGCTCTGCTAGCGGCAGCAGCCGCGTACCTCGCCAGCAGCGACGTCCCGGTCAGCACCGGCTGCAGATGGGGTGCAAGTGTGTGCAGCATTCTGCAAGACGTGGTGAAAGAGGTGAGAGGCGCACGAGTACGGGTGATGTGGTGCAAAGTGGTGATATGGGCCTTTGATGCTGGGGCAGGCGTTCGCAGGCACGGCTAAGGCTGCAAAAAATAGATTAAGGTTATGCACCACGAGGGCGGCTTGACCAAGAACGGCCGTGGCTCTGGTGCCAGTCAGCTGCATCAAAGAGAGCAGGTAGATATCGTCGTGTTCCCCTCCGCAACGCTTCGAGTCGGCGGCAACACCATCGCTACCCTGAGGCAACGACAAAAAGAAGAGCGTTTCGGACATTTTTGCTGTGCACATCGACATTGTCGCCCGCCTGCACACCTCATCCTCTGGCCCCAGCGGGAAAGGACGAAACACGCGCGGCTTCCTCAGCGAGCCAGGCCCTGACCCACCCCCAACACACAACCCGACCAAAGGCGCCGGCCGGCACACGCTCATCTTACCACGCTACTGCGCCCTCGTCCTCAGGTTTCCTCACCACCTTTGCGCCGCATCACGCTTTTTGCTTCTTTGTTGCGTCGCCCGCAGCCCGTCTTTGTTCCTAGTCACTCGTTATACACCCTTCTGCTCGCCTTGTTCCTGTCCGCCTCGCCGTTGCCGCCACTCGCACCCGGCTCGCTCGTCCTTATTACCGCCGTCCGCTGCATCGCTCTTTCCTTATCCCCCGTCACCAGACACACGCCAACCACCCAGAAGCGTCGCACCGTGCTCTTTTTCCGCAGTACGACACAGACAGAGCCCGACAGCGTCGCACATTGCTTCTTAACCTGGGGCTGCTGATCCCCTAACCACCCCAACCACCGTTGCCATGTCTATCCGTGCGCTCAGAGGTACGATCTGCGACCCTGCAGCGACATGACAGCATCTGACAGAAAACTAACATGATGCCAGACGCGGAAAACGTCTTCCGGATAGAAAAGCGATGCGTTGCATGTGAACAGGCACCGCTCTCGTGCGAAGGCATCAAATGTCCTGCCAACCAGGTCTGCGTACAAAACTCACGAACATGCGACCAGTGCGCCTCCGTAGGCTGCCAGTTCGACCCCACTGCCGGCGATGCTGCCCCTAGCAAACCAAACGTCGGCGCCATAGCCGGAGGTGTCATTGGAGGCGTCGCCTTCATCGCCATTCTCACATTCGTCGTATGGAAGTACTGTCTGAAGGGCAAGAGGAGGCCAATGTCACAGCAGAGTGAATGGCAAGATGTCGACATGTCACAGCAGGAGAAGGTGGACAACGACTTCCAGTCACGGCGGAGCGCGCGCGCATCTACACACACCGTTGCCTCGATGGCCTCGTCCGTCCTTACCCGTGCCTCCAACATCATCCAAATCGCCTACATTCCCGGTGTCACGAACCGCTCAGGACCCGGATCGCCCGACCTGCTCGTTCCGCCCGTTCCTCCGATTCCTGCCATGTCGCCTTCGTCTGGCATGAGCACCCCGTACTCGACCGCCGACCAGCACTTCTTCGTTCCTGACTTCCGCGACTCGATGATGTCCTCCAGCACCGCCGGCCGCACAAGCATCGCCCCAAGTCTCGCTCAACGAGGCAGCGTTGCATCGACCATGTACCGACAAAACGCCATCGTATCTCCACTCCCTGCTCAGACCATCGTACGCGGAAAGGCAGCTGTCGTCAGCGTCAAGTCAACTGCGACCAATAGTCCCGCAGAGACTCCAAGCATGGAAACACCACCCGTACCTCAAATCGATCCCAAGCACACTGTAAAGCCCATCCGCATCCACATGCCTGGTATCAGTCCCGCAAACTCCGTCCGAAGTACCGCACAACTTGGCCCTGTCCGAGCACTCAACATCACCAAGAAGAAGAGCTCCGACATCACACCACCCAAGAGCTCCTCGAACTCAACAAACAGCGCAGACCGAACCCTCGTCAACACCCCCGAAGTCCTCGTACCCTCTGCGCGACCACTCACCGGCTACTCAACAGCCTCATCAGATGACGGCGCTGCGCACTCGCGTGCACGCAGGGGAAGCTTAGCATCCGACTCCGGCGACGACTCTGACGATGACCACAAGCGTGCGCGACAGACCCTTCTTCGCAGCAACTCGGGCAGTGACCGTGATTCAGAATACACTGAATTCCAGGATAGCACACCTACCAAGGACCGAAGTCCTTTCACAGACAGCTCGTCGCTCGAACCGCCACGACCGATGATGTCGCAGCGTATCACCTCGTACGATACTGAGCGAGGCTTGCGCACACCCATGACGCCTATTGTAGAGGAAGCGTCAGCGTCGAAACGTGGCAGCACCGTCTCAAATAGGAGGGACCAGAGTCCTTTCTCCGATAACAACAAGAGCGAGTTGTAAATGAGGTTCTTTGTTCAACCTGCAAAGACATCAAGCCATTGCGGCAATCACAGTTTCCTTACAATTCTCTTCTATCGAAGATCTGGGCATTACGACTCCCGAGATCTGGCATCTCGCATGCATTAGTCCAACTTTCGTTTTTTTCATTCATTGATATCCAAGCATCTTTCTGTCATGATCTGATTGATCTTCAACTTAACGTCTAGCTTTGACGGACGTAGTGCGATGACCACCGCACGGCTTTATATTCCTGTATGTATGTATTTCGAGCGCTGAGCGAGCAAGCGAAGCGACGTGGATGGAAAGGATTGGAATAAGTAGGATGGGAGATAGGCTGAAATGAAGATATCGACACTACCCCATTACCATCAAACTCTTTTGACTTACTTCAGTGACATGATTGTAGAAATGATAACCATAGAGCTTGGACTAATCAGATGTTTCAACGTGTTCTAGATATAGCGTCTGAAGTGCATCGGAAGCACAGACAGCCGCATTGTGAGACGGCTCTATCCGCGGCACTGGTACATGTGTTCTGCACAAACGTCTTCTATTATACATTGTCGCACGCTGCGCTACCTGTACACTGGTGGCATAGAACTGTTGTATAATGCAAGCTACCGCTGTAACTCACCTAAAGTACGACGACGAGATGGAGATGAGACAGGTGCTACTAACGACCGGACACATATGTGGAGCATGTCGAGAATAAGGTGGATCTGCATGCGGGACGCGGTTCTGGTCAGGTACGCGGCGTCCGGCGTATACAGAAACGGGCGTTGAACAGCATCGGGGAGCTCCGAAGTGGGCTGGAGGGGTAGCTAGCTGTAGGTAGCTACCGCGACGGGAGTAACAGCAGAAAGATACAATAAGTCTTTCTTTTCGTAATTGTCGCTTCTATTGTTATCACTCGCTCTACTCTTCCACAGTATTCAGGTTTCGAATCGTCTTCTGAATATTTACGTCCACATCCTCTCACATACCCCATCAGCTGCATAGCTTCACGACTAACGCATGTCCACCACCAGCGCATCGGCCCGCATCAAAGCCCTCTCAACCCACCTTTCCGTGCCACCTCAGCATTCGATGTCTACTCCAAGCATGTCTACAGAAAAGAAACCCCCAATTACCTGCCATGTCCTCGATACGACCCTGGGTCGCCCCGGCCCAAATATACCCGTCACCCTCACCTTACATCCCGCTACAGCAGCAAACGCAGAGAGCCCTACAAAATTCAGCGGCCTGACAAACACCGACGGGCGCGTAGTCTCCTGGACACCTTCCTCACCATTCTCCTCCGCCAGCTTAGAAGAAGTCTTCAAACAAGAAGGCGACCAGAAGTACACACTGTCGTTTGATACCGAGGCATATTTCGGGGAGAGGGGAGTGAAGACTTTCTTTCCGGAGGTAGAGGTCAAATTCTTGGTTAGGCAGGAGGCAAAAGGGGAGCATTATCATGTGCCGGTGCTGTTAGGGCCCTTTGGATATACTACGTATCGGGGAAGTTGAGAGGTCGCTATATTAGGTATATGACTTTTGCCTTTACATGGGAGGGTTGTAGATGGCCAAGGACAGAGTCAGGGGCTGCCGTTGCTCGAACTGAATCGAGGGGACCATGAGTACTCTCGGACAGTTCTCTTTCATCCCTCCACTTGATGAGCATAGTGTATTGTAGTTATTACGTTTTGATACTGAGACGTAGGCGCAACGCTGTTTGGGAACTCGGACGATGATTGCAATGCAGGTATACATCACAAACACGTACATTGATTGACAGGCGACTGAGAACATCCGTTTGATTCATCGATTGTAGCAAATGCCACAGCAAGCATGGTCTATATGTTTTATCTTACATCGTTACAGTCTTTTCTACCTTCATATCTCATACTTGAGTCACTTGATATACCTATGTATACTTGAAAATTGCTTGATTTGCTCGATTTGCTATTGTTAGCACGTTGGTTTTGACTGAAGTCAAGAGAAGAGCACATCTCATGCTTCACCACACCGCATTCTCTCTAGGCTTTGAGAAGCGCTACTGCTTCACACCAGCATCTTCTCAGATCACTCCAAGACTACCCATTGGTTCCCGGTCACTTGCATCGGTCGATGGTAAAAGGATATCGAAGTAATGCAAAGGTGTATTTGGTAGAATCTGATGCCGCGACGTTTCGCATAGTATTGGAAAGTAAAAGTAAAAGCATGTGGTGTATGGAGATGGGTCCGGTTGGTGTAGTAGCACCTATCAAAAGCATCAATGTGTAGGTTTCAGACAAAACTAGACCATGACATACATGCTCCGTACGGAACAAGCACATGTGTATCGATCAATACGCAAGTATGGCGAGACTCAATGGCTACACCGTCGTCGTTATGCAGCAGGAGAGATCGGTTATCAACAATTACGTCACAATTAAGCTTTGCCGTACACACTGCTGCACGCTCGACGCGCTACGTGCGGACGGTTGTTCGCTCGCATGAGCCAGATGTATGAAATCAAGAAGCAATAGGGTACGGGGAAGCGGAAAAGCCGTCCTCCCTAACGTCCATGATACACGTCTGCATGTCGTAGACTGGCATCGCCCTGTCAATTGCTCACTTTTCAGTGACGGATTTCTAAACATGCGACTTCTCGATTCCAAGCAGTTGGGTTTGTCAAGACCCGTCCGTCGACATCAGGATCTCGATGAGCATCGGGAAAAGGAAGACGATGAAACTTTGCCATGATGTGATTGGGACAGCGGTGTCAAGGTCCGCGCGATGGCTGATACTTTGAGCCGATACAATTAGAGGATGTGTCGATCGGCGAAACATGTGTGCATCGAGGTCTGGAACGGGACCGGCATCTGGCAGAATCCAAGCCGTTGGCCGTCGTGCTGGGTTCGATGGCTTATCTGGGGTGGGGGAAGGGGACATGGGAAGAGTTGGGAGAGAGAGAGTCGCATACACGTGTCATTTGAAACTCTGCTGGGTTTTGGTCGAGGGCCATGGGGAAGGATGATGGGAAGGCATGCAGAAATGCGGTGGGCGGGAATAGGCCAACAGTGAATGGAAGGCTGGCGTGATTCCGCGGGCCAGTGCCGGAGAGGCGTCTCGTGGCAAGCGAGCCAAAAGGGGCTGCGGATCGGCGGTCCATGGACGGCGGTGGGGCCTCGGCCGCAGTGATTGGCTCTAGCGTCTAGCTAGTGGCACCTAGCGGCAGACTTTGATTACGAACCCAAGAAATCACGTTATGCGCTTGGCAGCGCTGCGTCACTCCCAGAAATTGCTCGCTCGTCCTGTCCTCTGACCTCATCGCGAACGCCTCACTGTCATCGTCACCACGAGCACAATCCCCGTCAACGCCTGTTTTGAGCCTCATTGAGAAGCAGGAACATCCATCACGCGCAACCACAGCACCGGATTGCCCTAAGAGTCGTGTAGACCAGCGTGACCGTAAGTGTAGAGATTGCGACGGCTGCGAGCGTCACCACAGGGGCTTGACGTCACTATTGGATTTCGACAAGCAGACACCAGCATCGCGACCAGAAAGCCGGCGGTCAACAATATCGATATTCATCGGATTGAGACGGCCGTACCCCGCATCTGCCGCCTTCGCCTCGATTCCTTTTGCTGAGGTACGTAGTAGTTGTGTCGTTGCCGCTGCCCGTCGCGCTGTTGTTATCGCTCGCTGCCGACTTTGCCACGTTCTCAGCGTCCTGCGACAGCTCTTTGCGCCCGTGTCTGTCTGCTCCCAGCCCGTCGCATCGAGTGCCTGCACTTTTAATTTACGTGCGCTGACATATCCGCCCTCCAACACAGGTGAATTGCTGTTCGAGTCGCCAGTGTTTCCGTCCCTGAGGGTCGAGACATCGAGACAAGCCAGATCGCGTGGGTGTGAGCGAACGAGCGAAGAGAGGATAAGGCCCGAGTACCACAAGCGATCGACCAGGACACCACCCCTACGTCACCACCCCAAAGTATGGCAGCCGCAACCCAAACCGCCCATACCTCTCCCCCGACCTCCAAGATGTCCTCTCCCAAGGACAGTAAAAGTAGTCTTCCTACCGTGACCAAAACTGAAGGTATGTATGACCCCGTCGCTGCCGTCGTCGCGGTACCTCACCGCTACTGCGTCACCATGTCTCCCCTTTACCTGCCTGCATTGCGCGCGCATACTTCGTCGTCATCCTCCCCTTTGCGTCGTCGCATCGAAGCATTACTAACCACGACGCTGCAGCGGAGCCAGTAAAGTCCGAGTCGTCTCCCAAGGTACAGCGTAAGTAGCTCCCTGCCCCGAGACTGTCAACTGTCGTTGTGCATCTCGTCCATCGTCAGTCTATGATGCTAACCCACTGCCAGCTGCGACCACGGAAGCGGCCACCAACGCAGACACAGCAAAGCCCTCAACCTCAAATGCCCAGCCGCTTGCACCTCCACCAAAGCCAGCACCCGCGACCACTGGAGATACACCAGACTACTTCAACACGGTACACAACCCATTCTCCCTCGAGCCCAACGTCTTTGAGCAGTCCTTTGGCGGCGAGTCTGGAAACTTGCAGACACCCGGAGGCCGTCCTATTCTTCCACCCGTTGCGAACATTACGTCACCGGCACCCCTACCGGGCATCACACCAGGGTGGCAGGGCTTACGCGCAGGACCCTTGAGCCCTGCTATGCTGAGCGGCCCGACTGGACAGACAGATTATTTCAGCGAGTCATTCCGAGGCTTCCCAACACCAAACGAATCCTCTCTCCGCACCGGCCTTACTCCTGGCGGCGGCGGTTCCATGTTCCCAGCCCCTAGCCCGAACACCCAAGCCATCTTCAACCTCCAGAGCGCTGGCGTAACACCCGGCACTGCCGACTTCCAGCAATCTGCCTTGCGTGCAGCTGCTCAACACCAAGCTGCTAACAACAACAAGTCCACGTCCAACGCACCTACGTCGCAGCCAGAAGGCGTGACCGCAGGCATGGATCGTCCTAACAACAACTACCAGCAGGTGCAGCAGTCACAACAGCGCGCCCAGAATGACCCATATCCAAACCATGACGTCAGCAGTGCAGCTAACGATCTATTGTCCTTTGCCAGTCAAAATGGTGCTGCACGCAACAACCAACCACCTTACTCCATGGCTCCACAACAGCAACCGATGAACGCTGGGCATATGCCTGTCCAGCCTGTCAACGCCAACCATGGTCGCCGTGATACCAAGGGTTCTATTAATAGCGTTCAATCTGCAGAGACCGGTGACTTCTCAGAGAGCGGCCAGAGTGAGCAAAATAAGACTGGTACACGGTCGCGCGCTAAGAAGGGTGCCGCTAACGGCAAACAAGCTGCCGGAAACAAGCGCAAAGCCGAAGACGGCCCCAAGAACTCAAGAAAGAAGAGCAACGCCAACCAGTCCATGGGCGACGACATGGACGACGGCGACTCCGATGACGAGAACAACATCAAAGAAGAGGAATACGATAGCAAGGGTCGCAAGATGACCGATGAGGAAAAGCGTAAGAACTTCCTCGAGCGCAACAGGTATGTCTGCCTCCTATTATTCACACTACCAATCACTAACATGTATAGGGTCGCTGCCCTCAAGTGCCGACAGCGCAAGAAGCAGTGGTTGGCAAATCTTCAAGCCAAGGTTGAACTTTTCAGTACAGAGAACGACGCGCTCTCTGCCACTGTCACTCAGCTTCGCGAAGAGATTGTCAACCTCAAAACACTGCTTCTTGCTCACAAGGACTGCCCCGTATCGCAGGCTCAAGGCCTACATGGAGCTGCCATGAATAATTTCCTCGGAAGCGACATCAGCCATCAAAACCCATATGGCATCGCTCAACTGCAACCCAATGGCGTCCACATGATGCCGATGCAGCAAGGCCAGATGATGAACCGGTTCGTATACCAATCCCAAAGGAACCAGAGCCCTGATCAACAGGAAGACGGCCGGTATCCATCAAAGTATTGAGACAGTCGCTCACTTGTTTCAGGTAATTGGGAGTAAACAAGCTGCCTGACCAATCCACACGTGCACACCGCTAGTGTCATGACTCTCTATCATGGCAATGACGCAAAAGCGTGGGGCATCAGCAGCTTCGACGATCACGATGCGCTACCTCGTACGACCTTGTAATCTATCTACCCAATCTTCTCCTTCCTCTCCTTCTCCTAGGACGCATCGTCGTCACTCTCAACGCATGGACGGCGCTTGGCGTTACGTCATTGTTGCATCCTTCTCACATCAAGGAAAATGCAACAAACCGGACTACCAAAACATCATTTTACCATTTCCTTCTCGGGCCGGACGGCTGGAACGGCAGGGATTCATGGGGCTGGCTACGTACCTCATGCACGCGAACACGAATCTTCCTAGTCGGTGATGACTTTCTTCATCCGTTTCCTTCAGTAATCTGTCCATCGTTGGCGTGTATATATGGAGGTGTGCTCAGGTAACATTTCACTGGCGTTACAGAGGCGATTATACACCGGAATGTTACTTCCTCTTGTTTTCTGAAATTAGTGTAGCGCACCAGTCTAGAGTTGCGCTCGGCGTTTTCGGGTCTTTTGGCTTCTAGCCTTCCTTCCTTCTCGGTGGTGTATTCTGAAAGAAAGAGCTCTATCCCAACATTTGTTTCTCGAGTCTACGGTAACAATAGGGATTATGGCGTAGAGAAAGGAATGGGAATAACTGATACGTTTGGCATACGTGTTGGTGTTTGGGCATGAAGCTATGTACCGTGGAATGTATGTATACCGCGAGCAATTCAAGCCTCTTCAAATTCAAAGCTGTCTAAAAATGATTTATATGTGTATTCAAGTTCGGCTCTCATGTTCAAAAATCGTGTACCTTTCACTCTGCTCGTTTGCTGCTTCCTTATCGCATCATTCGCTACCTTCATAGCCTTCTTGGTTCAAAAGTTCGGCAATCTCTTCCCCGTGTCTCTTAAGCAATTCCTCTCCCTCCTCCTGATGCCTCCTCACCACACGCATCAGCTCATCAATCCTCGTCTCTCGCGCTATGAGGTCTACCTCGCGTCTTGCGAGCATCGTCTGTCGCATGGTCATAGCTTGCTCCCGCCGATTCAGATTACCTTCGCGAAGATCAAGTTGCCGGCTACGGACCGCTCCATGCGCAGGAAGTGGTTGGTTAGCCGACAGATCAATGAGTTCGTCTGCTGTCATGTCAATGTCTATAGGGGTCTCTGGAGTGTTGGGGCCGGAAAGATGGGCGTGCGGGATGTTTGTTCGACGGGAGCCTGCATTTGGCTGATGGGGCGGCGGTGACTCGAAACCCGGAGTATGTTGCTGATTACTTGCTTGTTGTTTTTCTGTCAGTCTGCACCGGTTTGCGAATTCTTGAGGTGGACTAGATCCTGCTGTGCGCAGGTGCCGGTCCTCGCGGTATTGTTCATCCTCACGTTCGTTTTCACGCCGGCGCCCGGCTAGAGTATTGCCAGTGAGAGCAGAGGGTGTGGTAATGTTGTTTTCTGTAGTAGGTCGGAAAGGGTTGAGAGCTCGTCGATTGTTCAGGAAGCGGTTGAACGCACCTGCAGCGATAACGTCGGTAACTCCTCGAGTACTCGTGTTCACCCTCCTGAGACCACGAGGAACAGGGGCATTGTCACTGTTACTGTTCGAGTTGGTACCCTCGTTCGAACTGCCGTTTATGTTCCTGTTGTTATTAGTCCTGTCTGCCACCCGTCGCCTCCTACTACTCCTAGACACCTGTCTGTACGGAGCCCGGTTCCTTATATCAGCGAGATCTCTTCTGAAGTCCTCGAAGTTCTGAACGTGCGTATAGTAATCCGCGTCATCGGAGTCCGAGTCAATCACAATGGGAGCACGTTGCTGCTCCTCCCTTAGGGCCCTCGATCCGTAACGATCAGCGGGGCTTAGGAGTTCGCGGCGAAGTCGTCGGGCGTGCTGTCGCGGTGTATCATAGTCATTCCCAAAGTCGCGTCGGGTGCCAAGTTGCTGACTGGTGATATCCGCGCCGATTCCATCGAGACCTGCGAACATACCTGCCATGCGCTGTGATGCGCTTAGGTTTTGTGCGTCTAGAGGAATGGTAAGAGACCGTGCAGGGATCCAGACTGCGCGACACAGAGGACATCGCTTTTCTTCATGGGAATGGCTGCGGAGCATGTCGTCAAGACAGTTGGCGCCGATATGGTGGCTACATTCAGGAATATTGGTGATGCGTAAGCATTGCTCACTAGTGTAGTCATCGAGACAAATCGGGCATTCATCTTGGTGTGGGAGGTCGTTATCATGCGTAGTATGATTTCGGACGAAGGTAGTCGCGTTCATTGCGTGCGATTACTGGATACAACGGGTTGACGTGTAGTAGTTTGTGATCGGTCAGAGTCGGATGAGCGTAGAGTCCAAAGCAAATGAATCAAGTAGAGGCTTCCTGCCTTGTGCTGTGATAGAATTCTTAGTAAGTGAAGTTGAAGGGGAAGGGAAGTGCGATTGGCGTATACTCCTTTGTGGTGGCAACGTAACAAATGAGGGTGATTTAGGTAGTGAAGAACCGAATCTAAATGTCGAGCGCGAGAATGTGTGAGTATAGTACGTCATCTTAGGCAGATGCGTTGCTGTAGTGAAAGTGAGTTGAGCTCAGGGTTCAATAGATCACACACGAGTGCGATGAACACGAGTTTGAAAACAAAGATGCAACAAGATCTAAGGAGCTGCAGCATATTGATGTTACGCAGCCATTAATTCAACAGCTAGCTCCAGAGGCAAACAAGTAACTGGGATAAAACCGACTTCAACCAATGAATCGGATTGCTTCTCTGAGAACATTTACAAGACATCTTCAGCCACTTGCTGGGCTTTACATCCTTCTAGGCAGCGCATCGAGCCATTCAAAACCTATAAGAGATACTAAAAGTCTCCCAACCCGGACCGAGACTCGTACGGTATGTTATCTGTGGTCAGTCTCATTGGCTCATTACATCATTGAGACTTATACGAGGTTGGGGCTAACCTCGAGACAGCTATGTAGGCGTGTGTATACTAACAATACGTTGCTGAGATACAGACGTGTAGTTGAGATTGTGTCTTGTGGCGCTGCTTAGTTGGCCAGATGTTTATAGCGTTCTTAGGGTGTAACATTCGAGGTATGAATACGAGTCGTGGTAGTAGTGACGTCCCATTCGGTGAACCTATGATCCGAGGTATGCTGACGGTCTCTTGCTCCTAATACACGCGCGAAACCCGAACCATTTGCGGGGGATTCTGAAGACTCTCGTAATCTAGGTAGGTCATCATTTGAGATCATGTCTCCACCCCACCGCAGATACTCTGCATAGTGACCAGGACTGATCGGATCTTCTGGAGGCGGAGATGGAGATTCCCGATGAATATCGAAGGTATTGTCTGAAGAGGTGTTGATTCTCGCTGAAATGTGTTCCAACGTTAGAGTAGCACGTGGCACTGCATCTGTGTTGTGATTTGCGATGCTCATTGGGGAGTAAGGGTTATGGTCAAGCTCGAGCGAATTTGTTTCCATCAAGCGTCTCCTTCCTAGACGACTGTCTTGACCAGAAGTACCCAGGTCTCGTGTTGGCTCCTGCGTACGCACCCCTGCACTTGAAGGCGCCTGATATGCTGCGTTGTCTTCATATGCTCTTTGAAGCTCCTGGTAAAGCCGTCGGGCACGGCGCTCAACTGCTTGAAGACGCACGCGGGTATCTGCACTCGAAGTGTGTCGCTCATCGCTAATGTTCTGGATTAAATCAAGTCGCCTGAAGATCTCATCCATATGACTATTGATGAGGCTGTTGTTTGTAGCCCGGTCATATGCCCAAGTACGCTGCGTTCGATGCGTCCTCGCCCGTCGCTCGAATCGAGCCGGCTCTCGCGGCAAACTGAAAGCTATTAAACTCTCTGTTGTGCTTATGTCCCTTGTTGCCATCCAAGCAGCTTGTCGTGTATACCATTCTCTCCGACATTGAGGACATGTGTTATTACGAGGACTATCGCTGTTGAGATAGTCATCAAGACATTGTTGACCAAAGCGATGGTAGCAGTCTTTGATGAGCACAGTGACGGCTTTGTGCGAAGGACCATATACATCCAAGCATATGCAGCACGTTTCATCGTGTGATGCGGTGGGGAGTGGTACTATGTTCGATCGTTTGAGTGCTTGGAGGCTACCGACCGCATGGCTCGTATTGCTAAGTTACGTCAGTGGTGTGTTCGACTATAGAAGTAGATAAAGACCTACTCTGACAAGGATAGTACAGATCTTGTTGACATGCTTTTAACTTATCAACCGCCCAATATAGAAAGAGCAGCACCGCGTTACGGATACTAATAACCAGTGTGAAGAATTGTCACTCTGTGGAAGGGTAGTGTTCTTGCTATAGCTGCTAGACTTCGCGTCATGACCGCTGTAGCTGGTATCTCGAGTGGATCTTGTTTGTGTATACATACAAATGTTGGCAATGACTGGCGAGTGATCGATAGAAGGCGCAATAATCACGAACCATGGAACTGATGGTCTCTCGACGCGTCCTGGTCCCTGTATCATGCAAACGCGTGTTGTAGTAGATATGAGCCCGTGTAAGACCCCCTCAAAGATTGACTGGACTGTCGTGAGTCAATCAACATAGAAGAACGCAGTCTTTCGACTACACGCAGATGACTAGGACAGAGAATTCGACGAGCTGATCGTGAAGACCACAACAACGATATTGTCGGGGTCACCGGTACCCAAGTATTGGAAGGGCAACGGGACGTACTTGCAGTTCCATGGCTCCACTCAACCCTGAACCAAAATACATGATCAAGTCTGGCTGTGCCTAGATCTAGCAAGTCAGAACATAAGTACAGTACACTAGATCTCCGGCTCGCATTCACATTTGCGAAAATTCTCCCCAGTTCTTGATCAAGATCTGACACAAGTACGCATTACTATGAGGTGTACACTTTAGCTTCGTAGCAATTAGTCAATATTCTGTATGACCGTCTAGAAATCGAAACCGGCTTGGATGCCGAACACTATCCGCGTGCAACTCATAACATGGTGGACGCATGTTTAAGTGGAGACATGACCGGAAATAGAAGGCCAATAGCAGATACTCGCGCTTGAATCAATGCGTGGCTGGGCATGACGGATAGCCTGATACGCATACCCCTAATCTCCTCCTTTTCAGGTGCCGGCGTCGTTTCCGGGTCTTAGACAGAATCCTTCGATGTGAAACGTTCGAGTCCATCCTGGAGATAAAAAGTGGCGTAGCCCGTGGCTGTGGAGGCGAGTGTGCCTCACTCCACTTGGCGTGGCTTTAATTATGGCTTTATCTCGACGACAACATATCTCTTGTTGGTTGTGAAGAAGGGAATAAGAAGATGCAGCTTCACGTATTGAGACCCCAAGGTAGAAGAATGCTGGTGGGATTTATTGTTTCCCAGTTTAGCCCCTAGCCAAGAGCACGCCTGCGCCACTTGCTGAGCCACTATAGCCTTTGTGCCACCCCATTCCATAATTTCCGAAGAATAGAACGAGGACACCTCAGATAAGCATTGTCTGCTCGTATTCTGCATCGTGGTAGAGGTGTTCCTATCCAAGAACAACTGGTGTACCGCTGTGTTGTACAAGGCAGAGGGGCACAACGCTGATTCGTGGAATTGATGACACGAACGCCTGCTATATTGTCCCGTAATCTTGTATACACTCTCTTATTTCCTCACAGATGCCGTCTTTTCTCCGAAATCTGGGGTTTTGAAGCCGTTGCATTGCCGACGCACTCTGCATGCACGCCACCATGTACTCCATCATGTACCCCATATTGATGGATTTAAGACACTCCACCAGTCAAAGCATAGCTGTAACCTGGCTCAAAACGGTACCAACCGCCTTGCCATGTGAGGTGCCTTGCCGCTTTCACGTGAACCATTGAATGAAATGTTGGATTGATCATTCCTATGCTTTTGGTGTTCTGTGGCTAGGTAGCGCATGAACCTCCTGGTCTCGAATTTCACCTATGTTTACTGATCAGTACCCGCAAGGCGAGAAACATTATTGTGTGGTATCCACTTGAGTCCTGCACCCTCGCAGAACAATCTGCACACCCTAATTCCGCACGATAATGCTACACGCCAGGTCGCACTCGTGTGAGGTGGGTTCGGAGAATATCTCGATTATCACGCCGCATGCAAAAGGCGCCGTCACTGCTGCGATATTGAAAAGCGTATTTTTAATCTATTGAGAGCCCAGATCCTTCTCAGTGTCTCCATAACTGACTCTTGTAGCAGCCTCGTGCATACCGACACACCGTTCTAGACGGTATTTCCTAGTTTTCGTGAGGCCGCCGCAAGCGGTATGCCCGCTGCCAATCCTTTTCTATGGGCTGCATCCGTGTCGCCCTTCTTGGCGGAAAGAACGCAGGCCACGTTAACTATGCATTTATTTCTTCTGGACGAGACAAGATAATGTAGATACTGGTAGGGTACATTGCCAGTTGCCCACTAAGTGCCTGACCCAGTGACTAGCGATCAGCTCCATCAGGACCTGAGCGCAGAGACTAGAATATCGCTGTTTGCTGGCATCGGCAACTAGGACTTTCCGCATTACCTTCCGACTCTTTCTATCGCCGTGCGCGTGGCGCAACCCCTCAAAAACCGAAGTCGTGTAGTCTCCACTATCGATACTATTCGAGTAGTCCAAGAGCGGGCATACAGGATAGAAACCGGCGAAATACCGGTTGGCGGAAGCAATGGTCGAAGAGGAAATGAGAGGAGGTTTGCAGCGCTAAGCCTTGCGCTACAGCATGTCACTCTCCTAAACATACAAGCGCCAACACACAGTGGAGGCTACTAGGCGTTTCACGTGTACTATCACCATGCCAAAACCACATGGTACCGTCCGATATTCGCCTTCAGGCGCATCCTTCCAGTACCAAGCTTTCACAGCAGCTCTTGGCCCTGCTGTGACTCGGGCGGAAAGACCATCGCCAAGATCTATGTCGAGGTCCGCGAATGAGAGGAGGAAGAACAAGGAGGGCAACCCTAATGCGGTAAGATGAGATGAGTTGAGGGTGCGAGGTCAGCAGTGCAGGAGGCATGGCAAAGATACCTGAGCGTACTAGGGAAGGAGGTGGGAGAGAGGATGTACAGGTCCCTATAAGTATGGCTGAATATCCCACCGGTTAAGGTTCTATCCAACAGCCAGGAGCATTCTGATATTCAATCCTTCGATTACATTCTTTCTACCATCACTTCCGTTTCATCTTCCGCTCTCGATCACCATCTTTCACCATGAAGTTCGCTGGACTTTTCGCTGCCGCCACGGCCCTCCTTCCTACTGCTCTTGCATGCAACGGCTACACTGGTGGTGTCCCTAAGGCTGTTGGTACTAAGACCAACAGCAAGGTCATCGAGGTCGCTGCTGGCCAGACCTATGATGGTCAGTGGTACCGATTTGATCGCGGTAGCGGCGCTTGCTCTGGTCAGTCTGAGGGAGGTGCTGCCGACGCCGTCTTCCTACTCAAGGAGGGTGCTACCCTTCGTAATGTGATCATTGGCAAGAACCAGGTAAGCATCAGTTATGATCACGCGAGAGACAAACACTAAAGACATGCTAGGCCGAAGGTGTACACTGCCAGGGTCACTGCACTCTCGAGTTCGTCTGGTTCGAGGATGTCTGCGAGGACGCTATCTCTATCAAAGAGGACAAGGCTGGAAAGCAGTCCTGGATCATTGGTGGCGGTGCTTACCACGCCTCAGACAAGGTCGTCCAGCACAATGGCTGCGGAACTGTCAACATCATCAACTTCTACGTCAACGATTACGGCAAGCTCTACCGCTCCTGCGGAAACGTAAGTGATTCATGCTATGATAGGGTTCTCGCCAGAATATTCGCTTACCAACTCTGTAGTGCTCCAAGCAATGCGCCCGTAACGTTTACATCGAGGGCGTCACTGCTGTCAACGGTGGCGAGCTCGCTGGTATCAACAGCAACTACAAGGACACTGCCACACTCAAGAACGTCTGTGCTGATGCGAAGACCAAGTGCCAGATGTACACTGGCTGCGCTGGTGGCTGCGAGCCCAAGAAGGCTGGTACCTGCTCTGGTTAAGCTGATGGCCTCGTTAAATAGTAGGTCCAGTTGATCCCGGATCTAAGAATCGACTATGGGTGGGAGTACCGATGAGAGACAGCGAGAGCGATGATACTTTCTTGTGAATATTTTTCTTTGCAAATTTCTGTACATACCTTCACTTTATCGTAAATAAATTCTTGCGCACCGCTCTATCAGATGGCGCTTGTTTTTGACTCAGTGAACTGCTTGTACTTTGAGGTGGCTTTCTCGTCGTTAATCAACCCAGCATTACTGCCTGGTAGCTATGCAAGGCCTTAACGTCATCTCGTGTTTGCGCAAACATCTGAGTCGAGAGCTTAGCATGACGCGTTCACTTAGCGGTGGACCTCTTCATGGAGCCTAATAACAGAAATATCTCGTACAAAAATGTAGTCGGTGTTCGTGCGGGAGAATGGGTACGCGATATCTGAATAAGAACAGCGCAGATCACTTTGCTTCAAGCTGTTGACGCAAATTGGAACGCGCTAAACCCTTTTAGGCTCAGCGGCCTCGTCCCAAACGCGTTCGGACCCCTTGCGAACGATTTCACCCAACGCGTTGTCGACCCAGTCTATCAATGCTGTCGTGGAACCTGAACCATTCTCGTAAAAATAATTTGTAGCATTACTCCTTCCTCTGTTTATCAGTTATCAGCCATCCCAAGGACTTGTCTGAGTGGCACATGAAGCGAGCAGAAGCAACTAAGCAATCGGTACTTGCAGATGCGGCTTGAGGACACACGCTTGTCACACTCGCTCGAGACATACGTCATTCACTATCTTGTACAAGATAACACTCGACATCAGAGCTTCATCCCGTCGCACAGTTGCTACTGAAACCGGCGATTTGCATCGGACGCCGTGCCTCGGTTGTGCGGGAACGATTATCTGCGATCCCTCCTGAGTTCCACAGCGTCTAGAACAAGCAGCACATGAGATCTGCATCGTCCAATATTTAGAGCGCGCGATCGTTCAGCATGGCTGCGAACGAGTCAACATATCAATTCGCTTTGACAGCAGAAGAATGTGCGATTATACGAGCTATACGGGCTGTTGAGCGAAGCATCATGCCCACCAAGCAGATGACGTTGTAGGTATTTATCATTACGGTTCACACCAGAGCTAACCTGAACAGACATCAAAAGCTGGAACTCCACCTCACAGACCAAGACGGAGACTCATTGGGCAGCTGTGAGGTCAACCCCGAGAACATGGTGATGGAGTTTGTCAGCGCAGCAGCCGGGTTTCTGAATGAGTTAGTGGGGAAACCTGTTCAAAAAAAGAAAGCGCGGGTTGAGGCCGACAATGGTGTTCACATTGACGACTGCGACTCTGTTCTGGGCTCAGAGACCCAGGACTCCCCTACCCAGGACTCGCCTGACAACTTGCCGCCTGAGCAGGCTGCTGGAGGAAAGACCGCGTCGTGGGAGGCGATAAGAGAGGCCAATATCCCACCTTGTGTTAAGGAAATCAGTTTCACTATCAATGACGAGGATCTGGTTCCAGAACTCCGCGAAAAACTGAAGTCTAGCTATTCCGGTGTTACCATCGTATCATCAGGCATAGTAACCGAGAAAGAAAGGGCCTGGAAGGCTCTGACGACAGAGAGACCCGACGGGATCAAGCAAATGATCATCGAGCTCGACGAGACAGAGATTGCCCAAACCCCGGAGCTAGAAAGCAACCTTCGGAAGATGTACCCATGGGCGATGATCGAAGCAAGGCCCGGTCCAAACATATCCCGAAAGCGTGCGAGAAGGATGACGGACAGCAATGTTGCGACACCACATAGGCCAGACCCAGTCAAACACATCGAAGACTTCGCCGCTTACGTTATAGAGTCACCCTCTGAGGACGAGTTTGGCTACAAGTATCCCATAGGCGAAGGCTGGGATCGTCTTCCGTACTCGCGGAAATTTGAGATTGCCCATGCGCGGGCGATCCAACACTATCACGGCAAGGTAGTTGATGGCAAAGGATGCGGCTACTGTGAAGCCCATGGTTATCACTGTAAAGTCTATCTGCCACAACTTGGCAACTTGTCTCATATGACGTTTGGTCATTCTTGCCAGCACTGCCGGCTCAGGCAAATACAATGTGACCTTCCTGCTGCCATGAAAGATCATCCGAACACGCCTAGAGCACCAAGCATGCTCAGGCTTGATACGCAGAACACACATCACCACGGAGAAGCAGTCAGTACTCCACCTACGACGACCACATCCAGATCCCTGGCATCGAGAATAACGGCGCCCGATAGAATACTACCTGATGCCGGAGAAGAGGAGGATGATAACAATGATACTCCGGATATTCTGGAACTGGCAGACATGCTCCAACTCGTCGAGAGTTCAAATCTCAAGGTGAGAAGAGTTATCTATTCGATGTACGAAGTCTTGAGGGAAACAAACAAAGTTGAGCCATTCGGAATGTATCCCTCAACTCTCGCTCAGTATTACGAGAACCTGATCAATCTTTACATACTCACATATCTGCGTGAAGAGTACGATTTGGCCTTTGTCGTTTTGCTTCGTTTCCAGAGTACAAATTGCCAGGAGATGACACAACTACCCACCATAGACACCGTCGTACGCGCTTTTGAGCACCTTCCAACCCATGCTCCGCTTTGCCGTTGGATAGAAATATCTTACAGTTTTCTCTGGGATACCCAAGCACAGGGTGAATGGGACGTGTTTATCAACACAAACCCAGATGTGAAGCCAAAGTTCCATTCACTTGCCAAGCTTCTCCATGGAATCTGCTACATACGTGATCCATTCACTACTGGAGGCGATATCGCAGTGCGGAAGCGATGGTGTGAGGTTCACAACCATCTGGCGGAGGCACCTCACCAGAAAAGGGCTTGCGAAAGGGTGACGGCAGAGTTTGGGGACTCTGCCGAAGAGGCAGAGAAAAGGTGGAAACAGCACGAGATACAGCAGGCAAAGGAGAAGCTGGCACTTTTAGAGAACGGCAACAGATGGGGTGATACCATAGGCTCTAGTACACCACGTGTTGGCGAAAAGAGAAGAGCTGAAAGTTTCGCAATGTCGAGACCCTTTAGAGGCGGCAGGGGAGGGCGAGGTAGAGGGCGAGGGCGGGGTCCAAGCAGATGAGGCAATTTACTCGTCGTATCTGAAGCGCCTTGAGACTCTGGTAGTTTTTGCATGGCAATTCAATTGAAAAGCATGCTCAATGTATCTATGCTTTGATGATTCGAAATGTATGAATGTGAGTTATATTTCACACTCACAAAGGAGTGATATTAGCTACTAAGCCTCTCTAGTTCCCATATCAAGGGCGAAGGAATGTGTATAACGGTAAACAAGAAAAGAAGAACACCAGAATCGCTATGCAAATGGACCAAAGATCAAAGGAACGTCCTCGCAAATCATTACTATCCGTCTGCCACCCTCACTTCACTCCCCTGTTGACCCGTTTAGATGGCCATTTACAACTGGCACTCAATAGTGAAGTAGGTTACATCGGTGGGAGTAGCAACGTTGACGTTTCCATCAAGGTCGATGAAAGTGTTCCAGGCATTGAGCGCAATGGCCTGTCCGGGGTAGTTGGGGTCCTTGACCACGCACTGTACGTTGTTGCCACCAGCACCGGGGCTGACAGCCTGGAGCGAAGTGGCCCAGACCTGGGGGCCGAAGGCACCACCGAAGAGCTGCCCGAAAGTTACGGCGGCGTTGTTGACGATGACATCGGCGTTGGCGTTTTTGCCACTCTGGTCATTGGCGAGCTGGACGGTGAAGACGAGGGGCGCATCACGGGCGATGGCTGGAGCCGCAAGTGCGGAGGTGAAGAGAGCAGCGGCAGAAGCAATGATCATGGAGGCCTTCATATTGAAAATTGGTGTGTTGTTGGAAGGTTGTCTGAGTGAGTGTTGGAAGGAGATGATTAAGTGAAGATAGAAAGTAGGAGATAGTAGAAAATTGTTGTTGGTTTATTGTTGTGTAATGAGATGATCTTCCATACAGTGAAGATAGATCTTGTTCTTATACATCTGAACATCCTCCAGCCTTGCGATTGTAGCTTGCGATGCTTGTCATGGATGGCCTTCAGCAATGCCTCCACGTAACACCGTACCAGTGCGCTTTGGGAGACCTGGCGTCCGTGAAACGGTACTGCGCTCAGCCCACGTTGTTTTTCTCAAGTAATTTGGGAAGCAGATTCCGCTATTCTCTCGTGAGGTCTCAGCTTGGTGGAGGCGGTTCGTCCGCCGAGAAGCAAAGGGCTCGAGGTGCGGTCAGGCAAGCGTCCACGCGAACAGCCGATGCTATGACAAAGCATAAGCACTTCGATGTCACATCCTACGATGAGCTTGGTTTCTCCAGCTTCTCGCTTAGCGTAGCGACAGTATGATGGAGCTAACCTTGGAAGGTTGCATCAGCCACCACCTCAGCTGTCAGCTTGCGATTGATTCGCTAGGGAGCCGAAATCGCATCGCTATTTTCGTCTGGATGCTGATGCTTTTGTGATGGGTGCATTACGCCCAACCTACACGGTAGTTATAGGGGCCGGTTTGGAGTGAGGTAAGACTCTAGTAAGTTGCGGGGAAAATACGTAGGTAACGTCGAGACTGAGTGCTCAGCCGCAACTCTTCCGATGTTACTTGACATGTCCATCGCATTTGGTATGACTAATTTGGAGTCTTGGCTCTTTTTTCTGTAATGCAGACGTGCTGCGTACTATTCGTATGATAACGCAGCTTGTGAATGACGTTGCTTCTGAGCTTGAACTACCTAAGATCGCATATGCTGCTCGCAGGGTCAGCATGTGCTGCGCAACGTAACTGACACACAAATGTTTCTAGTAATACTGGTAAGGTGACGTGAGACAAGTTTCGAGAGTTCTATGCTTGTTGGATCATCTAGTTGTCGCGTGAAGTTTCTTGTTGAAGCTGACGAGTATACCTCTACGCCTTGGAAGCCTTACTTTTTGCGCTCACGTGAATCTTATGGGCATCGTGTTTGGTAAGAAACGGATCACACCGAAGAACTTTGCGATTGTTGAGTATGTGAGACCTCAGCCTTGTCTAGCATGCCTGGCTTCGTTTGACCTTGCCTCAACAACCCTCTTCCTACCGTCTCATATCCTCGGAATTGTACACTGTTTCCGTGTCGACACTATCGACTCTGCAGAATGATTCACGGAGATTAGGGCCGATGCTACCTAGGTATTGCCAGCTTCGTTCGCCCGTCAGCGCAGACCCACTGCTTAGCCTTCACTATGAACCTCCCGAACCCCACTGCACCCACATATTCGAGCTCCAGCCGGGTCAATGATCAGAATGTTTCCAGGAAAAACTCGTCATGACAGGTGTTGACAGCGACTTCAAGTATATCGCGCTGTTGGTATATATGGGGTGATGTCACACAGGACGATCGCATTGTTCTTGATCGCACTGCTATACCGATAGCTTTGAATCTAATCAGACATTAGAATACATACACGACTTTAGAGGAGAGGAGCCGCCTTTGTATTTAGCCAAGATAAAAGGTCGGCGAATGGACCATTGAGGCTATCGAGCTGGAGTAATTGGCGTGCGCTGCGAGATGACAGCAAGATGTGCCGCACACAGTAAAGGACTAATACAAGGAGAAGATATCTCAAGGACTGCCAAGATGTTCCATTCAAAGTATATACACAGTGGGTATTATATCAGGTCCCCGTCAAACGTCCCCGTCTGATCGAGCCGTCCCAGCTACTGTCGCTATCAGGAGAACTAGGCTGGAGGACCAATGGGAGTAGGCACAGGTGCTACTAGAGATCAGCATAACGTTCTCCTCTACACGAGACAGTAAGCCACTTACCGGAGCCTGGTCTAGTAGGCCTTGGTCGTGGACCGCTGCTGGGAAGACCAGGGAAACCTCCAGTTGGGAGCGGAGGAGCGCCGCTTGGAATGCCAGGGAATCCGCCGGTGGGGAATGGAGGTGCTCCACTAGGAAAGCCTGGAAAACCACCAGTGGGGAATGGTGGTGGGCCAGATGGAAAACCTCCAGTAGGCAACGGCGGGAAGCCTCCAGAAGGCGTTGGGAATGGACCGGTAGGGAAGGGTGGGATGCCAACTGGGGGTATACCAGAGACCTGACGCTCGACGATTGGAGCGGCGAAGGCACTAAAGCGTGTTAGCTATGTTGTTGAGGAATAGGCATGGTTGGCATACCCAGCGGCCATAATGAGAATAGCAGTGAACTTCATGATGGGTGGTAGATCGAGTACAAGTGTTTGAATTGGTCAGTGAGTGGAGTGAATGCTGTTTGCTGATGTCGACTTAGACTTCTGACATGAGGTTATCTTATACTTCTGATCATCCATGGCTCAATATCCTCAAAGCGTACGCGTACCCGGCTAGTAGACGTCAGTGTAGATTACCGCTGTAGCGCATTCCTCTGAACACAAGCCTACGTAGATGAACCCCAATATCGCATGTAACATGTTAGCAACGCAATGATTGCCCGGCTATCAAAGCCCAGATGTCGGAGAATTCTTTCACTCGCGGAGCTTTGGGGCCGGCATGTCGTTGAGCAGAGATGACGTTGCGTGGGTATTACACAAGGAGGGTTTTGCTAGGTTGTAGCGGAGAGTGGGTAATCTATCGCAGGCTGTTGCCAGGTCTGTTGTCTAATTAAGCTTTCCTTTGGAGGTGCAGACGATCTGTACAACCGCTGCAAAGGTATGGCTTGAAACGGTTCATCTATACTATCCAATAGAGATAGTCTAATCGACTGTGTGGCCTAAAGCCTCCGACTTCGCATTGAATCGGAGTTTCAGAAAGTCGGCAGATATGGCAGTATGTGGGTGACTATACCCAAGGTCCGACTGATGCTGCTTGAAGTCAGATAGGGACTACGTCCAGATTGTCCGCTTTGGGTACCAAGATCGTGGACGTGTCTCTTTTAGAGAGAAGCTACTGGGCTGTTTAGCCGGCCACTTCTCTGCTCTGGTTCAGAAACAACAAGGGATCTGCTCTTCTGAAGGCTTAGAGGCTGGCATTGGTTGCGGCTCGGGTCTCCTCCGCCATGGCCAGTGGTGAGCTCATGAAGTACTCAGCAGTTCTTTTTGTGGGTCTTGAGGCGTAAGCAGCTCTGGGCGCGTCGGCAAGTCGGCGTTGTCAAAATACGTGTTATGCAGGTCCAACAAACTTGCCTCTTGGGCAAGACACAAGGAGCTTTACAAGGTCTGCCGGTATCAATCAAGGTTGAATTCCAGGTAAATTGGTATTTGAGCGGCGGCTTTTAACCCGGCATTCTTGCGCCTCATCGGAATTTGACTGCGGTAATGCCTTGAACACGCAGCCCTCATGGCGCAGTCACTTCGATTGGCAGATCGAAGATGAAGTAAATGGTTTCTTGTCGAGAGTAGATGAAATAAGGTTGCAATGAGCCAGATATATGACGCTAGCAAGGTACTGCGATAGACAGTGGGTGTGGTTGGTTGGAGTGTAAAAAGCCGCCAACTTTACCGGGCCGCACCTGCATAATTCTCCTGTCGTACTGCTGATCATTGAAAAGCAACAGAGCCTTGATTGCTCATGCGTGACGCAAGTCGCAACGAGTTGATGACGCAAGTCGCCAAGCAATTTGCGAAGGGGTTGCGACTGTTGATCAGGAAATTGCGCAAGGCAGAGGACAGTGTGACTATTGGCATGAGATGGCAACTGTAAGGGCTCTTTTTGCGCCTAAGGTCAGCACTGAATTTCTTGAGTAAAACATGTCACCGCACCTTCTGGTCCAGATATGTGACGGGTATCTCCATCAGCTCTTGACGAAGCTTTGCTGGATTGAAATTACTATTGTTTCCCCCAAGGCAACCACTTCATGATTATGCGCCTATGTCTCTCAATCGTCGTCTTCGATGACCAAGCCAATCTCTTGGGCATTCTTGACCTCTCCCCCTTGGTTGTTTGTATCCGCGTCCTCTTCTGCACCAGTCTTTGGTGCGTTCGCATTCGGCGCCAACTTCTTCTTCGTCTTACTGTCCTCTGCGGTCGGGGTGCCGTCCCTTTCGCCGCCCTTTCCACCCTTCTTAGCCTTCTCTTTTCTCTGTCGCGCCTTCTCCCTCTTCAGTCGGTTCTTCTCGGTCTTCTCTTTGTCCTTCTTCTCTAGTTCTTCTTTCCGCTTTGCAAACTCCTTTTCATCCTCCTCCTTTTTCACTTGGTCATCCATCATCCTCAGCCTCTCGTATTCGCGTCTCCGACTCGCCTTGTAGACGTGGAACTCGCCGCTTCCAGCACCTGCGCTAGATCCTTGTACATTGGCAACAATTTCTGGGGGCAGAGAGGATTTGGCTAGCGCGCTGGAGCCTGGGATGTGGATGTCGCGGTCGGGTTTTGCGAAGAGGGCCTCGACCTGTGAGGCTTGTGCTGAGCGTGGAGTGAGGGCGCGCTTCTTTGTCGGGCGATGAGAGCGCGAGTCGGCGGATGTGGGTATCGACTCGGGGATGGGTTCAGACATGATGGGTGTTGAGTACCCAAGTGAGATGCGATTACGCAGTGTGATGCGACGTGAAATAGATAGTTTGGCGCAATGTAGAAAAGTTGTGAGGACTAGAACTAGGAAGCAATCGCGAGGCATGACGCGCTAGCATTTGCGGCGAACGCCCGCTACGGCCGGCGAAACGAGCCATTTGCGCCAGCGAAGTCGCCATCCGCCGCTATCGTCGGGCTTGCAGCAACACATGAAACGCCCTTGATCGCACTTGCCCTGCACCTCTGTACATAATTCCTTGGTGCCTTGCAAACCTCTCTGTATCTTGTCATAGCAGCAACTACCCACACATCCCACCTGCTCCAACATGGGGAAACCCCGCGTAGGTCCACTTTATTAATACCACAAAGGTCAATGGCTGATTGCTACGCAGATGATCATATTGATCCGCCATGCCCAATCCGAGGGAAACAAGAATCGCGACATCCACCAGTTCATCCCCGACCACCGAGTGAAACTGACCCAGCATGGCTGGACACAGGTACGCTCACTGTGCCCCGAAGCTTGGGACGAGACATGACTGACTCAGGCCACCATAGGCAGAAGAAGCGGGGCGACAACTGCGCTCTCTCCTCAAGCCAGACGATACACTCCAGTTCTACACTTCACCTTACCGCCGAACGCGCGAAACGACAGAAGGCATCCTCCGCACGCTGACCTCGGACGACCCCACGCCATCGCCCTTTCCTCGCAACAAGATAACCGTATTCGAAGAGCCACGGATACGAGAACAGGACTTTGGCAACTTCCAGCCATGTTCCGCCGAGATGGAGCGCATGTGGCAGGAGAGGGCCGACTATGGTCACTTCTTCTACCGCATACCTGATGGTGAGAGCGCGGCAGACGCGTACGATCGTGTCAGTGGCTTCAACGAGAGCCTGTGGAGATCCTTCCAAGACGACAACTTTCCCAGTGTCTGCGTCCTGGTTACTCACGGGCTAATGTCGCGTGTCTTTCTTATGAAATGGTGAGCTGCATTGGAGCTCGAGGTCCTCGTTCAGAGTGCTAACACAATCAGGTACCATTGGTCGGTTGAGTATTTCGAAGACCTCCGTAACGTTAACCACTGCGAGTTCATCATCATGAAGCGAAGCGAGAACAACGGCCGATACATTCTCCAGAACGAGCTACGGACATGGTCAGAACTCAAGCGCCGCGCTGCAAAGGAGAAGGAAGAGACCAAGAGCGCTACCTCATCTACACCGAGCAGAGCTACACCCTTGACTGGATTAGGCCAAACAGGGGCCACATCGTCCCCCACCATACCTACGCGCCGATGGGGAGGATGCGTCAACGGCTGTGACCATGACAAGATCAACTACCCCCGCCGACCAATGCGCAAGAACACCATGGAGTACATGGGACATCCATCCCACCAGCTGCCTCCCCCTGCAGTCACACATATGGAGCCAGTAGAAAGCGAACAGGAAGATCACCCCGTCGCAGCGCCGCAGACTGAACATGCTCCCATCATCAACGAACCCTCACCGGCGAAGCTATCGCGAAAACAGAGCACTAAGAATATCCCGGAAATGCCACCAACACCAGCATCTCCAAACGATGCGTCCAACGATGCTACGAGCAGTGAGGGCGAGGAAGCAGCTTCTTCCATGTCGCGATCGGGTAACCATGCGCAACCGCGAACCGCTGCCGTCCTTCGCCACTTGCAGCCCCATAAGACACCAGGTGAGGGCTTCTCTGACGATTCAGACTATTTCCCAGGTATGCAACAGGTTCACCACCGCAAGTTCCTTCGGGCAAGTTCAACACAGCGCAAGCAGTCCAAGGAGCGCAAGTTGCAACGCAAGCAGACAGAGCAGAGCTGGAAGGAGGAATCAGGCATGGGCAACGGTGCCAGAACCGACAGACTAGGTGACGGGGATGCTACTAGTGACGACGCTGCGTTCGCCAAGGAGAAGGAAGGAGAACCGATCCTCGTGGAAGCGCTCAAGGGTAACATGATTGTCGAGAAGACCGAGGAGGAGCGAGAAGCAAATGACGAGTTTGGTAATACCGAGACCAAGATTGGAGAGGCGGAGATTGACAAGATGCAAGATGCGGAAAGAAAGGGCTTTGGTGAGGTGTATTGAAGCTTCTTGGAAGAACGACATGTCGAATATGAACCTGAAAATAATGCTGCTGTAGCATCGCAGACTCTTGGACGTTTCGGAAAGGGCTTTGCTCATCGAGCTGGCCTCGTAGACCTCCATTTCTGTCCGAAGTATTGTACTTGAGAAGGAACAAGCGATGAAACAAGGTATCAAAGATATCGGTCTTGAATTTCTTGAGCATGTGGTTAGACCTTGAGTATATGTGGTTCGACTACTGGCCTAGTATGTGAATATAAGGCTGATACTTCCGTTTTCAGTTCAGCTTGTTTTCAGCTTTGCACCCAATCGATCAAGGACTGATCCATCTTAGGGATGTAAGCTGTGGCTGTGCACAACACTACGTGCGAAAGACTCATACCAGTAGACATGACTAGGCCAAATCTTTGTTAAAGATGCCATCAAGATGTTTCTGAATATGCTGCTTAGTCTTTTTGTATCAGGACTTTTGTGACCGTAACCGTTTACCAAAACTTTGGGTGATCGAACCCTCCCAGACGAAAAACGTTACGGTATCGCAAACCAGCAAGATGGATATATCAATTCGCGTAGAACCTGATGTATCCACTGGGCTCAGAAGCAACCATAAAATTAGTTTCTTGGATCTGCCGGGCGGTACGTTCATCATCGTAAATCTCTATGCAGTTTCCCAGCTCTCTAATACTGACCCCTAGAACTCCGCGATATCATCTACCTGTTCGTATCAGCTTGTTCAAAAGACGGACCATGCTCGAATTCTAATACGAGAGTCAAACTAAAACACATCAAAGGCTAACACAATAACGTAGAGTGGCACCTTCTCCAACGTCAGGACCTAGGCCTCGCACAAACTTGTCACCAAGTACGCTCAGAGTACCTCCCTATATATGCAGCACACACGAATCTATACTTATGCATGCGCAACTTTGCTCTTGCTGTCGAAGACTTCAATATAACCAAATGCGGCATTATCATGCCAGTCGGCGACGTGGTGATCGGAGTGCAAAACTGGGATGGTGAGGATGCATGGCGAACGAATCGATCATGCGTTGAAATAGCGCTGCTTCTTGCTCTCCACCTTCGTCAACCCGAGCTTCTATTCAGGTTTGATGATGCTGAGTGTATGCGCGAGAAGCTGAGGCGCATCGAGCAATTGGATACCAGCACCTACTTCGCAACCCTCTTCTCTCTACACACGAACCCGCTTTGGCGCTCCTTCTTTACCATGGCTGTGAGGGAGGTGTTCGGGTATCCTGATTTGGATTGGGTTTGCGCGAAACATGTCAAGGTGCATATCGAGATCGAGAAAGAGTTCGGTGAGATTTGGATGCGAAGTCGTACGGCCAGACGGAATAGGAGGCGGGCAAAGATGGATGGGTGGCTAGCAGCGGTTGGGTTGGAGGGCTTGATGGGGTGGAATGGGTTGAGGGTTTATTGGGTGAGAGGGTGGTTCAAGGAGTTGTTTGGTAATTAAAGGCTGGCATTAATCCAGGATGCAAAGATATTCGCAGCATGTCCTCGCGGGCGTCAACAGCATATCGCAAATCGTTGGGCAATTTGGCATGCTTGCTCAAATTTGAGAAGTATTTCTTTGCTTCCACAACAGGCCTTCTGGTCGGCGAGGTCGCTTCGACTTGCAGATCAACCACGGAGAATGATGTCGATAAGCGGGTCCTATATGCGGTCGATCCGCGGCGGTGTGAAGAATTTCGAGAACTCGTGTTTGAGGTTGTTTACTGAAAGACAAGCGACGCGTCTTGTAGAGAGGCCACCCGCGGCTGTGGTAAACGTGATTGATGGAAGTTGCGCCAGTGGCTGTTGCCCAACAGCGCCTTCCACTTATTGCACAAAGTCCTTCTAGAAACCTTCTAGACACCAACCGGTACCTTTCGGATCATCTTAGTAATTCATACCTTATTGCAGTGACTCCGTGGTATTCCCGATGTTACGTGTTGCGAAGAAGAAGTCGCCGACCATTCTTGAAGACACCGAACACATCTGGACAGGGACAACTTCCATCCGTCATTACGACGCAGCAATCATACGACATGTCAAGTCGTGAAACGTCTCATCGACTCGACCAAACGTCGTCCTCAAAGCCATCAGCCTTGCCATGCGGTCGTGCAAGCCATAACCCGCGTAATGTTCCCTTGTCTTACCCTTGGGGTCCATTCTCGTCGCCGAAGACCCGCGCACCTGCCACGCGCGAGCCACGTTTAAGGGCCACGCTAGGCAATTTAGGGGAATGTGCATATTTGCTGCCGGCGCGCCACTAGTCCGTCCTCCACGATATTACCATCGTCAGGATAGCCACATCTCGGCTAAGTCCACATTTGCATCTCGAGGTCGCCGACTAGGAGGATGTTTACACGGCGATTGGCACGTGTGCCGCTTTGGGCCGTTAGCGAGGAAGATCTAGGACTGATTAGTATCTAGGGGTTCATAATGAGGTGTCTACAAACGGCTTGCTAGCCTGTATTGGCTGTGGCTTTCTTTGATTTGGCTACTTTCGTTCTGCTGCACCATCCGTTAGGGAGACCCCTTGATGAAAGTCAAGTCTTGAAAGTAAAGACTATCGACGATACGACAGTACCCTACCAAGAGAATGTTCACGCCTATCGAGACCACCATCGGCGCATTGCTGCTGCATCAAGCAACTAGCAACCTCCTTTATCAGAATGGAGATATTCTGGGTGCCAGCGGCTATCTACGCAGATTCTTCTCAGCGTCCACGAAAGAACTGCTCGCCTTCTTTACTGGCATGGCCGCCAGCTACGTGCCATTGAAGGCATTAGCACCACATTTGATCACTGAGTACCCTGTTTTACAGATCAGTTCTCAAGTTGTCGTTGCAACAGTAGCAACTGGTGCCCTCATAGGATGGGGAACTAAGGTGAGAGATTCTCAATAGAGGTATCTTACAGGACTGACTCGAACAACCAGATGTCGAATGGATGCACTTCCGGACACATGTTGTGTGGTCTTTCCAGACTGAGTGGTCGCTCAGCCGTCGCCGTCGCTACGTTCTTTCCCACGGCAGTTATAACCCATCATTTCGCTCACCCAAGTTTATCGACGTCGGTATGCCCTAGCAGTACACCATGCTATGCACCCGTATATCCGTCTACAGAGACGACCGTGTCACTTCTTGTGTTGGCAGCGTTGAGCATAATCGCTACTCGAACGATACCCGGAATTGTGGCTCAAGTCACGGTTTCGCCCACCACCACCACCACTACCAAGGACACCAAAGAAGAGTCTGCTGCGCGTGTCACCACGCAAGCCTTTTCAGGTTTGCTCTTTGCTCTTGGTCTCCATATCTCGCAAATGGCACACCCAGACAAAGTTGCTGCCTTCCTCTCTTTCCCAAACTTGCAACACTGGGATCCATCCCTTGCTCTGATCATAGTCTTCGGCGTGTTACCCAATCTGATCGAGAATCAGGTGAAAGGTCTTGACGGCTCACCATGGTTCGCCGACAAGTTCTCGCTGCCTACGAAGACTTTGCAAGATGTGGATAAAAGATTCGTGATGGGAGCTGTGGCTTTTGGTATTGGTTGGGGCTTGACGGGAACGTGTCCCGGCCCGGCGGTGCTTCGAGCTTTCTCTCAGCCAGTTTGGGGTGCCCTGTGGGTTGGCGGATTCTGGCTTGGAGGGAAACTGAACATATGAACTGGTTGGTGCTTGTACGTGCAGTACGTGGCTATTTGTGTTACGTGATACCCAACATAGATGTCTGTTTCATTCATGGCTGTGGACCTGAAATAGTAATGCTGAAGCATATAATGTTAATGTGATGATTGTAAAGACATAGTTATAAGTTGGATGGAAGCTATGCGCTTTCGCTAGCGTGCCACTTGGTGGGCTAGAGTTGAAGAAGTGACACTTGTGGACCCTGGAAGTTCAGCCCTGCCAAAAATGTTCGCCCCGCCACATCATCCCACCCGATCCCCGCGACGCGCTCAACCACGAACCACACACAATGGAGGACGATAGAGCTGCAACCAACCTGGGTCCCGATGCGGATCAGGGTATGCCAGAAGAGGTCGTGCCTGTCCAGAAACAGCCGAAAAGGCGCTTCATAGGGAGAAAGGCGGGAGAGAAGGCGGGCGAGGCGCAAGCAGACCCCAATGCCAATATTGAAGATTCGAGCGCGATACAAGGTGTGAGGAGCCCACCGTAGAGTTGTCTAATGCACCGAGGACCTAACATGTACCCAAGTTGTCCAGCCTCGGCGTACAGCTCGTGTCCTGAATGCGATCCCCGACGACATTCTGCACGACCAAGAAATCAACGACGCCATCGCGCTCCTACCGCCCAACTACAACTTCGAGATCCACAAATGTATACACCGCATACGGACATCAGGAGCCAAGTCGATAGCTTTGCAGTTTCCCGAAGGACTGCTGCTATTCGCAACCACCATATCCGACATTCTGATGCGATTCTGCCCTGGTACTTCGACGTTGATAATGGGTGATGTCACATACGGGGCGTGCTGCATAGACGACTACACAGCGCGAGCGCTCGGCTGCGACCTTTTGATACATTACGCGCACAGTTGTCTGATACCGGTAGCAGTGACCAAGATCGCGACCTTGTACATCTTCGTCTCCATCAGTATCGACACACAGCACTTGATAAATACCATTACAGAAAACTTCGCTGCCGGAAAGACTATTGCTTTGGTTGGTACTATTCAGTTCAACGCTACAATACACGGCATCGTGCCGATACTGCGCAAGGAAGGCTATAACCCATTTGTCCCTCAGATTGCACCTCTGTCCAAGGGTGAAATTCTCGGCTGCACGTCACCGTCAATGGCCATCAAGCCAGGTCAGCTCAATGCGAGAGGCAAAGAGGAGGACGTGCCCGACATGATACTATATCTTGGCGATGGACGTTTCCATCTTGAGAGCGCCATGATCGCCAATCCACATATACCTGCATACCGCTACGATCCATACTCGAGGCGACTCACACACGAGACTTATGAACACGACTCTCTCTACGACTTGAGGCGCACTGCTATCCTCACAGCCCGGAAAGCACGCACCTGGGGTGTTATTCTTGGCTCGCTAGGCCGACAGGGAAACCCACACACTCTGACGCTCATTGAGAACGAGTTGGCGCGACAAGGTATCAAGTGTGTCAATTTGCTCATGTCGGAGATCTTCCCTGGAAAGCTGGCAATGATGTCAGATGTAGAGGCTTGGGTACAAATTGCATGTCCCAGGTTGAGCATCGATTGGGGCTACGCCTTCCCAAGGCCGTTGTTGAGCCCTTACGAGGCACTCGTTACGCTCGGCGTGAGAGACGCGCCATGGCTAGAGGAAGACGATACAGTGAGGAGAGCTGAAGCGGAGGGGAGGAAGAATCTCTATCCCATGGACTTTTACGCCAAAGAGGGTCTAGGGCGGACTACTATAGACCATGTGAAGGCCACGGAGGTACCAGTTGGAGCATGAACATTGATTGATTCTATATGACGACGGCTTTCGCTTCCGCCCAAATGGATATCATTTATGTTTTTGCATGGCGCTTACAGATTTCGCGATTCTTTGGGACTTTTCACATCTTTCCCTTTGGCTTTCCAGGTTGTCTTCGTGGCAAATCGGCGCAGGGAAAATTTTGAGAAATATTGTGAAAGTATTACGGACACAAAACAGTGGTCCCAATTAAAAGTCTCGAGGCCCAAAGCCAATGCTCTCACTGGACTAGAATGCTTTTCGCTTGTTCCGGGCTTTCATCGCAAAATCATCAAAGAAACATCTTTCTATAGTGATACCGACAAACACGGACGTATACAAATTCACTTCTAAGCACTCGCCTTGTTCGGTAGCTCACTGCATTATAGTCAACATTTGCTCTGATATTCGTTCATGAACCACTCCCCACTTACCCAATTTTAATTTGTCTTGTAATTTTGGAAGGAAACATCTTAACATCTCCTGGTCCGCAATACTGTCATTTGCAACAGCTCTTCCTTCCATCTCCGAGACCGAGATCACTGAGCCCGACATGAGTCTAATGGCACCTGTCGCTACTCCTGAGAAGCGAAAGCGATCAGTGACTTTCGCAATCGCTCCTAAGCGCTCTCCGAAGATGGCGCGACTAGATTCCCTTGCATCTACCGCTGATGAGTCTCCGGATTCTGCCATTCACTACGGCATCTACATGCACGATCTTCTCAAAAAGTCAGGCAGCGCGGTGTCACGACTCATTACTGTGTCTGAAGACTTCACCAGTGCCTACGAAGCCATGCGTAAGCATGCTGCTGGGGAAATTGAGGCAAACGTACACTGGGGCGCGACAACGGAGCTAAACACTAATAACCTCTACGAGATACTGGACAGTAGGAACCATGTTCTTCTGCGCTACGAGTTGGACGCAGTCTCCTCTGTCCGTCAAGACGCTAACGGTGATCGTATCTGGCAGCGTGCCAGCGCATCGCCTGCTCTGCCTGTACATTATGGTATGTACCTCGACCTGCACTGCGATGCCAGGGACAAAGCAGAGCATTTCTTCATTGGTGGCTTCAAGAGCCTTGGTGAAGCCAATCATGCGATGAAGCAATCAGCGGCCATGTACCTCCACGGCCATGGCGAAACCAAATTGTACGAAAAGAGCATCGAGGTGATGAATGAGAAGGGACAACTCCAGCGACGCTTCACAATCGAGAAGGGTAAGCTGAGTGAGAATGGAAGCTTCCTTAGGGTAGAAGATTGGCCCTTGGAGCAAGGTAGTACCGATTCAAAGGTTCCAGTCCTCCGTCTACCTATACCCGAGACATCGAAGTTGTCTGAACCGCCAACTGCTCAAACGGCTGTTCCGCAAATTGTAACCGAAGTTGTAGTGCAAGGTAGGCCACAAGCTGTAGAAAATGTTCATGCTCCTATCATTTCCGAACCACAAACTGTTCAGAGCATACGCCGTCAATCTCAGCGACACCAAACCCCCATCCCGCCTGTCGATGAAAAAAAACAGAAGCAGCCCAAGACCAGACCTCAAGCAAAGCCTAAGGCTCCGGCTAAGTCCGAGACCGCAGAAAAACGTAAATCACAACCAAAAACCCAAGTTCAGACTGCGCACGACCCCAATCCCTATTGTTCGTGTCGCCTTCCTGACGACGGCAGTCTCATGATTTGCTGCGACAACGAACAATGCCCAATCGGCTGGTATCATGGTCGTTGCATTAACATCCGCAACGCGATCCCAGAAGAAGAAGAGTGGTATTGCGAAGTGTGTACGCGGGAGCGGGAGAACGAGAAAGCTCGGGGTATGAATACGCTGGCTGGGAAGACACCCGTAAAGACATCTGGAAAGAAAGCAGGACGTGGTGACGCAAAGGCGAAGGGAAAGGCGAAGAAGGGGAAATTAAGTTAAACCGAGAGACTGGGAGACCGTGTCGTACGTTGGTCACCTTGGTTGTTCTGAGTTCGTTAGAATTGTATGCTTGGTAGCGTCTCATGGCGTGGCTGGATGGTCTTACTATCTGTCTAGAACAACTTACCAAGACCTTGCATCTCACTGAATAGTCGCTGTTTCTATCCATGACATGCTATATTCACTTCCGGCATCTACCGTCGCTACTTTCGGCCTCTCGTACTGCGCCGGGGTCTTGATAACGCGATGAAGAAGGATATGACCAAGGTAAGAGCTAACAATGAAGAAAATGATGATGCCAATTGTACCGTTATCCATCTTGCCTCGACAGAGCGAGCAAGATATCGACTCAAGTGGTTTCGAATAGTAGACTACCGCATTTCGCATCCGGATGTATGGCTTAGCCTAGAGATAGAAGTGGTATCGCAGTATGGAGACGATGTGGACGATGGGAAAGAGCATTGAAATCGAGGATGAGGGGTGGATGAGCACTACAAGGGATGTTGCTGTCAGCAAACGCCCTTCGCAGAGGGACCTAAGACATATCGAGCGGGCGCCCACGTATCGCATGTCAAGGCACACAGCACCTAGAAACAAACCTTCTGCATATCGCGACTAGCTGTTTTGTTTAGAGAATCCAAGATTTGTAGGTAAGTCGAGTAAACACATTCACCGCTCGCGTATGATCGGCACAGGATGAAGCGCGTGATGGGTATCATATTTGCTATGCCAGACTCCGTAACAATGCTGAGTAGATGCAGATAATTCGAGTCAACGCTATCCAAATCTTGCGTTCAGTCAATCTCTGGCATCAACTCGTCGTCTTCGATGAGATCGGGATCAACTTTGCTTCCTAGATCAGTGTCTTCTAAGAAAGAACGGCCTCGCAGTGCTTCGGGCAAGTACTCCTGCTTCACCTTGCCGTCTAGGTAGTCCGGATTGTATTTGTATCCATCACCGTAGCCCATGTCCTTCATCAACTTTGTCGGTGCATTGCGTATGTGGTGCGGTATGGGCAGTGCGGCGACTCCTGGCTCCTTTAACGCGTCCATGGCACTGTGCAACCCTCGGTATACGCGCGTCGACTTGGGTGAGAGAGAGAGGGCAGTGACGGCGTGGGCGAGGTTGATGCGACACTCGGGCATGCCAATCTTCTCGCAGGCGGAATATGTGGCTGTCACAAGGGATAGCATTGTGTTATCTGCCAGTCCAACGTCTTCGGATGCAACGACGATGAGGCGACGGGCTATGTATCGTGGGTCCTCGCCAGATTCTAGCATACGTGCTAGGTAATATAACGCGGCGTCTGGATCGGAGCCTCGTATGGACTTGTGCAGTGCGGATATGGTATCGTAATGTTGGTCGCCGGCGCGGTCGTATACGAGGGTCTTGGTGAGGCTCTGTTGTATCTTCTCTTTGGTCATGTCAGGTTGCTTTGCTAGGTTCATAGCTAGTTCGAGAAGATTGAGGGCTGTTCTGGCGTCGCCGTCGGAAAAGCGGGCGAAGTAGTCCAACATTGACTTGTCAAGGATGGGAGATGTGTAGTTTTCAGAGGCCATTGCGCGTTCTAGGATTCGCACCAGGTGGTCCTCTTTGAGGTCGTCGAGGGTAAAGGTGCGACATCTTGAGAGCAGTGCGGAGATGACTTTGAAAGATGGGTTCTCGGTTGTTGCCGCTATGAGGGTTATTGTGCCAGACTCTACCGGCCCAAGGAAGGCGTCTTGCTGTGTCTTTGAGAAGCGATGCAGCTCGTCGCAGAAGACGATGGTCCTTCGACCTGTCAGCTGCAGCTCTCTGAAGGCTTCTGTGAAGATCTTGCGCACTTCCTCGAGCTTTGTGCTTGTGCTGTTGATCTCGACGAAGCGCGAGCCTGATTTGTTGGCGATTAGGCGTGCAATTGTAGTCTTGCCTTGTCAAATAGTCAGCTCTCGAGTCGAGCGTGCAAGATGCAGAGGAAGCATTACCCGTTCCCGGTCGTCCCCAGAGCACCATTGATGGCAGTCTGCCCTCATCGACCATGCCTCGAAGAACGCCGCCAGGGCCGACGAGCTCTTGGCCATATACGTCGTCCAACGACATGGGCCTCATACGCTCAGCCAGCGGCATGGCATCGGCAACTGCCTTGAGCTTCCGCGCCCGCTTTGGGGCTGATGGCGAATGCGGCTCGCCATTTGTCTGTGCATCTGCTGCCTCGTCAAAAGGCCGTTTGGACGAGGCAGGCGGTGTCTTGGACCGCTCTACCAGCTGCGTGGCTGCTGGCGGTGGCGGAGGCGATGAGGTTGGGTGTCCATTCTTCTGCGTCGCGCCCGGGGGTTTGCGTGCGCCTGGGGTGAAGAAGCTGTAGGCCTTTCCCAAACTCGGCGTGCCCTGTGGTTCTGCTTCAAGAAGAAAGTCTTGGCAGCCGCTGTCGATGTGTTCGTTGATTCGGGCGTCCTTGACGGCTTTGGCGCAGATGGGGCAGTCGACCATATTCGAAGATGAGTGGCTCGACGCACGCGACGCGAATTATTCTGGGGTAACGCGACGAGCGAGACCGGCGCTATCTCGGAAATGCCCCCGCTTGATGACGGCAGACGACGGACTGGAGCACGCAATACTTAGTTTGTACAAGCACCCTCTCTCGTGTACCTGACGCTCCATGTGCCAATGATACTGCCATGCGGAGTATCGTGACTCGAGCTACAACATCCATCCGAACCGCCACCAAGAGACCATCTCCAACTCCAAAGTGCCCCACCTGCTGCTCCCTCCCACAACGAGCCATGTCTGCGACAACAAGGCGAGAAGACCCCTTCAAGCCCGCGAAGCGAGTCGCTGGGCAGAAGCAGGATGTCTGGTAGGCTGTTAAGCTCCAGCGTGCGACAACAGCTAACAGCGACAGGTCCATTGTCAATGAAGCTGCGGCCGCCTCGCCTGTGCAGCCCATCGTCAACATGGGCCAGGGCTTCTTTGGCTACAACCCTCCCAAATTCGTCCTCGATGCCGCCAAGGCTGCCCTCGACCAAGTAGACTGCAACCAGTACTCGCCCACCAAAGGTCGTCCGCGGTTAAAGAAGGCCATTGCCAATGCCTACTCTCCTTTCTTCGGCCGCGAGATAGATCCCGACAAGGAAGTCACGATCACAACCGGCGCAAACGAAGGCATGCTTAGTGCCTTCATGGGCTTTCTGGAAGAAGGAGATGAGGTCATCGTCTTCGAGCCCTTCTTCGACCAGTACATTAGCAATATTGAGATGCCAGGTGGAAAGGTTGTCTACGTGCCCCTGCACCCCCCCAAAGACGGTGCGACCAAGACAACGTCTGCAGCTGAATGGAGTCTTGATATGAAAGAGCTGGAAGCTGCCATCACACCCAAGACCCGCATGATTGTCATCAACTCTCCCCACAACCCTATTGGCAAGGTCTTTTCCAAGCAAGAACTGCAAGCTATTGGCGATGTGTGCGTAAAACACAACATCATCATCCTCTCAGACGAAGTCTACGATCGCTTATATTATGTTCCTTTTACCCGCGTCGCTACGCTTTCACCGGACATCGCCAAGCTCACCTTGACTGTCGGCTCAGGAGGCAAGAACTTCTACGCTACAGGTTGGAGAGTTGGCTGGCTGATTGGTCCTGAGCACCTGATCAAGTATGTCAGTGCAGCGCATACACGAATCTGCTACAGCAGTGTCTCGCCGCTTCAAGAAGCAACGGCCATTGGTTTCGAGCAAGCCGATGCCCACAACTTTTGGGAAGAGTCAAAGAAGGAAATGAAAGCAAAGATCGACAAATTCACCGCCGTCTTTGATGAGCTCAAGCTACCCTACTCAGAGCCAGAGGGCGGTTACTTCGTGTTGGTGAACATGTCCAAGGTCAAACTACCAAGTGATTACGAGTTCCCCCCTCATGTAGCGGAAAGGCCGAGGGACTTCCAGCTCAGTTGGTTCTTGATCAAAGAAGTTGGCGTGGCAGCTATCCCCCCGACTGAGTTCTTTACTCCAGGTAATGCGCACATTGTCGAAGACTGGTTACGGTTTGCCGTGTGCAAGAACGATGACGTCCTTGAAAGCGCCATGGAAAGACTAAGGAGTCTCAAGAAGTATATTCAGGAATAAATGCTAGATAGTATGTCAGCTACAAATAAAGATGCTGAAATTCTGACGATACATGTTGGACTCGACCCCATGATCGGCCGGCGCACATGCGCGTTACAAACAACAGAATGTAGCCGGACATAAACATTGTAGGGCACCCTTGGAAACTATCACGCTAGGATCAATCACTTTAGCAGCATGCTCACCTTCATCACGACCCTTTCACATCATATACTTCAAGTCTAAGGGTGACATGCTTCCGACTTACAAGATGGCAGCAAACGCTCCTGACTCACACTTTTACATTGAAGTCCTTCACCTTCACCTCATATACTGCCGCCATTAGAAGGCACTTGTTTCGCACATATATGACACGCGTTGCTGGTTACAAATCTGACTCACCACCGACAAACTTAGCACAATAACTCTTTGAACCGTCCACCTTCAATCGAACCCGTTGAGCAAACACCAACAACAATGCACAACAAGATGCTCGCATTGTGCTTTGGATCATCATTCTTGCTTCAGCCTTGCCGCAAAGCAATGCCGCTACAGTGACCCAGAGCGCCTCAACGCCGACACAGCTCAAGAAGACACCCGGTTTCTGGCACGGTTTCCTCAATCTTCCCTCTCTTAGGCCTAAACCATCAACTATAGACCTTCCGCGCCTGTCTAGCATTCTGATTCCTGGACCAAGCAACATTGCGAAGCGTGAAGAACAGCTTCCAAGGGAAGTGAATGAAGACTCGTCCTCCACCCCTGCTATCATAAATCTACCTGAGGCAGTCCTGAAGCGAGAAGACGACACGGAAGACAAAAAAGACGACACATTACTCTCGCCCAACACCAAGGAAGCCACCACCCTCCTCCGCCACAGAGACAACCTCTCAACCCGCAGACTTACCAGACGCACAACAAAGGTGTAACTTGTATACAAATTGGGACTGCAACATGACGAATCGTGTACACATAGCGGTCAGATGGCCAGGGCTGGATGATCTCAAGGGCTCGATTATAGAGACTGAAGATGAAATTCTGAGTTAGAACTGCCGGATTTACTCTCTCGACGATGAGTAAGATGAAGATAGGCATTACATCCAATAAGTTTCTCCTTCTTGGGTTTTGTCTGCACATGCTTTCGGAGTAAATTTATCAATCAAGAGAAGGCACTGAGGTATTGTAGTATCATAGCTTCATTACTCTAGTTATAATTCGTTACTCGTCATCGTCGTAAGCTTCTCGGTCTTGGAATACCAAGAATTCGCCCGCGTCATCTCCCACGATCTTCTGCCACATGTCTTTGACGTTCTCAAGCACTGCATCGTCGAATGCGAGATCCATGGAAGTAGGCGGGAATCGAACGACATGATCGTTGTCAGACGGTAGAGCCTCCGATCCAGATGAAGCCCGTTGCTGGTACTCAACAGACCACAGTATTGTAGGCGATGGTGCTATGTCCTGGGCAGAGAGCAACGACTCTATAGCTTTTCGAAGCAGGGCAAACCCGTCTTGATTGTGCATCGATGTCGAAGCATATAGCACACCTAAGGAATAGTCAGCAACATGAAGCAATAAGAACATGCGTTGAAAGTGTAGACGATGTGCCGTTGTATCAGGTTGTCAGAGTTATTGTCTTCAATGGTATTCAGACAATGTAGATAAGTATTCGTAATGTTTGTTCATCATAACAGCAAGAGTAAGGAGAAGAGCAAACTTACATTGACCAGAGGGACATTCGCCGGTATCGCTCGAATGCACGAAAACATGAACCGGCGGAAGCTCTTCAGCTTGAGAGTTTAGTGTCAAGGAGCCGGACGGGAAGACAACAACAGCAGCGGCAGGTGCTGGTGCTTCCTCTGCGATGGGCGGGAACAGATGTGACAAAGACGACGACACAATGGTCATCGACCTGCAGTAGGTATCTTGAGACGCAATTGACGAGTTTCCTCCTACAATCCACTTCGCAGTAACAACTTCGCCGTCTTTCAGGCGAAGCTTTGTACCGTTTTCGGTTGTCTGCGCGATGCCCTCCGTGACTGGAGCTATGCCTTTTCCAAGGACATAGACACCGCCACCTACAGCACCAGCTCGGCACGACACCTGGCTGATTTCAGACAAGCCGCCCCATTTCGGGATGACGGCTCCAAAACCAGCCCCAAACACACCGATCGAACGTAGGTGCCTCGCAATTCTCGGTAGAGCGTATTCAGTAGTGGTCCGATCAGGCCCGGCCGGTGAGAGTGTGAGTGCCAGCAGTGGTCCTTGGAGACTTGCTGGAACCTTGAACTGCTCTGACAAGAAGTCCGAGAAAGGCCGCTGACGGTGCTCTTCCCACACCTCGATCTGTTCCTCATATTCGCTGATGAAGCGCAGAAACTTCATCAAAGCGCGCTTCGCCTTGAAGTCGAGGTCGTGATCCTGGAAAACATCTTCTCGGCCGTTTGGCACCTTCAGCAGCCTCGCATGCGACAGCGAGCTTTCGCTCTGTGCACCTGTAGAGTATACCCACCATGTACCGACAGCAAGAAACTCAAGCTGACGATAAACCCTTGACGAGACAAGGCAGCCAAGGATAGATGAGCGCGCGTAGATGACCTGGGGGCTTAGAGACAGGCTGTATGCCCTTGAGAAGGACAGTGCGGGAGCGGCGTCAGCAACCTCAGGCTTGGTAATTGTAACATCGGAGAAGACCGCATCTACTGTGTCTTGGACGCGTTAGCGAAAGCCAAATCTCTCCAAGTCATCTTTGCTTACCATCTTTCATCCGCTGTGCCCACTCTTCAGCTTCTTGTAAGCTAAAGGCAGCCTCTGCACCGCCGTAGAAGTCATTCTCGTCGACATGGAGGATCTTCTTGTCCGAGCGCGACAAAGCTCTTTAAGCGCTGCGTCAGTCAGATCGCGGCCACTCTCGCCGGCAAGCAAGGCACATACAAAGCGAGAAGAGACTGCTGCAGGCCGGTGCCTACAATGAGCACGTCCCACTCGGTGTTGTCGAGAGTTTCCATGTTGGAGCTGTAGGAAAAGATTCAAATGTCGGGAGAAGATGGTAGCGCCATTTTAGCGTGGGTGACTAAGCGGGGCTGGTGACAAAATCTGTCGACCGCTGCCGAGGGGCTTTCCTTCACCATCGCGCACGCTTAGGACATCCCGGCATTATGTATGGCATGTCCGAACAGCATCTTGATCTTCACTGATCTGGACCTGTGCGCGTGAGAAGAACACCTCGTCCGGTATCTACTGCTTTGGATTTCACCTGAATTAGCGGCTCGAATGTGGCGATACATTACTTTGAGACACTCGGAAGCTTTTGCCTTCATCACATGTAGCACTCCTGCACGTTAATCGTTATTTTATTCCATTGTGATAACTCGTCTCCTCCTAACGAGAGTCATTCGTCCAGCGATGTCGATCCTACCGTCGTGCCTAAACCGCATATTGACTCGCTGCGACACGATTGGATTGAAGGGACATTGTGACGTGATAGCGATCTACTGTCGTCAGGCCTCATGCAACCCAGGAATACAATGGAGAAAGCTGAGCACATCCTCCCAGTCGCGGTCTGGCCCTGGGTGAATCTCGACGACGTTAACCCCATCTTGCTTCATGGCAGCTACGATATTGTCAATAGAATCTTCGTGGTCATTAAACCTCTTGTCAAAGACGTCCCCTGCCCTACCACGACTCAAAAACCGCTGTCGAGCCACTGCCCGGTCAACACACAGCAAGAGTGTCCAGGTACTACTATCAGGCTGCCATATGTCCTTCACGCTGTCCTTGAACGTCTCCCAGCGATCTACTCCCCTCGGAAATCCATCGATTAGAATTCGTAGGTTTAGTGGTACCACACCGTCGGGAAATATACGCTCCTTGACATACTTGGGGGTCACGTTTGACGGTGCCAATGTCCCTGCTTTGACGTTCGTGGCGAAGTCCTCCAGCTCAGCAACAGACAGCTTGTTTTTAATACGTGCGGCATGGCCCGTTGTGTCTGAGGAGATCAGATCACGAAGTTCATCGCCGATGGAGAAGTGGTCCATATTGAATTTATTGACGAGAGTGGTGCATAGCGTCGACTTACCGGCGCAGGGTGGGCCGAGCACGTAGATGACAAGGGGTGGGGATGACTTGCTGGACTTGGATGCTGTGCTATACATCGGAAGATTGGCAGTTTTGTCGCTGTTCATATTCTTGGAGTGTATAGTTAAGACTATTGAGAAAGGATTTTCTGTGGCTCATACATCAAGTAAGTACCAGAGATGATTCACAGGTTCTTTGACTTCACGCCAACGGTCTTTGACAACGCAAGCCCTTGATCAGCACGGTGTTCAAATTTCTACGCAGTTCTACCACATATCTAGTTCCCTCGTCACAATGCGAAATGTCTCAACATGATTGTCGTCAGTGAAAGTCAGCGCTAACCTCTCGCTTCACCATCGTCCTCAAATGCTTGAATATCTTCTTCCCTGTCCCATACCTTATGTCCAGCGACCCATGTTTGAAGTACTTCGCCTTGCTCACTCAATACAGTCAAGTCTGCCCTCCTGCCCTCCTTCAGTATACCTCTACCGCCTTCACCATCAACACCCATGAAAGCAGCCACATTTTCTGTCACTGTGCCTACAGCCTCTGCGATTCCACAACCAGACCAATTCATCAAGTTCCTCACACTCTGCTGGAGTGGAATACATCCGCCAATCAACGTATCGGTTCCTGCGATTGTTGCTCGTGTTCCGCTCTTGACCTGTTCAAAAGGGATCTGTGAGTGACCAGGGTATGTCCCGTCCTTGAGGGATGCAAGCTCGATACTATCGGTGATCAGAATTGACCGCTTCGGGTTGGAGCGATGAAGCAGAGACACGGTATTTGGATGAAGATGTTCCCCATCCGCGATGACTGTGTACCATGGAGGTGAAATCTTTCCTGCTTCTGGTAGCGATATCAATCCAGCCAGCCCAGGGGCTCTCGATGCCCAAGCTGGCATCGCATTCAAGGTATGCGTCAAGCCACTTGCTCCAGCCTTGAGCCCAGTCAATCCTTCTTCGTATGTGGCGGAGGAATGACCCATCGCTACCTTGATACCCTGCGACGTCAGTGTCTTGATAAGTGCCGCTGAGTCAGGGAGCTCCGGTGCAACGGTCACGAGCTTGACAGTGGATTGCAGGTTGGAGGATCCATAGACGGTAGAAGGGGATGTTGCACAAGAACTGAAAAGGGAGCTGTTATGGGCGCCTTTCTTGGTAGGATGTAGATATGGGCCTTCAGTGTGAGCTCCAAGAAGAGATGCTGAAGAGGCAATCTGGCGAGGCTTGAGAGAGGGAAGGATCTGTAGGACTGTCAGCAGACTGCACATTGTGTGCACTTGACAACGTTTCAAGCACATGGCGAAGGCGCTTCAGCGCATCATATTTGTCTTACCTTGTGGAATTCATCACTCTTTACGGTAGGTATGGTTGCCCAGAATCCCGTGACCCCCTGAGTCGCGTAATACCTCGCGATTTCATCTACCTTTTTTGCATACATCTTCTCGTCTTCATGATGCGTGAAGTGAAAGCCATTCGCTCCATTAGTATGTAATTCCAGAAAGCCGGGGGCTATGATGCTGTCTTCCAAATCGATGGCCTCGCCTCCGATGTAGCCTTCTCTTTTCAGGATGAGTCCAGTCTCATCGGAAATTACGAGATGGTCCTCGACAAGCTCGCCGTTGAGGATGTAGCGACAGTTGGTGAACAAGGTGAACCAGCCCGACATATTGCAGACCTGGCCAATAATGTGCTGGAAACTGGTAGCGGGTAACTCCCGTTACCAAGCGTGAGTAGGCAGATCATGAGTCGTCCCAAGCTGGAGGGGATGATCGCCCCCGCTACGCGCTGATTGGTCGACGACGCATCGGCATGCACCTTGACGTCATCAGCCGATCACAGCGGGAAGTCGCGATGTGACGGCCAGGATGTTTATCAGGATTTCAGCCACAGTGGAGATTTTGACAGCTTCTTGTCAGCTTCTGGTCGTGGCACAGGCAAAGGCTGAGTACGCGTCGTGCGCAAGTGGTAACGCGGCTGCCCCAGTTCCAGTATCGGTCCTGCTTGCCCTACGTCATTGACTGCAATCGGCAGCCTCGCAGCCCCGCGCGCAGCATCTCTTTCATGGTTTCTGCTTTGCTTGTTCCTTGCTTTCGCTTCTCTTAAGTGGGGAGATCTTCGCTAGGCTCAACCTCTCTCAAGACATCCATTGATCCTCCCGCAACAGTCGCAATTGCTGGGTGAGTCTCGTCGCACGTCCACACCCTCGACCTGGGCGGTCATACAGAAGGAGACATATATACAGAATGGCGGAACAACAGCAGCAACATGCTCCGGGAGGACACTACTCAGGGCACAACCCGATCCCTACCGTCAGGCAGTTCGTGGAGAACTTGGATAAGGACAAGGCGGCCCGGGACAAGAAATTGGACGAACAGGCCAAGCAGCAGGCGCAGCAACAGTCGCAACCACACAAGCAGCCTGAAAGACAAGTAAAAGGTACAGAGAAGACAGTCACAGACCCTACGACTGGCAGGGAGGTCGTCATTGCCGATGTCAACAAGGACATGATAGATGAGGTCGAGAACCCGCATTTGGTCGTACCCAATGCGAACCTGGACAAGCAAACAGTATGGCACCCTTCCCAACTCTATCAGCCTTCATTAACACCTGGTAGCCAATAAAAACCGACCCCTCCCAGTCGCTCGAAGACTACAAGCACAACCAGGATGTCACAGCACCACCAGACCCAGTCGCCGAAGGCACCACGACCGACGTACCTATCCACGGTGAGAAGACAAACGTCCTCTTCCATCCGACGCCCTCAGTTAGCTACGAGCCCATGTTTGCCGCCCTCGAAACGCGAGCGAACTACCTTTGCGCGGGGATACTCGTCGGGACGGTTGTCGTTGGTAAAATGTTCGGTGGTGCCCTCAAGGGCCTTATACCGCTTGGTATGTGCCTGGCGTCTGGCGTATATCTTTGGATGAAGGAGGTTGTGCGCAGCGGAAGAGAGGTCGAATGGGACAGCGAACAAGTCCGCGGCCAGATGGTACGTGTCTACTAAAGATGCCCTGCCAGAACTAGCTAACCATCATGTAGGCCTCTTTGAACCTGTTGCCAGAATCCGTCGAGTGGATGAACACTTTGCTAGCCATCGTCTGGGGCCTCATCAACCCCGACATGTTCTCGGGTGTTGCTGACATGCTTGAGGACGTTATGCAAGCTTCCGTACCTGGTGTCATTGAAAACGTCCGCGTGGCCGAAATTAACCAGGGAAGCAACCCGTTGCGCATCCTTAGCTTACGAGCGCTTCCCGATTCACACATGGGTGACATGAAAAAATCCATCCACGAAGAGAACAAGAAGACAAAGGATCCTCAAGAAGCAGCAGCAGATGAGGAGGGCGGTGATTACTACAACCTGGAAGTTTCTTTCGCCTACCACGCCAGCCCCAGCGGAAAGCGAGTATCCGAGAGAGCAAGGAACATGCACATGCAGCTGGTATTCTACTTAGGAATTAAGGGTCTCTTCGGTGTCCCGCTGCCCATCTTTGTCGAACTGCAAGGCCTTGTTGGTACAGTCCGCCTGCGTCTGAACATGACCCCCGAACCTCCATTCTTGAAGACCTTGACTTTTACATTGATGGGCGCGCCACAGGTGACTGCTGGATGCACGCCCATGGTGGAAAAGGGTGTGAACATTCTCAATCTTCCCCTCATTAGCAACTTTGTCAACTACGCCATCAAGGCAGCGGCCAGCATGTATGTCGCGCCGAAGTCCATGTCTATTGACATGCGAGCCATCCTTCAAGGCGACTCCGTCCAAAAAGATACCGAAGCCTTGGGCGTACTCTGGATCCGTATTCACCGTGCTGTCGGTCTGAGCAAGCAAGATCGACGTGGATCAAAGCACGGTGGTAGCGACCCTTACATAACGATCGCATTCTCGAAGTACGGCAAGCCCATGTACTGTACCCGAGTTATTACTGACGACCTAAATCCAATCTGGGAAGAGACGGCAGCTGTTCTCGTTGGTCCAGAACTGATCAAGGCCAACGAGAACTTGAGTGTAGAACTCTGGGACTCCGATCGACATACCGCTGATGACATTGTCGGAAAGGTCGAGATTTCCATGCAGAAGATGATCCAGCATCCAGGCAAAATGTACCCACAGACTTCGAAGCTGGCCGGTATGGAGGCTGACAGTGAGATGCCTGGCGAACTTCACTGGGAAGTTGGTTATTTCACCAAGCCAAAGTTCAGGAAGGAGATGCGAACAGATGGCAAGAACAAATCTCTTCCAGATGAGTTAAAGGACAAGCCCGAACTACAAGACGAGAAGGGTGTCATAAACTCTGAGGACGATGACGCTGTCATGCACACTCCACCGGATCCTCTCTGGCCTAGTGGTATCTGCAGTGTGGTGTGTCATCAAATTGTGAATTTGGAGCTGGAAAACGTAAAGGGTAGTACCAACCCCAAGGGACGCGAATACGAGCCTGCAAAGCCTTACGGGGAGGGTAAAGAAGAGACTGGCGGAGACCTCCCGAACAGTTACTGCACGATTTTGTTCAACGACGAGCTAGTCTACCGAACGCGGGCAAAAGCTGTCTCATCTCAGCCAATCTTCAACGCGGGTACCGAACGGTTCGTTCGTGACTGGCGATCGGCTATCATCACGGTTACAGTGCGCGATCAGAGGAACAGGGAACATGACCCTATTCTGGGCGTGGTGCCACTGAAGCTATCTGACATTCTCGAAACATCCTCTCAAGTCACACGCTGGTATCCTCTCGATGGCGGTATCGGTTTTGGTCGCATACGAATCTCTCTGTTGTTCCGCAGCATCGAGACTCGTCTACCACCTCAAATGCTTGGTTGGGACGTTGGTACCTTTGAGTTCCGGTCTCAGCGCATCCTGGCTTTGGGTTACAACCACCACCCCAAGATCAAATTGCGAACTGGCGGCAGCACCGGCAAGCTGAGTCGCACCGGTTCTCATAAGCTCCAAGAAGGTGATGGCTACTACTGGGACCTAGAGGAGAGCAACGGAAAGCACAACGTCCGACTACCAGTAAAGCACCGCTACAGGTCACCAATTGTTTTCGAATTCCATATCAACAACCATCGCAAGGCGGACGCGTACGCAGTCATCTGGCTGCAGCACTTCATAGATAACGAAGATGCGGACATCAACATACCCATCTGGAAAACTGCTGCTCCTGCTCGACTCACGCAGAACTACATTACTGAAGAAAACTGCCATAAGGAACCGGGTCTCGACGATCTTCAGGAAGTTGGTCGCCTACAGTTCCGGGCGCGATTCAAGGCTGGAACTGACGAGTCACACGCTGCCTTTATCACCGACAATGACACCCGCGAGACATTCGAAACATGGGAGTCGTGTGTTACCGAAGGTGTGCGAAACCACAAAGTTGAGAAGGAGATCCCAGATCGCGTTCAAGAGTTGCATGAGCAATCATTGACTACAGGTCGCGATATCTTGAAGAACGCGAGCGAAGAAGAAAAGCGCAAGTGGCTCGCAAAGGACGGGCAAGACTGGTCCGGTGCTTTCGGGGATAACCCTAAAGCCTACATGAACACCAAGCGTCAGAAGAGACGCGAACCAGGCGTCGAAGAACCCTTACACGACCGTTATCATCCATCCGATAACGAGGACAATGATGACTCTGATGATGACTATGGCGAAGATTCTTCTTCATCTGATATTGGTGTCGAAGATGCGGATACAGTTGGCAGTGCGAAAAACATGAGTGGCGGCACAGGTGGAGGTGACCAGAGCAAAACTAATGGCCAGTTGAAGTCACAGAAGACCGATTTATCGCCCACTGAGGATCATCAGCCCCGCCAATCGATGTCTACAGTTCATACAAGCACCACGGCTGAGACAGATGATACTTCATCCAGTAAGGATGTTAACAAGCAAAACAAGCGAGCTGAAGAGAGGAGACATCGTGGGCTGATGCAGTGGAAGCCCGCACGGAATGCAAAGTTTGCGAAGGACGAGGCCAAAATTGGGCTGGCTAAATTGAAGAAGAAGGTCACTGGAGGATTGGATGGGCGGCAACCTGGCGTTGAGACTGGTGAGTTACATATATCCATCCTATACAAGAGAGGCATGCTAACATTTTCTCTAGAAACTGGATAAGTACGTGCGTGAGCATGGCATCAGTTCAAATGACTTGTGAGTTGTTAGGAAAGTGGTCATCGCGATGACCTAAAAAGAAAGGGTGTAATCTTGAGGGAGTCTGGAGATCTTTGCAGTACATTATGCTGCTGACTGTGAGCTTAATGATGTCACGAAGTGGATGAAGTAACCGTAGCAATCATAATGGCTAATAGAATCTTGATCCTAAGCTTGTTCATCGGTAATACCGCACCAAGTAGTGGCGGTCACAGTCATGATACGTTGAGCTTGGCTGCGGCAGGACTGTCGTCACGACTAGTACACCGATATTTGGCGATCATATCAGCGGAGTGAGCACGACCCCAACATAAGCGGGCGGAAGTCCAGAAATCACAGCTACTGTAGTCATGAAACAGTGATGAGATGTATCCGAAGTACCTGCACGCAGTGCGAAGGTCGCCGGACTTACACGTCTGCCTTGCCCAGTGTCATTGCTGGCCTGAGAAGAACCACAGCAGTATGATATTATAGCATACCAGCTCGTTGATTGACAATCGAACCATTGGATTTGGCCCTCATTCCAGGATAGCGGTCGGTCGAGTCGTTGTTCAAGGCAGGATCGACCCATTTTGCTTCAACCCCATTTACGCGCCGGCGCTTGCATGAGGCACGGTAAGCCACATAATTGCTTGACAATTGCTTACAGAACTAGATATAATTTGGGGAACTCTAGCGTTGATCAAAATGGGTCCAGGTCCAGTTTCTCGGCTGCGCCGCATGGCGGGCGCTTAGAGCTGAAGGATGACGGACGGGACGTTTTATTCTTTACGCCTTGCTCACCTGCCCGATTTGCGTGCCTTGGATGTTGGGTGTTTACAAGTGAGACATGCGAATGGACTTCATATCGTAATCTGACTAGATCATGGTGAGCTGTGCCGGTCGTTTCGCGGCATCCTTCTGTGGGACGGCCTCCGCATATGGCGGTCTTAGGCACTGCAAGTCATGGTAAGGCTGCATAGAGACTACCGATGATTAAACGCTTGGAGTTTCTATCGTTGCATCTGTGCGGTCCACGGGGTGCCTAAACCCTCAAGGCTCAGATTACTAGGTCGCTAGCTGGGTCGCTCTCAGTCACATCAAGCTAAAGACCATAGCATAAGAAATATTGTGGACTTGCTGTTGAGTGTTGTGTATCAACCCAGATTGACGAGACGAGATTGAAGATCGTGTTGGCCGCGTCAAATATGCGTTTATTCGGTTAACCTGCATATGCATGCCCGGTTGTTGGGGAGCAAGTGACCGTTTTTCTTGCACCTGCATGCATACGCCTGCGGTCACATGTTTCCAGCACACACCTCATACTTCGGAAGAGATTGCCTCATTAGCTGAGGCAGGTTAGTCTACAGCTACCGATGCTGGAATATTCCACCCAGTGGCTCTTTGTCCAGTAGCGCCAGCCATGGTAACACCATACCCATGACATGGTACATGATGACCTAGTTCCCTTCAATTGTTGGCCTCGATAATATACCTGAGAAATGTCTACACAGCTGCGAAGCTTCTTGGCTCAGAGTATCGACGGCACAGTCGCACGCCATTTCCAGCCGTGTGTGACGTGAAGATGTATTCTCCTATTCGCCGCTTTCCGGAAAAATAGGTTGGAAGATGATCAAGGTGCCTTTTGGTGTGTGCGTAAGGCTCAGCGTGGTCGCAGAAGAGGTCGTTGCGGTAGAAAAACGTGCCTGAACCCTGCCAAAGCCCGGGCATTCAACAAATGTTGGGTCCGGTAGTATGTGTTGCTTTTCTCTGTGCTTATCTCCGAATCTGCGATAGTGTGATTGTTGCGTCGCAAAGAAGACCAGCAGCATATGTACTGACAAGGCTTGAGTCTAACGATTGTACTACTCTGATAATTGACATGTGCAGTATATCAGCCACTGCCTCTACTATCTTTCTTGAAACTTTGAAATGTGATGTGAACATCGATCTCCCTATCTCAGTAGTGTTAGACTTAGTACTGTAGATCCTGTTAGTACGATGTCACTGCCCGGATGCTTGGACAATGATCACACTACACTTGACCGGTTACGAGCATTCGACAGACCAGGTAGCCGTTGGAAACCTACCGCGCTAATGAATCAATGAGAGTGGCATTTGCTGATGCGGGGACTAGGAATTCATGGGGTCCTTCATGAGCTAGAAGACCCACTGTGCGTTACCAATAATCCGGCATGCCACGTTTCTGCGCGCTTAATGTCGTCTGCTTGAGATCGGCGTAGATCTTGGTTTTCCCTTTTGCCGCCTGCTTAGCTACCGTTTTTTCGTTCAATGGTCAATGACAGGCTCCTCAAAGACCCTCAACCAGAGCAAATGAGAGATCATTTGCCCAATGTGACTAGATTCTGGGCGTGAAACAAGGCTAGCTCATACTTTTGGCGTCTTTGTCATGGTCTTGCGCTACGGAGTGTGGCAAGCCCTTCCGGATTCAGGATAATTCACCCATGATTCGTTGAAGCATCACCTATCCAACATGAAGACGACGAATCATGCGCTGGCCCCTCATGGAGGCCCACTTTCCCTGCAGCGATGTGAACGTGCTGGCATGGAATTGGTACATTCCATCGTGAGCAGCTGTTGGCAATCGACCAAAAAGTTGACCGCTTCGTAAACGTCACTTCTCTATGCTGATAGCGTAGTTGACAGATCGTTTCAAACATGGTGGCGGGTCTCAAGAGCGCAGAAAGGGAGATATGGGCTCACCATGGTGTATGCGCGAGACTGAGACATTCCTTTATGCCTGTTACACGCGACGGCAACAGCATACGGTCTTCCAAGCATGGTCAGAACTGAGGATAGTGGTGACTGTCCGGCTTCACCGGCTTCTCGACTTACTCGTTTCGAGATTTTAGCCAGAGTGATTGGGCGCCGCTTCCGTCGCAGTGGTGTAGTCCAAACAAAGGGAACAGGTTTTCTTCGGTTGCAGCCCCACCTGGTCATGCTGCGATTATCGTCGATCAATTACGGCTGATGAGGGACCAGCTAAGGCGCTGATTAACGTGGGTTCTGGTGTTGGGGGTCCACCTCTCGCCGCTCTTGACAATTCTCGTGCCATCTGCCGTTTCTAGAAGTGGGCACCCGCATATACTTTCAGCCATGTGAGATCAGGCTCGGTCCGTTGTGTTGGAGGCGTGGACAACTGAAGCGAGAGAAAGAAGTAGTCGCAATGTGTCTAAGTCGTTTTGGACTGCTGCCGCTTTGACGTCAGATTCTTCCATCACAAGCGACGCCTTCCCCACTCAAATAGGAGCAAGACGAAGAATTGGATATGAGTCGTGAACATGGGGTGCTAAGCAAATTGTCGATAGTATGAAGCGAATCTCCTGCATCATGGTGAGTCCATCCAGCTGTTGGGTGAAGGCCGTCTCCAGCATGCAGAGTGGGCAAGAGAAACATGCGCAACCAACTTCTATTCCATTAAAATTTGCCTCAAATCAAGTATCGCAGTACATTCGAGAAATCGCAGCTTGAACCAAGGGATACCGAAGTAAATCCCGACTATCACCCAACAAAAAGCTCCAATGTGCCCTCCAAAAGTGACCAAAAGTGACAGAGACGCATCCTCCAAGTGTACCGATACTAGTGCTCAAGATGCTTCCCTTTCATCGCTGGCGGGGTGCACACTGATGAGGTAGTTAGTGCAGTGCCAAACTGTGAAACTGACGGACTCACCATGCAATGGGCGCACAATCGACCCTTTTGGTCGACGAAAGTGTAGTTCTGTGGATGGCCTTCTTGCTGCCAGTTATCGCACGGATATCTGTTGTAGCCACCACCTGTTGCGCCGGTAGGCCTGCCGCCAGTAGAAGATTGTTGGGGTTGGTTTTGGGAAGGCATTGTAGTGACTGAACAGAGAATGTAGAGACGATTGTAAACTGTTGTTGAACTCGTTTGACCGTATGATGCAGGTATGGGGAGACTGTGGCTGCTCTGTGGTTATATACTTCGCATCGAAGATGCTGTGCACTTTATAGTTGCACAAGATATCTTTCACCATCGAACCTTTCTATGCGGTTTCCGCGCCTCAATCAAAGATCACTAGACAGAGCAACATTAGCTGGGTAGATTTCGCCCCTACCGAGAGCGGTCACATTGCATTGATGTTCGGGCCCGGGAGGTGGCCGTCAGGCAGTCTTGTGAGAACAGCGAATACGCCACACGGCACCATGAACGCCTCATCAGAACGGAGCGTCAGAAGGAAACCACCTCAACTGTGCCTCCGCCACGCTAGTATGGAAATCCCGGAGCCGCTCTGACAACATTCATTTTCCCGCAATACCTATCGTGCGATGCCTATTCCGCTCTGCACTTCGACTCGGCACAGCCGAGCCGGCCCTTTTGGCAAGCGCCCCACACACCAATTACATATTGCAACAACATCGGACAGCCTGAGGCATCTAATATCGGGTCCACATCAGTAGGTCTACAAGAAAAAGGTTACGTATTTCGCTCCGAGCGTTTTCGAATGTCTTACAACAGACCCACACATATAGCCTCCCCTGGAAGCAACAGTGCTACCTGTCGAGTGCTTGCCGTCCAACAAGGCGCTAATGGTAAGTGGATTAGCTCCTGAGGAATCCTCAACGTCTGTATAGGCCGCTGATCAATATTGCTACATCATAGGGTGCTCAACCGATGCCAGGCATCAACCCGAACCTCCCATAGCCGGCGCGTCGTTGCGCCTACACCCTGCCAATGATTCTGCAGCGGGTTAACGGCTGTTCTTGAACAACACAGTATACGGTCCGATATTCAGGATGAGACATGCAAGCTGGCTCACCGGAAAGAGCTGAGGACTGGTGCCGCATTATCGAACATGAGGCCGGTTGTACTATCGTCAAGCAGTACGTGCATCGAGACTGTGTTGAGTCATTGTAGGATTTCCTCGGCATTACTGATCATGGCCTTTTTAGTCGTATCTTGGACCACTTCAGTCGCCAGTGTAAATCTGCTTCCCAGTCAAGTAGCCAACAGCCCAAGCTCATGAAACGATCGGGTGAACACCATGTTAATCACGCCTAGACCAAAAGCGTAGATATCTGACTGCTACTATTGAAGACTGCGTAAGATGTGCAGGAAGTGAAGCACACAAGTGGCGTGAGGAGAGCCCTGCCAGTGGGCAAGTTCCCAAGCCACTGACGCCGAACTTGGGGTACACATGCCAGAGAAGAAATCATATCATGATTCTGAATTCCGTGAAGCAGACTCATCCTGGTAGGTATCCTGGATGAGCATCCACGAGCCAGTAGAAGTGCCACTCAAATCAGGTAACTCCTGCGCTCGAAGCTGCGATACCGATCCGACTACTGGCGGGATCATGGAACAAACTAGCAAACATATCAAGCAGCTCTATCACAGGGTGCAGGGTCACTTCAGAAACTCCATACTGTGTTTCCTGTCTCGTTTTGTTTCCTAGGCGTGCATCTAACGCATAAACACGCTTCAAGCAATCGCCTCCACGACTGTGCCGCATCACTTGCTCGCTGCGTCGACCACATTCACCAGCCGCATCTTTAGCCAACCACACAACTATCGATGAATGACTTGAAATTGGTCGTAGAAGAGGGGCTATGCTTGGCTGAGAACAATACAGCATTAAGCACCAGTATAGGAGCGACTTGAAACTGAAGAAGCACCGCTACATTCAGGAAAACAAGCAAGACGGTTTCCCGAAGAAGAGCTGAAAGGGCAGAGACAGGAACAATGCTTTGTATTACAGGCGTAAGCCATCCGATCTAGGCCGTGATCTTAGCATCCCTCCTCTAGCACTCACCTTCCCTGTCGCCGAACTCACACCATTTATTGTGTCTTGGCGACCGCTCCTTCAAGGATTAAGCTCGCAAAGGCCTCTCTCTCTGCATATTGTCACACCAGTCAGTGTCAATTCAAGTGGAGGAATTACCATCGTTGATATAAAAGTACTAGTACGAAGTAAACGCAGCTTGAGTAACGCCTCTACAAGCTCAGCGAGTGATCTCCAGATGACCAAAAAACGTTTTTGGAAGATTGTCTCACTGTATGGGGAACGAAGACAACACCCAGTGACCTGAAGATCTAGGCGTCCATTGGCGTCAAGCATGATAGGTGTATACCTTGAATGTGAGGCGAATCACAACCCCAACGATAGTAGTGGCGAATATGGGAACGTAGTCACATTATCCTCCTGTGATCATACGCTATGCGATAGCATTCTGCTCGCATTAATTACTCAAAACATTCTTGGTCGTTCCACACCCCTTGACATTGGCTGGTCTAGATAACGCTATCGCTCAATGACATTTTGTATTGAACGATGTGGTCCTCCTAATTGTACGCTGCCACTCTGTCACCAACATCCAGCATGACTCCGCCGCCGTCTTCAGCGTCGAAGAACTCGTCATCACTTTCGTCTTCTTCAAGTTCTGTAGGCGCGTCGCCCACACCTTTACTTTCGAGTAGCGCGATAACCTTCCAGGCAGCGATAGTCTCAGCCTGCAATCTCTTGATTCCCTCGACGCTCCCTCCGACATCTTTCCCACCAATGCGAACCTGAACTCTATACCCTCGTTCAGAACCTTGTGTCTCACTCTTGTTACCTTCTTTGTCGCTCGGAATACGAACGTACTTGATACCCTTGTTAGCAGCAAGGGTATTGATCCGCTCTTTCGGATGCAAGCAGTCTACACCGTCGCGCAAGATACGTTCGAGACATGGCAAGATACCAAGACGACGGACGAAATCTTCGCAGACAGATATAGAGCCATGAGAATCGATATAGAGGGCGCCGATAGCACTCTCGACTATATCGGAAAGGAACTTGGGTGGATCAGTGAGCGAAAGGGCATGCCACGGGAAGCGATTGTCCTGCGCTAGAGCGGCAGCGATAAAATCCCGTGTCTCGGCATGTTTTTGTAAGGCTATAGTCCTCGCAGCGATAAGTTCCGCACTCGATGATCGGAGGAACTGCCATAAAGCTCTCTGATGTATCTCTGGCTGGAGGGTCGCCTTGTTTGTCAATTCCTCTGCTACTGTAGTCTCGAACATGCAGTAAGACAGAAATGCAGCATTGACCATTGCCGTTCGGACACCATGCATCTTCCAATGTGGAAGGCTTGGTTTGTGAGCATAGAGCCGCTTTGAAATGATGTAGTCGAGCACTGCGTCACCCAGAAACTCGAAACGCTCGTAAGAGCAATGGACGTTAGGGCCCCGGAACGTGGGATGCGTGAGTGATTCAAGTAGAAGTTCTTTCTTGTTGAACGTATGACCTAACAGCTGTTCAAGCAACACCAAGTTCGCTACTTTGGCTTGAGAAGAAGCTGCTTCATAGAGTATCTCATTTGCCCTTGGAATAGGCGTCCATTTCTCAAGCGGTAGGAGAGCTTTCATGCACACAAAAGCTTTTGAAAACCCACCAACAAGGTATGAAGCTCCGATGAGTGATTCTATAACGTCGGCGATCAGTTTTGACGACTTCTCCTCCTTGACTGGCGGCGCGGTTCCAGCGAGTGTCTGACCAATGTATCGTGGTTTCCACTTAGCACCTGTGAAACGCTTGTAGAAGATGAATTTGTCGAGACCTGCAGCTAATGTGGCCCGTGCTAGATATCCGTTACTGACAAGCTTTCCTTTCTTCCCCGTTAGCATACCCTCTGGCATGAGCAGATTTGCAGCCATCACATGAAGAGAAGCCATAAACTTCAAGATGCAGTCTCCGAGAAACTCCATCCTTTGGTAGTTGTTGCATCCATCGACTGCGGATGAGGTGAGTGCCGTGATGATCATTGGGAGGTCCGATGTTTCGAATTCGGCTGGCTTTAGTAGCGTCGTTCTAAGCGTATCCGCGATCATGTATACCTCAAGCCTGTGTAGGATTGATGGAAACAGTAAAGCAAAGATGGCAAATCTGGCAGGAAGATTCTCGACGATACATGTCGAAGCTAAAAGACTCTCGACCTTGGTGTACGCGTCGTTCGTGTCCGCACTTTGGTAGACAACATGTAAGAAGTCTCGACGCTTAGGCAACCGCACAGCTCGTAGCAAAGTTTCGTATCCTCCCGAAAGATCTGGAGAATCTGATGGCGTGATAGCCATAGGCATGAATTTCCGAGCGTCGCCTTGCTGCATAGTCAAACCCCAGCTTGCTATGTTGATATTTCCTTGAATCAGAAGTCTGGGTGCTGATTGTTGGCCGTTTGTCGTCGCATGCCATTCATGGAGTTCACTCTCAGTCATCATGTAACCTGATGAATCGCACGGAGCAAGTAGACAGAGGAAGTCGTCAACTCCTTCTTTGATGTGAACTCCAAAGACTGAATGCAGAATCTTCCACGTAATAGAGCGCAGTAGACCAATATCTATGTCGGCCAGTGATGTACCATATAGACAAGAGCTCGTAACTGTGTACCGCTTGGATTCGTTCCAATGTAGTAACATATCAGGGACTTCGTACATGGCGACAGGAGTCAGCAGTATGATACGTATCGGCTCCTCATCTGGCGCCTTTACCTCAAGCAGAGTACGGTACCATTTATCGGGTTCATGCTGATGAGACTGTGCGACACTTAACCAAGGATCGAGAGTTGGGGCAACGGGCACAACGGATGGGCGATCGTCTCGGATCTGGTACTGTGCTGCGTCGTCTTCTTCGTCTTGTACAGGGAGAAGATTTTCGTTCACCAATCCGTGCGAATACAAAGCCTTATATGCTTCAAAGGCAGCATCTTTTTGAGCCATGCGCTCTGTCCTCCACGTCTCGAAGCTTTTGGTTTTCCTCACTTTGGGATCAACTGAGAGCGGCAATGTGATCTCAGCGGTGATCTGGCCGCGGTCGTTTGTAAACTCGACTTCTGGTCGCGTATCGGCATAAGCGCTACCCCCAAGACGAGCGCAGAAATGATGGAGGTGTTGAGAGGCGTTATCCAGAGTTAGTAGAGCGCTGGTTTTGTTAGTAAATAGATAATCAGGGTGAGTTAGTTTTAGTGGCTGGATGCTAGAGCAAACACGACCCAGAAGAATCTCCACTCACCCAGTATTTGGAACCCTAAAGTACCGCTCTCCGACCTCGTCTATATGTTCCGCTTCCTGCGCTGCATGCACTCGACGCTTATCATCCTCATATGCTTTCCTCATTTCAGCCTCAAGCGACTGCCAGGACGTCGAGGACCGTGCCTCTCCAGTATCGGGCACGAAAATCAGATAACGCGATTCTTGTTTCCTTGCTCTTCCTCGTCGTTGAACGAAGCTTTTCAGATTCTTGGGTCTCTCGAAACATACAACGAGATGACAACTGGATACATCGATACCTTCTTCCAGTACCGTTGTGGCTAGAACAAGGTTGATGATACCAGCGCGAAAGTCATCGAGTGTGGTTTGCTGATTCTTAGGTTCTGCCAAAGCAGATATGTTTGCCTTTTGTTTGGACGACTTCGACGAGCCGACAAATGTCCCTACCCGTAGCAGATCTTTGGTATGTGGGTGGCATACTAGTATCTCTGCGAGCGATGCTACCCAGACCCGCTGCTCGATAAACACAAGGCCGGTAAAACCCGGGGTACCATTGGCTTCAGCTACTAAAGTATCGACAAGCTTATGGACTTTGTGAGACGAATTCTCAATCATGGTAGCAGGTATGGGTGAAGGACTTTGGAGGGGAAGTGCCTGGAGTAGTTGCAAGAGATATTGCTTCTCGGTGGCAGTCAGGTCCAGCAGCTGCTGGTCTGAGCCGCGGGTCATGTTGTCGAACTTGGCTATGCATTGATGTAAGTAGTACTCCATAGCAGAGACCCCAAGTTCTTTGGCCATTGCCTCAGCTTTTGATACCAACTGTTTCAATTGATCGTAGCAATATGTCTTCTGACTATTCCACAATTTGGTCAGTTGGCGAGAAACATCGAAACCACGCTTTTGTTGGTCCAACAATGCGATCACGTACGGATCTTTCGCAAGATCATACGTGCGGTATAGATGCTGCAACGCAAGGAGCAAGTGAGAATGCTCTTGACCCGTGGCGTCCGAGGAGTAAGTGATTTGCAGTAGCTGAGGTCTATGCGCATACCGCATCAGCTCGGACCTGTGTAGCTTTGGTGTCTTTATGGCCGCATGCAGGTTCTGTTCAATTTGCCTACAGATATCAGGAGGGGGAATCTGTTCTACAAAGTCGAACTTACTGAAGCCCTTCTGCACTAGCCGCTGCTTTCATGACAGGGCTTGCGCTCAAGCCAAGAACTTTAGGTAGTGAGCGGTCTCCATTCTTCAATTGAGGCATGTAGAAATCGGACATTATACTGGTATTGTTAGTTCCTTCTGCTCATGAAGCTTTTGGTACACAATGAAGGACCCTACAGGTGAGCTGGGTGTTTCAATGTGCAATGGTGTGCTACAGGACTTTAGTACTAAGATGTTGTTGTGTTAACGCGACGAACTGACCCTCGTCGAAAATTAGCAAAGCCAGCTTGCTCAACTTGACAAAACCATGCGTGAGGGCGTCAAGGAGTACCCTGAGCATGTATGAGTGGGTGCGCGTGGAGTCTGTTGCGCTCAACCTGGGGGCTTACGCGTGTGTTGAGATGACCACGCGAACATTGAAAAGTACTCGGTCCCACTCTGCCTGGGTCGTCCACAGCTCAACATCATCTCTCCCACAAAGTAGCTGGTGTCCGACCCCAGGTATATTAGATTGAAAGGCATCATATTGCTGCTCGCAGAGTGCAACTGTTGGCGCAAGAAACCAGATAACCTGAAAGAGGCGTGTGAGATCAAGTCTAGCGTGGGGATCTAGTGGCAGGTATAGGCATCCGTACCTGGCCGGGTTCGCACGTTTCCAACTCCGCTCGTGTTCGTTCGATGGCTCTGCGAACTTATCAGTATGGTCCCGTCATGGCAGAACATGCAAGCCTACATATGCGTCTTTCCCGAGCCTGTGTCCATGACGACAATGACGTTGTCTTTCATGCTCTCTGCAACCATCTCAGCTTGATAGCCTCGCAGCTGAAATGTCTCACTGGAAGCATTCGGAATGACTCCACCATGATTGTCATCTCGCATTGGCGAATCCATTCGTATTCTTAAAAAAAAAAGGCGAAGTAAGCAAAGAATGTGTAGAAGTGGTAACCTTTGGTGTTGGGACTTGAGGTCCAAGGGTAGCAGCGTGCTAGCCTACCCGGGTAGCTGTGTTGGCTCGCGGCGGATATGCAGAAGACCAGAACCATGCATAAAGTCCTGGCTGTTGTCCTTACTTCATGAATAACCCCATTAGATTTGACCGAAACGCGCAACACCCAGTGACTGCAATATGAGTTCAAGCATTGGGCATCTCAAGACATCATTTTCGTAAATGCTACATAAGTCGCTTCATGCCTTTGGCGCCGAGTTCATTTATTTCGACCCAGTGCAGGACGGTGCTGCATCATAAACCTCTACAAGTTCGTAAGGTAGTCCTCAACCTCAGACGGGCTCAGCTTCCTGAACCGTGGTCCCACAGCGCCTTCAACACCCTCAACGCCAAGGAGCCTCTCCTCTGGCGGTCCGACGATACCAATCTCGACGGTCTCTCCATTCATCTCTCCTTCTATGGTCTCCTTGAGTGTGAGCAGAGCAATGTGAATAGCGTCCTCAAGCTCGAGACCGTCAGTGTATCGCTTCTCCAAGAAGGTCTTGGCGCTTGTCGCGCTCTTTCCGATCGCTGTTGCCTTCCATGGGAAATAACTGCCGCTGGGGTCGACCTGGTACAGACTGGGTCCGCCCTTGAGGATGCCACCAGTCTTGCCGCTGACCTTCTTCTTCTCCTCGCTCGTCTGCTCTTCGCTCTTGCCTTCAGCCTCAGGCTCGATACCGTCGTCCCATCCTGCAATCAGCAGACTGACACCATACGGTCGAACACCACCAGACTGTGTAGCCTCCTGCATCACTCGCGCCACGTCCTGGACTAATATCCTCGTAGGTGGGTATTCGTTGTAGACGCGCTTGTAGCCAGTATGTGAGACCTTGCGGGCCTTGTCGACGAGAACGCGGTAGTCAGGGCCCATGCCCGAGTAGACCATACCGATGTTGGGTGTTATGAGACTAATTTTTGATGACGATTGCGAGTCGATGAGCGGCGATGACGACTTCTTCTCGGTCGCGAGGACAATGCCGTTGGTTGCTGCAAATTCCAGTCAGCACTGTTGGAAGCCAATGAGCAGAGTGACGTACCCTTGATTCCTAGTGAGGTAACACCCTGGTTGACGGCGTTCAAGGCATACTCTATTCATGTGTTAGATGTTGTCTGCTCCAGTATGGCGGGACTCGTGATATTTCCAGGGCGCATACCGATCTGTACCAGCTTTCCGCTATACGAATGTTAGCAAACATATCATGTGTAATCCACATCGCAGTGTTTACCTGGGAGAGAAAGTGGTGAGGGAGAAGGAGTATCTATCCGCCATGGCGACTGCTTGACAGGATCGAGAGGTGGTATGTGAGGAAGGGTGTAGTCGGCGGCAGGGAGAGGTTCAGTGGGGTTGATAGACGACGCGGGTTACTGGAGGCGATCTGCTAGAGCTCCAGGCTACCCAGAGCTTCGTCGCCGACGGCGCCAAGACCGGCGCTCGGCCTAACCGTGCCTCCGGTCTGCTTCCAGGAAGCTGCAACTTTGATTTCTTCGACCTTCCAGAACTGCTCCTCTGAATCACCACCACGTCTACGACACCTGCATCCTGCCACCGTGTCCCTAGTGTCATACAGCAAAGGCGGCTGTGGCGGAGCATGATCCGCACTACCGAGACACTTAAGTCGGCGAATGTCTTCCCCGCGACTTCCTGATTGATCGCCTTGTCATCCTATGCTTACCCACATACTTCTTTACTGGTAAGAGCTGCATTAACTTCTACCTTGTACCTTTACAGCATTTCGATCCGCCATGTCTTCGTCTTCTGGATTCCAGGCTATGCCGGGTTGGTACTGGCCTGACGACGCGCCGAAGACGGAGCCCTCCCAGCCATCACCTTCAGGCACCTCCAGTACCAGCGACAACGCTTCGTCGCAATCGCGCAGCTCTAGACGTACTCACTGGCCGCCGCGACAATGCAGGATATGTCTCGAGACGGTTCAGCCAACATTCAATGTTCCCTCACAAAGCCTCCCCGGCTTCTTACAGTCTTCCAATGTGGTTTACGAAGACGAAAGCGGTCGCCTGATCCGTCCATGTATGTGCAAAGGTTCATCCAAGTATGTTCATGAGGCTTGTCTACAGGCTTGGAGGCATGCAGACCCTAGCTATGGGCGTAGGAACTACTGGCAATGCCCTACTTGTGGCTTCAAATACCGACTTGCGCGTCTTGGAGTTGGGCGCTTCATAGGTAGCATTGGTACGTTTTTGTCATTATATCTCCTTTTTTTTACGATGACTTACACGTTCCAGGTGCTCAGGTTGGTTTGACTGCCATCATATTAATTTCCATCATCTTCGTCCTTGGTTTCGTTGCCGATCCTATCATAAACCTGTATCTGGATCCATGGAGCTTCTTGTCCCCTTTCTCAGGATCTGACTACTCGTACTACTATGAGGACGAAGAGTCAGCCACTTGGTATGAGCACTTCGCTAAAGGCTTTGCCAGCATGGGTGTGCTTGGTTTCTTGAAAGTTCTCATCGCTAGTCCGCTCTCCTATTTCAGAATTGGAGGAGGCCGAGGTCGAACGACTGGTCGAGACCGATATGAGCAGGTTAGCTGGATCATTATCCTGATAGGCGTGGGCACATTTCTAGCGGTATGTGAAGAAACCGCTTCCATCATAATCATTTACTGATAGTATTTAGGCAATCTACAAAGGAGTCCGTGTATGGAGTCGCCGTACGCTTGAAAAAGCTGGCGAACGTGTCATGGATGTTCAAGGCGATAATGACGACGATGATGAATAGCTTCGGCTGAAACGGAGACGGTTCATCGAGCAGTTGCTTCCAGTATCTTCACTCAACACTTGGTCAAACACTTTCCAACGTCCGCACTTTCTTAAATTGCCACAAGTTATTCCTCAATACTGTGTCGATTAGTCTACGTGCGAAGATCAAACCAGCCCGCGACCTCCATATCGGCATTGCGCGTTTTGTGCTCGCCGGCTTTGTGGAACGTGGCGCTACCCACCTTTGGCACTCATTCTGTTCTATCTCGCCCGCTCTACCCTCGTGGGGCCCCTCTAGTTTCTTCTGTCAAAAGAAGAAGCAAATAGGGGCCTGGAGCATCCTTTGTGGCATGAACGACATCAGGCCTCTGGTACATCTTCATTCATCACTTGTGAACGTAGAGGACTAAACAATTGCATGACAGCTTGTAAAGAATTATTATCGTGAATCACAAACGAGATTAAACGCCACCATGGTCACTGCTAGTGACACTACCATAAAACCCAAATAACGCCGTAGGTGTATACCCCGCAAAAAGGTGCTGCAAAGCTTGTCCATCTAAAGTGATGATGCTTGCCTCGCAATACCGTATATGTCCAACCAGTCCCAACCAATCCCAAGAACAAACGAAAACCGTACAATACAATATATATAGGCCCAGGGTATCAATGTAGAATATTAAAAGCCACTTCTCCTTCTCTTCCTCAACTAGTGATCAGGCTTGCCACCCTTCATGAAGACCCTCTTGGTAGCACCAACCTTGCCGAGATCACCAAACTCGGTCTTTTTCCCAGCCACAGCACTACTTGGGCGACTGTCACTTGTGCTATCTGTCCGCTCGAAAGGTGGATGGCTTGAAGTGATGACATTACTGCTCACGGTGCGAGCTTGCTTCATCATGCCTTCGATCCACTCCAGCTTCTCGCCACTAAGGTCCAACTTCTTCGCTTTCGGGCCAGCGAGCCCGACTTCTTTGCCTTGCCAAGAGTTGCGAGACGAGGTCGAAGAAGGCATAGTCGAGTCTTCAGTAGCGCCTGGTGTTCCAGTGATGAAGCTAGGCATCGGTGGAGGCGCTTCGTCGCTTGTGAAGTAGCTCAGACCAGATGACTTGACGGGTGTCGTGTTTGGACTGGCCAAGGGAAAGCCGACGCTGATTCGTCTCTCCATTCTGCTCGCCCTGCTGTCTGGTCGGGTGGGAGAACCATCGGGGTTCTTCACCTCGAGACCCAGGACCTCAAATTTGCCTTCGCTTGCAGTCCTGCGACCGTGGTGCTCAGCGTATTGGCGCAGATACTCACCCAAATCAGACCAACCACCACCAACGCGGACCATGACACGCTCACCATTCTCACCAACGCGGCGGATGAACAGCTTGATGGGCTGTTCTTTGCCAGGTTGCGTGAGATGATACAATTTGATGTCATTATCGCCTCTTGCCGCCGCTGCAGACCTCCGTCCGGATGCAGTGTTGTTTAGATCGAACTCGCTCTTCGCAGGCGACAGAGTGAGCTCGGGAGACTTGAGGCCACTGACTGAGCGAGCTGCGCGCAGGTATCCACGACTTCCCTTGGCTAGAAGGCCACGAACTGGCTTGACTTCGGGTGCATCGGGGCCCGGACCTGATCTGAGTCTAATGCGGCCGGGAATGGTTGTCAGGATATCGGAGATCTTGCGCTCGAGCTCTTCTGCGCTGCTGGTGGATTTCTGAGCGAAATGTGTTGGCGGCCATGGTGCGCTCACTGTATCGTCTGCGGTAGTAGTGGTAGTAGTAGTAGTAGTCTGTACAGGTCGACGCTTCGCCATGGCTGCATTGAGCTCGGGACGCGGTGCTCTCATAGAGCGGTTGGTTGCGTTTCGAACTGAAGGAGACTCCTCCACGGTACTAGGTGGGCTCGAGTCTGGTGAGATGTCTGTTGACAGCGAACTCAAACTACCTCTCCACGAACGTGGTGTTTGAGGCGGCTCCATAATGGGACTGTCCTGGCCATCGTTTTTAGTGATAGTTGGATTACCAAAAAGGGCCAGAGGTTTGGGTCGGCTTTGTGAAGATGCCTGGGATGGTTGATCTACTCCAGTCGGGGCCGATGAAAGTGACTCAGACTCTGACTGCGCGGCGACGTCTTCAGGACTCTCGTCGAGTTCGTATTGTACCACAGTATCGCCTTCCTCAAACTCCGAGTCTTCGTCAACAGATGGCGCGATGCCTTGTTGCAACTCGACTTCTGTAGCCTCAGTCTCTCCGGATACCTGACGTGTGTTGTTGGAGCCGATGGAGGTGTGGAGTGTCGAATTGCTGCTGTGGGATACGTCGAGTGCATAGTCCCCGGAGAACATCTCCCGATGAGGTATACTACCAAAGTAGTCATGCGGAGTTACTCGATGGCTATTTTGCGGAGCAGCTTCCTCTGGCGATGCTTCGTTAGCAGACGCTACAGAATCGATTCGAGCATTGACAGCGGCTGGTCTAGAGGCAGAAGCGGACTGCACAGGGTTGTTGTTCGGGTGTAGCCCGGGCTGAGGTGCGAGGTCAGAGGGTTGTAATGTCTCGTGTGTACCGCCCTTGCCAATGACATGAAACCCCTCGGCCCGCCTTCGGACTTCGAGGTCGATGACCCTCCTTCTCGATTCGTGTTTCCAGCGTCCGTAGTCAGCCTCTGTAGTCTCAAAGACGTCTATCCAGTTGTCTGGCAGGCAGTCCTCCTGACCTTCGAGCGTATCGAGCATCTTGTCCAGTTGCCTACCCAGATCGCTGACTTTTTGGTGAAGCACCCGAGAGATGGTGTCTACGGCACTCTTCCACTGCTCGAAAGCGGCATCGGACGTATCTGCTGGTGGCTCAATGGCCTCCCAGCCTAACCGCATAGCTTCTTGCGCAGTGTCGAGCTCGCCGGTGTAGCGGGGTGCTTCGCGGAGGATGGAGACGCGGGCAGTCCATGTGCTCAGGCGGGCTTTCAGCTGGGCGTGATGCGGTAGGGCGGACAGGAGGGTTTGGGTGATGAGAAAGGAGAAGTCGTCCATGAGCTTGTAATGGTGGCGGTTGGCCTCGTAACCAGCAGAGGACGGTCTCGACCTGCCTGCTGGGTGCATGTCCAGCACATGTTCCTTCAGCTCTTCGACATCTAGCTTCAGCATCTCGTCGGCGATGTCGTCTAGCCGCGCCTCGTGTTGCTCCACCTCGACTGACAGCATCGACCCCCAGTATTCCAATGGCGGCATGGCATCGGCGCCGTCGGATTCGGCCACGTGCTCCCTGATGTGCATCTCGATGCTTTTCCTCCTCTGTTCGCGGAACTGGGCGCTCGGCTGCTCGAAGCTGCCCGACCAGCCCCATTGCTCAATCTCGGCGCACCATATCTTCAGCCGCTGCGCTGCCTTTGCGACGCGCGATCCCAGGTCCCGCTCGGCGGCGGTGAGGGTCTCGATGCAGGAGAAGATGCTGTATTCGTCGCGTGTGGTGTCGTAGGGCATGGGCTTCTGCGTAAAGGCGCGGAGGGTGGTTTCGGGCGACAGATCGCGGAGGCGGCTCTCTTCTGAGCTGCCGTGCGCCCTGCCTCTTCTGGTTGCTGGTGACATGGCTGGCGATGCAACGCGACGGGGTGTCAGGGGCGGAATCATCCGCAGAGGTGAGGAGAAGACGTCCATGGCGATGTTTGCGGTCGGGATGAAAGAGCGACTGGTGACTGTTACGACAAGGAAGGTACAAAGGAGAGGCGACGAGTCTCAGACACAGCAAGTCGCGAGTGGCTGTGCGGCTGGGACTGCGATGGTCATGAATTAGTATCCTCTGTCTCCCTCCTGTTGCCGTAGTGGTTGCGCTGCCGGCAGCCCGAATGTTTATTGACTGACGCAGTCTTCGCCGAGCATCTTGCGCCGTGCGCTCTTGCATCGTTCACCCGCATGTTACTAAGCCAAAAGCACATTAGCTGTAGATCCGTTTCGGATTCGACACCCAAGCTCTCGCGACAACTGTGCCTGGTCGCCTTGAGACGGCACCTTGATGGACGATAATGCTATATAGCTAGCAAAACTCCCCGTGTCTTCAGCTACTGTCTTCATGCATCAGCCTTCGCAATGCCCACCTTGCCAAGCGTGTCGCGGAACAAGGCAATTCTCTCCGCACTCCCCCCGCAATCAACTTCAACCGGCCATCTTGTGCTCTGTGCCGTCTACACCATCCGCTCACACTTTCCACTACGCTTGCTTTTCTTCGGACGGCTTTCGGGTCAGTCTCTGACGACGTGCACGGAACAGCAGCGTCGGCATGCGCGACTTTCCGACCTGCTATCTGACCGTCAGATTTTGACCGCAGAAGATACGCACCTCTCTGCACACTCTCTTCCTCATTCCAGAAGCTACCCCACTACGTATATCGTCATCTTCCTCTGCCAAGCACCTTAATGCTCCGCCCCGCGTCTCTATCTCATTCACCTTCCCGAGTGCGTTAGCGAATTACCTGTATACCTCGTCGTTACGCAGTGCCTGCATCCAGCTACAGTTACCCCATGTCACAATACGATGGCACGTAGGAGCAAGGAATTCGGCAAGCTCGATTGCCCTCGGTAGGAGCAGCTATCCTCTAGGTGGAAAGATTGACGTTATCGAACCGAACCTCGAGCGAGCTGCTTGCAAGTATAAAAGGTACCATGCATCGTACCATTCTGCGGCACCCTTCTGCCTCTGTGAAGTGTGCATTTGTCAGTCAACATGAAGGCAACTCTTTTGGCACTCGCTGCTATTGGCGCGCAAGCCTGCCAGCGTGAACGTGCATTTCTACATCACCCACATAAGCATGTCAAGCGGCAATCCGTTTTCCCTCCAGCCTTGACACCCGATGAAGAGATATTGCTAAACTCCTTTGACTCCGTATCAATATCCGAATGGTCATACTACTACAGTATGCTTCACCAAACTTGCCAAAACAAGTAAACTAACCAAACGTAGCTCATGGCCAACATTTGGCTGGTCAGAATGAGTCGATGGGTAATCGAAGGTCGTTCTCAAACGATACAGCAGAAGACTAATCATGAGTGCAGCCCAGTGGACTGCCGACAAATGGTCTGAATACGGATTCACCTCAAGGCTCGACGAGTACTGTACGTTACTACTATCCGCAACTTCATAAACATCTATTCCGAGAATGACGCAGACAAGTACTGACATGACTCAGATGTCTTCCTTAACTACCCTGTATCGAACTCGCTGCAGCTCACATATTCCAATGGTAGCACTTACACTCCTACCCTTATGGAAGATGTACTGGCAGAGGACGAGACAACGAGCTATCCCAATAGCGTTCCAGTCTTCCACGGCTACAGTTTCACCGGCAACGCATCTGCAGAATACGTTTACGTCGGACGAGGCCAGCAAGTTGACTTTGACCGCCTCGCGGCGCTTGGTGTCGATCTTGAGGGCAAGATTGCGCTGGCAAAGTATGGTGGCCCATTCCGTGGCCTCAAGGTTAAGAATGCTCAGGACCACGGTATGATCGGTGCTGTGATTTTCAGTGACCCTAGCGATGATGGAAACATGACGGAAGGTGAGCTCAGTAGATCTTCTGCCAGACTTTCTCATTAACAGCTCTTAGCAAAGGGAGTGGCCCCCTACCCTTATGGTGGTGCGAGAAACCCTTCAACCGTCCAACGTGGATCCGTCCAGTTCTTGTCTACTTATCCAGGAGACCCGACTACTCCTGGTTACGTCTCCAAGCCAGACTCACCACGCGCAGATCGCACCAACATCACTCCACAGATTCCATCATTACCTATTTCTTGGATTGAAGCCCAGCCTCTACTTCAGGCACTCAACGGCTTTGGAACCAACGGCACTGCAGTCAACAGAACAAACTGGGTTGGTGCCATTCCCGGAGTTGGTTATTTCACAGGCGAGGGATCTGGCGCATCTCTATCGATGAGTAATGTGATGAACGACACGTATGGCACAATCTGGAACGCCGTTGGTATCATCAATGGTACGCTTGAGGATGAAGTCGTCATTGTTGGCAACCATCGTGACGCTTGGATTGTTGGCGGTGCTGCCGATCCTAACTCTGGATCTGCCGTGCTCATTGAGTTGGCCAAGGCATTTGGCGCCCTCGCTGAGACAGGTTGGAAGCCCTTGCGAACAATTGTCCTCTGCAGTTGGGACGCCGAGGAGTACGGCCTCGTTGGAAGCACTGAGTGGATGGAAGAGTACATCCCCTGGCTCAAGAACGCTGCAGTGTCCTACCTCAACATTGACGTCGCGGTCAGCGGGCCCATCCCAGACGTTTCCGCAACTCCAGACCTCCACGCCGTTGCTACGAATTTGATGAAGAAGATCGTTTACCCTTACCGAAACGATACTGGCCTTACCATGTACGACGTCTGGTCGCACGAGAGCGGCGAGGTGGGTGTTCTGGGTAGTGGAAGTGACTACACCGCCTTCCTCCACCGTGGTATTGCATCCATCGACATGGGAGCTGGTGGAGGTCCAAACGACCCGGTCTATCCCTACCACAGCAATTACGATTCGTACCACTGGATGGCTACCTTTGGTGACCCTGGCTTCATCACCCACAAGGCCATGGGACAGTTTCTTACTCTGCTCTTGTACCACATGGTATCCGACCCTGTCGTGCCCCTTGAGCCAGCAGACTACGTCTCTGAATTCAACACGTACCTTGAAGATCTCGAGACGGAAATCAGTGGTAGCAACTTCACTGTTGACCTTACGAACCTTACTGCTGCAATCGCCCAGTTCGAAACCTCGGCCCAGGAGTTTGTTACGTTGAGAGATCAAGCTGTTGCTGCAAATGATACTGAGCTTATCACCGTGCAGAACCACAAGGCACGCGATTTCTCCAGAGGCTTTACCTCGCAGGGTGGCTTGCCCACAAGGGAGTTTTATCAGCATACAATCTTTGCTCCTGGACGTGATACTGGATATGCTCCGGTCACCTTTCCTGGTATTACTGAGAGCATCACATTCGATCAAGATGCAGACTTGGCGCAGGAGTGGGTGCAGAAGACTAGCTCTGCGATCTTGGTCGCTGCTAGTATCTTGAAGACGTAAAGACTGAAGGAAAAGAAAACATCGTTACGATCATTTGAGTAGTGGCAGAGGGTGGGGGAGACAGCCCACCGACGAACTTGGTGAAGAAGAAATATGTGGTCAGTAGTAGAAAGAATAATGATAATGTATGCTGCGGGATTCCTCGCGTTTCGTTCTTTCAAAGCTGAACAACATTCTCTCCGCTCATTTCACAACAGCAAACAAGAAGCCGTCATAAGATTTCTCGCCAACCGTCTGCAATACCACACCGTCCAATCTCTCATCCTTGCCCACGTTCTCCACTACCCTCCTCGCACCCGCAACCCTTGGATCATCCGTCTCCTCCGCCAATTGACCCTTCCTCACCACATTGTCCACGATGACACACGCACCTGAGCCACACATATGCAGCGCCAAGTCCACATAATTCCAGTTATTCTCCTTATCCGCATCGATGAAGACGAGATCGAACTGCGCCCTCTTCCCCTCCTTGACCTCCTGTACAAGTTGTGGCAGGACATCCATACCAGCCCCGAGTTTGACCTCGACCTTGTCTTCCAACCCGGCATTTTTTATATTCGCTCGCGCAACGTCGGCGTGGTGACTATCAATTTCTAGCGACGTTACTTTGACGCCCGGACTAGATGTCGCGAGCCAGATGGTACTGTACCCGCCCAACGTGCCTACTTCGAGGATGTTCTTTGCACGTGCGAGGCGGGCGGTGAGCTGGAGGTATTTGCCTTGGGAGGGTGAAACAGCGATGTCAGGTAAGCCGGCTTTTTGAGAGGCATCGAGGGCTTGTTGAAGAGAGAACGGAGAGGGCGATGTTTCGGTAGACGGATGTAAGTGAGAGAACGAGTAGGTATCTACTGCTGTCCATCGGGCGTCTTTTTCGTGGGATGAGCCTGGAGGCGCCATTGCGGACTGCAACTTTAAGTATGAAGAGTTGGAGAGGTTAATTCTTGGTTAGCTATACGCCTTGAGAGCGCGTCTCAACGCGTCTTTATAGACACGACTACATGCGCGGAGTCATCCACATCGTATTGTATACGCGTCTCGCATACATCTGCCTGATAGTGTCATACCGCGTTATTGGAGAGCGCGTCGTGGAGGGGTGGATGAGTCTTCAGCCAGCTCGGGAATCTGGTTAGTATAAATCCGAGCCACGAGCTACGATTTCCGATATCGCCGAGGTTAAAAAAACGTCGTGCAGCACAAGCAAGAACACGGAACGAGGAGCTTGACCGAAGAGCGATTCTATCACGATCGACACCCAATACTCCTGTCATTTTATCTATATACTCATTTATCGCTTCTCGGATGCAATCCCCTTCGATGCCTGGTGTGCGAGTCGCCGCGCTTCAGGTGGAAGAGGCGGAAGTCCTTTGTTCACATCTAACAGTGTGACTCGAGTGAAGTGTTTCAAAGGACTAGGTCTATAGGGCCGGTGCACAGGGTGGATACCATGCGGGGTGACACCTCTGGTGAAGTGGGTGCTGATGGAACATCTTGATTTGCTAATGCAAGCAGGGCTGTTGTGGTTGCCTCTTTGGGACTTGGTGATGTTGCTCGTCATACTTTGGCTTGCGCGAGGGCTTTTGAGGGTTCTCATTGCGCTGAGCATGTGGGGCGAGGTAGAGACATCTGACTGGACAATCGGGGGAGTGGTCTGCTTTCTGTGTGTCTGAGGATAGTGACTGCCACGGTGGGCAGAACCCTCTCTCATCCGAGAAGCCGACAAAGACGATTCTTCCATCTTGGACAATTTTGCTTGCAGCTTCCGGTCCGTCTCACCCTCTGTATTCTTATTAAGCATACGATCTGACGTCTTTTTGCTTCTCCTTTTCCAGAGCCCTACTGGAGACTCTTGGAAATCTGGAATGATCGCAGTCCTGGTGGCTTCATGGATTCCGTGGTACTTCTTTCTGGGCTTCCACCAGGATAGTGCAATTGGCTTTGTTCTGTTGGCTGTAACATCGACTCCTGGTTTTGAGAATTCGATGGAATCAACCGATGAATCGGAAGAGAAGCATGACTGGGCCACACTCGGCTCGTCGCTGTAACCGTCATGATGAGACTGACCCAAGTCCTGAGCGTTCTCCATGCTGATGGCTTGCCCTTCGACTTTGCCAGTCTTTCCTTGTCCCTTAGCATTCTGTGCTCGAGCTGGCTCATGATAACATGGCTCCTTGTCGTTCAAGTTCTGATCTTCTTTTCCGCAGCTTGGGTCTCCAACTGTGTAACGACTGTTATCACTTCTCAATATTGACGCCTGGCTGTCTACCTGATCAGAAGAACAATCCCACTCGACAACTCCCGGTTGACCTGTGGACGACTCCAAAGTACTTTCACGTATGTTCGACTGATGGTCAACCGAGAGACTTTGTTGCGCAACATCGTTCAGAAGGGGGTCGCTATTCTCAAGCGAATACCGTGATACGAGCTCCGCAATGTCGTCAAAGCTTAGCTTGTTGTTGCGTAGCAGATACAAGAAGCTGATGCAGTCTAAATCGCTGCGTGGTCCCAAAGTGAACGCTATTGGTGTGCGTGGAGCCTCGAGATAAACGCCTTGGAGATATTGTTTTCTTCCTTCTGCTAGCCTTACTGTATGCACGCCTTTGCCGCAACTCGGCTCTGCACTCTGACGGACTTCGGAAGCACTATCCTTTCGCTGACGATGAATTCCTTCGGCACATGGTGAGCAGTCTGCTACGCCGTGACCGCCACTGACGTCGTCGCCTCCTCGAAGAGACCATGGGTTGTTGGAATCATGAGAAAATGGTGAAGGTGAAGACGCTGGCGAGTCCACCTTGAGGCGCCCATCTAGAAAATTCACCACCCGGATAGAATCGTCGTCGTCACCAACCACCTCCCTCTTCAATGGACACTCTTCTTCCTGCCCTTCTCTTCCACAACAACTGACGCGGTCTAGTTGCTTCAGCGCCGCCTCAAAGCCTGACCTGGCTTCCCTAAGGAATACCCAATCGAGACGTATTCCCTCTCTCTGATAAGCAGCTACCGGCCTCATACCTCCCCCTTTCCCATTCTCTTGCATACTTTCGTGGTGTTCGCGCAACCTAATTGCACACGCCAAGCACCGCCCTAACCTAAACTTGAACCACCTGAGGACTTCACCCTCCTTCTCGACCTGCTCTGGTCTTAAGATCGTTTGTACTACTCCTTGCTGATTAGCCAATTTTGAGACCTTGATGAGTTCAGGAGCGTGGCCACATGTGTAGGAGCGACGATAAATGTATGTATATACTGGTAACCCGGATTTGAGGGTTGTTGAAGGCTCAGTCTGCAATGCTGCTACTAGTGGAGTCTTATCAGCCATGACTGTTCTCCGTAAGTGGCAAGGGCGGCCCGGTTGTGGCATTAAGCGGGGATTCATCAGAATCTAGAATGGCACATACAGTTGGATGTTCTTGTTGTAGTTTGTTGGCCGCCCGGTCTCTACAATGGGGGCCGATACGACACGGTTGGTGCCACCTCAGCAACGACTGTGAACCTCGTATCGCTGTGACGTACCATGTCTTTTCAAGGACGCCTTCTGAAAGCTCAGAAGACGTTACGATGTAGACGATCTTTGTGAGGCGCTGACGTTGCGCTGCTGATCTTGTTTCGTCGATCTGATGTTGTGAATAAACGTAGTGATTAGGGTTACGCAAGGGTTGAAAGGATCTCATTGAAGATACGGACTTGGCCGCTCAATATTCCATTATTACTGTAATAGATAACGCCATATGGTCATACCCGTCTTTGTCCCGTGTCCGCCTTCGGATTAGGTATTGTGCGGGTAAGGCAAGTGCCGTCTTGCCAAACAATAACGCCACGCTTGCTAAAATGATAAAGTATTGCGAAAGTTTCAGACCATACCACACTCCCCGACCACCTACGCGCCGAAGTTCTGTCCTGTGCTCACAGGAGCATATCCAGCCGGGGCATGACCCACATATCCCTGGTTGGCTAGCGAATCGTGTCCCGACACCGGGGGACTCTCAAGTGGTGGGCTCGTCAAAGGCTCCATAACGTAGCTTTGATGTGGCGATTTGTATTCGGTGCTTTGAGCTGTAAGTGGCATCAAATCTTCGGGATGCGAGCTCCACCGTGCCGTGTTGCGCATCTCTTCCAACCCGGCGTCGTGTGGCACATGCCCGTATAGCGCACCCGTCTCCTGCACAGATCCGTGTGGACTATGTCCGTGGCCGTGATGTCCATGCTCTTCAAATTCCAACGCGTATGGCTTTCCGCTCTTCTGAACTTGCCAGTTGCAATATATCGAGCTTAGTTTATCGATGACCAGGATAACGAATAGGATGATGACGCAGATGGGTAGTAGCCATGGTGATTCGACCATCCTGTGCAACCGGTTGGTGTCGGCCATCAGAGCCAACATTGCACCACCAACGCCAAGGGCAAGAAAGCGCGATATGACGGAGGTGAAGTCGAATAGATCAGCCTTGTGGCGGCGGATCAAGAAAAGGAATATGATCAGGCATATAAGAAGCAGGCAGAAGGACGACCAGTAGTAAAGGTAGACAAGCTCGAATCCTTTGAGGCCAATCTTGAGGGGACTAAAGTCCTCGAGTTTGTCGACTGGAATCTTCATGCCGAGTCCAGTGTACATACCATTGGTAAGAAGGTGAGATACGTTCTTGAGCGCCTCAGGCCAGGTACCATCTTCGTCGTCATCACCCATATTATACTGAGTAGTATTCTGCGGCGAGCAGATGCCTGTGGCGTTCCCGACAAGCCAGATGGCCGACTCAGCCTGGTTATAATAGCTTTTGGTTTCAAACTTGCCGTCTAACTCGAAATACTCCAAAAGGTACTGCAGCTTGTCTTGTAGCTTCAGGCCGTCAAGGTGGTCGTCTTGGCAATATTGAAGGATGGAGGTGGTGACTTTTCCGGTATTCCTGGCGACGTACCGAGCCAAAGCAATCTGCTGAGAGCCTTCGACAACACCAACAATCGCAAGTTGGAGAGGAAAGTGTAGCAAAGACCATATTTGCTGCCGGATGGTTCCGTAGTGTCCGTGGGGAAAGTTGTCGAAGTAGCTGGGGTATCGTTAGTTGTGGAAATCCAAACTTTTTTAACCTGTGTATACTCACAGAGCCCATATCAGCACAAGAACGACGATGATACACATGATCAGAAAGCATCCTTCAACTTCCAGTCCGTGCTTCCCCATCATCCTGCTCACTGTCTTGGTAACGCCAATTGCGCCCTCGCCAATAACAATAATCGTCAGCAAGCTCATGCGCTCCATCAGATGGGTCTTTTTAAAGCTCATCATGCGCCAAATACACGATATAAGAATGACTCCAACGCCTTCAAGCACCATGACAATATACCAGACGACGTAAACGAGCCGCCTGCTGTGGTCGGCCTCGTTCTTGAATGCAGGTGTCATAGCGGCGAATGCACCCATGCTGACTGCATATATGGCGAACATGAGCATAAGTGGGAGGTAGATCTTCCCATACTTTGCTCTCCAAGTGAAGTAAAGGACAACAAGATATTGAATGGCAAGAAGACCACGGCTGATGACCAGTGTATAACACAGGATACGGAAATTCTGCATCATTCAGTATACATGATTCAAGATGTGGATATCAAACTTACCGTGTTGTTTCCTTTGCCCTTCTCGTTTGCTGGGTTGAACTGACTTCCAACCAGCGCCAGGCCAACAAAAACTATGAATTGGATTGTCTTGCACACGCGCTCATAAAGCGAGTCGCGCGCAAATCGAACATCGTGGAGTGTGATTTGAAACCAACACGACCATAATATGCCAAAGAAACCGATGTATGCCAGTAGATAGTCTATGTCGGTGATAGAGTGATAGGCCGTAAAGGTTGCCAGATTAGCAACGAAGAACAAGTCGAAGAAAAGTTCCACGCTATTCGCTTCATGTCGTTGAGAGAAGACCAGATTTTCGTGATCGGCACCAACTAGCGGCGATTCGATAAACGGTGTTGTCTTGTGCAGCCGTTTGAGATGCTTTTCCGCATCGACATCTCGCTTGTGGCCGTGGAAACTCCAGCCCATATTGCCAATCTCCTGTGTAGTCAATAACGATGAAACGACTACAACGGGCGAGAAAAGGAGTTAAGAGGTTTAAACAATGATAGACAGGAGCATACCAAGACCAACAACACGAAGTCGATTCGGCCCTGCCGAGATTCTTATGCAAATCCCATTTCGCATGCTACACGCGACACGAGATAGCCCCGCGAGCTATGGCGCATATTCTATCTTAGGCCTGTGAGCCCAGGCCAGCACCCACGGAATCTCCACCAGGCCGCTAGCAACAGTGCCAATAGCACTGCATCGTGGCTTGTTACACGGTCTTGCTGGCTGGTCACCCAGAAGGGCTAGAAGATGCTAAGCTGGAGGAAGCTTTGAGAACCAAGCTGCTGCGGATCAGGCTCAGTAGTACGCCAACACAGCAATGCTGACAGCGCTATTGTGTATCGGGAAAGCACAGAGGGTGAAATTCACGACGGCAGCAAGCCTAAACCCAATCATTACATGCACGTGAGGCTTGGCAGGCTTCCGTGTCGAATTACACGGCGTGGAGGTTGGAGTCAGCTCAGCCCTGAGATCCGTAGACGGGCCGCTAGCGGGACAAGCGTCTTGTTTGTTCGTGGCGGAGGGCCATCGCCAGCTAGCCTCATCCTAGCACGAAGACATTGTCGCAGCGTTGAATTGAAACGTCCTGGTGTGCATGGTAGACGTGCTGCAGTAACATTCACAGCTCAGCATTGCCCGACGGCAGGCGGTCAGCTCGGCGTTCAGCATCGCCTAATCAGGCACCAACCTGGATCACCATCACTTCTCCATGACTGTGGACCCTCATCCAGACGGTGTTGCGCAGATATCACTCCCTTCTCGCTGCCGATCTTGCACTCTCATCACCAAATGTGCTCGCAATTTCGAGTCATGTCATACATGATATTACCCGGTGGTCTGGAAGCGCATCCCCATGCTCCTCGCATCTCTTCTCTGACAGCGCGCCTAAGGTGATTACATGAAGGCCTGCTATTTGTGGACGGGAGGAGCCGCGAGCAAGATTACCGCAGCGCTTTCGTGAGTATCACTATGCCAAGTTCCCATCAGAGTCAGACAATCTCTCGGGTCATCATTTTCCCCTGCTGCGGAAGGGCTTCTCGTTTGTCTGCTGTGGAAACCGAGACTGTCAGGAGAAGCCCTGTTTCCCTGGATTGTACCCTACCCATAATAGACCTTAGAAGACATCTACAATGATAAGATGTAAACATCTTCCAACGAAGCAATAGTGCATACCATGAAGGTGGGTTCCGGTATTTGGGGTGGAGCTAAGGAAACAAGCTCCTTGGTAGTAAGCGATCAGGGAACGTTTGATATCGAACTGATCATTGGCTGACGCCTCAGCCACATGAATATATTCAAGATCCACCACATAAACGCCGCGCTGATAGTCGAGATCTAGGGGTCTAAGTTGTGCAAACATGCTGCAATATATTCTGAGTTTCGCACCTCCTACTTCCGTAGGAGTCCTGTACGCTCGTTCACACCCTCACCAATCTCCTCTTCTTCATCTTCCTCTTCCTCTTCGTCATCGCTGAATCCTTCAGCTTCCAGTCCCTCGCCGCGGATTCCAAAGCTCAGAAGGAATCCAATGAGTGCGATACCAGCGAAGATGCCAAAAGGCAAAGCTTCGCCTTTGGGTTTCAACTTAGTAGCAGCCGTGAAAAGCGAGCCTGATAGGAATGGACCAGCCGCACGACCAGCGGCAGAGAGCGTCTGAGCGAGGCCATTGAGCGTACCAAGCACATTGTGATTGGGTGCAGAGTTGGTGATCTGTACATAGTCAGCATCTGTAGGTCACTACATAATCAACACGATAACTCACCATAAGGAGGGCAGCTGTCAGACCACCGACACCTGCAATCGTCTTGATTACCAACACGACGCCAAGCTCAAACCACAGCCAGCCAGCACCCGAGCCGATACCCTTGTAACCCTTGCTCTCTTTATAGCCTACCCATGGCATGAGACCGAAGGCTGCTATGAACAATCCTAAGCTGATTCTGTATGCCATCTTGTTGCCGAGCTTGCCTCTGAGCCTGCCAAATACACCTATCTGGAATAGTATTGTTATAGCACCAGCGAATGACAAGGATAGTCCGACGGCTTCAGGCTTCAAGCCTCGTCCAGTAGGTGGCTGCTCTTCCGCAAAGATTGGATATAAAGAGTTGTACGATATGTTTGCGAGCTGGAATATGAAATATGTGATGAGAAGCAGGACGGTATCCCGATTCAGAATCTCTTTCCGCGTGAGCTCGTCGCCGCTGCTATGTGGGAAGAGCGTAGGTGCAGACTCTCCAGAGGCATCAGAAGCATCGTCTTCATCTACATCATCTTGTGTATCGTCTTGTGAATTGTGGTTTTTGTGGTTGCCCAAGAGGCGTCGTACGTAGGTCGGTCGTGTCGAGCTTGTGAACTGCCACATCCACGAGAACAAGTTACCCAATCTCTTTCCGAGAGGCGGTAAGTTCTTCGCTTCTTCCAAACTCTCTTCTAGAAAGAGCATGCACACTATCAGATCTATAGCGAGGACGAGGGCCGAGAAGAGGTTCGGAAGAAGGTACGGGTATGGGTTCGACTGGCTTTTGTTGAAGGGGTTTTGGTACAGGACCAAGAGTCCTCCCACGATGGGCCCTGTTATGCCACCGATACCGTAGATTACGGGCAGGTAGGTAAAGGCGCGCGACTGGTTGCTTCGGTCCGTAATCTCGCCCAAACATGTCGACACAACGCCATTGTTTCCGTTGACAAAGCCCATCAAGGCCTGGACGAGTATAGCCTGCCAGAGTTCTCTGCAGAAACCAAAAGCCAGGAAGCAGCACATGGTCAAGAAAGTGCCCATGATGATGACTGGCTTCCGTCCGATCTTATCGGATAGCCAACCCCAAAAGAAATTTGTCGTGAACTGCGCCAAGGCAAACGAGGATGCGATGAGTCCGACGTATAGACCTGTCTGTCCATCCTTGACTTCAGGGAACGACTTTGTCATCTCGGGTAGATATGGGCTTATCGAGTTGAGGGCTGTTTGCTCGGCGAGAGCTATGACAGCTAGTACGATGAGCTGCTTGGTCGGCAGGGGCGACTCGTGATGGTTGTGGCTGCCATCTTCGGAACGGTTGCCATCTTGGCCGGACGGGGAGTCAGATGGTGGTCGACCGCGGGATTTGGGGGGAATGGTAGGGAAGGTAGTATAATCTACGTGTCAATATACACAGTTAGCATGTCTCCAGTGCACCTCGCATACCGAAGCTACATACGGAGCGTTGACCGGCGCGCATCGAGGGCTGGCCGACTGGAAGGCATTGTCGCCGAATGTGCTACCTCTGTGAGGCCGAGTTGTCACAATAGGCTTTCGCGTGCATGGATGCGCAGGTGATGGGATTCTTGGATGCAGGAGGCTGAAGGATGCGCTTTGCTGTGAAGATTTCAGGCTGGCATCACGCGCGGCTCAAGCTACGTACGTCATTATCCCAGGAACCCGCTTCGCTTGGCGCGGCATCTCGATGCTGTCTGACCATCGCGCACTCGGCTAACAACTGCCTCATTCACATACTCGAGAGACGTCCATTGCTCTATCCTCCTTGAGCATGTATGGTCCCTGCATGTTGCGCTGTTTGCGACCATCCAACGACCTACCCCATGGCTTTACAAACACACATGTCATGGTCCTTTTCCATCTCCATGACCATCAAACTATGTTCGCATAATGCGAACAGGCTAGACTAAGCTTGGAAAACGCGAGCGCGACACGGATACATCGCATTGCCGACTACCTAGGTCCCAGTGGAGGCTGGTCAAGCCTGACGCGAAGGGCCCAAGGCAGTCAAAGCTCGACTGTCAAAAGAAAACATTAGCGCAACAACCACTGACGGCGTCTGGTGCAGACCCATATCATCCATGTCTAAAATAAGAATGCATGCTACAGTGCAATAGCCGCTCCATAATCTGTCTACGCGCAAAACGACCAAACACAAGACGTGACTACCCAGATCAGCAACCTGTGCTTACTGCGATACGCCTTAAGCATGCTTCCCCACAATTCTATTTAATTAACCCAAGGATTATCCCCTCAACCTCAATCTATTACGCCCCGTCCCGTCGCCAATGCTACACGAGAACACCAAAAGTTGTCTGAGGACACAGGAGTTATCGGTAGAGACAAACTCTCTCGGGATCATCGTCGGTCGCTTAACCCCGGTGAATTTAAGCACTTAGAGTTTCCAGAAGTCGCTCAAACCTTCTCATACGCCAGACCCGCGGTGATGTCTTGTTCCTTCTCGACATCAGACGTGCAGGATTTCGCACAACCGACTCATCCACCCGTGCCTCCATCGCTTCGGCTTCCGTTTGTTTCGAGTCACTTGACGGGTCCCCTGCGTCTTTGTCACTGCTATGCAAGGCTAATGAGCACATTGGGACCAATACAATCAAACGACTTAGATTACCGTGATGCCAAAATGCTAACTCTGGATTCCGTTGCGGAGATTTCAGGCATACAGTGTTCACCGCTGTATAAAGCCAATAAGATCCTACACATGAAGGGCACACAGTCAGTAGGTCTGCACGGAGACGTATATACACAGTGACCTTTGTTCGAAGGCCTCTTGCGCCAGCTTCTAATTCGACTACCCCTCACCAACTGGTTATTTTGAACTCCTCCCATCCTCTCTTCTTTCTTTCACACTCTGAGTGTATACCATTTCAAGCATGCGATACTCTACCCTGCTTCCAGCTCTGGTGGCCTTCGGCTCGACTTTTGCGAGACCGAAACAACCCGAGTTCACCAATACCACCACCTTACCTACCCACTTCGGACTGGTCGTATTCCCGCATTATCAAGCTCTCGACATATTTGGTCCTATGGACCTCCTCAACACACTCTTTATGTACTACCAAAACTCCACAATCGTGCCAAAATTCTCAGTCCTCAGCAAAACTATGGACCCCGTCACGTCGGCCATGATGACTGGAGGCTTTGGCCAGGAGATTGTGCCTACCACAACATTCTCGGATTACCTGGCGAGCCGCGAACAAAGTGCAGACAACCACATGGCCGTTGTGAAGAGCAAGCGTCAGAGCCATGATGGTATGCATTTGCCTCCTACGACAGACAAGGGTGACATAGATGTTCTCATCGTCCCTGGTGGTGGCGGCACCCGCAGGAACATGACTGAAGAAATCGATTTCGTCAAGCAAACTTATCCAAAGGTATCCACTATTCCCGTCCACCTTTCCATTTTCACCAACTAACAATGCTACAGCTCAAATATATAGTCTCCGTCTGCACCGGCGCAACAATCCTATCCCGCGCGGGTATACTCGATGGCCGCAGAGCAACGACAAACAAGGCGGCCTGGGAATGGGCTGTGAAACAGGGTCCCAATGTAACTTGGGTTCCCACTGCACGTTGGGTTGAAGACGGCAACATTATCTCGACCAGCGGTGTCTCGGCAGGCATTGATGGAATGTATGCGTTTGTAAGTAGGGTTTATGGCGAAGAAGTAGCTCATTTCCTGAGCTTGGGTTTGGAGTATAACCGTGAGACGGATGCGCATCATGATCCTTTTGGTAAGATATGGGATGTTCCGGGTGCCAGTTAGATTCGCTTATTTATTGGAAGGATGGACTTACAGTGACATGGGGCTTGGTGACGTATGGGTAGATCCAATGAGGTAATTCAGTCGCACTGCATCTGCACCTGTGTTGATCTGCAGAGCCTCCTTACTTTCAGCCTACTCTGCAATCACACTTCAAATCCCCTTTCCCTTCTTCGCCTGGTCCCTCGCACAAAGTCGATACTTATCTCTCCATGTCCTCCTCGGATTTCCCATATCGCTCATACCTGCCTTCCCGCGGTGTAGCGAATCACGATACAGCATTTCTACCATTGGATCCTGATTTGAGGGAGATACGATGCGTCATCTTACTGCCCGGATCTGGGGATGATCCTATCGCCTGCAAGCTCGTATATACCAACATGAAAGAAACTGAAACTCGCATACCTTACATTGCGCTATCTTATTGTTGGGGGGATGCTGAAGATACTGTTGAGATCGTACTTGATGGCTCCTCGAAGAAATCACCCAGCGCATATTAAGAGCCAACCAGTGCGCCATTTCGGATCACACGAAACCTCTATGTCGCGCTCATGGCCTTGCGAAATGACAGAAAGCAGTATCTGTGGGTTGATGCCTTGTGCATTAATCAACAAGATCCGCAGGAGAAGACTCATCAAGTTCAGTTAATGGGAAAGATCTACTCCTTGGCTGAATCGGTGTTGGTGTGGCTAGGACCAGACGATAAACACAGTCGATTTCTTATGAGACTATGGACAGCACACTTACGTCCTCTCATAAACACTCTCGATGACGAGGCAATGAGAAGCCTTTATGCCGATCTTTTTGAGAGCACACATCCGTTGTGGAACAACGTGGCACAAGACGAAGTTCTCATCCGATTCGAACTCGGTCTCCATGATGAAGATGCGGACCAGGCCTCGCCTGACCGATACAAGAAGGCACTATGGGTCAGCTTCAACCATGTCTTGAATCGACCATGGTGGAGCTGAATATGGATTCTGCAAGAGGGTTTCCTGGCCCCAAGGAGTGAGGGAGGTGGCCGCAAGGTCCAGTTCAGGCTTGGCGATAGTTCACTGGATTGGCAAGACACATTACATACTAAGACGATACTACCCGGTTACGGTCCTCTCTCTGTTAGCGAAGTCTATCGCTCGTGGTACGCACTTATCGATATGGACGGAAGGTTTTCGGATCCAGACATTGACACTCTGATTAAACATATGTCTCATTTTTGCGCTTCAGACCCCCGGGATAAGCTTGTTGCTATACTCCAACTGGCCTCAGATACTAGAGCATGCATGCACGACCCTTTAATCATGCCTAATTACAGAAAGTCTCTGGAAGTTGTTATGGATGACTTGGTACGTTGGAAACCAAGTTTAAGTAAAGATGTCCTTCAATCTTGGGTTGAACGAACATGAAAGGGCAGTTTTTGTAACCGACTTCCTCGGTCAGATGGAAAAGCAGTGAACAATATGTATCTCTTTTTTATGCTGGTAAGGTCTTATTACCCCTAAGTTCGGAGACAGGGGCTGCGGTGTACATATCAATATCAACACCAAGACAGCATAGTGCCCATAAGTCAAAAGATGATGATGAGAGCTACATGTTACGTTTAGACACTTCTTCCTACATGCAGTTGGTTAGATAATGGCTGTCGTTAGAGTCACAGCCGTAGCTGCGGTACCTCAGATGGCAATAAACACAAGATGTTAGTGCGCCGATAGCCTTACAGGTACGGATCTACACCGGTAGTGGAACACAAGCTGTAGACTTTGCCTTATGGTGAAGGTGCCGATAGGTGCGACACCCTCAGATGAGGACAAAATGTAATGTATCAACGAGGAGATCAGGTCAATTAGTGTCTTCATGTTAGTAAGTTGCACATCTGAGGGGTAGCGTACCATCATCACTGCCGATCGAGGACGTTCTATTCGAGAGATTCGCATTAATGACAAAGTTTCTAATGTACAGCTTCAGGAACTTACTGACCTTTCATGTCCGCCACACACCTTGGGGGACCTTGCATTAGCTGCCGATAGCCGTTCGCGATGTTGGCGACGAATATGCCCTTGGAGAATTGAGCACCCGGAGTCTACTGCAGACGAACACCAGCAGTACCCTTCTTCTTCGCCTGGTCATCGAAAGCATTGCCCAATCCACCACCTCCACTCCGGCTAGCTTCGAGCGAACTTTCAGCCATCCTCTTGTTTTCAGCAGCAATTTTATCAAGTTGCTTCTTCGTCTTCGTGTTTCCACTGCCTTTGCCGTGGAACTGGTGACTGAGCTGCTTGAACGCTTCTTTCTGGTTCATATGTCGGCCGTGTTCATCGACATATTTGAGCTCGATATTTGGTGTGTACTCCTTGTTAAAGAGCTCAGCAAGACGACGGCTCTCAACCATGTCAGCGCTTGTGTTGTTTTTGCGTGCCCATTCTTCACGTTCACGGGGAGTCATGTTGTTCCAGCGGGCGGAGCCTCGTTCGCGTTCACGAGCAATCTTACGTTGGCGTTCAGCATCGGCTTCGGCCTTGAGCTTGTCGGCAAGGAACTTCTGGCGGTCACGGTACATGGCGTTCTTGTCTCCGGCGTCGGTCTGTGTGACCAGGCCTCGTTGCTTGAGCAAGGCAAGTGTGGCACCCAGACCTTGATCGACAGTCTTCTCAGCCTCAAGACCCGTCTCAGTAATCTCAGTGGACCTAGCGCGAGAAACGCTGCGGTTGCGGGCCTCTTCCGCTTCGGCTACTTCGGCGTATGATTGTCCCATGTCAATATCGCCGTCCTCATCAGCAACGGGGATATCGCCCATAGACTTGGTGCCCTCCGAAATGTGGCTTGACTTCCTACGCTTCCGGCGGGCCTCCTCTTCGTCGGCGTCTCCAGCAGCACCTAGGTTTTGTACGAACTCGGTCGTTTCGTCGATGACAAGGGCACCCTCGCCGTCTTCAGTAGACTCCATAACGTCTGGCTGAGGTGTAGATGCTTCCTCACGCATCTGCCGTGCAAGATCTTCCGGTCGCATCTTCTTGCGCTTCTTGAGGGCTTTCTGCCGCTGTGCTGCGAGATTTGCTTGAAGGTCATCGTCATCCACAAAAGATTCATCAAAGACCTTCTTTTTCTTCTGCTGTGGTGCTGAGACTTCACCGCCATCAAGATCCATGTCGTCGCCAGCTGCAGGTTCTTCCATGACCATAGCTGCTAGTTCGTCTTCGTCTTCGACGCGTTCTCTCTTGGACTTCTTGCTCTTCTTCTTCTTAGGCTTCTTCATCTTGACTTCTGAAATATCCATGTAGTCGTTGGTAGGCGCATCTTCTTTGAGTATGTCTAGACTGATAGCAACCTTCTTTGGCTTTGAGGCACCCGCAACCTCTGCTTGTACATCTTCAACAGTTCGGCCCTTGCCGTCCAGCGTGAAAGCCTTGCCCTTCTTGCCCTCGATCTCCTCGTCGTATTGTGCCAGTATCGACTTTTGACCTGATTCATCCATGTCATTGGGATCGTATGCGCGCTTCCGCTTTTTCGAATCGAGTCGTTCTTGTAGTCGCTCCTTTTCTCTCAGCGAAACCGCCTCTAGCTCGTCATCTTCTTCTGCATCGACTGCGGTGTCTCTGAGGACAAGAATCTGGTCCTCATCATCAAATTGATCGACCTCGTGTCCGACTTTGACACCCGCAAGGTCTTTATCGGTGTACTGCATGGCCTCGAGTGCCTGGCGCTCGCGCTCTTCAAGCTCCTTACGCATCTGTTCTTCCTTGGCGATCTTCTTCTGACGCTTCTTGCTGCTCTTCAGCCATGCCAAGTCGTCGTCGACATCAGCTTCGTCTGCCAGCCCCTTGCCCTCGAGCTTCGCAAAGCGCGCCGCCTTTTCGCGCTCCTTCTTGATGGCGGCGGCGCGCTCCTCGCGTCTTATCTTAGCCAGTCTCTCCTCTTCTAGCTTTTTCCAATTATCCGAAGCGGCAGCCTCGCGCGTCTCGATAGTGCTCGCAGGCTCTTCGTCCGAGTCGTCGCCGTTTTGCGCTGCCTTGAAATCGAGACCTGATGACGATGCGGGCGCTGCGGGGGTACTTCCACCGGGAAGAGCGGAGAGACCCATAGACAGACGAATCTTGTTCGCCTCATCGATGGATAGATCCGCCATGATTGATGCGGTTGTAGTGTCGATGTCGCAACGTGAAGACGATGTGAGTTGGAATAAGAGCTGGTGGCGCCGGTAGTCCCTGGTTTCAGTGCGCCTTTGAGCAGCCCAGAGAAGCAGTCGTCGCGAAGAGTGAAAGCAGGTCTAGCCTCTTCCAAAAGGTGAAGTTCAATGTTCGGTGCCTACTCGTGCACGACCTGCGGGCAACATCGCACCTCCGTCCATCTTTCCGCCAAGCCACTAGATTGCTAGCGCGCCGAAAATCAGCCGAGGGACATAAAAAAAGTTCGTCGCCCTCACCCATCTCTCTCACCACAACGACCTGTGTCAGCGTCTCCCGTCCACGTCCTTCGGGGGGTGTGATGGTTGAGATTCTGACAGTTCGTCCACCATGGAACTCTTTTTCTTTTGTAGAGCGTTTCGGACGACAGGTGGCGGAGAACAACTTTGGCAGCTTCCGGCAGCCTGAGCTCACCCTTCACGGGGTTTGAGCTCGGTGTATGGTTGTCTGTCAGGCAGACTGATTCCGTTTCCCTTTTGCTAGGCCGTCGGCCATTGATGCTTGGGACTAACCCAGTCGGCTACATGCCTTTTCGTGCAAACGATAGTTTTTGCAACCGCGCGGCTTCACTGCGCTGGTAGATGCATGCCTTTTGATGCTTGACCACCTCGCACACGAGTCGCTGTGAAAGCGCGACGAACGCGTTCACGCGTTTACGAGTCGCCGCATCGTTCGCGAAGTCATGTGCATGCACTTAGTCTGCAAGAGAGTGTTAGACGCAAATGCGGGTCTGACTGTTATCGCGAGTTGAAAACTATTGGTTCGAGTTGTAAACGAGCACAGAGACATGATCGCTAGACGTAGTCTCGTGTTGACGTCGTATGCATGTCATTCAATGTACATATGTTACAGAATCTCAGCTTCGAAGCCGCTGCATGATAGTCCAAGTGCAAGTGAAAGTCCATATAGTCTTTGCACATGTTTCTCATACCTGGACCACGCTTAGTTTGTAGCCGGTACCTCTCCCCTCGCCAACTTGAGCAGCTCAGCCTCTCTCCGCTCCTTCAATAACCTCTCCCTAACCTGCACTCTGTCCGCCTCAGACCGCTCCTTAAACTCTTCGATTTCTTTCATCTCAGCCAGCTCTTGTTCAGTTGGCTCGAGCTGCTGCGCGCCCGTCTTCTGTACTAGTGCCTCCAAGATCTCGCTTTCTGACTGATCTCTGATGTCGATTGTATATGTGGGCTTCGAGGTATCAGGCACAAGAGTATTGCGTGGGTTCGGTGTGCCGGACGGTGGTGAAGAGTCTGACTGCTGGGCTGTGGGCGAATTTGTGGACCCAGTCGCGGGTTGGGTTTTGCTTGTGTAAACGTGAAGGAGTGAGGGGCCGTCGGGATCGTTGTGTCGTGCTATTTCGATCGGGATAGATGGGTTACGGTATTTCATCCGGGGCAGCATATTGCGCCAGAATTTCCTGTTCGTAGTGAGCACACTCTATCATCGAGTACTATCGCCAGCCTGCCAAAATGGTCTCCGCTATGAACACGGCTTTTCTCTCTTCCTTCGCAGCCGGTATAGAAGAAAAATATAAGCGTACCTTGCCCCTCTATGTCCTCCGTAGAGCTTTGTGTTGAACTCCATACTGATCTTCGACACCTCTTTTGGAAGTATAAGTGCGCCTGGCCCACATCGTATCCATAATAACTGTTTTCGGTACAGTCAGCGTCGTGTGTTTTTCACGAACTTGGGAACAGATCTGGTGCGATCATCTTCTCCAGCGAAACTTTCGGAGGTGCCTGTGGGTGGCCGGTTGCACGTACCTTCTGTAATAGTTGTTAGCTATGCGCGGAAAGCAGACAATGCTTTCGGAAACCAACTACTTGCCTCGTGTAGTTTGCGCATGCGCTTCAGTATGTGCACCATGATTGCTATGATGTGATGTGGAATTGGGGTTGCGGAGTTCAAGAGATTCTTAGCGCATGGCCCGGTAGCGCGGTCGCATCTTGGCAGCTACTGGCCGACCATGAGGTCTTTGGACCCTTCACTCTGGAAACAGTCAAGATGGAATACGATATGACTGAACGCAATACATTGATTGAACGCCATCAAAGGTATCTGAGCTACATTATTCTGTCTTACACACATGTAAATCTCCAATCTCACTCTCTGGAGACAAATACATTCCACTCCAAGACAAATCCAATTGCAGGATTGTATATATCGCATCGCTACTGGTGTGAGCGATATAGAATCGTGGACGACACCCCCCTTCTTCCTCTCAACTGTTCTAGTCAGCACGAGGCCGGAGTATGCTAATCTACCGAGCGGGTTGTGCGTTGGCGGCGCGTGCCTCCGCGGGAGTTGGTCCCGCCATACGCTTGCTCCTACAATATGATCAGTATGTAGATTCTGTTTATGGAGTGGTTTGGCTTACATGAAAGACCTGCTGAGGAAAGAGATGATGATCATAGGCATCCATGAGGGCATCTTGGAGAATCCCCAGGTAACGTATCCGTAAGGAATGGCAAGGTTGTACTGCTGGAGCGCACCGTTGAAGGGGTGGAAGGGACCCTCGTAAGGGGTGACCTGTTCAATGTCGTTGTCGACGATCAGCTTCTTGAAGGTCTCGGTGGTGGTGCTTGTGCGGTTCAAAGGCTGGTAGCGAACGGTAGGAACGGGCGCAGACTGGTCGGCCATGGGCTTGGGAACCTGGAAGTAGTAGAGCGCTGGTGCGCCGACGGACCATGCGTTGCAGAGAATGGGCTCAGCTTCGCAGTCAAGGTACGCGAACTTGGGCGCATTGGTCTTTGCGGCCATGATGGGGAGAGAAGCCTAAGTCGGTGTCAGTGTATGCCATCAAAATGTTCGCCTGCTACACGTACATTCCATGCCTTGGTTGCGTTTCCACACAGACCGAAGCAAGTGGTGTTGCCACCAGTGGTGAAGATAAGCCAATCCTGGGTGGTAGGAGGGCTGGCAGTAGGATCAACCGTGAGGACCTCCTTCCAGTTCTCTAGGGTGATCGGGTACTGGATTGCTGCGGCGGCATTGGATGCTGCCTTGCTTGTTGCCGTGTCAACGGGCGCCGATGGCATGGAGGGGATGGATGCGGAGACGGCAGCAGTCGCCTTGTTGAAGAAGCCCTTCACCTTGTCGAGGAGAGGAACCTGCTCCTCAGCGACAGCAAGCACTGGGAGAGCGAGAAGAATGCCTGATGAGAAGCGCATTGTGGTTGTGTGTGGGGAAAAGTGTGGTGTTGAACTGCGAAAGCTGCGGGCGGTATGCTTGCGCTCTTCTGCCTGATGATGCCACAGGGTCCAATTGGGGCGACGTTGAAGTAATGTGGGGGATGCAGCTCAACGTCAGAGGCAACCACTAACAATCGTGAATGAGTGGCAGAAGTGTAAACTGAACCCTCGGCGAAGAATGCAAGGAAGCTCCCAAGTCGAGACAGCTAATAACACGAGGAATAGGGATGGAGACTAACAACCGGGTGTCCTTTGCACGAGCTTGGCGGTCCAGAGCTCTGCCGCGAAATTGGGAAGCCTGGACCAACCGTTCGTAAACACCATTCACTCTGGCAGGTCCAATGCACACGCGTTCACTTCTCTGCCAACCAACGCGTCGTAAAGTAGACGCGCGCGAGCCCAGGTGCACTTGCACAGATGCACGACATGTCTCGCGTTCGAAGAGGAAAATTCAACTATGGACAGACATTGCATGTGCTATTGATATCGGCACCGGGGGCATTTCATCTTGTTTCATCTCATTTCACTTTCATCATCGTCAATCCTTAGTCAGATCATCAAAGCTCCAACCTGGCTGCGCGATATGTGCCGCCAAAGTAAAGATAAGATCCTCGTCGCTTTCCGATTTGGAAAGCCGCTGAACAGGTGCACCTACTACTGCGTCAGTACGAGCCTACCACACGTAAGGATACATCAACGTACTCTCGTCTCGCAGTTTCCCAGAAACGTTGGCAATCATGGACGTTCTAGAGCCTGCAGTTAGTGAACTATCCTCAGAACCTCTCCGAGGTCCCCTTGTAGAAGTGTCAGTACCTGAGCCCGATCTCCTCGCCTGCAGAGCTTTCGCCAAGTCGCTTTGGAACGCTCTGTTGGGTACTGGTTGTATATCGTCTTCATCGTCCATAGAGATGCGAGTGCTCCATGCACTGTTTCCTCGAGATGGCGTTTGGTTGTTCGCTTCCCTAGCTTGAGCTCGCTCACGTTCCTCTACATCTTGACTGTGTGCCGTCTCATTATACACTACCCTGCCGGCTGTCGGGTTGTTATTACGATGTCTTTTTTCCGAATCCGCTACTTTGCGCAACTCGAACCTACCCCCGTTGATTTCACCGAACAGAGCAGCCATCCCAGTGTTGTTAGGTGGTTGCACTGCGGGTAGTGGAGAGGCTGGATGAGGAGGAGATGATGGTGGTGGTGATGTAGTGGGAGGTACCGATTGCTGAGGAGTCGGCATCTGGATACTCTGCAAGAATGTGGACGTGGATCGAGGAGAAGGCGATGCAACTCGTAGTGTATGGGACATGATTGGTGACGACGAAACTGAGGAGTCCTCTGACCCGACTGCAGAAGGAAGCGTATCCGAATTTGGGGGTATAACAGGTGATGGAGGTGTGTCTGGGTATGGCACTTCATCGTAAGTTTCTGATTGATCATCCTCTTCATATTCTGTCTGTTCACCCTCTTCGTACCTTCCTGGCATCGGCGAACGTGGAGCTTGATCGTAATAGCTCGCTGCTGACCCAATTTCGGATTTACCGTCTACACCTCGACCTGCCGACTCTCGTTGTGATGAAACCTCATGCTCAAGCGTTTCCTTACGGATGGTCAGAGGCCGTTGGGCAAGTGGATGTTGCCAATGAGATGGTTCTGGAACATGTGGAGCTGGACGGTTCGTAGGGGGATGTGATGACTCGCGGACAACAGGATGTGGCTGACGACGTGGAGCTCTAGCAGATGTGGGAGGCTGGAGATGTATCTCCGGAACTGGTGGTAGAGTAGAAATATTGCGCTTGGGGCTATTAGTCTCTGGGATCTGTAGTTCAACAGTCTTTGGTCTTGCGCTTTGATTACGGTAAGATTTTTTTGGATCTGGCTCTGAATCTGGCTTTGGCCTTGGCTTTGTCTCACCGGAGGCCGTCGTCTGGTCACTGCGGTACTGTGGTTGTCGTGGTACCGTGATCTTCGGTTGAATCTGATGACTCTGGAGAGGTTTGACTGGTAAACTTTGAATCTTTTTCTGGTCAGCGTCTTTTTCTCCCCTCCTATCATCATCCTTCCTTCTTTTGTGTTCCTCCTCTTCGCGCCGATGATGCTCCCACGCCTCTGCCTCAGCAGCCCTAGGTTTCCCTTCAGCGCCCCTGGGTTTCTCAGGATATCTCTCAACCCCCCTGATTCTTTCTGGCTCACTTTTTCGTATTTTCTTCCTTTCTATTTTGTGCCTACTCGTTTGCCTGTCACTGCTGACTTTTGTGACTCTCTTTTTCTTCCTCATCTCGTCTAGCGCTTTCTCGAGCTTACCTTTACTTCGATAACCAGCCTCGTACTCGGCTTTGATGTGCCTATAAGTGTTCATGAAATGGTTTCCAAAAGTATCTTTGCTTTTACGTTCAGGTAAGCTTCCGAATGGTGTACCGTCTGGTCCTCTTTGTCGCCGTGTTGGAGAGTAGGACGCACCAATGCGGCCTGAACGAATATCTGACTGTTTTTTATGTTCAATATCACGCCGATGAGAGCTTGAGCGCTCTCTGGACTTTCGGTGGTGAGGTCCGCGGGGTGTGTGCGACCTCTTCCGGTCTGACTGCGATGTATCTCTGCGACCACGAGAATGAGATCGCACCCTGGAAAGCCCTTTTGATGGTCTTTGCGCTGAGGAATATGGTGATGGAACTCTACTTCCAGATGCTGGGCCATTCTTTCGCTCTGCTTTCAAGTCTCGCCATGAAGTTTGGTAGCCACTCGCAACACTGCCCCGGCGTTCTCCACCTCTGGGCGACAGTGTATCTGGCTTTCGATGCCCATGACGCAACGTTTCTACTGGTCCTGCACCGCCCGTCATCTGATACTCTAGACTGTCATTCGGTAAGTTCTCGACAATGGGATCGAGAACATCATTGTCCTCATATTGTCGACGGGATCTTGGGCGTCGGTCCTGAGACCTGGATCTTTCGTAGTGCTTCCCACACTCTTCATCTCGGCGTCTGTGTTGTGATCTTGGATGCCGATCATCTCGTGGACTACGACGGTGTCTCCCACGCTCTTCGTCTCTTGATTTAGACCGACGACGACGATGTCGGCGCTTACCACTCGATTCATGGCTACCTCCATGCCCATATTTCCTACTTTCTTCCATATGCCTGTCCTTCCTATGTCTTTTATGATTTCCTCTCCCCCTTTCCTTTTTTTCTTCTGCAGCCTTTTCCTCTTTATAGCTCCGATACAATTTTATTCCTTCCACCACGGCCTCAACAGCAAGTATTAATACAGGCTGCTCGTGACGTCCAGGGATCAGATCTGGAGCTTTTCCTTGAGCTTGCTTGCGGTATCCTTCGTCCACTGGCATCGGAATTGCTCAAGATGCGTGAGCGAAGACATGGTGGTTGGGTTGTAAATTGGATTATGTATAGAAGAGATGTGAAGCGAGAGTTTGTGAATGTAGAAGCCACGAGGCAATGAAGTAGCAAACGGACGGCTCTGCTGAGTTGGTGGAGTAGAAGATAGTCGGAGGGGGTGTTGGGTGCACAAACACACTGGATATGTGGAGGTTATGAGTTGAACATGCAGCGAACGAACAGCTTCTTAATCACAGATCCTGTGATTAGGTCTAGATACCCGTCCGGCATATACAAGGTCTATATCACTCTGCATTGCTGTTGCAGTAGGAAAAGAGAGTCGCATCGTGGGAGGCATTGCGAACCACAGTGATAGATTGCATTAGAGTTATGACCGGACAGAAATGAGCGACTGTGAGATGGTTTGCTGATATGGTGTCCTTGTGATGTCGTTGTGTGTCCTCAAGAAGCGCTTCCTAGACCCTTCGTCTTGATTTCTTCAAGAAGCGATTTCATCGCTTCATCTCCATCTGCAGCCCTCTTCTCAAAAGCCTTCAAATTTTTCTCAAGCCACTTGTCGTCTTGCCCTGCAGAAGGTAGGAGGAATCCTTGCTCTGCGGCAGCAACAATACCCTCTGAGATACCGCAAAGATGCAACGCTGTAGGGTCATCCAATCGCCCAGGCACATTTCCATCAATTTTGTCGTTTGCGGAATTCGGCCTAACCACATTATTCCATATTTCGGTGAGGTCTAGCACAAGCGTATTCATCTTGTCTCTGTATTCTGGTCCGCGTGTTCGCAGCATCCCAGTGATAGAGTTTGTTTCTTGCAATTTGCCGGCGATGTAGTGAGGTCGTGAAGGGTGGAAATGAACATTCACGAAGATAGAGGGCGCATTGAATGTCTGGCAATGCAGCTTTGTGATGGCGATGGCGATGGCGTCCTTCTGTGATGCTTGGAGCTCACAGTGGTGTTGGATTATGTATTGCGGCATCGTTCAAGTATAGATTAACGAGCTGGAAAGTACACGATGTGATTAGAGTTGGAGGATAGATTCGAGAGAAAACTAAATGTCGTTATCAGGACGTACTCGTGATGGGTCGACATGATGTGTTGGTCTGTACTTATACCACTTCAGCCTACCGGTATTCCCGTTTCCCCGCTTTCGCACGAGGAACCATCTCTTCATGTTGTCGCTAAGTACAAGCGTTCCTCTTTCCCGAATCCACGTATTGTGTGACACTTAGCGGCTCATAGACATTGAACGCTTGCATTATGAGGTCATTTTCGGTGCAGATCGACAGCCCTCCATCCGTATGTTGCTAGCGATCAGTAAACAGGTCATGGCGTGCCTAGGCACATACGAATCACAGAGGCTAGTGGGGTATCTCGATGTCATACTGTATACTAGATATGGACCAATAAAACCAAACATAAGTTGTGGGACATTCACGAGACTTACGAGAACCAGCACGACTCTACTTGTCTTTTGCAACGTTGATACTGGTTTGCTAGTGGCGCTCACAGTTTGTTGCGGATATAACGGCTTAGTTCACAAGCTCCTCGCTTGTATCAGAATGATATGCTTTGGGTGCACTACGTTGAACATAAATTCCTTGGACGAATCTCAAGTGTATCTTCAGCTCTTCACCCATACTAAATGGGAAGAATCGCTCAGCAGTCGAGCCTCTGGTCCTTAGGAAAGCGTAGCGCAACGGCATGTCTAAATTCCCTCGCCAGATGGCCCGCCATCTCCTTGTATTACTCTCCACCAACATTATTCTTGCCCAAAATTCAATCGTATTACCATCTCCTATTGCCGCACGTGTTCGTGTCTCGTACGCAGCCACTACTCTTTTTTCTTCGCTTCTCCCTTCTTCACCCGAACGCCGCTACCCCTGAAGTCGTTCGCATCTAGTGCCTCGCTCTTGCCCAGGCCCAGATCTTCAGCTTCCTTCTCTAGCTGTTGTTTCTGCTTCTTGGCAGCGGCGTTGAGTAGGTATGGCCGTATGAGGAGGTATGCGCCGACAATAGCGATAATGCGGACCCAGCGCTGAGCGGTCATGTCTTCGAAGGACTTGATGGAGTTGTTGACCAAGCGGTTCTTCCACTCGCCCACGTTGTCGAGTATGTAGTCCATCTTGAGTATGCGACGTGGGTGGTTGTGATAGGAGAGTCCTTGTGGTGATGAGATTATGAGCTTGTAGGGGCTGTGGTCGGAGAGGCTTCTAACGTCTATGTCGAGTATTGTGTGTGTGTATGTGTGTTTGTATGTGTTTGCGCGTGCAAGGCGATGCTAGTGAAGAAAGTAATTGCGCGCAACAATAATAAATCACTCAAAGCGTGGACCGTCGCGTGGCAGAACCTGGGCGGTGACTTCCTTCCCGTTTATCACCGAGGCCCCGCTATCGGCCCGCTTTGGACGCGTCTCGTCGCGTCACTTCTCCAGTCGACGCCTACACGCGATCGACTGCACCTATTGAGCGACATGGCGTCAGATGATGGTGCCAAAGCAGAGCGCGAAGAGGTCAGAAGCCCATGTGTCAGGCTGTCGATAATCATGTGCTGACAACACCCACAGCGACTCAAGTCAGCCCTGTGGTACTCCATCGGCCAGTTTGTTGACGAGAAGTCGTTGGAGAACGATCTCAATGCAACGCCACAGTTCATCGGTGCCCTGACTGAGCTTGTATACACCCAAATCGGTAACATCGATCCGCGTCTTGACATGTCCTTTAGCCCGAAAAATGCTAACGTTACCCAGCAAACACAGCCCGCGATCTCGAGGTCTTCTCTAAGCACGCCGGTCGCAACACAATTAACCCCGACGACGTGTTGCTCCTCGGAAGACGTAATGAGCAATTGCAAGGCCTGCTAGAGAGGGAGCTCGAGGACATCAGAGCAGCTGAGGGCAGGCGGGCCGACGGTCAGCCAGCAGCTCGCGCACCGCCAGCAGCACCCACAGCAGGAAAGAAGCGAGGAAGGCCTGCGGGGACTGGAAAAGGCAAGGCGAAAGCTTGAGAAGGCTGCAAGATTGAGCCTGGGGCTTACATGAACCATTGATGCATTGGGAGTTTTGGAGTTGTGGTATGATACCCTCAAGCAAGCCTAGACACGGCGCACTTTGCACACATCTTATATACGTGGACAACAGTGAACGTCTGGAGAGCCTATAAATCATGCAGTTCTCATATCCTTTGAGTATCCTTGTAGTTGTTAGCCTGCCATCAGTGCGGCCAGCAAGGCTCTGCGACTAGACCCTGCATGCGAGGAAAGCGCCGGACCCAATCGTCCGTCAACAAGGCCGCGCTTTACAAACCCGTCAGATTCCCAAGCTACTTCTCACCACCACTGCATTCATCAAAATGCTCTACCTAGCAGTAGAAACAACGCGCAAGCTAACGAAAGCGATGAAACATCTGCATATCGCTCCTTTAGGTTGATACAAGTAACTCTTCGTTCGTGGCTGCCACGCTGCTCCACTATATGCATTCCCTTTGTCTTTCTCATCTGCATAAAGGAAATGCTAATATCCTCAAATTCCGCGTCAATTCTTTGTAACAAGCATCGAGAGGCTGATCCTTTTTCTCACCAGCTTTACACATTATCGAGTCACCTGCCTTTGCCATGGAAACTCACAGGCGAGCACCGTCAGTGGACATGTCGTCGATTCCGCTGAAGGACATGCTTTCACCGGCTCCGTCGTATAGCTCTACATTCCTTTCGCATGTCATTCCTTTCATGCCTCAACACGACACTCTTTCTGGGACATCACAATGCGGCGCATCAAACAACCCCTACTACCAACCTACCACGCCTGAGTCGCCATCCTCGATCCGTCACTCGAGCACCAGACCATCTTCAAAGGATGCGGAAGAAGCCCGTGTCAAGCCCGATTACCAGGACACAAACCATCCCTACTTTGCACGATCTGCTAGACCAGGCTTCCCAACCACACTTCCCGCAAGAAGTCGAATGCCTCGGAAATGCATCCTTGTGCCGTGTGTACTGTTTGCCGTCTTCTTTCTCGTGACGATATGGTTCACCTCAATCTTGCTTGGCGCCTGGTTCCTATCCATTGTTCACACCACATCGCCGGCTCCTACAGTGCAGGAGATTCATCTCTATATCGACGGAGGAGCCCCTCAGGGAAGCCTCTCTATACCCACAAACATCGTGGCCTTACCCACGAGTAATGTTACCATTACTACAAAATCTCCGATCCCAACGGAACCGATAGGCCAAACACTGCCTGACATGAGCAAGGGCATGGACAGACTTTCTACGTCAAGCGAAAGACGCACTGTGCCAGCGCCTACGGGTTTTGCAACCATTACGAGAAGAGGACCATGAGGAAGACTTTTACGCCCATTGAAGCCGCCCCACTTCAGGCGCTGAGACAGCGCGTCATGGAGTGCAGCCTCAGAAAAGGCGGCAGATTATAGCTTTATTTTTGCAATATCAGCCGTTCGCATGGTTCATACGCCTTTTCTAGCATATGCCATTCGACCTTGTTCTCAAATGATCGTCTGCCACATCCAGGTCGCCTTGTCCAATTTTTCCGGATATCGAAAAGCCTTCCAAGTACATCTACGAGGCTCGGAAGAAACGAGACCGAATTTCTGAAGTTCGTAGTGACTCGCTGCAGGATCGTGCTCCCAGCGAACCGCTCCCAGAGACGTTTTGAAACATGCGGGTGCACATACGAAACGGCATAGCTAACCCAAAGCAGCCACTTTGGAAACGTTCGCTTCCTGATTTCTCCACCAACATGTCCACCCAATCTCGGATGGCACCTGTCGCATAAACAAGCATCGCGGACCATACCTAAGAAGAGCAAACTAGTCCTTCATCTAGATTTATTGCTGGCGTGTCGCTCCTTGGCATCTGTAAAGACGATGTCGTACCGTTCCCAGCGACTGGGATGGCGTGAACGGCTGTCAAGGAGGATTCCAGTCGGTTCGTCCTGATCTCCGGAGACCATTAATCTTGTTCCAGGCGCGTAAGTCAAGCAAAAGATCGGCATGGGATGAGTTTATAAGGTGCCGTTGTCCTTGCCATACACACTTCATCATTCCAACGGGCCAGTCCTTTCTTTGAACACATTCGTTCCGGTTTTTACTACCACCTTCACTCTTTACCTTACATTCATTTTTCGTGATCAGGCATCACTAGCATATCTTTGCAAATCAAGTCATTATACATATCACACCGACAAAACACTTTCAACCTTCAAGATGTTCACCAAGGCCATTTTCACCAGCGCTCTCCTTTCCGCCGTCTCGGCTCACCAGAACATGCACCAGCTCTGGGTCAACGATGTTACTCCTGGTTACCAGGTCGGCATCCGGATGCCACCTTCCAACAGCCCCGTCACCGACGTAACCAGCGACGATATTGTCTGCAACGTCAATGGTGCCAAGGTCCCCTCCGGTGTTGAGACCGTTGCTGCCAACGAGGGTGACACCATCAAGGTTCAGTGGGACCAGTCCGGCCACCCAGGTCCCATCACCCACATGCTTTACGGACCCGTTGACGATGCTTCCCAGGCCACTGGTATCGGTGCCGGATGGTTCAAGATTGACGAGCTTGACAACGTTGACGGAAAGTGGGCGAACGAGATCATGGGCGCCAACAACATGACCCGCGAGTTTGCTCTTCCTACCGGTCTTGCCAGCGGCGAGTACCTGCTCCGTTCAGAGATGTTGGCCCTTCACGGCGCTCAGACTGTCGGTGGTGCGCAGTTTTACATTGCCTGTGCGCAGCTCAAGATTACTGGTACCGGTAAGGAGGGTACTTGCGGACCTACCATTGAGCTTCCCGGTGCCTACAAGGCTGAGGACGACAACATCTACATCCCCAACGTCTACAACGGCTTCGACGCGACCACCTACAAGGCTCCTGGTGGCCCTGTCGCTTCATGCGGTGGTGCCGGTGCTGCTAAGCCATCTTCCCCTGCTGCCAACTCGACCGTCGCGGCTCCTACCTCTGCTGCCGCTGCGCCCACCTCTACCCTCGCCGTTGTCTCTTCTGTCGCTGCTGTTGCCGAGACCAGCTCCGCCGCTCTCCCTACCCTCGCCCCCGCCCGCCCCTCGATGAACGCTACGATCCCCAGCGCTTCTCCCATTGCCCCTACCACCTTCGCCACTCTTCTCCGCCCTTCATCTGGCATCGCTGCCCCTACTGGTGCTGTTCCTTCCGGAACTGCTGGCGTTGCTAAGCTCTACTACCAGTGTGGTGGTGCTGGATACACCGGCCCTACCACCTGCGAGGGCACTGCCAAGTGCGTCGTACAAAACGACTTCTACTCCCAGTGCCTCAACAACTAGAGGGAGCTTTCGAAAGGGGATGACTGGAGGATAATGGCGGAGAGATTTGGAAGACTATGATTGGGGATACCTTCTTGATGTTCATGTATATACCTTGACTTTGCAATTCTAGTCCATATTACTTTTGTTCAAACAAGCTCCCCTGCGTTACAAGTCGCATTGCTGCATCTGCTTTTTCCCGCCCGTTCATGCTGACGCTGGAAGAAGATGACGCAACCGACACTCAGCCGTTGCCCAGAAGGAAGGAGCTGGACTGGCTGTTGGCTGAATAGGAAGGAACAAAGAAGTCGCGCATCCCTTGCTTCTTGTATAATCACGGTAGGCCTGACGGCTCCTGAAGACCACTTCCCAAACCAAGTCTTTGTTGTTTTTGGAGTCGAAGACGATCGCTTCGGATACCGAAAGTAGTGCCGAATGGTGATGGGGTGTGATAGTCGATGTAAGCCTCGATTCGCAGCGCGGGCGGAAGACCAGCAAGTGGCGGGCCTAGTGCGTGTTTCAGATTAACCTTATGTTTTGCAGGCCATGGTGGGCTGTTTGTGCAACCATGGCGGGCAAGTGAACAGCTGGCCTGGAATTTGTGGCTGCATACGCACGATCAGCATGCAGACGTCATGCGCAGTATCAGCATCCGCGATGCTACGGACTTCAGCATCAATGCCGGCCAATTGCTGGTCATGGGCGGGGGTCCAAAGCAGGACGTGTCGTTGTGGGCTCCTCAGTGGCTTCCCCGATGTTCAAGGCCGCAGCCAGGGTCGTGCTCCACTTCTCTAATTCACCAACCCACGTCGCTGTCCCGCTCCTAATTCCCCATCACCACCAACAACCACCGCTGCGCCCCCGACTGCTTCTCTGACACCCGCACGATACTAACTTTTTAATCTCTATTTTGTACACTTGCCCAGACTACAAGCCGCGTCGCGTCGACTGCTCCTGCCTTTCAAGATACCGTCCCGCGACCCTCAGTAGCCTACACCGCCAACCCTTGCAAACATGGCGGACAAGCCAGAAAGACCCACGAGCTCAGGCAGTTCTGGCTCTGATAGCGTAAGCGATGCCCATGTTCCGTGGGAAATGCAGGCAGCCATTGCGGTGCATGTTTGCTAATATGTATGCGGCGGTGTAGGACAGTTTCGAAGAAGCAGCTGAGAGTACCCCTCGCCCAGACTCACAGTCCGAACGATCACAGTCACGGTCACGGTCCCTCCTACAACGAGAATCTTCGTCTTCAACAGTGCAAGCAGCCAAACCAGCGGAGCCTGCTCCTGCAGTGCCAAAAATACCCAAAGAGGAGAGCGACGACGACGATGATGACGACGATGACGATGACGAGGAGGAAGAAGACGATGAAGAGGAAAGCGATGAGTCGGACAATGAACCTGAGCCAAAGGCTGTCGAGAAGCCTAGCGAAGATACACCGGCAGCCAAGTCACCACTCCTTACTGGGCACAGAGTGTCAGTCACATCGGACATGGACGACGTGTCTTTAGACAGCGGTGAGTATACCTACTGGGCTTGGAATAAGAACTGTGTGATGTGCGCGTGTAGGCTGGTTCATGCTTCCAGAGCAGGAGCCATCTGCACCCATTCACTGGCCCCACCTACATACGCGTCTGCATGCGTGAATGCATGTTGATCGCAAAACTGAAGCTGATGCTTAACAGAGGGCTCAAAAGCTGCCGGCATACTCCCCAAGCTACCACCAAGAGATTCTCGAGATTCTACAAATTCCGCGAGCGGACTACAAGGCCTCTCTGGCAGAATGTCGCCCGTCAAATTCCCTCCGCCGCCCGCCCCACCTGCTGTACAAGAGAAGCCCGCGCCCGCGCCAGCACCAACAACGACTAGAAAACTCACAGGTCCTTTCGCTTGGCTGTCAAGAAACAGCTCTAGCAAGAAACCTGAGTCTCCACCGGCAACTACGACAACTACGGAGCGACGGAATACTGGGGCGTCTATTGCGACTATCGGCAGTAATCCAGAGCTCACCTTGAGCAGGATCGAAGATGAGGGCGACATGGGCTCTAAACACAGAACAAGTCAGGGTAGCCTGCGAGACCGTTTCAAGATTCTGCGAATGAGGGAAGAAGCGGGCATAACACTCAGCGATGAGACAGGTATAGATGGTAGTCCAACCGTGGCGCTAGCATCGCCAGGTATCGGGCTCGGCATTGCCAGCCCTCCGCCCACATCTGGAGAAGAGCCAGGAAGTCCTCCAGCTCTTGTGAAACAGCCTACAATCAACCCGAAGTTGGCTCCGGGAACAGCATCTGGATTCGCCGCTGGTCCGGCGGGAGACATTGCCGAGCCTGTAGATTGGGACCTTTGGCAGTCAGTGGTCAACGAAGGGCCAGCAGCAATTGCACGCACCAGTTCCGAAGAACTGAACCGCGCCATCGCAAGTGGCATCCCTCAAGTCATTCGTGGTGTCATCTGGCAAGTGTTGGCGCAAAGTAAAAGCGAAGAGCTGGAGAGCATGTACAGGGAACTCGTAGCTCGTGGAACAGACAAGGAGTACATGAGCGTCAGCGCCAGCGCCAGAACGAGCACCCTCAGCATGGGAAACACTACTGGCAACGGAAAAGAATCAGTCGCTTCGTCTTCGTCTTCAGTGCACTCCGACTACTCGAGCCCGGCCACAACAGCTGCTAGTACCACCGCGCCATTGGGCTCGCCATCTCTCACTTCGGAAAATGAAGATCCGATCAAGGCACAGGCAAGGCTTGCGGCGGAAAAGAAACAGAACGCCGCCACAATATCGAAACTGGAGAAGGTCATCAAGCGTGATCTGGGAGCGCGCACGAGCTACTCCAAGTACGTCATGGCAGCTGGGCTACAGGACGGTCTTTTCGGTATCTGCAAAGCATACGCTTTATACGACGATGCAGTCGGTTACGCCCAAGGCATGAACTTCATCGCTATGCCTCTGCTCTTCAACGTAAGTTTCCATCTGCCTGATATTCGCCGTCTGTAACTAACTTTGGCAGATGCCCGAGGAAGAGGCGTTTAGTCTCTTTGTGACACTGATGAACAAGTATGGCCTTCGTGACCTTTTCGTAGCTGACATGGCTGGACTCCACCTGCATCTGTACCAGTTTGAACGCCTTTTGGAAGAGTTTGAACCCGCTCTGTACTGCCATCTCCGCCGGAGAGAGGTCAAGCCACAACTCTACGCCACTCAATGGTTCCTTACATTGTTCGCATATCGGTTCCCGCTACAACTCGTCTTGCGTATTTATGACCTCATACTCAGCGAGGGTCTTGAATCTGCGATCTTGAAGTTCGGTATTGTGCTCATGCAAAAGAACGCTGAAACATTGCTGGGTATGAAGGACATGTCGACACTGACAACATTCCTCAAGGAGCGATTGTTTGACGTGTACATCGACAAAGCTCCATCGGCCAATTCCATCCTTGAAAATGGCTTCTTTGGCTCGACTGCTGGCATCGACAAGGAGATCTATCGTGCTGATACTCTTGTGAAAGACGCCGTTTCTGTCAAGATCACGCCAGAAATGCTCAAGCAGTACACCGCAGAGTGGAAAGAACAGCAGCGCATAGAAAAAGATCGCGAGACCGAGCTCCACGGACTGAAAGATAAAGTCACACATCTGGAACAGAAGGTCCGATCACTGGAGCATCGCGCTGAGCAGTCGGATATGGAGCATGTTCAAGTCGCTTCTGAACTCATTAAAACTAAGGTTGAAAATGAGAATCTCGCCGACGAGAACGAAACATTGAAGACAAAGGTCGAAGAGCTTCAGAAGATCGTCGACACCCAACCCGCAGAGGTCGAAGCAAGACTGAAGAACGAAATGGAGACTGTAATGCAAAAGAACATCGTTGTTCACAACGAGAACCGCAATCTGGAAGACTCGATGGCCGAGATGGAGAAAGAATTGGTTGATGTCAAGATGCAATGGGCTACAGTAAGTTCCAGTCTCCCGGTTGGTGTTATGTTGAGCACGGCTAACCAACCCTTCAGATCAACGAAGAGCACGAAGCACTCAAGCAAAAATGGAACAACATCTCACAGATGATGAAGTAAGCCCAATAGTGGGCTCATACTGCATCCAAGGCGTCGGGTTGACTTGCATATAGCACGCAGGCGCCGCCTCCCGTCGGGGATCAGATTTATTCTGTCGCGTCGATCGCCCTTTAATTCGCTTCTAATGTCTATATATACATCTGCTTTGCATAGGAATATCCTGCGCAGGGTTTTGTTGTGCATCTTGCTTCGGCATCGTCAGTTTCGCGTCACTATCTAAACCAGTGGCTTGCCAGGACGGACAAAGACACCTTCGGCTGGATACGACCAGAGTTTGAATAGCTTGCATGGCATGGGAGCAAGGTGTTTGGAATGGTGGTGATTGAATCGCATACGTCTATCTCTATAGACTCATGGAAAGGAGTTTCTCGCTGTGTTGTGTTGGCCTGTAGCATCTTATGGTGGGAGTCGAGTTGGTTAGACCATCAATAAAAGAGTACGATGTGACGCAATAGGTATTCTTATGTGGTGAGGTCATTGTCATCAGTAATGAATTCTTTGCCTTCTATCACTCTCTGGGCTGCTGTCTTTCCCTTTTGCTGCGCAAGATGTTCCTCTATGCCCGATCGGGTAGCTGCAGTGAAGCACTAGCACTCGCTTATCTTATCGTGAACCCTGCAGAAAAAGTTACGCAACCCCACAGTCGTTTCTGCGACACATGTCAATAACAATTCAATCACATTTCAAGATGGCTGAACAAGCAACAGAAGAAGATATCCTCCTCGCCAAGCGCATCATTTCGGCAGCGGAGCGTCACGATGTGCCAGCGTTGAACATCCTGCTCAAGGACGGATCGGCAAACGTGCAAGACCCCACAGCAACAGTATCAACATCACCACTTCACGCAGCAATTGCAGCTTGTGGCAGAGCTGAGGATGGGAAAGAAGCCAGTGATGCCGCGGTTCAAACGGTAGAAACACTTCTTCAAAATGGCGCCATCTGGAACGATCTCAACAAAGAGGACGAGACACCAGGATGCATCGCTCTCCGCTTAGGCCAAAAGAAGATATACGAGATGATGGTTGAAGCCGGTGTACGTGCTGAAATCCTCTTCGCTCGACTAGAAGCGCTCGGCATGGGCGACAATGATGTAGAAGAAGAAGCCGATGAGGAAGAAGACACAGAGCAACCTGCCGCCAAGAAGCAAAAGGTCTCGGAAGAAGACGCCAAAGCCATCGAACAGGTTGTCGAGGAAAAGGTTCTTGACGATGTCTCTCTTGACAATAAGGCCTACCTTAGAAGTCAACTCCGCTACAAACCCGGCATTCTCCTTGACGAATCCGACAACGCTGTTATGATGGACTGGGAAATGCAAATTATGCAACGCCATGCCGAGACTCTGATCCCTAAGAAGGGTCTCCGTACTATGAATGTAGGCCACGGAATGGGTATCGTGGATACTGCTATTCTTACGCACGATCCTGCAGAGCACCACATCATCGAGGCGCATCCACAGGTACACCAGCGTCTCCGTGAGCAAGGCTGGTACGACAAGCCCAATGTCAAGATTCACGAGGGCCGGTGGCAAGATATCTTGCCTAAGCTGGTAGAGCAGGGCGTCGTGCTAGATGCCATCTATTACGACACCTTTGCTGAGGATTACAAGGCGCTCAAGGAGTTCTTCGCCGAATATGTGGTTGCGCTGCTGGCCAAGGATGGCAAGTTTGGTTGGTACAATGGGCTAGGTGCTGATCGCCAGATTTGCTATGATGTTTACACAAAGGTATGTCGCTTCACAGTTGGGTATTTGATGGGAACCGTTTCTAATGTTAGGACAGGTTGCTGAGATGGACCTCTACGAGGCGGGTTTCGATACCGAATGGGAGGAGATCAACGTACCATCGGGTCTGCATGGAAGTGATCAGTGGGAAGGAACCAGAAGGCCGTACTGGACAATCGACATTTACAGGTTGCCTGTGAACACTTTCGTCAAGTGACGGCGACGTCGAAGAAGGAGGAGAGCATTGAATACTTGGCGATGTTACGCCTGATCGCCAGGGAGATACCGTCGATAAGAGTGTCACTCTCACAATGCGGCAATGACGATCTATGCATTCATTTTTGCTAGCAGAATCTAGCTACGGCAATCGCAAATCATCGGATATTATAGAAACACTTCGTGGCAGACCGCCATAGGAGGCAGGTCTTGACTTCCACGACAGGAATTCCAAGTCGAACGGATAAGTCGTCTCGTAACGCTATGTATGACCTATATTCGCAGTGCTTCTACAGATCTTCATCTTCAAACCTCACATCCAACACCTGACCGTCCCCTTTCTGTCCATGGAACGCTGCAATGACCCTTTCCGCATCATCCTTCGTAGCAAATTGCAGTTCGACAACCAGTGGATCGCTGCTCCGAACAGTCCTTCCAAGTATGTCATGATCGCTATAAGGGCTCATGATAGTTTCTACGTCCTCAATCGTGGTGCCAGAGATGAAACCACGAGCGACAATTGTGCGTGGTCCGTCTGTGGAGAAGCTAGTGGGCTGTGGGTGGGTATCAGTATTGAGGCCTGTAATCAATGGGACTCTACGGCTGCCAGGTTCCTGTTGGTCTTGGCTGGAAGAATTCGTTGCCAGTACGGGTTCTGCACCTTGGTCTGTTCTCTCGCCGTTGCGATATGCTGATGGGGTAGCAGTATCGAAGCCGGAAACTCCAGGTTGGTCGTCTGTCAGTGTATTTTCCTGGATGTCTTCTTCTTTGATGTTTGCATGATCGCCTTGTTGATCTTCCAAGGAGTTGGCGTGACTCTCATCGTCGGAGTGGTGAGCCACAGGTACTGCACCGTCGTCGAGTTCAGCATCATATATCGTACCAATCTGAGCTGCTTCATTAGCAATGATAGGTACCTCCCCGTCGATTTCATTAGGCAAGCCGCCTGCGAGTTCCCGATCGTCGCGCTGATCATTTTCGGGACCTTCATCATCATTTTCCTCCCAAGCGTCGCCGTCATCGCCAAAGTCTTCCTGTAGTGGAGGTGGAGGAGGGTGGACAAACTGGTCGAACGTGATACCTTGGGTCTCGAATAACGTGATGCGGAACTGATCTAAAGCGTCTTCGCGAGGCCCGTGAGGAAGCTGGTTGACCAAAGCGCGCTGGTCGGGTGTCAGATGTTGCAGGACTTCCCACTCAGGATCTTCGACCTGATCATCTTCGTCTTCGCCTTCTTCATCGTCGTCTTCTTCGTCTTCTTCGTCTTCTTCACGACGACGAATCATGTCTTGACGGCGAGTAAGACCCTGTCGGTTGAGACCATTTTCTCGATGGTAACCGTCCTGGTTGTATCCTTCTTCATCGTAGACGGCGGGACCGTAATGCGGGCAGCCGTGGAGACCAGGCCAATCCTTGCCGCAGATATAGCAGAATGAGCTACCGCACTCACAAGTGATGTGATTGCACGCCTCAGCCAACTCAACAGTTGCGCCACAGACAAAGCACTCTTGGTAACCTTTCTCATTGGCTGTCTGCTTGAACTTTTTCTCGTCCTCGGTTTGTTTGCACTCATGGTTTTGGGTACCGTCTACGAGCAAGGCTTTGCATTTTGTGCAAGTCAGCTTACCGCATCCTTCAGAGTCGCAGATGGCGTATGTAATCTTGGTCTCTTGGTCCTCCACGTGCGATTCGGGGTGTAAGAATTTTCCGCAGGCTGGGTCTGCGCAATAGACACGAAATCTGCTTAGTTCTTAGCTTGGGTTTATCATGTGGTTATATAGTAAACTTACTTTGCCAGAATTGAATACTCGCCCTGCTGCTTCATCTGATACGCCCACGCGATTTCGAACGAAATATAGTCCTCGTAATCTTCCAACATGAACATTGTTTGGCAGCACTGTGGCGGGAAAAGGCTCTCGTTATTGGTCGCATTCTCAAAAAAGCTTCCGACATCGTCAGCGCAGACCCAATGGCGGCCGCAGGGTGCTTCGAGAAGCAGCTCGCCTTCGCTCTCCTCAGTCCCGCAGATTACACAGCTCTTAGACATGGTGGCTGTTATTCAGATTGCAAGGTGTGTAGTTCCAGCGACTGAAACGGATAGCAAGAGAAGAGATTGTCTTGTGCAAGACGGTGTGTGAGTTGAATGTTCGGTAGATCAAGCTCGGTACCGATGTAGAAGCACAGCCGTGTGGGAGTTATGTAGGAAGAAGATAATTGGTGGTTATCAGGCAGCTAGTGCTAGCTCGGGATATTCACTGTGAAGACAGAGTATGAGGAGTGAGTGTTCATAGAGTAAGGTCCTACTCTTTAGCTTAGGACGTGGTATCAAAGAGACCCTTGCGCGCTTGCCCACACGTGGAGACACAGTCGGTGACTGATTCACGTGAGAATACAGCAAACGGATTAGGGGAGAATTATCCAACCGTGATGTTGAAATTTCCCGTCACCTCCTGGTTTGAGAGTTAGAGGATTCGATCAGAGTGCGGATGGAAAGGGAAGGGGAGATTGAATCAAGGTCAATGAAAACGAAATTGAGATGCGAATCAGATATTGGGGAGTCTTTGAGCGACGCTTGAAGTTATGTGCTTCCTAGTTCGTACTTGAGATACCTGTATCGGGCTGGCCGCAGGCAGCCGTCGGCCGGACTTGATATTTAGCTCGGAAAGCCATGTATGCAGCCTGGCTAGGTCCACACATATATAGCAAGACTACAGACTAGCCAGGCAGACTTTGCATACGGAATGATGTAGAGTGAGCGCTCAAGGGCTAAGGCGATGAATGTGTGGTGAGGGAAGCTTCGCGGCCTCATTCGAGAGTTCCGGGCAGCTTGATCGTGCACGGACGCACAACGAGCTTGGGACTCCTGACTGCTGCCTCATCAATTCACCCACGCCACATCCAAATTTTGCGCAATGCTAAGGCTAGCTATTGGGCGCTCAACTGAGCGGTGTATTGAAACTTCTAAACTGAGTTGTTCGCTCCAGTTGTCGATAATGGCTCGAGTTTGCAGAACATAAAGATATTTGGAGAAATCTATTGTGAGCCTGTATACGTTCTTTAGGTAAAAGTTCAAGGTAATATATTATATACAAAAGAATTTTGTAAAGCTACGCCTTCTTTCTAGGCACGGCACATGCGTCCATCTTTGCTGACGTTCCAAGCCTCGCTACCAACACCCTTGAGGATGTAGAATACATCCCGGGGGTCGTACTTCTTCTTGATAGTCTTCAGCTTGTTGTAGTTGTCTCCAAAAAATGTGCTCTGCCAGTTCGGCTGCTGGAAATCGGCTTCATTCAGGTATGAGCCACTGCCTGGCGTGATCTTTTCGATTTTGGGCATAAGCACATTGGTCATCTTCTGCTGGGCAGCCTCCATGTCGGCCCAAGGAGCAGTGGAGTCCCAGTTGGTAATAAGCTGCAGCTGAATCATAGCATTCCTCCATGCTGGTAGTACACCATTGTCGGCAGCTCCCTCGGGCTTCTGGTAGTTAGCTGAGCTACCAGCAAGCAAGACACCTTCGGCAGCAAGCTCCTGGTAAACCCTGACGAGTTCCGCAGTGTTGTTCTCCACCACATCTCGGGGGATAAGACGGCCACCGAATTGATATCTGTTGACTTCATATGCTCCACGTGGGAGAGGACCCATGTAGCGATCGAAGTGGTCGCGGTAGGACAGCTCGCTGTAGACAATTGGCGGCGTAATGCCAAGATCTGTAAGAGCTTTGGCGTAAGGTGCGAGTACAACGTCCTTGACGTAGGCCGCTGTTGAGTCCCAAACCGTGACGGGCTTGATAACGATGTACTGAGTGCTGACCAGGAAGACTACCATGGCACCGGCATCGATCATGCCTGGTAGGAGCTCGATAAGCTTGGCAGTTGCTGCTGCGTATTTCTCGGGGGTAGTAGATGATGCTAGGAGTTGCATGGCAGCACCACCAACCTGCTTGGCTGGGTATGCTTTTACTGTCAACGAGAGGACGACGGCATATGTTCCACCACCACCGCCACTGAGAGCCCAGTACAAGTCAGTGTTCTCGGTTGCTGAGGCAGTGAGCATCTTGCCTTCAGCAGTAACGACCTACAAAGACATGGTTAGTGTTGCTCTTGGTTGCTTATAGTATAGAGCTTCTCACCTCATAGGACAAGGCTTGGTCGGCACCAAGACCGAAGGCAGTGCTGAGAACGCTGTGGCCACCGCCTTGGGTGAAACCACCCGCCAGACCAACTGTAGCACATTCACCAGACACAACTGTCATGCCCTGCTTGTTTACTGCCTCAAGCAACTCGTTGCCCATGACACCGGCACCAACAGTGACCGATGGGCCAGTGTAGTGCTCATCCGACCAGTCACCGAAGGTGATGCTCTTCAAACTTTGCGTCCAGATAGCAAGAGCACCAGCCCCTGTAGACCGTCCCAAGAAATCATGCCCAGTGTTGCGAACAAGAACACGGATGTTCTCAGCTTTCGCAAACTCAAGAGCAGAGATGACATCCTCTGCTTCAGTGGCTTTGACAGAGTATGAAACATAGTTGCCAAGAGTGCAAGGGATGCTCCTATCGGAGAAGGGATCGCAGCTCTGGTTGGCGAAGTACGATTGCATGATAGAGTGGGAAGACGGGGTGCTGCCAAGAGTTTTAGAGTTCTGTCCAAGCATGTGAACGGAGCTCCTGCACTTACTGCGTTAGAGGGTTCAGCCATTCTGCCTTCAATGTGTCGCAAGCATCGGCATCGTATGTCGGATCGTGACAAGGCGACCCGATAGGAACAGTAGCCACAAGCTTCCCGTTTACAGTCGAGTTCAAGGTCGACCATGCCTCAGTGGATGGCCAATCAGCATCACTTGGCAAACGGTAACACTGCTTGGCATCCCCAAGACGAGCGAGAAGTAGAGCCCCAAGGAGGGGTGCGTTGTCGACGAGTCTCATCTTGTCGTGAAAGTACTCGATGGTAGTGATGGATACCAAGAGACTTGACTTGGGCCTCATATATACCCATTGCTCCCCTTACTATTCTCTTCGCATTGCCACGAACTATTCTTCTCATCTCGGAGACCATCTCAAAGAAGACGCCTTAGCCAACGTCTGCTTCCTCTTGTAGGATGCAGCGCCGACAGAGTCCACTTGAGACACTGTGCCACACGCCGATGGCATTGCAAGGTGTAGCCTTGCACTGGGCTGGAAGCCGGCGAAAACCTCGAGCGGCAATCGATGGCCGCAGACGCGGTGATGCTACTGCAGGGCATAGTGGGTCAACACAGCAATGGGGGATTCAACCGGGCGGCCTGAGGCTTAGAGTGGACCCTTAGCCATGGGTTCCGGATAGGATTGGGAGGCGTGAGACTATAGGATTCGCATGTGAGCGGTAGGAGTGCAGCGACAGGAACCGGACACGCGCGCACATCTTGGCAAGCGTCTTGGTGCGTTCGGGATGAACGCTCGTTTCGGCAGCCGTGAAGCGAGCAGAACTGTCCAGGTGCGCACCAAACAACGATTGTTGCACTGATCGACTCCACGTGCTCACCCGCCTCCATTATTGCGCAATGCTTATCATGCCCCCCTTTGGCCACACTTTTCATGTCCAGCATTCTTCTTCATTAACCGTGGATCTTGGACGCCTTAGATCGGTTTTTACAGTGGCTTTCGGTTGGCGTGTGTGGCGTTCACCAGCCCATGACACACCGGACCGCTCCCCACATACTGCTAGAACGGCTTGAACGCTACCATGACCCCTTTCTGGATGACATGCCGCGGACCTTAGCTGATGTAACTTCCGACCGATTATGCGCCAGCGCTTCTTAACAAAGTTTGCGCTATCGAAATGCCATGGTCGCGTAGGCTTCTGCAGCCGGCAGTTCATACCGATAGAGGTAGCAAGCTTGATAAACACGACTCGCGGGTTTCAGTGTTAGACCTTGCAAGCGATGCACTATAAACCGCATGAGCAACCCCTGCGCACATCATATCCCAGGAACACCTTCCGTTTCGAGGCGGGGGATAAATGGTAATACATGTCCCGCTGTCAGTTTACCTGAGACTTTTCTGCGAATTCTTGTGCGCCAGCTACAGATCCGGGCTTTAATCTCCCTGTACTTGTCATCCGAACAGTCGGGTCTGGGAGCATCAACATGATTTCTCTTTTCCGAAAATGCATCCTGCTGTGGCTCGCTACTGTCTTCGTGGCTACTGCAGCACAGCAGACTGCTCTGTCAGAGCTTCCGGAATGCGCTGTAAGTAAACTTCGCTTTTGAATCTCAAGTTGATTGTAAGTCTCTTACTGATCGCTGCAGCAAATCTGCCTTCTAAGAGCTTTCGGCACAGACACTTGCGCGCCAACAGATCAAGCCTGTATCTGCACCAACGAAGTCTTCCAGAACAATGTAACATTGTGTGTAAGCAGCAGCTGCACCATTCCTGAAGCTCTAGGTACTTTCATCAACTTGACAGAAGAGGGCCGACGACTAACCAGTGTAGTCACACGAAATGTCAGTCTTACCAACTGCGGTGCACCGGTGCGACATCGTGGAGAACACTACGTGACGTTGTCAAACGCAATGGTATGCATCGCCGCTGCCTTCGTTGTGATCCGTTTCGCCTTCAAGGCCACCGTGTCGAGACTCGACTTTGGTTACGATGACTTTTGCGTCCTGGCGACGCTTATAGCCGCCATACCCAGCGCCATCATCACTGTTTTCGGTACTGTAAAGAATGGACTTGGTCAAGACCTTTGGGCCTTGACTCCAACGGAGATCACCCAGATGCTGCAATACTTTTACATTATGGCGTGGCTGTATTTTCTCCAGCTCACGCTGCTGAAGCTCACTCTGTTGTTCTTCTACATCCGCGTGTTTCCTAGTAAAGAAGTCCAGCGACTGTTATGGGGTACTGTCATCTTCACTGTACTCTGGGGCTTGGCCTTTATCATTGTTGCGGTATTCCAGTGTCGGCCGATTCACTACTTCTGGACGAAATGGGACGGTATGCATGAGGGCACTTGTCTGGAGATCAACGCCATCACCGCATCAAACGCTGCCATCTCGATTGCTCTGGACTTCTGGATTTTGGGTATACCTCTCTGGCAGCTTTGGGGGCTGAAGCTACACTGGAAAAAGAAGGTCGGTGTAGCACTTATGTTTTGCGTCGGCACTTTCGTTACCGTCGTCAGTATTCTGCGTCTGCAGGCTCTGGTGCACTTCGCCGCTTCCTCGAACGTAAGCTGGGAGTTCTACGACGTTTCAGTGTGGAGCACGATCGAAATATGCGTTGGTATCATGTGGTAAGTTGTGTTGTCTCAACCGTCATCTTTGCACATGCTAATCTATCTTTCAGCGCTTGCCTTCCAACACTCCGCCTTCTCCTGGTTAAACTCTTCCCTATCCTTGGCGGCTCCTCAGTACGCAGTCGTCAACAGTACTACAACTACGGTAGTGGCAACGAACTCAAGAACGTTAGCCAGAAACACAAGTCATACAACATGAACACTAGCGCTGCTATATCGAGTCCTCGGACCGAGTCTTTCGACGATAAGATAGAAGACGGCATTAGGGTTAAGACCTCCTACATGGTAAAGCATAGTCATAGCGACACAGATGAAGCGAGCCTAGTAAGCCATGAGGGACCACAGAGGCAGTAGGGCCGAGGTTGGTCGCGCGCGTCCGAATGTAGTTTGAATCAAAATGATATCTTCCACCTTCTGAGCACTCTTCGTATACGCACATGTCACTTGAATGACTACAGGCGCATGCCGAAACCTTCTTGAGGCGTACTTCATCCTCAAACAGCTACCCGCCGAGTGTAACTTCCCATCCGGGTGGTAACTACCGTGATCGACACGCGTTGAAGCACACACCTCTCGTTTTCTGGGTTCACCCATCCAAAGGGTAGCGCAGATCACCGGAATATCACCGATGAACCTCGTGGAAAATCACACTAGTATGACAGGTCCACATGTCGACGATCTTTGCAAGCGATGTTGCGAAGAATACTAATCGAAGAACAAATGGCGTCTTTAGTTCAGGGTGTCGCCCGGGTATGACAACGAATTCCATCATCGTCTTTCAGGCAACCATACTCAATACTACTGTAGCCATCGCATTATTCACCATGTATCCACAATAGGAGAGAACATGACGGGAATACGATGCGTACTCACGGTGGAGTAAAGCCGATGAATCGCAAGTTTGCCATGATTCTTGGTTGCGGCAGCTTACGAGCCACGAATTCTAGATGTGGGGCCGACGTCTGAATAGCCGAGTTTCGGCTATCCACAGGTAGACACTGCTAACAGGTGCTAACAGGTGCCAACAGGTGCCAACTTTCGCTAGCACGTGCACTTCGCTTCTGGAAAGCTGAACATTACTCAGGATTAGGCTGAAATTATGTTAGACATGCACCATTAAATCGGCCGACTTTCCAGACAGTCCGCTCTTTCAAGCTCATTGGTTGCGTCTTGATGGAGCGTCATTTGTGACAAAAGTACAGCCAATGACCATTGACCAACTAACCTCGGCCTCCAGCAAACTCAACACCACATGTCCGTTATTGCAGTGACGAAAGAATCCAGGAACTAGAGAAAATGTGGCTGGTGATTGTGCGTCCGTGCGTTGTCGTTGCATTGCGGTGGTTGGGAATGACCTCGAGGGTGTCGCTGTTGAAGAACACGCGCGTCCCGACATTGCACTCTGACTTTCGTGGTAAAAGATGAGTATGCCTTGCGAAAACTCTGCAACAGAAGGGTGCACTGCTCCGTCGTGGGTGCAGTAGTGTGGAAGAAGACAGCGCATGTTGCACAGCACTTCACGTGCTCGAAGTGAGAGAAGTCCAGTATGTCTCTTCCACAGAAACAAGACTCGGCTTCCCCACGGTACTTCTCACAAGCTGCTCCGATCACGGTCACATCACCTGGGCTACTAAGCTCAGCTGTAACGTGGATCACCCGCTGCTAAGCTAGCCGTTTTCCCCCGTAGTATCCGTCCTGAAAGTGTAATCCAAAACCCTCTTAGCACTGTCATATCTTTGTACCACTCGAAGAAGACTGACGACAAATTTCCACTTTCGCAAATAAGATCGACAAGCACGCCTGTCGCTCATGCAACGCTACCAAGGGCTGAAGCTCTTGACAGCGTCAGCTGGCGAGTAATTTCATCCACCACAACTGTGAGGATTCGTAAGCTAATCACCGTGCCTCGCGACACCATTGACAAAACTGTCGCCGATTTGCATCAAAAGTCTCCCATAAGCTTCAACGGTGCTTCACATTTTTCGTGACGCAATCCTAAAGCGCAAGGCTCTTGCCGAAATGAAGAAGAAGAGAGTGGAAGCGTCTCTCCACAAACTCAAACTTTCGCCGATGAATGATTCGTGTGTGGTATCAACCTTCAGTGCATCAAACATAGCCTTTGGTCCGACATTCAGCGACTATGCTGCTTCTCGCTGTCACTGTTGATCTGCAGAGTACCATCGGGAAGAGGCACAGTGAGCATCCCAAAGCAGGAGCAAGTTTCTCCTCTCAACAATGCAGACTTGAGCGCAATTACGATACCGAGTGCAAGACAACCGAGGTTTCACTCTCGTTCTTCCTTCCTCTGCGGCATCTACTACACCCTCCAGTCTACCTAGTTAGCAACGATACCATGTTCCCAACATTCTATGTGCGATATATCACTCTCACCGTCGCTCTAAGCCTTTCATCATTCGTCCTTACTACTGTCATGGATGCGGGAAAGTCAATGTCGCTCGAGTAGTGGCGAATAGACGTAAGCTGATTACACATGCCAGACGAGCAACTGCCATGTCTTCGTGTGCAATAAATTCAATGTTCTAATGACCATATCGGAACATTGTGGAAGTAATATCTTGAATACTTGAGCTTCTGCAAGACTTGTTTGGCCAGATATATCGTGATTATAGGGAGAATGGTTGTCAAGATACATCCGTTGGAGGCATCATCAGCCCTGGTATCAAAGACTTAAGGGCGTCTGGTGATTTCTGAAATAAGCCCGCTTCCTATCCCCGCTTATGGTTAGATGGAGGGGTAGATTAATTCCGGTCAAGGACGTTCTACCGTTTCATTTCTAGTTTATTGCAAAGACTGCTTCAACGCGTTTGGTTCAGTCATACCCAGTACTTGTTTTTGCTGATCTCGATCTTCTACTGTTAGTCTGGAGCCGAGCCAGACGAGATCGAAAGAGTGCATGTACCAGGAAGAGACAAAGAACGACAAGTCTACACGCCACAAAAGAGAAATGATTACAATTCAACATAAAGGAAGACGGTATGTGAAAAGAGTAGATGAAGAAACTCAAGTAGGGAAAGATTGATCAAAACGTTCAGAGATAGCGTCCTTATTTATACAGTATGTAGTAGTTGAATCACGTCTTCTAGTGAGGACTTTGCTGCGCAAAGCACTCCATGATCACAGTGACATTTTGCTTTTCTGCAATCTTCGTCGCACCAAAGCCATCACCAACACGCACAACCGTCTGGCTCTCGCCATCGTTAGGCGCCCAGTATGTCAAGTTAAATGCAGCCGATATAGCAACACCATTAGGATTAAGATGTTTGATGAAATTAGCCCAGTAACTCGACATGACTTCTTCGAGACAGTAATCGTAATCTGTAAAAGTGTATTTGTCGGTGTTGGTATACAGCGCATTCATGACATACATGATTTCAGCTTGATGAAATGCGCCTTGATCTTGACTGGGCCGGGGGAAGGGTGATTTGGCCGTCTTTACTCATTCAGTTCCGAAAGCCCAAGGGGAGACGAGATAAGTATCCGTCGCGACTTTGCGCCATGCAGTTGATGCGGTGACTGGGTATATTGCTGTGATATCGTAGAGTATGTCTGTCGTAGGGTCACCTGCATGCGAAGGTTGGGTGGACCCCGTTATTAACGACTGCAGTTGGACAGATGTTAGACAGCAGCATCTTCTCCTTTCGGATAGGCTCAAGCCCCAGATGAAGTTGATGCCTGAAGACCAGGCGTTGTTGCAGCCTTTCAGTACCTTTTATCTAGTCAACACGTCGGCAAGGTATGTGTGGCTGTGAAACAAGGGAGCCGAAAGTTCTTTGGAAGCACAACGTATTCTTACTGTAATACCTCAGAAATGCCAGAATTGAATGCAATTTCAGAGTTGAATCAATGCACAAGGATCATTCCTGCCTTTCTCTGTGTATTATATTTGTCTTGCCTGCCATATGAAGTGTTTGGTTCTTTGCCTTTTCGATACTTCAAGAACGCTGTATACAGTTAATCGAGTTCCCAGGGTCTCCTCAAGTCCGCAGCTCTACTAGACGTTTTCCATCCAGTATCACGTTCTATCTTTGCGAGGTGCTTCAAAATTGCAAGCTTTTCAGCTGCATAGCACACGTCGTCTGTACTGTCGCTCTCATCTGGTAGCCGCGAGACATCCTGCTGCATGCCTTGCTCGCATAGGCCTGTCCTGTAGCTAATACAGCTCTGGACCAGCATATAATCCACATACCGCGCGTCTTCATCTACCAGATGACTAAAGAACTGGCGGTTGCGGTTGCACCTTCGCGGATTGCACCGAAGCGTACTACAACCGTGGTGGATAGATATAAATGCATACCAACACCATCATCAATCTGACTGCACAACACTTCCTACGATCTCTCAGCTTCTCTCATTGTCTTCATAATACCTTTCATGTTCCGAGTTCCTACACAAACCATCCATTATGACCACACAACGTGTGTTCCGCCTGCCTCAGCGCACGTCCATTCTAGACCTCCAGGTCAACGAAGAAAGGGTGCCTGAGCCTGCCTCTCAAGAAGTCCTGATTTGAATCAAGGGCATTGCTCTCAACTTCCGCGACTTCGCCGTCACCACTGGAAAGTACCCCTTTCCTGTCAAAGACAATGTGGTGCCCCGCTCTGACCTGTCTGGCGAGGTCGTACGTGTGGGCAACCAAGTGGACGACTTCGCCGAGGGAGACAGGGTTATCGCATCCTTTGACTTGAAGACGTTATATAGTGCCATGCCCGGCTGGCACCATAGCCTGGGTGGTTGCTACGATGGAGTGCTTCGAGAATACATCGCACTACCTAGCTCTGCGCTCGTCAAAGTGTCACCGACCAGCGGGCTCAGCTTCGCTCAACTTTCGGCTTTGGTATGTACGAGCACCACCGCTTGGAATGCACTTTACGGCAATAATCCTCTAGAACCTGGACAGACGGTGCTCTTCCTTGGTAAGAAGGCTCCACTCTGTGTATCACAGCCTTCACTAATAACATCTGCAGGCACTGGTGGCGTCTCGATCAATGGTCTAATCTTAGCCAAAGTAGCGGGTGCTGTTACAATCATCACCTCTTCATCTGACGACAAGCTCGCGCAGTCCTAAAGACGTATGGTGCCGACTACACCATCAACTACAAGTCGAATGCGAACTGGTCTCAAGAGGTGCTCAAGATCACCAACGGCCACGGTGCGGACTTTATTCTCGAGAACGGTGGAGCCGGGACGATTGCTCAAAGCATTGTAACAGTGGCCTATGGCGGAAACATTACCGTGATAGGGTTCCTTGCCCCATGCCCACAAGAGAAGATGCCTGATGTAGCTGCGTTGGCCCTTTCTAAGGGTGCGATTGTTTGCGGCATCATGGTGGGGTCTAAGCAACAACTAGAAGATGTCACGCGTTTTGTGACTTTCGAGAACCTCAACGTGCCCGTGGAGAAGGTGTTTGGGTTTGAAAGGGAAGACGTCGTATCAGCTTTCGAGTACTTGGTATCTGGTCAGCACATCGGCAAAGTATGCATTGTTGTGAACTGAGAGAGCCGATGTCAATAGAAACACGACGCGTTCTTAGTGTACATACCTCAGTATCGCCAGAACTGTATGCAATTTTCAAAAGCCGCTATCTGGATTAGCTCCTATCAGTCCATCTTCCACCACCCTCTCCGGGCCTGACTCCAGCCTTCTTCTCACTGCCAGAAAATTTTGCCTCTTCTTCTTCCCACTTCTTCCGCTCTTGCCGTCTCCTTGCTGAGTAGGCACGCGAAAACCTCCAGGCTTCCGTATCTGCTAGGTTCCATTGCTCCACAGCCCCGACCACCGACTTCATGTTCCTATCCTTGCTCTTGATAGCGTCGCGCGCCTTCTTCAGGCGCTCTTGCTCCTTCTCAATCCATTTCTCGTCCGGCACATCTATACCCTCGATGGGCTTGGGAGGCTCCGGACGCGGGAAGATGATGATCTCGGATTCCTTGCTTGGTGAACTGGGCTCAGCGGTCGTGGAGGCGTTCTGTGGGAGACCGAATCCAAAAATCCAGTCCAGATCATCTTGCGTGATGCGTTCGGCTGTAAGCCACAAGGTATGCGCTGGAGCTGCTGCTACTAGCTCTTTGAACTTGAGTACACGGAACTCTTCGGTGTGTTCACTCGGAATCGATTTATCAGTTAGTTTCCGTATCCACAGATCGCGCGAAGCGCTATTGCGCAAGAAGTTGGTGTCTATCATGTCGCGTGTGTAATGCAATGAAGTGAGTGTGTAGGGGTGCGGAACGGTTCCAATCGTAAAGAACTTAGTTGTGTTCACAAACTCCGGAAATTGCTGAAGCTTCATGGACTTGTTGGCATCGCAAGGTTTGCACTTGGGCCGATTAGGAGGGCACGATTTGGGCATCGGGGAGCTTGGGCATTGTGTCAGGTTGCGCGCAATATCCGTCGTCTCGCGTAAGAGGGCAGTAGTATGTTCTGGTACTGGCTTCACAATAGCGACGCCTTCGGGGTGTTGCTCTTGCCAGGTCAGATGAAGATGTGAGTTTATGAGAGTCGCGAGTAAGTCAAGGGCCACGGCTTGGGTTGTGTTGGTAAACTTGTCGGCAACCGTCTTGTACTTGCTGGAGATGGTGGCCATACTGTAGGATGCGATACCGTTGGCCTTGTTGTCTACTTGTATGTCCTTTGTAGACAGAAGATTGACGACTGGCCCACCCTCTTTTTTCGCTAGCTTGGAGAGCTTGTCCTTGCTCGCAGTGACATTCTTCAACAAATCGTTGCCCATGACCTTCTTGATAGCATCATCGACAGTCATTCGGTCTCCGAAGAAGACGGCGTTGTCCAAAGATTGAACTCTTGACAGCTTGGGGTATTCATTCCGTCGCAAAAAGCTCAGCATGGGGTTTTCATACTCGGCCATGGGCAATGCGAGCCAATTGACCAGGACGCCGCCACCCATGTGTCCCCAGGCCAGCCAGCGCATAATCTCGAATTCAATCTTGGCATCCAGCTTCATGCGCTGGAACAGCTGGTATTGTGGGTGGTGCATAGCTTCAGCCCGAGAAAGAACAACGGGCTTGAAGCCTTGTGCCCACCATGCTCGTCGCCATGCCAGTATGAGCCGTTGCTCTGCCGCAGACACGTCTTTGTCCTGCTTCTTGGGGACATCGTAGTAGGTGTAAATGGGCGGTCGTTCGCGTAGGGGAGGTAGCAGGGCGGTATTCTCATCGAGGGTTACCGAATAGGAGAAAGGGTTGCGCCACTTGAAGTCACTAAGCCATTCTATGGCACCGTAGGCACTCGCGGTAGTGCTGTTGGCCTGGACAGGCGGAGGCTTGTGGGCTGAGGGACCGAAGGGATTGGGTACAGCTGGCAGCTGGCCCAAATCGGGCACGTGGGCTTGGGGATGCTTTACAGCATCGGCCACTTGGTCGTAGGTTGGGATGCTATCGCGTGACGGAGGTCCGTAAAAGGTAAAGTTGATAACGAAGAAGAACAGGACGATGAAGATGACTTGGAAGCGGCGCGGGGGCATCTGCAGCGTAACGGGCCGGCCCATGAAGGTGTGCTGGATCGGCATGGCGCAACGGAGACGTGAAGGTAAAGTGAACAGAAAGCCAACTACGGGGATGCTGGCAACATGAGCTCTTGCAGGCTACTGCGAGCCGTTATCCGTGGTGGGCCTGAAGTTGCTGTTCCCAGGTATTACAGGATCCAATCAGCCTCTGGAGCGGATAAACGATTAAACGAGCGACAAGAAAGCACAACACGGCGCCGCAGTTGCAAGCAGACGATAATTCGACAACGTTGGATGACGCGTCGTGGCAGACCGATGTTTCCATTTTGGCGAGGACGGTTTGCCAGGCTAGCGTAGGGCTGATGATGCTCCCCCGGACAGACATGCGCGTCGAGCCTTCCCTAGTGGGGGTTCGCCCTAGCCGATATCGCCTGAGTCGAGCATTTTGACTGGATGCGTCATACCCGTCCATGACTTTTGATGTACAAGTCCTTGCTGTTTTCTTGACAACTTCATTCTTCAGGGCCATACGACGACGACTTAGACTGGACCCAATTTCAAACTTCTCTTCCCTTTGGCTGCACTCCAATTGGACATTTTCAACCTGTCTACGCGCATGCGCACATTCACAGCGCGACCCCGCCCTATATTTCCCTGAGACATGCAGGAACAAGTACGCGCGACAATGGCTTCTCTGACCAAGGGAAGCATCCCGGACCCTACCGCAGACCTTCACTGGTCTGACTTCAAAGGACCAATTCACGACATCTTCGCCGCCAATGCTCGCAAGCACCCAGAGCGGCCATGTGTGGTTGAGACTGCCACTAGCAAGACACCAGAGCGCAACTTCACATACAAGCACATATTCGAGGCTACTGCAGTCCTAGCCCATCATCTTGTGCAAAATAGCGTACAGAGAGGGGAAGTGGTCATGATCTTTGCCCACCGAGGTGTAGATCTAGTAGTAGCCATCATGGCTGTCCTGGCGGCAGGAGCCACCTTCTCAGTACTTGATCCGCTGTAAGTCCAACTTGCCAGATCCACCTCTACATACTGACGTCGCCTAGATACCCTCCAGACCGCCAATGTATCTACCTCGAAGTCTCCCAGCCACGCGCCCTCGTAGTCATCGACAAGGCCACGCGCGAAGCCGGTCCCCTTTCAGAGCAAGTCAGGAACTACGTCAAGGATAACCTACAACTCCGGACCGAGATCCCCGCGCTCGAGCTCAAAGACGATGGAACACTTGTCGGAGGCTCAAAGGATGGAAAGGATGTGCTGGAGGAGCAGCAGAAGCTCAAGGCCGAGCTCCCGGGCGTGCTGGTTGGTCCAGACTCGACACCCACACTTTCATTCACATCGGGATCCGAAGGAAAGCCCAAGGGTGTCAAGGGCCGTCACTTTTCGCTGACGCACTACTTCCCGTGGATGGCTGAGACCTTTGGACTGTCTGAGAACGACAAGTTCACCATGCTTTCCGGAATTGCTCACGACCCAATCCAGCGAGACATCTTTACCCCACTCTTCCTTGGTGCACAACTACTCGTACCCAGTAAGGAAGACATCCAGCATGAGAAGCTTGCCGAGTGGATGCGCAAGTATGGCGCGACCGTCACACATCTCACACCTGCCATGGGCCAAATTCTCGTTGGAGGTGCTTCGGCAGTCTTCCCTAGCTTGCACCACTCATTCTTTGTGGGTGACTTGTTGATCAAGCGCGATTGCAGGAGGTTGCAGAACTTGGCGCCAAACGTCCGCATCGTCAACATGTACGGAACCACAGAAACACAAAGAGCCGTCAGCTACTACGAGTTGCCAAGCTGTACTGAAGCACCCGAATTCCTTGACAGCATCGGTGAGGTGATCCCGGCTGGTCGTGGCATGAACAACGTCCAGCTTTTGGTAGTCAACCGCGAAGACAGGACAAAGGTTTGCAAGCCTGGTGAGAGTGGTGAAATCTACGTACGAGCTGGCGGTCTGGCCGAGGAATATCTGGGTCTGCCTGACATGACAGCCGCCAAGTTCGTCGACAATTGGTTTGTAGACCAACAGAAGTGGATAGACGAAGACAACAAAAAGGTAGAGAGTCAAGGCGCCGCTGAGCCATGGCGAGAGTTCTACAGAGGCCCACGAGACAGGCTCTACCGCTCTGGCGACCTGGGCCATTACTCAGAGGATGGAAACGTGCACTGCACAGGTCGAGTAGACTCGCAAGTGAAGATTCGAGGCTTCCGTATTGAATTGGGTGAGATTGACTCACATCTCTCTGCTCATCCTTTGGTGCGCGAAAACGTCACATTGTTGAAACGCGATGCCTACGAGGAACCAACACTCGTCAGTAAGTTTCAACTCTCTCCGCAGTTTTGAACATGGCTAATATCGCAGGCTACATCGTCCCCGAGATGAAGCGTTGGTACGACTGGCTTGAAGAGCGTGGTGCAAAAGACAGCGATTCTGTCGACGACACTAGCATGGTCACATTGCTGAAGCGCTTCAAGTATCTACGAGATGACGTGCGAGAGCATCTCAAGAAGAAGCTCCCCGCATATGCCGTGCCATCGATCATCGTTCCACTCATTCGATTTCCGCTGAACCCGAACGGCAAGATCGACCGACCAGCGTTGCCATTCCCAGAACCAGCACATCTAGCAGCTGCTGGTGCAAGACGTCCTTCACAGCTAGGTGCAGCTTTGACGCCAACTGAGAAGAAGATGGCCAGTATCTGGGCAGAGCTCCTTGGCGATCGCGGTGTAACGGCCGATGGTATCGGTGGAAGTGATTCGTTCTTCGACCTCGGCGGACACAGTATCATCGCACAACAACTGTTCTTCAAGATCCGACAAGAGTGGAAAGACATCGATGTGCCTATGACTACCATTTTCCAATACCCTACATTGCGCGGCTTCTCAGCAAACATCGACCAGGCAATGGATCCTATCGGTCTACGCCTGGATACTGCCGAGGCCATCGACGACGACCCAGAAGACGAAGCATACTCTGCTGATGCCAGAGAACTCGCTAACCAATTGACTGAATTCAAGACTAGGGAACCGTTGAACCCGAAGGAAGAAGTACATACTTTCCTCACTGGTGCGACAGGTTTCTTGGGAGCCTACATTCTACGAGACATCTTGTCTAGACCTGGAAAGGTCACGGTGCTTGTACGTGCGAAAGATATTGACGCTGCACTTGGACGTGTCAGGCAGACGTGTTCTGCATACGGTATCTGGGAAGATAGCTGGGAATCGCGCCTGGAGCCACTCATCGGAGACCTTGAGAAGGAATATTTCGGCCTTGAACCAAACACGTGGAACAAACTCGCGGACTCCGTCGACGTTGTGATTCACAACGGCGCATTGGTACATTGGGTATTGCCGTACTCACGTCTCCGAGGGCCCAACGTCATATCCACTATGACTGCACTTTCAATGTGTGCTGCGGGCAAACCCAAGAACTTCGGCCTTGTCAGCTCAACATCAGTGCTTGATACAGACTACTTCGTGAAGTTGTCTGAGAAGAGTCTGGCGAACGGTGGTACAGGTGTCCCCGAAGAAGATGACTTGGAAGGTGCCCGCAAGGGCTTAGGAACCGGTTATGGTCAATCTAAGTGGGCAGCTGAGTATCTCACACGAAAGGCTGGTCAGAAAGGTTTGAGTGGATGCGTCATCCGTCCCGGCTACGTTTTGGGAGATCCAGAGTACGGCACCACCAATACGGACGACTTCCTCGTGCGTATTCTCAAGGGCTGCATTCAACTCAAATCACGACCCGACATCACAAACACTATAAATATGGTTCCTGTGACTCACGTCGCGCGCGTTGTCGTAGCGTCGTCGTTCAATCCACCTATAGCACCGCTCGGGGTTGCGCAAATCACCTCCCATCCTCGTATTACTTTCAACGAGTTCCTGGGCGCTCTCGAAAACTTTGGCTACAATGTCCCTCTCGTCACATACTCAGAGTGGAAGCAAAACATGGAAGCCTATGTCTCAGACCGCTCCGGTACGAAAGAAGAGAACGCTCTGTTACCGTTATACCATTTTGTGACTGGAGATCTGCCTGCTGATACTAAGGCACCTGAGCTTGACGATAAGAACGCGACAGAAGCTCTCAAGAAGGACCAAACATGGACAGGTCAAGATTGGAGCCAGGGTGGTGCAGTAATGGAAGACACTGTAGGTGTCTATGTCAGTTACCTGATCGAGCTGGGTTTCATGCCCAAGCCAGAGAAGAAGGGCATCAAAGAACTGGTGATGAGTCGGTTGACAGACGCTATGCGGGAAGGCATGAAACTGGTTGGTGGTCGGAGGGGTGTCTAGGTCATTTTTACCAAAATTTTGGACTGCAGCGTCACTGCGCATTGGGGGTCTATCTAGTAAGGGCCACGATCTCCGCTACCAGATGCTAGAAAAGGCAAAGATACATAGATATTTTATCTAACCGACAAGTACTGCATTAGATTATCTGCAGAATTTAGTCTGGAATTCTTGGAGTATTATATCTGGTCGCAGTGAGGTCATTGCGACTGAACCGTTCTTTGTTGATGCTGATGTATGCGTTCCTTCTATCGCGGCTTCCAATCACATTGAGTAACATCACAGCCATCGCCGATACAACAATACCTCGCGCAAACGCTATCTTACATCCCTCGCACTGCAAGCCGACGATTGCCTCTGCGTTTCGCATCTCTTACCAACAACATATCCGGCACGTCGCAAGCATCGTCCGCGAGGCGGGAAAAGACTCCGCAACTCGTCGATGTGATCGCCATGCCGTATATTACCACCGGCTGTGGCTGCAGCTATAGCAGAACGCCTATCGCAACCTGGCTCATGTATTCGATGCGAAGGAGTATGTCATGAATGCAACTGTACATACAAATCTACGTCACTGGTAGCACTTCCAGCTCACCGTCGGAATCTGCCATGTGTAGGCAATACCAAAGGTACGGTAGGTTCAGTCCGGTCGCTGGTGTTGTACGATTAAAGTGCGAACAACATGCCGAGAATGCGACGGACTAACCAAAACAAAAGCAAATCACACGATAGATATCGATCCAGCATCTGCCAGGACACCTGGCGCCGTCAACAGAGTATCTGAGCTTCTCATGTGCCAACGCCAAGATCACGATCAGCAAGACCAACTTCGTTTCAGCCACGCTTGGAGGCCGGATTCAGACTCAGCAAAGCAACATGCACCTACTTCCGCCAACAAGCGCTATCAAATGCACTCCGCCGCCTCCGACTTGGTCTCGCGGTACAACACGAGAGTGCTCGCGACGTTGCACCGCGGGACCGCAACCCGCCGCGTCTTCCTGTCCCCAACTAGCGTCTAGGCAGGTTGGAGAAGCGTCCTGGATTTATCTCGAGAGTCGTGTCTATGGTACACAGGCCCAAGATCCGCAGGTTCAATATTTCCTAGGCACATCATCACGCAGCCAGCGGACGCCCTAGACGGACCGTGGTAGCGCGTGTTACCGGCTTGGCGTGTTTTCAAAGGACATTGCACAAGACAGTGAGCACCATCATGCGGCGGTCCGTTTGCTCAGCGTTGCTCAGCATCGTCGGCGCAGGCCAAGACAAAAGGTAGAGGTGATGAGGATGAAAGCTGGGGCTCCAGCACCAGGACAGGTCGCTGCCGCGAATTCCGTCCTCGGCCTCAGAGGCGCCTGGATGGGAGTTGCGCTGGGTCACCCATGCGAGCCGTGATTGGCCGTCCCCGTCTTGCGATGCTCTGCCCAGCCGCAATGCCGAGCCTTGGGGATGAAAGCCAAGCCCAAGACCTTCTCCCAAGGTCTTGAGAGCGTAATTGTATGTAACAAGAGTCTTGCCTCTCCTGAGGGAAGCCTCCGCCTCTTCTATAACATGCCCGGCACCTCATCGACTTCGCATGTCTCCAAGGGTCGTCTGAAGCCCGTCCAGCAGTGACGCCGCCCACCAATTAACTGCAATGGAATCCCAGCGTCCGCCGGTGCCATGTTCGGCCACATCCCCCCAGCAGAGCCAACCCCAGCGCCAGCTCTCGACGAACGCTTCATCCGACGAATATAACTACGCATACAACGAGAAAGAGCCATATCAGCGACAGCACAGCATCCGAACAGACCGTCATAGCAAGTCGAGTTTTGGCCGCGGCCATGATTCTGTCATCTCGTCGCACCCATTCTCGCCAAAGGCCTCCTCTGCGCCAAGCCCAACCAGCAGCATCTCCTCGATAGGTCAACAACGCAACTCAACACCCGAGATCCGATATTCCAGATCGGACATAGAACAAAACAACATACAATATCCCCAACAAGCGCATCTTGATCCTGAGAAGCATGGCTACGGTTCGTCGCACGACGGCCGATCCCCGAACCGCGCGTCTGCGGCAAGACTGGACAGCGACGCGATCGTCTACGACAAAGGCGCATTCCATGAGAAAGGTCCAGAAGAAAAAGCATGGCAGTTGTTGGTATGTGAACCATCGTCTCTCGGTCGTCAACAGCATGGCTAACAAACATCTAGTTTTGGCTCTGCGGCCCATGTGCCTTTCTCTCCGGCGCCATCGCTCTCTGGACCATCCTCGCTCTCCTGATCTCGATCGTACTAGCCCCCCTGCGATTCTGCACTACCCGCCCACCATTTTCGGCACAAATCACCGCCTTCCTCGCACCTGCGCTGAACCTTCAACTACACTTGGTCTATTCCCACGACTCGACAACCGGCTACAGCGCGCCCATGCTCGTCGTCGTCCATCTCTTTTCGCCAGTCGTTGCATTCGGTGTCGCGATAGCTGCATGGACGGCGGCTGGATTCTGGTTTTTCTCGTCCATCTTAGGAGACCCTGGAGGTCACGACGGGCATAACGATGGTAAAGAGACTATCGTCAGTGTGCGGAACTGGTGGGAACGATGGCTCTCGAGGGGACTACGCGAGACCAATGTTTGAAGAGGAAGCTATCTCTACAGCGACGAGTTTTTGTTTTTCCCGTTCGGCCTATGACGGCACGAACGATGTTTAAGCGGCATATACCATGGCGTACTTTTTGTTTTGAAGGGCAACGGACATGATGGGAATGCTGATCTGAGACGACAGCACGGCGTTACTGGACCTCTCTATACGAAGAGCAGGAGAGCGGTTGGAGCTCGACATGATATACCCCATTTTACTCGAATTATACCAAACTTCCTACACAATGATTTCTCCATTTTGCAAAAGTTCGTTTCAAGCAGTAGTCTCATTCACGTGAATGCGCCTCGTACGAGACACTTTACTAGTCCAATTTTCCAAGCAGGCAGACCACGCTCCCAAGCCACTATCCAAGGAGCCAGACTGGCGCACACGCATACATACTCAGCCCCCCCCCCNNNCCCCTCTCACGAAGCTTCGAAGAACGCCACACGAGGACACAAGGCTACTGGCATAGTCCTGGGCACCATACAGCGGAATTCCCTCTACCCCGACCGCCCGATCCAATCTCATGCTAAGAACATGAGATGGCGGAATAGCGGAGCGGTGAAAACCAAACTTTACTTGCTCGTCTTCACCGCAACACGCGCACTCTCAACTCTTGCGGCAAACCTGCCGTCCAAGACGTTGCCAATCCCGCCCAGTTTCCGCCGCGGATTGACAACTTTGTGCCATGCCTCTACAGTCCCCGCTCGGCCTTGTGTTTGTACAAAAGAAAAGCTTCTGGAAAAGCATTCATCATGGATAGAGGAAGTCGTAAGCGGAGTGCGTGTACCCTGATCAAACCCGGGTGTCGGTGTACGACAACTGTGTACAATTTGCTGTACATTCTATGCCGGTCCGATATGCCATACGCACACACACACACACACACACACACACACACACTCCCTTCCAACCAGGCAAACCATGAAAGTCACGAAGTAGTCGACGCCGCAGAACCAAGACGTAAGCGGAGAATCTCTTTCTCGTAAAGGAACGTGAGCGGAATAATCACGCCCTAGGGATCTGCCAGACAGTAAGAAGCCAAGTCGGGTTATTGTGGATTTCGCCGAGCATCGTTTCAGATAGTTTGCGCGTCACGTTCATCTTCCTGAGCAAAGACAAAGATGAACGGATACAAGACGGGTAGGTCGGCTACATGTTGGCCTGGGCCCCTGGGTAGGGTTTGTGTAGATCATGGATGTTGCGGGTATGCAGTTGCCAGCACCCGTTTCTCGGGACAGGTAGGTGATAAAACCTGAAGGGTGAGTAATTAGCTCACTTTGCTTGAGGCTACTATTGCCTGAAAACACAAGTACTAGCTATAGCAAATCTAGCCAAGGCACAACAATGTTACACTGAGGAAAAGGCCCGAGGGAGATAACGTTTCTCGGTCCTTCTCTTCTTTCTTTTGTGTAGTCATGCCTTGATGACTATCGTGGCCCCCCAATATGAAACTTGATAGATCTGACGTGTGTCTGGGCAAACGGGTATCACGGCGTGCGTGGTTTATGCGACGGAATGACCAACACTCAATTTTAACGATGAAGCGATTTTTAGGTAGAAAAGTGCTTTTGGTGTTCAAGTTGCGCATCAATCAGTATTGAGGCTTGGAAGACATGATGGTCTCCTTGACGATGGTGTAAATGTGCAATATATTTGGCATTGCACTGCAAATGTATGGTCGTTTGTATCGTGCTATGCTACGATCTCGAAGTATTTATAAAAAGACATTACGACATTAGACGTGTCAGTATAGACGTGTGTACAGAAAAAGCGTGCATAGCACAAGAAGAAAAGTACGAAAAGCAAAGCGCCATCCGCGTTCATAAAGGCTTCGCCTTTTGAGCAGAACATGTTTGCGGGGCGCGAGACGCTATGTGTAGGGTCTCTATCGTGGCGTTTAAACTCGAATATGTGGCCGGCAATAGCAATGGGCGTGTTCGTGTCGTAACCTCGCGTGATGCTGATGTGTGTATGTTCCTCGCATGTAGTCGTCTTTGTATCGCAACTCATAGTGTAGTTCGTAAGTTGTTCTGTGGTATCACGTTCTGAAAGTCTCAATCGCCTTCTCTCGAATGTACTTGTCGTATAGTGATCTGACTCCTCATCTTCTTGTGGCCTCTGCCGCGCATTGTCTCTCTCGCTATGCAATTCTTCAGACACTGCTCAACGACTGAAGGATCGCTCTCTAGGAACTGCTCGTTCAGGAACCAGCTTGAGCTTCTTTGTACGGACAGTCGCAAGCAACTCCTCTCACTGCCGATCTGCTTCTGAAAGAAGTGGTCGAGGAAGGCGTATGAATCGTCGAAGGTTTTGTAGCAGCTATTACACGCGAAATTTGCTTTGTCGTCGGTCGCCATTGGGTCCAAGGCAATATGCGAGGTGAAGAGGATACATCTGTACGCAGGGAGCCCAGAGTGAGAAGCGACGGAGATGCATGCATCGCATTCCGGGCAGATCTCCCGGTCATCGTACTTGTCGTGGGGAAAAGCCCTCTTTGCGCGCAATGTACTCGATTTGGATTGCTTGAGATCTTTCCGAAGTTTGTCTGCGAAAGGACAGAACTCTACTTTGAAACGTGGGGGAGGCAGAACAGGTGATAGGATCGGTGATTCGAGACGTGCGTATTGCTCACGCAGCGCAGTAAGACAGGCGCGGCGGGTACTTTTAGCAATCATGATTATATCGTCGATGGGTATTATTGGTGTTGAGGAGAAAACGCTTTCGTAAAGTGGTTGTCTAATTTCGTACTGGATTCGCAGGAGTTGCGCAGAGAGGATGGTATTGCATTTTGCTGCAGATAGTCAGTCCCTGCAACTTCCGTATCAAATGTCACACTTACTGTCGCCTTCCTCGAACCGTGCGCCAAATCGTTCTTTGCCTTGTTCCATGATCCTCTGGACCTGCCGTCCCAGGCTTAGAGCTTTGCCGACCGCATCGTCTCGGTTCTTTGTGCCAAAACACGCCCACTTGGACCGCGTGCGACGGTGGCGTGCTTGCCATTGCTCGTACGCCTCATGCGCATCTTGAAATTCGCGATCAATATCCCATAGCGTAAGATTGGTGTGTTGCGGCTTGTCCCAGGAAACAGCCATCGTAGACATTATGGAGTATGCGTGTATAGACTCGTCGAAAACAAACAAACAAACAAATAAGAGAAGGAGGGGAAAGTGAGCGACAGAAGGTGAGTTTCAGAAGAGAACAACTATTCTTAATTAAGGATGAGGTCGGCCGTATTGGGAAGTGTACCAAACTCGCACGATCTCGATTAAGACGCGGAAACCTGAAAACGCGATGGCTCTGAGGAAAACAGGGTCCACAGGTCTGCGGGTGCTGCGCTGGCTTTACATACTCGTGAGTTGGCGCAGGATAGTGCGTCATGTCTCCTGCAGGTACCAGGGCTATCGCATAGGGAGACTTGCAATTCTGGAAATTAATTGCCTATCCATTGTCGTGGCTGTGTGGCGGGTCTGGGCGATATTGAAGGATGGAAGAAGCGAAAGTTGCTCCGCTGTTACCTAGCATCCTTCATGCCAGACTGCCAGTGCGTACGCAGTTTCAGCTGCAGTATTGATGAGGAACGACAGGTCCATGTGGGAACATGCTGGTCCGTGAAATTCGAAGAACCAAACTATAGCTGGTACCCATATGATGGGTGCCGAGGATCGTGATGAAGATGCAGGGGCAGGAAGGGGACGTAGGCTGAAAAACAGCAATGATCCCTCCGCGCCATGGTCCGAGCACTCCCGTATCCTCGGTTCAGGGACGCCTTCGTCGAGTCGTGGCGCGCTACGGTAATGACAATCATCTTCGCATTGAGTTGGTCTTTAATACGGTCGTCGAGATTTGTTTATGCAAAAGGCGTATCGTCGACTGTCAGCCTATAATCGGTGTTATTGATTGAAGCTTCGCTACCAGGGTCGCGCCGAATCGAACCCCACGTCTCTCGTCGCGTCTGCCCCACCATGGAGAACCTCAAGCTCTCCTCTTGCTTGCTGGCACACCCTCTGCCAATCGACAGTCACAATCCTCGTTCAATATAACAATGTCCCACAGCCACTCACATGAAGGCGCGTCGCATTCGCATGCCGCCGCAGATCACGGTCATACACATGAGATCCTCGATGGACCAGGAAGCTACCTGGGGCGCGAGCTGCCCATAATTGAAGGAAGAGACTGGGAGGACCGATCTTTCACCATTGGAATTGGAGGGTACGATGGACCCCGTGTGACATGCAGACATCCCTATACTGCTCGGCCGACGTCTGGCAGTTGCAGGGTTGATAGGGCAAGATATACGCACAAGACACTGACCAGCCTAGACCCGTAGGCTCCGGAAAGACGGCGCTCATGCTAGCCCTCTGCAAACACCTCCGAACGCGATTCTCTATAGCTGCAGTAACAAACGATATCTTCACCCGGGAAGACTGCGAGTTTCTGACCAAGAACAATGCCTTGCCCGCGTAAGAACAACCATACGTCATCTCTGCATGGTGAGTACAGGTCTGACGTCCTAACAGTGAGCGCATTGTCGCTGTCGAAACAGGAGGTTGCCCCCATGCCGCTGTGCGCGAAGACATCTCCGTCAACCTCATGACCCTCACAAACCTACACCAGAAGTTCAACACCGACCTCCTCCTCATCGAGTCTGGCGGCGACAACCTCGCTGCAAACTACTCGCGCGAACTTGCTGACTTCATCATATATGTCATCGATGTATCGGGCGGTGACAAGATTCCCAGGAAGGGTGGACCAGGCATCACGCAATCAGACCTGCTGGTCGTGAACAAGATCGACCTCGCCGAGGCTGTCGGCGCCGACCTGGATGTTATGGACCGGGATAGCAGAAGAATGCGCGAGGGTGGCCCTACCATCTTCGCTGTGGTCAAGAGGGACCAGGGTGTGGATGCTATTGTCGACTTGATCCTGTCTGCATGGAAGGCTTCAGGTGCAGGCCAGGCAAGGAAGGACAAGTTCGAGCCTACGCTGATGGAATAGAGTCAAGAGACGATCCCAAGGATCCGTTGAATCTTGCACTTAGATTTACTCAATGCTATCCATATATCCCAGAGACCGGCGCACTCTTATGCGGCGTCGTTATGACCATCCCTGCTCGTACAAAAGCAGAGGACAGTGTTGACTTAAATGTTACTCACTTCACCATGTACACAAGGTTGGGTTTTCAAGGATTCTATTTGGTTTCCTCACATTGTCCCCTATAGTCAAATCTCGACCATATCATGCCACCCTCAGCAGTGGAAGATGCTGTTAACAGCGCTCAGGAAAGACAGGAAACCTATGCCATAAGATCATGTCCGAAAGAACAGACTGTGTCATTCAATGCCACCAGCTTGCCGCTCAGGTAAACTTGGGATATGACTTGTTCTCCGTCCAGACTTCAGCACCTTTTTGAATGCGAGATCATCTTTACTCTCAGATTCAGCGTCAGGAAATTCGCTCCAGCAGTCCTCGAACTGGGCGGTTCACTTCCTTATTTCAATCTGTAGTTACAAATTAGCTACGTCTCCCTTTAGTGTGGAGCAGAATCTACTCGCTTTGGGAGATTGGCCAGCTTCCTTGCGCTCCTCGGCTTCCTTCTCGATTCGTGCATTCGTGCGTGCAAAGTAAGACGAGGTGTCATAAGTAACCGCACGACGGATGGCATCGATATGGCTCAGTTGCGAAGCGAAAGGATCGTAGGTATGATAGTCCTCATCAAGGCCGGCAGATCCACGGGCGTTTCCAGATATGTGAGGTTGTGTGGAATTAGGCATATTCGAAGCACTGTTTCTGTTCTTTTTGGACTTCTTCTTTTTCTTTTTGGGTGTTGTAGTCATGGAAGTATTGGGGTAGGGTGCTTCAGCAGAAACAGAAACGAGCTGCGCGAGTTTCGGGAGCTTGGGGGCAGGCATGGAGTGAACAAACGGTGACATTTCGTCCTCGTCTCCGACTAATGTGGAAGGGGAAGAGCTGCGAGATATGTGCTCTTGAATTGGGGTACCTTCGCGCAGCGTCAGTTTCCTTGAACTTGATATGAATGGAAAAATACTTGGACTTACTGTGCTGAGAGTGAAAGTGGTCATTCGGAGCAAAAGACGGAAGAGCGAGACCTAGATTTGAGTCTTTCTGAGGGACTAGAGGGCCTGTAATGTGAGTAGGTTGATTGTAAGTGAGTTTCGGGGGGTCATTTACTTCAGCCGGCATGTTTTTGGTAGAGGTTTGTGCTTTGGTGGTCATTGGACGGGCAGGTGATGCACGTGAGGAAGTGGGTTCAGCAACCCATACTGCCCCAGATCGATCCAAGGATTCCTGCTTGACTGGATCGGTATTGTGTTCTCTCGCCTTTTCCGCCTTAAGAGTTATTGAAGGGATCTCCTTGGAATCTTTGATAATACCATCGAGCTTACCAGTCTCTTCCTCATTTTTGGCTTTTTTTTCGCGATCTGTAGAGCCGGTCTCTGAAGTTGCCGCCTTTGCCTTCTTTTTAGACTTCTTTTTACCTGTCGTTGTATCGCCGTTGGGACTAGAGTGTGCTACTCCCAGTTTGGTAACCGCATCTCTAGTCGTGGATGATTCTGTGAAGTCCTCAAGTGACCCTGCATTAGGCTGAACGATAAGACCTTCGTTATGCTTATTCGAAGATGTGGCCTTCTCAGCCTTTGCCTTGGCGATGCGATCGGCGTCTTCTTTCTACAGAGGCGAAGATAAACAGTCAACACATGTCTCATATGAATTCAGGACCTCACAGATTCACCTTTTGCTGCTTCTTTTTGGCCTCCCTCTCTTTCTTTGCCTGGAACTTGTTCTTCGCAAATGGGTGAAGCGACTGTATTTGCGAAGCGCCAGCTTTCTTGCTCACATCTGTAGGTGAGACTTCTGTAGTTGTCGAAGTTGCTGCGCTATCTAGAGCAGATTTGCGCGCAGTATCGCTTGTAGTGCTCATTGCGCGCTCTTGCGAATCTTCCGAACCTGAAGCTTGGGGCGTGACCACTTCTTTCAATGGCACGGATGCAGGCTTTTCGAATTGAGTAATAGAGCGCTGAGTTTGTAATGTTTGCAAATCACGCACATCAGCCTTAGCAGCTACAAGCGGTGATTCTGAGATAACTACATGTGTAAGCTATTGCAAATCAAATATGGATGTAGTGCGACGGTACCTTGCTTCGCGGTTATCGCCTTGTCTTCAATCCCCGGTTGAGGCTCTACTTGCACAGACTCAGGCTGAACTTCTGGCGCCGAGTGGAAGCTATTGTCATTCTTGGCTTCGTCCTCCGAGAGGCTATCGTCTACTACTCGCGAGGACAATTCCTTCGAAAGTGTGTTGAACATCCCGACACTCGTGATCTTGCAGATTTCAGTAATCGGAACAGTATCAGATGTGGTTTCCGAGATCTTTGACTGCATGCGCATAGGGGAAAGCGAGGTGTCAGGCTTCAGTTCCGTCAGGAACTCTTCGTCGTCATGCTCAATATCGGACGCTTCGAAATTCTCGGCAAGTTGTAGTGTCAATTCGCGTGCTGCATCTACCGGCTGATCAACAGCTGGACTAGCAGCAGTTACAGGAAATGAAAGTTCTTGGCCCAAAGTTCTGCCGTCAATGTACTCTAGCTTCGTAGGCTCAATAATCGTATTTATGAACTTCGTGCTAAAATTTTCCTCTTCGATGATAGTCGGATCATCGGTGTTCATTTTCTCAGATGTTTTTGGAATCTTCTCTACTGAGCTGATGTTTTTGACCGGTGACTCGCGCTTGCCTTTGCCTTTATTCCTCTTCGTAGGGGACTTCTGTTGGCGTCTGAACATATCGAGTTTAGTACATTCCATCTCCGGGCGGTCTTTGATTGCTGTCTCTGTGGGTGGCTTCGACAGGCCGCTTCTAGCATCCTGGGGAGAGTACAATGCCTTGCCATTCGCCGTAGTCGGGTCTGGATCTGCATCCCTAATAGTCTTCTCTTCTTGCTGAGTCATGGTGCGTGTAACATCACGATTTGTGTGATCGGTTACCTTCCCGGTAAGTGACTGATCAAAGTAGCCTGAGGTTGAGGGTGTGTCCTTCTGGAAGAAACGCCTCGGTACTGTCACGGTGAGACGGCCGCCTCGAAGGTAAGGATTGAGCTTCGTGATGCCCAAAGCTACCTTAGCTTCCGCGCATGAAGCAAATCTACGAGCGTCAGCTAGTTCGGAGCAGCAACCACGGGAAGACTTACGTAGCGAAAGCATGAGTACCATTTTGCGGAAGTCTACTCCGCAGGGAGATTACAGTGGCAGTAACGTCAACAGTCTGCTTGAACAGCTGGATGATCTCATCTTCTCTCACATCCGGCGGCAAGTCTCCGATCCAAAGCTCATTCACGGTCAAGTTTTTTGGCCCAATCCATGTATGACCGCAACCAGAGACAGAGTCGCCAGTAATGGTCGGATCATCCTCAGAAAGACGCCGTCGAGCGTTGAAGTCAAGGTTGCGAGGTCCGCCAGGTGGTCCTTTGGCACTGACATCGGCGTTGGATCTGCTATACGCATCACGCCCACTCATGTTCGACACCTTGCGTCCACGACCAGGCTGAGGCACGAAGCTGTTATTGCCACCCTTTCGGGGTCCGCTGTTGTATCCTGGTGCACCATTAAACTTAGGGTTGTTGCCGCTGTAAGGATCGAAGAGGTCTTGGGCATTGCGCTGGTTGACCCGACGAGGCATCGGCGCGCGAGGGTCCTGGTGTTGATACATCATGCTATTAGTATGGTACATGTTGTTGCTCATGTCGCCCACAGAGATATTCTGATCGTTCGGGTAATGGGGAAATGCTGGGTTCGTGGGCTGATTCTGCATCATGCCTTGCTGGTAATTGATGTGCGCACGAGACATCATCCCAAGATCAGGTTGCTGAAAGCCATACCCAGTGGGAGTCATCTGAACGTAGGGAGGTAAGCCCGGAATCATTGCATGTGGGATTTGTTGGCCCATTGCCATCTGCGGGGGCAAGAATGAGGGCGATTGCATGTTGGGTACAGTAACAGAGGGCTGTCGTGGGTACGCACCGTACGTAGTACGGTTACTGTTCTCAATCCAGCCATCTCGCTGGCCATAAGACCCAGATCCCATGTTGCGGTTGGCTCTTGGAATGACCAAGGGTGGCACATGCAGGTTGGGCGACACTCTAGGAGACCCCATGACGACACCCGCGTTACCGCTTCTCATCAGACCAGAATGGGTTCCAGGTTGTATGGGGCCTTGCGATGGGATGCGCTGAGGGAGAAGGCGGGTATCGGGCAGATCTGACGCTCCGGAAGCCATGATCGTTGTGAGATGTAGCTTTTCAACAGCAGGCGAAGGCTCTATGGGCATTGTCAGTTTGCTGGATTGAGATTGTGTTATTATGCGAAATTTCTTACTGGTTTTCTTCCTGTCTGACATACTGTGAAGGACAGACGAAGGCTTTGTCTCTCCACTGGCGATCTTTTGTTCCCCGGCATGTGTTTGTGGGATCAGGCTTGTACGCAACGTCGCATCCATGGCCTTGTTCATCTCAATCCAGGTACCAACCAAGATGTAAGCGACGTGCCAAAGGAACACACGAGGGAAGTCTATGGGCTCCCCAAAGATGAAGATCTTGTCAACAATGTCAAGTGAATCGTTGGTGTTGTAGACGTTCCCCATCTCAAGCCCGGTAAAGTCGACTCGATCAGGATGTGCTCGCGCCCAGTCTCTAGCGAATCTATCCGTCCAGTAGTAGGTGCTCCGTGAGATGAAGGTTAGCATCTCCTCACAGAACTTCCTGCCCTCGACATGGATATCTTCGGCGTCCCAAAGATCTTCGACAGTCCATCCTTGTGAAGGGAGGATGCAAAGACATCTAGATGGGTCAGTACCATTTCAAGCTAGCTTGCGATAAACTACTTACTGGCTCTTGTACTTGATCTGCCAATACGATGCTGCCTGTGCTACGACTGCGGGATTTTGGACGCTACGTGTGATAACAGGCGGGCAGTTGTCACCCAGAGAACGAGGGGCGCGAGCACCAAGCCCCGTTGAGAAGAAAGCTTGACCGGTGCCTGGGCCAAATTTAGGGTCTCTGGTTGCATCGTTGACTGGGTCGCCAACAGGATTATTTGATTTGGTTAGGAGCGCAGACTGCTTGCCTGCAGTCATCGGGGTTGACGTGTCTGTAGCAGGCGGAGTACCCACCGGATGGACAGACACTGACATAGCTGGGTTTACACTGAGATCAACGAGAAGATATGAAGTGTAGTTCAGGTTTTGCGTGGAGAAAGAGACGCGGCCTTTGCAGAAAAATATGGAGTCGAGCGGCGACGGATATCTTTGGAGGAAATGGCAGCTGTAATAGTAGCAAAAGCAACAGCGGAAGGGAGCGCAATTGCAGAAACAGGAATGACTAGGTTGAGAAGATGTGAGAGAGTGGCAGAAGTAGCGAGAGCAGCTCAACAAACAGAGGTTCCTCGCTGCTTCAGGTGGAAGGAGCAATGGGTCTTGGCGTTATAGAAAGAGGAGGTGAGTGTGAGTGGTGAACGTTCGCAAGCTCCGTGTACCGCCTTCCACTAATGCCATTGGCCATCACATACAGCTGTGGGACGAGATGCAAGCATGCGGAATCGCTGGGGAAGAAATGAGGGGAAGAGAGATCAGTCACCAAGAATACTGGAAATGTCGAGACACGAAGACATGAGAAGAGATGGAACGATACTCACACTTTATAACGATTTGAGAAAGAGCTTTTGTGAGACATGTTTTACATATACATGTACTGGATCAGTGTCCTACTGGTGATGCAGCCACCTGTTACCTAGCACCATGTCTCTACCTGGGCTACTAGCGGTGAAATCCAGGACTCGCTGGGCCCGCCGATCATCTCAAAGGTTAATCAATCCTGTCTAGCAATTGAATCCTGCAATCACGAGCTGAGTGGAGTGGGTATATTACAGGTTATGTCGCTCCGCGCTCTACACTTTGTCCGTCTCCTTTGGTACCGAGCGTATCAACTTCATGATCTCGCTCTCGTTATCTCCAGCGACTGTAAATGTTAGCACAGACAAACGCTGTTCTCCTCCGCAGATACGTACCAGCTTTTCCTTGATTCCAGTCCACAACCAGCGGTCTCTGGAATGCTCCTCCATCTGCCTTTAGTCTCCTCATAGCATCAGTCTCATTCTCTGCGCCACTGATCACCTTGCCTGCCGCTCCTGATCCGCCCAAGTAGTCCAAGATGTTCTTGAGCTGATCCGTTGTGGGTGGGGCTTCTGTGACATCGAGCTCGAACTCGGTGCGCTCAGCCTTATCCTGTGATTTGTGAGAGCTGGCCTGGTCTTCAGTCGCATGTGCAACAGATTGTGCGTTGGCTTGCTTGAGGAGGGTGAGGACGCGGGTGGAAGCTTGGTTCGAGGGCGCGTGGAAGAGGGTTACGACGTTCTTTGCGCCGTGCTGGAGACAATTAACACTTGAGATTCAGAATCAATGGGGCATTCCGCTACCTCTCCGAATAGTCGCTTGAACATGGTTGCTGTAGTTGTTGTAGGTGATGACTCGGAAAGTGATGTTAGAAGGTGCTCCTGCAGCTTCAGTGGAGTAAGGTTCGGGTGTGACGTAGATGGCCGCTCGGACCTGCCGTTCCCGCCGCAGCTTTACCACACGAGATCTACCATGCAGAGCTTGGAGATCGATGTATAGATGAGCCGTCTCGAGTCATCCTAGCTATGATTGTACTGATATTGATAGAAAGACGCAACGTTGAACTTGTCGGCACGAGCGCACGATCCTCTACCTTTACATAAGTAGCTTTTGCCACTTCTAAGTACAGCGACATCATTACAGGAGCAACTGCATAGAACCGCAAGACCAAAACATGGCGCGAAAGGGTCAAAAGTTCAGTCAAGAGTGACAGCCAAAACATCGAGATCCATAGTGGAGTATGGAAGGTCACCATACACAACACGAAATAATGCATAGCACGTCGTTGGAAATGGCGAAGTTGGGAACACAAGCAGCTAGATTTCGTGATGCAGCTGTGCAAAAAGCAGAATGTACATGTACGCCATGAATATGCCCCCATCATCCCAAAGTGTGGGATCATGCTGCTACTGAGGAACGTGCCGTAGCGACGTCCGTGATTCCCACTTCCTCTGATCCAGAGTCATAGCCATCCTGAGGAAACCGAATTCATGACCGTGTTCTCTAGCTCATCGTGCTCGTTTCGTTCGCCCGTCCTCTCATGGTTGGCTTATGAGGTAGGGTTGGGGTTCATCTAAGGCATGTCAGTTCTTGTCCATCACGTAGGGTTCCGGTGTCTGCTGACCTTGCGCTTGCCACCGGTCATGGTGACGTTTACGAAACGGCGGGTGTATGTGAGCCTCTTCTTGGCGCGGCCCTTGGGGGTCTTCTTCTTCTCCTGGGGCTCAACCTGTATCGTGTGTCAGCCAACTATCCGTTGTCCAAATCGGTTCCATCCTTCTCCGCATTTGTCGCGCTGTCGTGGTTCGGCGTGTCGCTAGCGATCGGAGAGGCGTTCATGTGTCGATGGGTATGAGCTTACCTTGGGGGCTATGCATTGTTAGCAGACGTTCTTTGATGATTTCACAGGGGCCAAGACTTACTTTGAGACTTGACCTTTCCGGCACGAGCGAGAGATCCGTGAACCTTTCCCATATTTGCGGTTGTTGATGGGTGTGATGAGTCGTTCGAAGTAGTCTGTGTGGTGGCAAAGTCCAGTTAGCGGTCTGCCTTATAGCTTTCGAGCGTCGGGTGCGGAGTGTAAAAGTCTTGTTTCGCAAGGCTTCGCTTTTGATGCAGGTGTAATCGTAGGGATGGGCGGAATACGTACAGGTTGCGGTCGTTGGGTGTTCGAGGACTGGGCGGCGACGTGAGGGTCAAAATGACTCCAGGGCTGTGGACAGCGGCTCACCAGATTAGCCGAGATCACGTGCTACACTAGCGTATCGAAGAGTGTGAGCATAGATCGCAGTGACTCAACCATATCTATTTACATAGATTATCTTGTCTAATAAAAGTCTGTGCAGCAGATCTACGAACAAAATCGTTGAGACGCAGTTTGACGTGTGAGTTGGGTTGGCTTCTGGACATTTCAAACATGCATACGGGCGCCTCGCCTCCACAGCTGTACAGAGATGATCAGATAAGATAATGCGAACCATCATGACCAAGTGGAACGGAATACAGATTAGACACGCGAGCTTCCCCGATGATCTTCAAGTTTTTCTCACGCAGCGCAGCCATGTATTGTCTAGTCGCTTTTCATTGAATCGGATTCACGCCGGTTGCAGCCATGCCTCCCGCAATGGACTTTATCGTGGCCCCAGTCGGAGATCCCCGCCGTTGTTTAGGGTCGCATGATGCGCATGATGCGTCCCGTAGCTTCGCTTGAACGCGTCGCTGCCTGCCATCCATCACCACCTTCACTGACAACTCGTGATAGCTATCTAGCTCTCCAGATACCTGCCTATACCTTCAAGCTACCCAAATCCAGACATTAGCAAGATGCGTCTCCAAGCTGCCATCGCCAGCCTCATCACCTTTACTGCAGCGTCCAACGTGCCATCACCACAGAACTTCTTCACGAACCCGTCCTCCAGCGATGGATCCGGTTTCAAGATCCCAACCGTTCACGAGTCCGCCGTCCAAGCCCGGAGGATCATGCGTCTAGAGAACATTGGCACCCTGTCCACCATCTTCCCCAACACCCACACCACCGAGCAACGACCCTCGGACGTTGGAGGCGCGCCCATAGGCTTGATGGACTACTTCGGCGACTGCGAGTCAGACTCAGGGAACCCTACTATCCTCGCCATCACCATCGCTACTTCCTTCAAGAACGTAGACGCCGGCTCCAACATTACCTTGAGCATGCGATGGCATCCCCAGGACAACAAATGGCGCAGTCCTGCAGCGCTCCCTCGTTTCTCGCTTGTCGGTCGTCTGGAAGATATTGATATGGATGCTATCAAGAAGCTGGGTGTGACAGCCTGCTATGTCAAGAAACACCCCGATGCTGCGTGGTGGTTGCCGGGCTCAGGCGTCCACGAGAGCAAGTGGGTGCGTCTGGTCGTCGAGGAGATATACTGGATTGGAGGGTTCGGAGATCGTGCCTACATTGGATGGATCCCCAAGGAAGAGTGGTACAGCGTCACACAAGAAGAGATTGATGGCATTCAGTTGCCAGGCGAGAAGCAAAGCGCGTGGAACGCCATCGGAAGCTGGTTTGGCATGGGTCAGCAAGAACAGGGTGTGATTGAGCTCTAAGCTGAGGCTGTGGGAATCGCAGCTTTTACAGATGCATCATACAGGGTGGCTTGGCTGGACACGGGAATATCCTTTGAAATTAGCGGCAGCAATCCCGATGCTCACTTATGTTACATCCCTTAACGAAGGCGCGGTAGGTAGTTATGCTGCAAACTTTAGCTGACTCGAGATCTATCTGAGTGTGCATCACGGTTACATGATACAAGACCGAAACTCTGGAGCGTAAGCGCCCCTTCATTGTCTTTCCTATGCCAGTATTACATGGGCTGCATCGTATCGTTATCAGAGGTCGCAATCTCTTCTTAAAGTCTAACATCATTTATGTTGATGTCCTGAACGTCTTGCAAACGCAAAACAACTATGGTCAAGCTCTTCACCAAGCGCCTCCCGATGATAAGACGTCACCTGCAGGTTCCCGCCTGCATGGCTTATTGGCCCAGCCTGGTTATACTTCGCTCGCACCGAAAGTGTTGCACAACACATCTACCCAGCAAATCTTCCGCTATAGATGGTGCTTGCGCTTATGCAGCGTTTTCTCTCGGGTATCGCGCTCCACATTCAGCGTAAGAGCGAGACAATCACCCGACAACAGTATGCGTCTCCTTCGCACGGCTGATCTGACATTCCATGAGTACGAAGGCTCCTCCATACCACCATATGCCATCCTTTTGCATCGATGGGAAGGCGAAGAAGTCAAGTATCAAGACTTCAAGCATCGAACGGCCGCTATAGAGAGCAAGTCTGGATTTGGAAAGATCCAGCAATGCTGTCAACAAGCACAGGAAGTCAAGATAAAACTTGCATGGGTCGATACATGCTGTATCGATAAATCCTCGAGTGCAGAACTATCGGAAGCCATCAATTCGATGTACCAATGGTACCAACGATCACAAGTCTGTTACGTCTATCTATCAGATGTGGGGACTTCGTCCAGCTTCCGAAAGTCTGTCGACGATGGACTCCCGGTCACACTTTCGCGAAGGTTCATCTCAAGGATCATGAGAAGCAAATGGTGGACACGAGGCTGGACTTTACAAGAACTGATAGCCCCAGTCTCTGTTGTGTTCTACGTTAATGGTCAAGGCAATTGGGTAAAGGTCGGCTCAAAGAGCACATTACTTGACTTGATTGTCGCCAGGACAAGCATTCAAGGAGATATATTGCGTGGTCAAGAAGTCAGCAGCTGTAGTGTTGCGCAGCGCATGTCCTGGGCTTCTGAACGAGAAACATCTCGGAGCGAGGACCTGGCATACTGTCTCCTCGGAAAACATCTCGGAGCGAGGACCTGGCATACTGTCTCCTCGGATTGTTCGGTGTCAATATGCCTCTACTCTATGGAGAGGCAACAAAAGCATTTCTGCGCCTCCAGGTAAGATCACTATGACCTTCACCTCTCTTCTGGTGCATCAGCTTTCCGCTCACTTCTAATAGGAAGAAATTATGAAACAGCCGGATGACCAGACTCTCTTCGCATGGCAACTTGGCTTTGAGAATATGAAGAATGATATATGCGGACCTTTGGCTCTACATCCATCGAAATTTTGGGAAGCCGGCAATCTGCAACCAGACCCTGATACTGATGCCCAAAGTCCATATTCGATGACCAACAAGGGCCTAAGGATTGAACTCTCCATTGAAAACAAAGGCAATGATGCATACGGGATGGCGATCTTACATTGTGGAACCCACAGTACATCATCCAGGCAGTTGGGGTTGCCTGTCATACGCCTTGGACCACCGGAGGCAAATACCTATGCTCGCGATGCTCGCTACAATGGACCCCTGGTGTCCGTCACGGCCAAGAAGGGCACTTTCAAAGTGGTTTTCATGAAGCAAGAGCCCGGGTAGAGAGTTGAGGAGCGCCTGGGGCTTTTGGCAATTATCAGTCACAATACCCTGATGTCATTCCATATGGTCTGCTGTAGCGCCGAAGTTACTCGGGCAATTCCACCAGGCTACGCCAGCTATAGATTTCCTCCTAGTTGTCGACGTGGGGCGATACTCATGACTGGACACGATCAGTCTTATCTCCTTATCTTATTCAACATCGAGATGCAGTAGTGTCGGGCGATATACATGCAAAGTTATCTATACAGATGCTAAACATAAAAGTGCTCCGTGGGAGAAGCAGTTATACCGACTAGCACGCAAAATACATGAAAGTGTTTTTCACAAGAAAGCAATCTTGGCTCAAGAAATCAGCCGGGAACCCAGCTGGAGTTTGACCCATGGTGACTACGGCCCATCGAGTTCTCTGAGCAGCTTCGCCTACCTGCCAAACGACCGCATAGTCACTGCTAGCGCTGTGCTGCAGCGTGGACTTGATAGCAAGGATTTAAGCAATCTAGTGCTTGAGATCAACATTCTGGATCATTCAGAGAGACCACAGGAACCATACGCATTAGGTGTGCCTGATAGGTCTCACATCGAAGCAGTTGAGGTTATTTCCCCCAACTCGGAATGGATGTCTCCTAGGTGGGTTGGTGAATCAGATGAGCATAGACTGGCTCGACTCCCACAGAGTTTATGGACGCAAAAAACGAGCAGTTGCTTTGGTGAGAGAACTGGGACAGAGATTTGAGTAATTGAAGAGCAAAAGATCCCACTGGTGGGAAAGAGTAAACTTTCTTGGGAGGAATTTAGCCTATGTAATGATGGCATTGTGGTAGAAGATAGTACACCAATGAACAAGCATCACGGTTGCGAGCATACAAGAACGTGTCTTGTTTCTGCTGTGGAAATCTGAATGAAGTTCTACGCACTCACAGCGTTTGTGCAGTCTCTGATCATGCCTTCGCATTGCAACTCTGTGATCTACTCAGTTGGTGTGTGATAGCGCATTGCATGTCTTCTCCTCAAAGTCTCCCCGTCACAACATGATTGATTCCCCCACAAATTGATGCTTGGGATGGATTTGACTGAGATGTTGCGCTATGCCTTAATGGCAGAGGTCAATCATATGCTGCTTGCTTAGATGCAGACATAAGTGAAAACTGGTTTTGCATATGAGCGTGAGTGAAAAGATTAGTTTACTGAGACTGAAGGTACTCTGACGCTCTCTCAATGTTGCAAAAGTAATAAAGAACCGACCACAGACTTCACAGTCGACCACTTCAGAAGACGATAGGCAGTATTCGATGTAGGAAGGGTATCAAAGGTAGGCAACATCGGAGAAACCACAGCACTTGACCATTGTGATACGAGTCATTCTACACTACAGTACAAACCTAAGTGGCACTGAGTATCTGTGTGCTTGTATCGCTTCCGTAACATGGTTGGCTCGCGATACCTGCAAACACGAGGCACTTTTGTATATGTAGTAAAGACACGTTGCGTATGAGTCTTCGGAGAAGTGCGGTCACTCGCTTTCTTTGGAATATCATTCCTGGATCTCCAAGTTGATACGACGATGGCCAGACGTATTCGTATACTCAGCTCACAAACGACATCAGCACTACTACGAGAGATGTGGATAGCAATATCACGTTCGGTCCGTAGGGCATCACATAGAAAACAGATTGAGATATGCTCAAGTCTTGCGAAGTTGTATCGGCCTCGCGTTCAGGAAATTATCTCTAGATGGCGCAATTCATAATGTTGATCAACTGTAGCTCACTCTGACTCGGTCAATTGACTATACCGCTCAGATCTCTCCACTTCAAACTTTCTTTGAGCCTCCTTCGGCGGCTACAGTCGGTACACCTACCGAGCAGCTTCACAGAAGCGCGCCGCGGCCCACGTGTCATGCTCGATGCTTTTAGTAATCTAGGGAAACCTGATCGATGGCCTTATGAGGCCACCTGTACATCCCTCCTCGGTGGTTGAGCGTACTAGGCATTAGCTGGTAGCTTTCTTTTCGTGGGCTGCACGGTTGTCGCATCGCCCCCAAACCGAACGCGAAAGCACAAAGTGGTTGCAGCGCAGGGATGATGATAGAAGAATGACATAGGAGAATACAGCCTTGGTTTGACAATGGGGAACGTGTTGTCGCTATGGGCAACTCGACTTTGCCATTACCAAGCGCCCGTGATCCCTACATATTGACGACAGCTTCATTGTTGCCCGATTGCATGGTTGATCTGCTCCTTAGGCAGCATGTGTACCTGAGTGCAACCAGGTCGTTCCTAGCTCTTAAACTTCGGTCGTGTTTGTCGCGTTGCGTGCCTGACGTTGACAAGGACTTTCCCCGTATTCACAAAATCACGTGTACGGACACTCTTACCTTAAGAGGACCTACTATGAGCGCCTTAACAACGATATAATACTTATTAGAGCGATGACGTGGTCAACCCCAGTGCGTCGACGCCTCACGTCGCTTAAAGATGAAAGGGAAAGCCCAGTAATCCATCATCTGATCATCATCACGTTGCGTGCAGGCATGATGCCAGTAAAACTTTTCTACGCGAGGTATATGCGAACCATGGGACACACGAAACAGTTGCGCGATATGCGCGATTCTAGTTCCCGCAAGATGGCCAAACTCAATCGCTTCTTCAGCAAACTCTCTTTCGGCGAAATCAACATTTGGTAGCGAGGGCGATAGTGAGGCGATCATCGACGGTGCCCAACGTCCAAGCTGCTAGCATCATCTCTTGGAACGACTCGCAAGCACGAAGATGATCCGGCGATGGCGGCATGGCGCAATGGTACTTTCCATGATTCGGCCCTTAGGATAGCATCGCTGTTCTTGACTCAAGCGTTCCTTTATTCGGGGAGGAAACTGAGAGGTGTCTACTTGGACAATGCGGATGTGCAGGGACAAGCCTTACCTGTCACTGCCAACTAGGATTATCCCATTCAAGATCGCCCGCACAGTCGCATCATACTCCATGAAGCCTTAGCCCCGGAGCATTTACTCGCCTGGCGCTAGAATGCGGTTCGTGGTGCTTTACAATGCGAACGGGCAAAGGGTAGGCGTGGGCGTCCGCGCGAGCGCAAATGGGCGATCACAGCTGTCATGCTGGTGCGGGTGCGCGTCTGACTCTGGCAGCATGCTGGTACACTATGGGTGCCCCGACGTTTTGACCTGTGTCGTGAAGTCTCGAAGGCTAGTATTAATGTCCGAGGCACCAGATATCGGTATGGGGTTGTTGCTGCATATGGTGGAGGGTGATACTCACCGCTCCTGCTGCCAGTACCAAAGCGATGGATACCCACAATACCACCGCCGTTGTTGGCATAGCTGTCGGCAATTGAAGTACTCACAAAGACGGCGTGGACGGCTGTCGATCACGGTTCTTTAGGCAAATCTTCTTGCGAACATCACCTGCTCTCCTCTACCGTGTCGGTAATTTCGGGCAAGCTGGCGGTGATGAGAAGGGGTCCTGGTCGACGGCAGGATGCGAGACCAAGGTCCCTGCTTGGCTTGCGTTGTCATGAGTAGTGAAGAAGAGAAGGAGGGGCAACGGTCGGTGATATGGATAATTCCGTGCAAACCTCCTTCTCGAAGGTCAGGTTTACAAGGATCATGGCTGATAGTCCAGAGCGTTATGCGCAAGGCCGCGTAGGGCGGCAGTAGCAACAATTTCGCGACAATTTCGCAGGCAGGTTGCCCAGATTTCATAATCTAGGGAAAGATTGCCTGTAGGAGGATTGCGTACGTCCGACGAAGCTGCGCGTGGGGTGCGATGTAAGGCCGCAAAAGTTAGCGCTGGGGACTCTACGCGTATAGCAAGTGACTGCATTGTTTTCAGAACACGGTCATCCCACAAATAACCGTCGCGGGCCTGAGTCCGATGCAAAAGATCATTGATTGGTGATGGTCGTTGACGAGAAAGAACGCTGAGTGGCTGCAACCACAAAGGTACCCCTCCCTCGGTACCTCCAATACTTGACTGCACCAGTCCTGGCGGCAAAATGGTACGATACGTTCCCTTGATCGCCGCTGGGCGTGAGCATCGGTTCTTGGTTCTCGGAATTGATGGACGCATGGTGACAGCATACTTCGGCGCACCGTTCCTGTAAACGGGTGCGCTGCAACAGAAATGCCATGTGGCTGGTAAATTTGTAGAAGTATGGCTTTGCGCCCAATGGGTAGCCATCGTATGGCCCGTATTGTCCGCATCATCAATCACATTGTTCTGGATGCGCCATGATTGCAAGCGAGATGGAGCTAGAACTTGAGACACTTGCGCAAAACCAAGATGATGCGCAGATCTCTCGCGAGCACGATCCATGGGCTTGAAGGGGCGCTCCGATCCACCTGTACCAAGAACCCGATTGGCAGGAACCGGGAACCAGCTCGACTCAAGGGAACTGCTAACGAGGTGACGCTCCTTCATCTCCATCCCGCGAATGCTTTTTGTGAGAAAGCCCAGCGGCAGCCTTCGCCTAAACTCTATCACACACCCGGCAAGTAGCACTTACTCCACGCGCAATGCGCACGAGAGCTTGGAATTGCTTGTTGAGTTTCAGGGCCTCTACCGAGCATATTGCTTTCCGCCGTTCTGTGGGGAGACAAAGACTGTTAGCGCTCTGTGCGGTGTCGTGTCCGTTGTAAAGGATTCGAAGGATTCCTCCTCCGCGAAACGGATAGACGATTGCACAAGAGTCTGGAATCAGACCATTTGTTTTCCTTTTGACGGCAGCCAGTGAACCAATGCAACCGAGCTCACTCTAATGTTGACGTCGGCTCATGGTGGAGACCCCATCGACGAGTTCGGATAACAAGCCGTTGTTGTTGCGATGCTTGCCACAATGCTGGTTTCAGCATTATTGAAAGCACGAGTTTGTTATTTGGTGATCCCACATGGTTAGATGAGTGGCCCGGGGTTCGGAGAATAGTTAAGTGACGATCGTCACTCAAGGCACATGCGTTCATGTGCTAGAACGCATGCGCGGGAAGCTGACCAGACCAGATTGTATTTGCAAGCCACATGTGACCTTCTCGGACCGCTTTGCGCTGGAGCCGGAGCCGGACATCGGAGATGCATGCGAGTGTTGTCCAAGCTATCTTGTTGAACCATGACGAGACGCCTCGGAATACAAGAAGCAACAAATGACGACATGTGAAGTTTTTTACCTTGGACATAGGACATGATGCAGTGTTTCCCAGTATACATAGTACGGCAACCTAGGAGGTGTTTTGATATTCCGAGGACGACATGTCAGGAGTCAGTGGCACGATGTTGTCTCCACGCCCCCTAACCAACGGCGCACCACAATTGGACTCAGCGCATCATCCTGGTGCACTTGCCTTCCCTTAAGAGGTAGGGGTCGACTGCCGACACTCTGTGGGATTCCAGACGAGGCACCTCTTAGCAGATACTTAATATCATCAGTAATGACCGTGGCGACACGGGAATACTCAATAGTCTAGACTTGGCCTCCTGAAAACCCGTTTTGAGATCTGTGGATATCGTTTCCAGAACAATGCGGCTCGCCTGGGAAAAGCGTGGACGGATGAATGTCTGCTTGAACTTGAGCCCTGATCATAACACACCGCAATAAGCATTGTCCAGCATAAGATTAACGCGGGAGATGTGCTAGTGACAATGATGATCCGCGAGACCCCAAATATTCATTATTGCTGCTTGTATAGTCGGGGAACTTGCCGTAGACCGGGGCATGTATCGACTGCCATGGGTGGTAGAAGCGTGGGCAAGCAGCTTCGAAGTCGTCGAGACTGACGGTGAGTGTCTGACGCATGCGGAATAATTCTTACGTGAAATTTGCGACATGGGTAACCCGTCGTGAACGATCTATGCGCTTAAGACCTGTCGTTTGAGTGTCACATGTAGCTCTGACGTGTTCAGTTTCCGCTATGTTTAGGAGGTTGCTGACATGCAATGCAAAACATCGTTTCCCTGCCAGACCAATACTCATCGACACAGGCAGTTGCATGAACACAGCTTGGTTTCGTAGACAGTATTGATTCGATCGATTTTGGCGCATCTTGGAGCATTGAATTGCTCATGCAGGTTCCCTACTATAATACAAGAAAATAAAAGCGACTGACTGGGCTAATGCCATGCGCCTTGATGCGATAGCGAAATGCTGTCCTGACTAGAAACTAAGATTTGCGAAATAAGCGTACATTATCGCGATCGATGGCGATATAGGATATCGTTGATGATACGAAAAAACTCCAGTGAAATGCATGACACGGTGGGAAACGCCCGGAACTCCGATGCGTGCAAATGGTATCGTTGGCAAGATATGGCTGAACAAAGCATGTCGTGGATGTAGACCACTAGATGGTAGGTCTAGGCTTGTCAAGGCCGATTGCGTGAGACGGTTGGTGATGGCTTGTAGCTCGTTATGTCGTCAGGGTGGTGCTGGAAGCTGCGTGACAACCTCGCTCGTGTCGCTTCATGTTGCTGCGCACACTGAAAGCCTTGCCACACCCAGGCTGGGGGCATTTGTAGGGCTTCTCGCCAGTGTGGCTGTGGCTGTGAATGCGCAGGCTGCTTGGGCGCGAGAAAGCCTTGTTGCAGGTTGAGCAGATGTAGCGATCCTGAGACTGAGGAAACTGGGACTGGCTGGAGGTGCTGATGTAGTGGTGATGTTGCCACGGGTTCGAGCCGTTGCCAGCCGGGCTAGGTACAGGTGCTGGCAATGGTATTGTGTGCGGCTGGAAGTTGGAGGGAAGGGGCCGCTGCGCATACATGGCAGCGCTGTTGTAGGAATGCTGCTCAGGCGAGTAGAACGAAGTTGAGGAGGCAGCGCCTGGCGAGGACTGGTAGGGAGACTGGCCATAGACTGAAGTACTGTAAGGAGACATGGAGTGCGATGGCAACGAGTCGCGCTTCATGGGAGGCATTGACGAAAAGGTCTGGCGTTGCTGGTGAGGCTCCATGTTGTTGAGCGAGCCGCCGAAGTAGGGCGCCGATGCAGCGGAGTGGTTTGATGCAGCTGAAGGGGACTGGGTGCCGTCGTGGGCCACGTCTGGATGCATGGGGGGAGTGGGAGGCAGTGTCATCCTTGGGTTGCTCGGCGCAGGAACTTGAGCGAAGACCGTCTGTGATGGTTGCTGCATGGTGGCTGCCCCTCCCTGCTGTGCCTGCCTTAGTTGTGGCGATGATGACTGGCGGTGTTGCGACTGAGGACTCAGAGAAGCTATAACGTATGTTAGTGACATGAAGAGATAGAAGGTGCAGTGGTGAGTGCTTACCCGTCTCAGATGCAGCCTTTTCATTGCCGGCGAACTCGAGGAGACTTGAGATTGACGGCAGTGAAGGCTTTTTCTCCTCTGCTGGTGGTGATGGCGGCGACTGCGGCCGTTGTTGCTGCTGCTGTTGCTGCTGTGCTTGGTGGGTGTATTGTTGTTGTTGTTGTTGTTGTTGTTGTTGTTGTTGTTGTTGTTGTTGTTGCTGTTGGTGGTGATGCTGTTGTCGGTATTGTTGCTCGACTTGCTGTGGCTGTGGTTGTGAAGGAGCGTGTACTGGATATGAGGAAGCGGCAACACCCGACATGGGGAATGCGCGAGGCTGCGATTGTTGGAAGTAGGTCGGGTGCTGGAACGTCTCGCGCTCCCTAACGCTGCCGTGTACCATACTGGCGAGATGCATTGCCATGGAGAAGGTGGTTGTCACGGGTCACAACAGTGGCTGCGTAACAAGAAGAGGGAGGAGTGGGTGAAAGGGCGAGCAAGTGATGATGACTAGATGAGGAGTAGTCAGAGCGACGGGTACAAGCAGATGTAGAGCCAGGAATTCGGGCCTGCAGCATTCAAGTACGATGTCGAGGGGATTGGCGAGATTCAGCACGAAGCCCGTTCGCACCGTAGCGTCGTCAGTGGGCCTGTCGTTCCCTGTCCAAATTGCGTTTGAGCGGGCGATGAGGCGGCGGACCGTTGTCAAAAAGCCCACGTCCCACTCGAGTTAGCCCGAGACGCTCAGTCCCTTGCAACGGCAATGCAGATGACAGACGGACGAGGTTTAGAGTGAAGATGTGCACGCCCCGTAGTAATGCCTTGGCCGAGCGATCCGCCCACGCATCCCAGACAAGCCAATCGACGCTGCACCGGCGCAGCAGCGCTTTTGGGACAGCCTAGGCAGGGCCCCTGGTGAGGGTGCCAGGACAGGCTGCCCTGCACTGCAGATCGACCGTTCCAGGAGATACCTGAGGAGAATCCTCGTGGGCTGGTCGGAAGCAAGTAAGCTGCAGTCACGCTGGGATCGAGTCAAAGTCCGCGACGTTCCCAACGGCGCGGATCAACTCTCGCCGACGCTTCTCACGCTGCTGCCGCCAGATGACGACTCAGGCCGTAGGTCGCCGACTGCTGGTTCCTGCCAGCTGTCCCTCGACGGCGCTTGGGGGTGTTGACGATGCAAAGGGTCTTCTCTGCACGGTCCCAGGGCTGTACCGATCGGTTGTCTTGCTAGACACCAGAGTACACTGCCCACCTGATCTCGAAAAGTCCAAAGATCCACCGCGGCTTGTATCTCTGGTCGCGCGGGCGTCGAGACAATACGGCTCGCGCTGACGAAGGATTACGCAGGGGGCGAAGCTTGGGAACGGCAGCCGATGCTGGGGTTCAGAAAGAGACAAATATGAGACGAGCCAGATACGATGCTGCGCCTTTGGCACACTTTAAAGAAGCCTCGGCCGTAGCCACCCATCTCATATCGCCTGCGTGAAAAGGGACCGTCGCAAGCCATAGCAGTCAACTAGACTATAGCACCGTGTCGTCCCGTGAGAGTTTGCCAGAGGGCACCTCGGAAGCGAGCCAAGCGCGTCGTGCAGCAGAAGCTGTCTAATGCTCTCCACCATGGCGCTGCCTTTGACCATTCATTCAACCGCATTTCCTAAAAATCTGCTGCCCATTAGAGAGGGTCTGTATGCAGTGATGCACATGGCTGCAGCCGCTGGGCGAAGCGAAGCATCGCGTGCGGGATGATTTGTTGGCAATTATTGGAGGCGGTCGGCCTTCCATTCTCTGTCGTGTTGTGGTAACCCGTCGTCGCACAGAACTGTGTCACCGCCTTTGGCATGACAGACGTCGTCTCCAAGGGCGGTCACGGGACTGACTCGTCCCAACCTCTCTCGTGTGCACCGTGTCAACGTCTCCAGGACCTGTCTCAGCACGCTGTACCGAGAACGCTCACCGCATGTTTGCTTGCTCCAGCTAATGATTAGGCCGCGTACCAGAGACAGATTGGTTTCAGCAAGAAGGCAAGCGCGGGAAGTCAAGAACGACGGCTCGACGGCTGTTGCCTTTTTGCAGCGACGGTCTCCGACCCCAGCAGGCGACGTCTCTGCGGCGCCGCCAGGGCGGGATGGCGGCGTTATCCCATGTCTTGGCCTCGTTCGTATGTGGAGGATCTTGTCGAAAGAGGCGGGTCGATCAGCGACAAGCGCATGCAGCTAATCCCGGGGGCCACGTTGGCTGTCACCATCTGCTCACTACTCTAGCCGACCTCCCGCCATCCAACCACGCAATTCTCTGCCTTGCTTAGGAGCGCCTTCGAGAAGCACGCTGCACGCGAGTGGGATGCCACCGCAGCCTGCCATTGCCTACTCATGTGCTTTCCTGCAAGAAGCGCTGTAGATCTAGCAGGCCAAGCCGAGTACCTAGAGTCCCAAAGGGTCATTGCAGTTACCGTGCAATCTCCTCTTTGCCTTGTTGTTAAATGCGTGATGCGTGATGCGTTCCGGCGTCGTACAGCATGTTCCCAGCTCGGTGCAGCACCATCTCGTGGCTCACTTCCTCGCTAGAACAATGGAAGGACTGGCTTGCAGGGCTGCTGTGAGTACGACCGCCGACGAGGACTTGTGCGGCCGTGGCATTTTGCCCGTGCTGCTATCCCAAAGTCACGGGCACAGACGTCAGGGTTTCCGTTGATGGAATTTTAGAATTTCAATCGCTTGGGCCTGCGCGAGTGCCGGGCGTCTCGCGCATCACATACCGCCCTCCTGGATTTCACGCGGGCCGTCCACGCCGATGAAGCTCAATCTTCCAAGCGATATTACACATTGTGCTGACTGCAAAGTCTTGAGCATTTCAGTATCAGTGTGTACCGAAGTTCTTCCAGTTCTCTGGCACGCACATCTGGATGGCAGGTGCAAGTGTTGGACAGGGTGCATGATCTCCCGGAAGACCACCACCCAGGGATGCTGCGTCCGGCCTTCAGGGTACGCGGGACTGGCAGGGATACCGATACCTTGGCCGCATCATGACCCATCATCAGCGGGATCACGCTTACTCCAAGGAGCCTCCCTAGTGCCTTCCGAGCGATCGTCTCGGCGTTTCATTCTCACGAATCGGCACTCCAGCGGCATCTCTTCTATCATGACTCCGAGCCTTACCCGTCGCTTCCAGCACTACTGTATTATTCCAGACCTCAACATCACCGTCAGCTCTGCGCCGTATGAACACACAACATTCACCGTTTTCGACGTACCCCAGGCGTTTCATGGATCAACAGAAATGGCCTTGCACTGGCCCTGGTATTGTGTTCGCTGTCTGCTCCATGCATGACGTCTTCCAGGGTCGTTCCGGCTAAAAACCCAAAGCAGGACAAGCCCGAACATGGCAAGGCTGTTCTATTCGTGAGTCTTCTCATTGGCCCTGGCGGACAACAATATCCCATTAATCTGCCGCGCTGCGTTCACGTCGTGTGATGTTCGATGAGGGCTTTAGGGACTTCTTCTGTAAGCCATGACGCAGCCACGCGCTCTCGCTAACAGCGACAACAACGTCGATCATCCTAGACGTCACGGAACGACCTCCTGTTGACTTTGCAGTTTCCTGCAACTACGAACAAGCACGCCGACCCACTTGTGGGTATGTCCTTCGCAACGAGAACTTGATGCCCTTGTTGTATCGGAGTGGGGAGCTGCTTCATCGCTAGATGGCAACAGAACGCTGTGCATGAGTTTGTGTAACTACCCGGACAACTGGCACCGGCATCGTCTTCGCTGCCTACATCGGTGGGTTTGGTCCTGCCCTTGGAAGGGTATACCCTGGTATGTTGATTCCTACAAGCGCTTACTCGTGTAAATTAGGCAAAGAAATGAGCCCAACCAAAATGAGGCGGCACCGACTGATTGGAAATATACCACGAGCAAACCAGCAATCCCCAGTACCCAGGATTGCTCAAGAACACATGGTCTGCTCTGAGCCACACCTCAGCTGTATCGGCCATCGAGCCTTGTCCGCCTTGCATTGGAACCTGGCGTAGTAGGCGTCCAGCTCAGATACAAAGCTCCCCGTACAACGGAAATTATCTTGCTATATCCACTCAAAGGATTCAGCATCTATGATCCTTCAATCACGATGGCTTCAAAGCAAGGATCTGTTCAGGATGGTGTCTACCCACTCGGTCACATCTGATCCTTTGCGCCACTGTTACCACAGCGCAATTTGTCTTTCGAGAATCCCTTGTGGACTCTTCCGATACCAGCAATACATCTCGGTCACAGTCGCACAGCGCTAAGAAGCGAGTTGCATTCTCAGGCACCTCCGAGTGTGGACCACACTTTGTCTCCAACGTCCTCAGTGTCGTCGCTTTTTTCTTCATCAGCACGCAGGGGTTCGGAAGCAAGAGCAACAACGGCCAACGAGCGGGCCGAATGGGGCAGCGAAAACCCAAAGGGTCAACGGCGAAATTGAGCGGTCCAGTTGTATGTCTCGTACCCTGTTCCCTCCCCGCCGTTTTGAGCATGTTTTCCGGATCCATTACGCCACGACAAGGGATCGCGTAGATCATTCTTGATCACCGCGTCGAGGTGGGATCGGCTGACGGTGAGAGTCACCAGGATACAGTACGGCCAAGTCTCAGATCAGCCGGATCAGAGGGGATACCAACCAATGCCGTCTTTGCCGGATCACGGGTGAAGGCTAATTCGCCTTCGGTCTAACCGTCTGTTCCTCTGCTCTGCGTATCGCCGCCGACGAATCCCCATAAGCATGGTGTTCGGTACGATTTCCATTAACGGTCGCAGGCGGTACCTGCCGCGGGTACGCCTGCCTCCTCCAAAGACTTATTAGCTGGTTCGAGATGAAGAACGGCACGTCCAGTGCTGCTGTTTCAGCCGTTCTAACACAAGATCCACTTCTGCAAGACATCCAAGCCATTCACCAGCTAACCTTCTCTGGCGTCGCAAAAGCACGAGCACATCAAACAAGGTATGTGGAGTTCGCAATGTGAAGCTCGTAACCCCCCGACCCGGTTCAGTTGCGTATCAGAGGCCGGCAGTACTCTATAGTGGATTCAAATTGTGGAAATGCGATATCTTCCAGACATGACTGGACACGCTCAGGATTCTTTTTCTAGGCCCTGTCAAAGTGACTCGGCGTGACCCACCAACGTCCGCGTCGGCCTGCCTCAGTCCCCTGTCTGCGCAGAAATCGTTAGCGCACCCTCCTCCGCGTGGCTGACGCTCTGCGAAGCTATTCGTAAACGTTGCGTGACAGGACGTTAGTATCGTTTTGCCGGCGCCATCCTAACGCTACCGGCCACACCATGAGATCGCTGCTACTGCTACACGCTCACGGCCTTTCTCACCACATTTGGTCTACTTCATGTGTCAGATCTCGAGGAGCCGCCTCTAGTCCTACCCCATTCCTTCCTTATTCGAGCCATCAATGTGACGGGAGACGAAGTCAGTCGAGACCTGCTGAGGAACGCCGTGGGCGACAGCACAGAGCTTGCTTCTGAAAGTGGTTCGATATCCGCATATGGCTTGTATTCCGCCTAACGGTTTCCACCACTGGAATTCCTCCAGACCGCGTAGTGCTCCAGAAGGATCACATAGTCGCGATCGTCGCCGATCTATGCTCAACATGATCCGCAATTATAGCGCCAGGGGGTAATCAAGGAGAGTTTTGTTCACACGGCGGTCGATTCACAGATGCATAATGAACGCAGGACCAAGCTCACAGTTTGCCGCTGTCAATGCGCCTAACTCTAGACTTGGGGTGATACGCTGCAACTTTTGTCTATGCCGTTAGTGACCGTTGTTTTGCATCCTTAACGTCTATCTGGAGGAAGCTTCTTGTGGGACACGAATGCGCAGCCCATCGACGATGCAAGGGAGTCGAAGGATGCATCGTAAGATTGGCCCGAGGGGCCCACGACACGTCAATCATGAACCCACGATCTCCGTTTGAACTTCGGCTTCTAATGACTAGCACATGTGAGACCCGGTGCCGCGGGCAGATCCCAAGTCCCTTCTAGTGATTACGGATCAACGTGCCCATCTGGGATCTCGAGTTCATATCGGCACACGCGCATATCTCGCATTCGGAAGGCCACCCGCTTTATCCCACCTGCAAAATTCGTCACATGTAGGGGCAGAACCGCGCCAGGGTTTTGGAAATCGGGCCTCACGACGATACGAGAGTGCTGCGAAAGGCTCAATGATGTGACAGCATAGCAACCCTGTTGACGGCAGCGAGACGCCTCAGTGCATGCACTTGCTACAGTATACCCCGAAGCTACTGCTGCAATGAATATTGGGTGTGTTGCATTGCATATCGCCGAAGATTACGCAGCAGACGACTGCCGTGGGTAAGAGTGTGGGGCACAAGATCACTCTCACGGTCGGTCGGTCCTTTAACAACGTGAAACTTGTCAGCAGATCCACGTTACCAACCTGGCTGTCGGGAGCTGTACCGTGCAAGTCAAGTGTATACGTGGACACCACTCTATCGAAACCTAATCTCCATCAACACTGGGTAAGACGTTTACGTGTGGTGGGCATGTAATACCGGTCGGGCTTATGCAGCCTGGGGATCATAACATGGGTTTTGGTCTGTCTCTCTCACACTACCCCGTGCTGGTAAGCGCAGCGCAATCTCGATCGCTCAATGATATGGGTTTTCTTTCTTTCCAGTCTGCATGCATGCGTAACGGAATGCTCCGCGAGCAAAGCAGCATGTCACTGCCGCACTTTGTAGCCGTTCCAAACTTTGGTACATCGCCGACGACGTCTACCTGCACCCGATGAAAGGGGGGTGCGCCTAAGTCTAACCATATTTACCGTACATCGCAATGTCTCTTTAGCTGCTTCCTGTTTCTTGTCCCTGGCTCGATACCCGGAGCCAATGCGGGATCTGCCTGTCTGCTTGCTTCAAACTTGATATGCCGTGACGGAGGCAAGTATGACGACATTAACGACCCACAACGTCTATCACCAAGGTTCGAGTTCAAGATGCTTCTTCCCACTCGCGGTTCATCACTACATCATGCTTCAGATATAACTTGGTTTCAAAAAAGACGTTGTTGCAAGGAACCAGGTCTAGCAATATACCTGTCACTCTCCAGGCCGCACAAACCTTTGCGTCATTCGTGGGAAAACCACATCCCTGGTGGTAACGAACATGCACGCATCACTCTCACTCCCGCACATCCTGCAGCCAGCCATGCCAGCCCCCCAGCTTACCCGAACTCGGAGCCGCCGCAATCCTCCATCCCATCCCATCACGTATCCTCGCTCTATAACAGGGTAATCTTATCATCAGCACATCTATTCCGCCAAAAGGCTTGGGCACGGTTACGCCGAAGCCAGCTAAGCCCATTTTCTTTGTCCCCGTCTCTCCGCATATGCGCCGTTGATCCGGGCTACTGTGATCCATAATACATATGACGTGTGCCATCATGTGCGCCTAGCGATGTTAACTTCGATAGAGTCCGTGAAATAGGCCGTCTGTACATTTGCTATACTTTTTAGACGAATCGCTTGGACGCGCACCAAGCTACACGTATGCTTTATGCAAGATGCACGTCGATGCTGCCGCCCTTTCTTTGTCTCATGTCGTCTCGCTTGTTTGCTCCTCTATCGTCGATGCACACTGTGCATTTTCCCCGCCGCTGCCAATGAGTGCTGGTGCATTTTGAAAAGTTGTCGTAATGTATGCGTGGTCCAGGGTAGGCGAGATGGATTCCCCTCGAACGATGATGCGATGCGTTGTTAGTGCGGATCTATGATCTGAGGTGATTGCATCGGCAAAAGATGGGGCTGGGGCGTGAACGAGACGTAGGTCAGCGACGTAATTATGTTATGGTGTGTTGGCTGTGTGTGTGTGGCTTGAGTAGAGGGCTGGTGTATGGCAGTGCTAGTACTGGTGACGGCATACCTCTGAGAAACATGTGATGGTTGTAGCGGTGAGTGCGACATACTATTTGGGCTGGTTCAAGTGACAGCCATCGTCATTCCTTTCTCCTGGCAAACAAAATAATACTCATAATTGTAATGCACTTTGACGTATTAGTGGATGAAGCTGGGTACCGCGCTCGAGCGACTATAGCACATCTCGTCGAAATTTGTTCTGCTTGTTTTGCAAACGAGACATGATTTTTGGAACATTCGACACGAGGTAAGTATGGTCTGGTAAGACCGCTAGTATTGCCTACACTGACTGTCGATTACTACGCATTTTGCGCTCACTATCGTCTTTTCTACTTTTGCCATCACAGTCTCTATTCACCGACTGCTCCATTTATATCTACTTTCTTTTCTCTAGCCTACGGCTTGACATCGCGCTATCGGTAGTATATTCTATGCTTTGCAACCTATTCACGAAGCTAGGCGTGTCTTGCACACCATAATGACAGCTAAGCTTCATAGCCGAGCTGTTTACTCGTCGTTTCAGAGATATTCAAATGGCAATTGGTCCGATGTGATATCACACCACGATGCTAAGCTTGTCGACAACAAGGATTTGTGCGTCAAGTTCCTCAGCGATTGCTTTTTCCAACCCCCAGGGCTGAGCCTCAAGTAGATCGAATGAAGGCGAGGAATTGTTAGGATGAATGAGCATTTTGAAAAAAGACAGGTGACTTGCCAGAGGTGGCAGTATTGTAGCAGAATGCCACAAGGTCAAAGTCTTGCATCGAGGGGATATGTGATATGTGCATATGAACACCAAATATGAGCAATCTTTGCTGTGTATGCGAACGACTGAAATTTTCTGCTGGCCGTGTGGCTCTGGTTTTGCTGAGTATATTGTTTGCTCCTCGACATTAGGTATCCAAGGTGAAAGAAGTTTGTCTTCAGGAAATCTCACCCAACCACACGGTAGTGGAGAGGATCTGTCACATATTGTATTAGTCAGCGTCGGAGAAGAGTGCACCATGTCTATTCATGCTATTGAGTAAACTGTAGCAATAGCCATTAGTTGAAGCTAGTGTGAAACCCCAAGGGCAGCTGATTACAACTCCTCCTCCTCACGTGCCCAGATTTCCATTTTCGAAAACTACTCGTAACCAGGCATATGCTTTGTTTCGTTGTGAGTGGTGTTGAGAGTGGGAATGAATAGATAGAAATCCTCTCCGAATAGCCGCTCACCATCGAATACTTGCGTATAAGACTCGAGCATCCTCAGGTAATCACGCGTCAGCGGGTCAGCGTAACGGAACGGGTGTTCCCGCTCGTATCTGACAAGATTGACATCGACGTGAGCTTTGCCGATGAGATTCCTGTTCAAAAACAGAGCAGCAGGACCTTTGCCGCCTGGTGCTTCGCTTGAGAGATCTGCGACGAGTTGCTTGACTGGAACTTCCGGGTAGCAGGAGAATACGAGCGAAGATTCGTTGATTGCCAGAAACCCCTCGGGATCAGAGACGGTCTTAATCGGTACCGGCAGCTCAGACAGTATCACCCGGTCGAGTTCATTGTAAGCGGGATCTTGCGCAATTATTGTGATGGGTGTGTCGACTGGAAATCCTTCTGCTTTGTAAACCCGTTCCAGGTCTTGAGCAATAGAAGATGCAACGATATGCTGCATTGCTGGGTTGGCGTTCCTTGAACCTGACATATGCAGGGTGCCCAGTCCGATGCAGACGATATTGGTAATCCGTGCTGTGTGCTTCAGGCTGTTCAGGCTGTTGAACAAGACATGGTGTACGTCTGATACCTGCCAAAGTTTTTCGGCCTGCTGCATATAAAACTTCAAGAGGATACGATCGCGTGGATTGTTAGGTTCTTCGACCTGTTTACGGAACCCGACCGAGATTGGGAGCATGTCGTCGCAACTGGAGTCTTGCCATGGCGGTGGGGTGGCAAGCAAGTGAAGTCCGTTGTAATATAGGAAGAAATCTAGGGGGAAATATTGACTGTCTATGTGTTAGTGTCAAAACCATAGAAATGAACGTACTTCGAAGACATGTATATTAATCTGCGTTGCAGCTCTCCTAGACTACAGTATAGATTTGTAGGGTGTTCTTTCACGTTCGCGTAAGTAGAGCACAAATCGGACACACCTGTAAAAAGATATGTCTTCAGCTGGATAGACTCTTGTCGCACCATAACAATCCGTCAGTGTGATGTTGAGACCATTTCGAGCCCTGATCAGCTGCTCTGCGGCATGGCGAAGCATGGACCGACTATAAAACGGTCGGTCCCCGAGTGACTTCATGAATGCCTTGATGTCCACAACTATATGGGAACTGTTTGATAATCCAAGACCGACATCGTGGATTAGATCTGCAAGTGGGTCGTTTGTTTGAGACGGAAGTGTTTCGTTGGCCGATCCTTGGAATTGTTGTGTGTCAATGGGACATGTATCCGCCCACATGCTAGCTGCAGGCAAAGCTGAGAAATTCATTTCCGAAAATGCTAGCTGCACCCCATATGGGCAGACGCCTGCCATTGTAGTGAATTTTCGTGAAGCGGATGGGTTTGTTGTCGAAGGAGATGTACGGAGCGATAGAAAGAGATAGTCGAAGATTGGGACAGAAAGATGTGCTAATGATGCTAAGCATGCGAGACAATTCTGTGCTGGCAGAACGATGTTGATGACTGGGTAGTGTAGGGTGTGAAGTGCGAGATCTGGTTGAAGATAGAAGTAAACACGGTGTGAGTTTGTGAGCAAGTGCTCTCTACTGGCATGTCGCTGCCGCTTGACCCTGTATCTTTAGGTAGTTGGTGAGATACAGCCACAAGAGAAAGGCGCGTTGAGGTAATGTCAGGAGTGCAACTGCTAGTGACGCGTTTGCAGTAGTACGAGTACGAAAAAGCTCATTCTGATAGGCTGCACTCATCACTTGTAACTGGTCCTAAAGCTGGAGCTGAATGCTATGCGTCGAAACATCGAGAGATGTATCCCGAATTGCACGAATCGTCTCGTTGACAGAAAGTGGTGATATCTTGCTCCACTAGGTCGCTACAGATGCTACGAGCATGTTGCCCGTCTACCGATATGCAGTGTTCAGACGCAGCAATTGGGTTTTGGATGACTGTCTTCCGTTACTAGTTATGTAGCGCTCATGGTTTTATCAACACTGTGGGTGACTTGCTACCGCTATTGACAATGGATAAGGGGCACCTAGGTGTTGAACATGTTCTGATATTCTGGTAAGATCAATCCTGACGGCTACATGCAGGCCGTGTATTTTCATCAAAGTAGCATGGACGCTTGACGGCTGCGTATGGATCTTTTTCCATCTGCGCTCTCTTCGTCGTTGGAGTGTTGGCGATTTACACTCTGTATTTTGGGCTCTGAAATGTATCTTAAGATGCGCCGTCCTTCAGAAATCGGTCTGGTTTCCTGTAGGGGCGGTGGTTGCTAATCTCGGCTACAGGTACTTGGTTGGTAAGTCTCCAAATCCTTTTGTTGAGAATTCCATACGCTAACATGGCTAGTGTTTGCGTGCCTTGGGCAGTAGCCATATACCGAGACTAGACGAGTACTGCCCGAGGCATATGGAGACGGCATTGCGGTACAGCGAACAGACGCAACAGACGCGCAGGAGTCTGAAGGATGAGACGCGTGCGATACTGGCGTAGAGGTTTCGGACGTCGTATACCTTTTGAGTTTGTCGCATCAGAGTTGCATCGATAGTTTGCTTTGCCATGTTTCAGGATGGACCAATTAGGCATGTGCAGCTGGTAAGCAGAGATACGGTGTAGGCGCAGGATGGTATATCCGGAGAGAACAGCAGCCCTGCAGGGAGCCGATGGGGACTAGGGCGGGCAAAACGAAAAACGTGCAGTCAAGCGGCGCTTTGACCCGTGGGTGAAATAATAATTTAGTCGAGCGCGCGAATATACAAGACGGCCCCTCGACGCTCCCTCGCCTGTGTCCTCGCACCTTTTTTTTCAGTTTTCCTGTATTGTATAGACTCTCCACTCTTCCGTTGGGGCGTCTCTACATTCACACGTTTGATACCCGGGTTTCCTCACCCTTTTGCGCTGTTGGGCACCACTCACGCTTCAGCCGCCGCGAACAAGGCGATAGCTATCGATAAGGAGCCCCTCCAAAAAAGAAATCCCTCGTCGCGGATTTCACAGCCAGCACAGCACACAGGCACAGCAGGCTTCTCTCGCAGATGCCGCACTCTGAGTCGCCGCCCATGGCTCCTGCTATCGTCGTCGACAAGGCCGGCGCCGCCCCCGCGCCCTCGCAGGAGGACGTCAGCGCCTTTATCAGCAGCATCGTCACGGCCAAGACGTCGCACGCTTCCGTCGACGCCGCCTACGCCCTCACTACCCTCCTCCAGAACTCGGTCGGCTTCCGCGGCCTGACTGGCTATGGCATACTCGACGAGATCAAGAAGTCGGCCGCCAACAAGAAGGACGCCGTGCGGAGAGAGGGTGCCATGAACGCCCTCGGTGCCTTCTTCGAGCGTCTCCCACGCACACAACGCCTGACTGAGGTCATCTTCCTCGTCCAGGACGCAGCGCTAGTCCCGCTCGCCCTCGACTTGCTGGCAGACAAAACTGCCTCCGTCAAGGAGTCGGCCAAGTACGCCCTCGACTCGCTTTTCGAGAACCTCGGTGCCGAGGCCAAGATCTGGGGCCTCTTGCCTGTGCTGACACAGTACCTGGGCAAGAAGTCCGGAAAGTGGCAAGGTGCTGCTTTCGCCTATGAGCTCATCGGCCGCATGGCTGACAAGGCCAAGATGGGCATGGAGAGCCTCGAGGTGGAGAAGGAGAAGGATGTTCTCCGTGATGCTATGGGCAAGAAGCTCGAGGGTCTCATCCCCATTGTCGAAGCCGGCATGCACGACCTCAAGTCCGAGGTAAGATATTACACGCACTCTCACAAGCAAAGGTTGCTAACTCTGAACAGGTCGCAAAACAGTCTGTCAAGACGATGAACAGCCTCACCACCCTCATCCAGAACGACGATATCGCGCCCCGGATACCCTTCCTTGTCAAGGCTATCGAGGACCCCTCCACACAGAGTCTGCAGAAGGCTATCCACGCTCTCTCGCAGACTACCTTCGTCGCTATCGTCACATCCCCCGTTCTTGCTATGGTCACACCTCTGCTTGAGCGCTCCCTGAACACCCCCACCACATCTCAGGAGGTCACTCGCCAGACTGTCGTCGTAGTTGAGAACTTGACCAAGCTCGTCCACGACCCCGTCGAGGCCCGCGCCTTTTTGCCCAAGCTCCGCCCAGGTGTCAAGGCCGTCAAGGACCGCGCTTCCCTGCCCGAAGTCCGTGAGATTGGTCAGCGCGCGCTGGACGTTATTGAGAAGGCCATGGCCGACCCAGACCACAACATCGACAGCGGCGCCATCGCCAGGGTACAGCCATCAGAAGTCCAAACCGTCATTGAGAAGCAGCTCACCGCTACTGCCAAGGTGCTCGACTTCCCTGGAGACGCCGAGGTTTTGGCTGTCACTAAGCGCTACATCTCTGAGATGATTGCCGAAGTTGTCAACCAGCGGGAGCTTCAGCGCATCCCAAAGCTCGTTGGACCCTACTTGGAGCCTCTGGTCAATGCTGGAGACGCCGACAAGGTCGCAGAGGCCGTGCACCAATTCTACGTGGACGAAGACCACCGCAAGTTTGGCCAGCCCGTCAAGGAGGACGATGGCGAGGTTGAGATTGTCAACGCCGTATTCTCCCTCGGTTACGGTGGTATGTTGCTCCTCTCGCACACCAATCTTCGTCTGCTCAAGGGTCACCGCTATGGTCTCTGTGGCCGTAACGGTGCTGGAAAGTCTACACTCATGCGCAGTATTGCGAGCGGCAAGCTCGAAGGTTTCCCTCCTCAAGACGAAGTCAAGACCTGCTTTGTTGAGCACAACCAAGGAGAGGATGCCGATCTCTCCATTCTCGAGTACATCGTTCGCGACCCGCGCTTCGCGGACGAGAGCAGGGAACGTATCGAAGAAGTTCTCGAGGAGGTCGGTTTCACCGCTGGCCCCGAAGGCAGGCAGTCCCACAAGGTCGGCTCTCTGTCTGGTGGATGGAAGATGAAGCTCGCTTTGGCGCGTGCTATGCTTATGCGCGCTGACGTGCTTCTTCTCGACGAACCCACCAACCACTTGGATGTTGCCAATGTTGCCTGGCTCGGAAAGTATCTCAAGTCTCACACTGAGATTACTAGCTTGATCGTCTCTCACGACTCCGGTTTCCTTGACGAGGTCTGCACAGACATCTACCACTACGAGCAAAAGAAGCTGGTTTGCTACAAGGGTAACCTTGCCGATTTCGTTCGACAGAAGCCTGAAGCCAAGAGCTACTACACTCTCTCAGCTACCCAGGTGCAGTTCAAGTTCCCTCCTCCCGGTATTCTCACTGGTGTCAAGTCGAACACTCGCTCTATCCTGCGCATGACCAACTGCTCCTACACGTACCCTGGCGCTTCCAAGCCATCGCTTGTTGATGCTTCTTGCAATTTGTCTCTTTCGTCTCGAGTTGCCATTATTGGCGCCAACGGTGCTGGTAAATCTACTCTCATCAAGATGCTTACTGGCGAGACTATTCCTCAAGAAGGTACCGTCGAGAAGCACCCCAACTTGCGTATCGGTTACATCAAGCAGCACGCTCTCGAGCACGTTGAGATGCACATGGAGAAGACGCCCAACCAGTATCTCCAATGGCGATACGCCAATGGTGATGACCGTGAGGTGCTCATGAAGCAGACACGTGTGCTCACTGAGGAAGACAAGAAGCAGATGGAAACTCCCATCGATCTGGGCGACGGCAAGGGCCCCCGCAAGATTGAGGCGCTCATTGGTCGTTCCAAGTACAAGAAGACCTTCCAGTACGAAGTCAAATGGCTGCACATGCTGCCCAAGTTCAACACGCACATCTCGCGTGAGACTCTTATTGAGAAGGGTTTCAGCAAGCTTGTCCAGGAGTTCGACGATCACGAGTCCTCCCGTGAAGGTCTTGGTTACCGTGTCCTCGAGCCCAAGGTCATCTCCAAGCACTTTGAAGATCTCGGCATGGACCCCGAGATTGCGAACCACAACGAGATCTCTGGTCTTTCCGGAGGACAGAAGGTCAAGGTTGTGCTTGCAGGTGCCATGTGGAACAACCCGCATCTCCTCGTTCTCGACGAACCCACCAACTTCTTGGACCGCGACTCGCTTGGTGGTCTCGCTGTTGCCATTCGTGACTACAAGGGTGGTGTCATCATGATTTCGCATAACGAAGAATTCGTTGGTGCTCTCTGCCCCGAGCAGTGGCACGTCGCCGACGGTCGCGTAACTCACAAGGGTCACCTTGCCGTCAACATGGACCGTTTCGAAGACTCGCGCCCTGGATCCAGCAACGTTAGCAGTAACGTCAGCTCCGCTGCGCCGTCAACAACTGGTACCCCAGTCATGAGTGACGCCGAGGGTAACAAAGACGACATGAAGTTCAGGTCAAGGAAGAAGAAGAAGATGACCAAGAAGGAACTCAAAGACAGGGAGGTCAGGCGTAGATTGAGGTACATCGACTGGTTGAACAGTCCCAAGGTATGTTTTCTCTTTTCCATTATTGTCAACATCATGAACGGTTTGCTAACAGTTTGACCAGGGTACACCTCAACCACCCAACACTGATGACGAGGCCGAGTGAGTGTCTTTACGGCTGTTTCGGATTACGATCGCGTTATGATATCTTAGACCATGCAGATTTGCATTGCTCGGCGTTTTATAGAGGCTTGGATGACTGATTGCGTTTGCATCAAGCGATGGATTATGACTTCTTCGCCTAGCTGCATCCTTATGATGAATCAAAAAGCATTTCTTCTTCTTCAAACTACAGTGCTCCTTCCACTCCTTCCTGTAACCCTCTGTGTATACTTTTGTGTCTGATACGGTGTGCCGCATGAGTGCTCGTGCTACGTGTTAGGTCCCTGGAATGTAGAGATCCTTGACGCGCTAACCCGGTGTAGCGGATCGTACAAACGTGACTGCATTTCACGAGGAGGACTGTTATGCTAAGCTGTACTTTTCCACCTTGTATCTGAGGTATAGACGCGCACAGCACAGCTGCTTGCATCCTTATCACCATGCTGCCATTCAACTTGAATTGTTTTCCAATTGTTCGTTGCTTAGTATCTCACTTCGTATAGATTGTCAGCCCACGAATGATCTGGCACCTTCACTGGTTCATTCACGTGGCGGTCAAAATGCTAGTCGGGAGCACGGATAGTGTGCATGTAACTCCTTCCACCTTCACTACCTCTAATTTCAATCTTAATGTCACCGCTCCGCGCCGACCAAACACTCTCTCCACAGCTTGGACCCTGGATTGCCCAGGTGAGTACCGTCCACCAGCTTCTGCCTAGTGGTGTAGCAAACAAACGGTCCCACCTGTGGTAGTCATAAGCCCTCGATTCTTCGACTTCTCTTCCTCCTCAACCTTCTCCTCTACCCTTCTCCACGATCAACCACTTCAACATTATATCACACACAACGACATCATCAACGACTGAAACACCGCTTCCATGAAGCTCCTCCTCCTTGCCCTCCTCGGCCTGGTAGCGCTTGTCGCTGCCTCGCCAGTCGAGACCACCGCCATTACGGCCCCCAAGTACAAGAACAACGGTATCCACTCGTAAGCTACCTCACTTTCTCTGGATTTCTCATGAAGCAGTCAACTAACCTTCAACAGTTACAAGTGTGATAGCAATACGAACGTCCTCTCTTGTGTTTCTTCTGGCACCTGCTCTTTCGTCGAACACTGCTCGACCAAGTGCTTCGCGGATCACCAAGGCGCTGGCTGCATTGGCTCCTCAACCGTTGCTGTCGAGGCATCCGAGAAGCGCGACACCGAGACCAAGGTCGACGCCGAAGCAAAGAAGACATACGAGTGCTCTAATGGTTAGTTTTACTACACGAATGGTATATGAGACATCTACTGACTTCGTATACCCATATCTAGACCACACTGGTGTCTTGGTCTGCCAGTATGGCTTCTGCCAGACCGATCACTACTGCAAGAAGGGTACCAAGTGCCATGACAAGTGTTCTTGCTGTAGGAACATGGACGTCCTTGAGCGAGACATCGGTGACGTGGACACAACCAAGGTTAGTTTACAGTCTGAGGACATTTTTACTTCACTTCCTTCTATCACTTCTTCCCCCATCGTCCCAGCCACCACGTATGGCTCCTGTAAGCAGACTCAAGCGGGAGTTCAATCTTGTCGAGAGAACAACTCCATGATTGTGGTCTGCGACATTGCCGATTACATGTGGAGGTCGGTTGGCAAGTGTCCTGGTGGCGATGGGTGCTGCGAGGCCCGACCCGACAACGCAAATGCCGTTCAGTGCAAATGCTAGACTGACACAAGCTTTTTTCGGGTGCCCTTCTTCTACGTTGTCCTTGAGCTCAACGAGATCTGAAGATAGTCAATATATGACGTGACTACTCAGACTCGCGATGCTCTTACCTTACTTCTCTTTGCGATTTTCTTGCCTGTTTGCACTATCATCCTCAACGACTGTACACTGCTAACAGAATTTTGTGGATTGCACAGCCCAAACCCGACGACGACTTCCATGCTCTGCCAGTCACCACGTCCGATACGCTAGTCTCGCGTGGCAACTGTGTACCTGGCACCTATTCCTGCGCGCAGAATAGTCCCTGGATCGTGGTTTGCGATTATAAGGGTACCTACCAGTACTCATCCGATTGTGGCGAAACAGATTGCATCACGGACAACGTCGTCGCTCATTGCTGGAACCCGGGCGAGGAGTGGAAGACCTATGTCAACTTGGCCTCGCGTGCTGACCACCCACCCCAGGAAGGTAAGAGATGTCCTTATACAATCTGAATGCGAGACACTTACTGACTTGGCATGCATCCATTTAGGTCCATGTGTGCCTGGCACCTATGGCTGCGTGCTAAACCCTTCCACCAATACTCCCTGGGTCACCGTCTGCGGCTGGAACCAAAAGTTGCAGCACTCGTCTGATTGCGGTGATCAGAAATGTGTCGCGAGGGAGGACGGTGTGGCTCATTGCTGGAACAAAGGTGATCAGTGGAACGCGAACCCTGCCTCAGTCTCTCGCCGCGATGAACTGTCCGAAGTTTCAGCAGACTTGGCTCCAACAGCATCTTGCCGTCCTGGTGAATTTGGCTGCGCGTGGAGCAAAGACACGATGACGGATTGGACCATTGTTTGCGATCAGTCCGGAAAACATTGGTTGTGGTCCTCTGACTGTGGTCAAGGCATGAAGTGCGAATGGGGTGGTGGCGTTGCACACTGCGTGCTTAACAAGGTTCTCTTCGTAGCTTGAAAGGCATTTCGGAGTCTTAACCCCTCAGCAACGGCCTGAGAGGAGCAAAGAACCTGGGGATGAGAGGACGAGAGTGGTTGGTGTCGATTTCAAAAGCATGAAGGGTTTAGATGGTGGTTGGCAGTAGAGCTTCACGCCTGCTTAACAACTCTTTCTTGAAGAGTATTCAGTAATGAACAAGATGCTCCTGCTTTGATTATGTTTTCCATCTTATCGCATGGTGGGGTTCGTCGAGCATGTGCGACTAACAATTCCAGCCAACAAAATGGTATTGAACGACCGAAGCCTGTCGAAGCAGTACCCAGTGAGCGCGATACACAGGAGGATTGACGATGATGTCGCGAGGCAGAAGCAGTAAGCGATCGATCGAGTACGATGTTGCTAATAGTTGGTGGCGCTAAGCATCTTATGCCGCGGGATCTGAAGCTTAGCAGAGCTGCACGACAGCGACCAAGCTGTGAGCTACAGTGATCGCTACACGTTCTTGAAGTAAGGATAAGGAAAAGATGCGCAGACGCATCTATCAACACCAAACATGAATGGGAAATTGTAGAGCAAAGCCGATGGCAGCCATCTCTGACAAGGGGCCCTGGGAAAACAGGTGGGGCGTACCCAGAACCTAGTCTCAGATCGATATCGCGTCCCTGCATACACTCGTCATAGGTCGAAAAACAACCCTTGGATCTTCCCGTACGTGCTTCCAGCTGACCAAGAAGCATGCAAAGTAGCGTCAAACGCCTACCGCTGTTCTGGCTTGCGAAATGCTGAAGATCTAGACTTTTCCCCTCGTCAGCTTCTCCTTCACTCTACACGACCTCTGCGAGCTTTTCTTTTTGCCAATTGATTTTTCGCAGGCTCGTATTCGCCGCCAGGCACCAGTCACGATGTCGTTCATCGTCGAACATGCGAAACAGGCCGTCACCGACAAACAAACAAATGTCGTCATCTTTTCGGCCACGGCTATCGCCCTCTATGGCTACGATCAGGGTATGATGTCCCTCATCAATACGAACAATGACTACCTTTCCACCATGGGCCTTGAGGAAGAGTCACCAGTTGTGGGAGTTATCGTGGCTGTCTACTACCTCGGTTGTGCGGTTGGCGCTGTACTCTTCTCCATGCTCGCTGATAAGCTGGGAAGGAAAAAGAGTATCTTCGCCAGTTTGGCGACGGCGAGCTTAGGTAACTTGATCATGTTCGTGGCTGGAATGGGCATGTTAGGCAAGAGCACGGAGATCGCATTGGGTGTCATGTTAGCTGGACGAGTAGTGATGGGATTGGGTGTTGGAGGTATCGACGCAGTCATTCCGACCTACTCTTCCGAGTTGAGCTCAGACGATTCTCGTGGCAAAGCGCTGGCCCAGGAGTTCCAGTCCAATATCTTTGGTCTTGTCATGGCTTTCGGTGTCAACTTACTCGTCACTATTCTTCTCGGCAAGCAGAACCAATGGGCTTGGCGCATTCCCATCATCGTCATGCAGATCTACCCTGTTCTACTCATGGCTGTTGTTGAGCGCCTTCCGGAATCTCCGCGCTGGTTCATCTTCCATGACCGCCAAGAGGATGCGAAGAATGCGCTAAACGATATCTATGGAGATGAAGGAAAGGAGAAGCTTGATGAGCTGCTCGAACAGCATGAGAAGGAGAAGGATGTGAAAGTTGGATATTTGGATATGCTCACACCCGGGCACGAGCAATTCCATCCTACTATGGTCACAGTCATGTGCCAAGTCAACCAAGCTCTCACAGGATATGGCGCAGTCAGTGTATATGGGCCGCAGATCTTTGAGGTAAGTGAGCACAGTTACGAGGGTATCTCGTATTAAAGGAATACTAACCATTGAGAACAGCTCCTTGGCTTTTCTGTCCGCAACTCCGAGTACCTGACTCTTGGAAACTACACATCCTACTTCTTCCTCATGACGCTCGCTTGGCTTCTAATCGATGCTCTTGGCCGGCGCCAACTGATGATCCAAGGTTCTATCGTTCTATCTTCTTCGTTCGCACTTCTTGCTGTCTTTGGTGGTCTAGCAGCCAAGTCTGACTCCATTGATATTCCCGTCATCATCCCTGGGATCATCGGAACTGTCATCTTGTTTGTAGCCACGGGCGCATTTGGAATTGGTTGGCTCTCAACCGTCTGGCTCTTCCCCACAGAAGTTTTTCCAACCACCGCGCGTGCTCAAGGTACTGCTATTTCCGTCATCATCTGGGGTCTCGCAAACTTTGCCATCACATTCCTTACGCCCGTCCTGTTCAACAATCTTGACTACTTCATTTTCCTCGTGTTCGCTGCAACCAATGCCTTCGCCGGTCTGTGGACATACTTCTATCTTCCGGAGACTGGAGGAAGGACTTTCGACGAGAACATGGACTTCTTCAAAGAGGCTGGTGAGACTGGAACCTGGAGGGTCGGAAAGGTGCGCAAGGGCGAGTGGAAGAAGATGCTGTACGATGATCCTGAGGGAGAGGGTAATGTAGATGCAGAACGCGTACCGCTGTTGCAGAGGGTGGGGGACCAAGTTCCTAGTGTAGAACAGTCTCGAGAGCCGAGCCGGCAACGAGAGGAGTAAGAAGAGATAACCGTCCCTTCTATACCACGGACATGTCTCGGCTCCGTGGTATTGTCAAAGTAGCGAAAAAGGTAAGCCTCGTCAGTCGGTTGTTCGCTGAGCCCTGTGCTGACCTCTTCACAAGCAACTATCCTATCCAATTAGCACTAGAATGAATAATAAAATCATCACAAAAGAGATTCATGGAACCTTGGTATGCTGAAAAATAGAATATATCCGGTTGACGCTCGACCATTGCCCCACAAACCAATATACATGATATAGCCATCCTGGTCGCGGAGAATACCCGGCATCTACATGGCCCAAGTACCGACCACGAGCCACGACCATTAGATTGAAAGCGATCAAGACCCTAGATACCATCGTCATAACTCTGCCCGTAATTAGTGTCCCACGAGCTTAACAGATCCCGAGTTCTGCATGCCTTCTGTTCATAAAATGAGTGGCATCCGCGGGGTGTGTGCAACAAATCACCTTTTATGCTAACCTCCATAATGCTTTCATTGAAGCATACTCTTGCGCTGTGCGTCTTTGCAACGCATGCTGTGATCTATGCGACAGCACAAAGAACAGGCGCATTATCGGACTCCCCCCAAGACTCCGATATCTATCAATCCTCTTACCTCGGCGGTGAACACAACATCGATCCCTCAGACCTTCCACAATTTACACAAATCTGGAATGCATCCTTCAATGCAGACGAAAAGGTAGCTTCCACTGCTTTCTGCGTCTCATTCGTCATCCTCGCTAACATACACGGAGCACTGGGCGCGTCCCCTTATACATACCCTCTCTTCGACGGGTCGTCAAATCGTCTTCACAGCCTCAACCGAAAACCGCATCAGAACTTTCGATGCAGAAACCGGCCAGCTACTGAATGAACGCCAAGTTGCTCCACCATGGCCAATGGATCAGGCCTTCTGTACAACACACGTCAGCAAGACACTAGGTATAATGGGTACACCGGTGATCTACCCCGAAGATGGCAACGAAATTGCATTTTTCTATGTCAAGAGCTACATTGAAAACTACAGAGAACCAGGTGGGGCGTTTCCTCCTTTGAACTCAGTGTATTATCTCTACGGCGTTTATCTCGACACGCTACAGGATTTGTACAAGTACCCAATGATCATCGATGGCCAACCCTCCGACAACGATATACGCAAGACCTTCTTGGGCGGTTTGGTATTGCAGAGGCCAGCATTGCTATTACTGGGCGATGTATTATACGCAGGATTCGGCGGGCTATGCGACGCGTTCAATTACACCGGGAGCGTTGTCGCTGTTAATTTGGCAACGCAGAGTACGTATACATGGACGACGCAAGCCGGAAACACAAGTCTGTATAACGATGACTGGACAGCTTGGCATGGTGGTGGAGCGGGCGGCATTTGGCAAGCTGGAATGGGTCTTTCGTCGGATGGTAAAGACGTCTTCTTCACGATTGACAATGGCGGCGGGTCAACGGCTACGACACTCGATGTTACTCCTAAGGAGGGTCGCAAGCCTTTGGCTGTTCTTTCGGAAACGGTCGCGAGGATTACGCTTGATGAGGCGAGTGGTGCGGGCATTAAACTCGTTGATTTCTTCCGCCCGTCGGACTGGCAGACCGACTCTGGACAGGACATTGGAAGTGGGGGCCTCGCTATCCTCGATAATAGTATCTTCAAAACAATGAACGGAAAGAGGATTGGTGTTGCAACGTCGACGAACCCGAAAATGTACGTTACGGAAGTTGACAACTTAGGCGGTTATTTGCAAGGGAAAGATGGCACGGACGGCATTCTGCAAACTATCGCCTTGGAAGGCGAGGTCTTCGGTGCGATAGGATCCTACCCTCTCGAAGGCGGATACATTTATGTTAACCCTGGTAATACCGCCTTGTCGGCCTACGCGTTTACTCAGAACGCATCGTCGCTCTTCAGTTTCGCTGGTAAGTCGTCTGAACCAAATGGACACTGGGGCGGCGCAGGCCTTCCGACAATCACCAGCAGTCACGGTCAGTCTGGTACAGGTATCGTATGGGCAACTGATGTACAGGCCGGGCTGAGGGCGTTCAAAGCGGTACCAGTCAATGGGACACTGGTTGAGTTGCCGTTACCAAAGGTAGAGGGTGCTGTGAAGTTTGGCAGGCCGGTTTTTGGCAATCGCAAGGTGTTTGTTGTTGACGGCCAAGGACGTTTGATCGCGTTGGGGAAGCGTCTGAAGTGACAGAAGCGGATGGAGGGAAAGTGAAAGCAATGGGTGCAGGCTGCATCCAGAGTGGCAGTGAATCCATCATCGACACAAGTAGAGTTCAAAGCTTTGATGTGCGCGAATGTCCACTGTCCCTTTCACCTCAACCTTCAAATCGAGTTCAAAGTTGCTGCCTTGGCTTTCTAGGGCTTATTCGCTGATCTCGGACATGTTCACGGGTCTCTCGGCCTTAAGCATTGCGGTTCCGGGCGAAACCATCAAGTCCGCAACTCCTCCCGTATCGCCTTCGTCTTCTGGCTCTAGGCAACAACATAACGACCAACATCGGCCTTTCGCAACAGTTCAAATCGCGACTTTGGTCTCGGATATACATGCGCATCTCTCAGCCACCGGTGATAACCAGCGAGAGGTAGCGTGCACAGACCCCGACCGCTGCATGATGTCGGATCTTGTTCGCTGTCCGCTGAAACTAGTCCAGTTTGAAGATTAGCGCCACCAGTCTATGTGCACAGCATGTGCATGAGGTGTTGGTGTGAGGGGGTGGTTCATGATATAAAGCTCCCCAATCTGTCGCTTCCATCTTTTCCATTGTTTCAATCATTCTCGTCCATCAACACGTTGCGACTTCCATGCTTTGCCATCCTTGAAAAAGCCCATTTCCTGCGACCACATCTAGACTTTGTTCAACTAAGCAAGATCCTTGGACCAATCACAGGATACGTGTTTGTGAGCAAGTACCAAAAGAGGCGTAACAAGACAAACCGATTATATAAACAGATCTTGCTTGTCCTGCGTCACTCTTGCTATCAATATTTCCGACGCGCAGAGTCTTGGAAGAAGATAAATACTCAGTATCATCACATCATCAGAAGATACCCAGCATCAAACCCCAACATGTCGACTACACACCTCACTATCCACGACCTGCTTCGCATAACATATACCTATGAGATGCGCGCTCTCGAAGCACAGGCACGCATGCAGCCAAGGCCGCGCTCAGATTCAGCTTGCTCGGTACGTTGCTCGCAACTTGTAGAGAACGACGAAGAGTAGAGACTAACATCTTCCATGTACAGATGCCAGAAACATGTGCACACCTTTCACCACCCACACCCTCCTCACCAGAACACGCAATCCTCGAGACCGATTTCACTCAAATGTACTGTCGCAAGAGTCGTCGCGCTTGAAGCGCCCTCGTACCCGTTGATCATCATACGACATGTGATGGCGAGAACGCCACCACGCTATTAGACTGAATCGCGAGAACACTTTCCCGAAAACCTCAACTCCTTGTTGAGTCGAGACAGGACGACAGGCGTATATGGTCTCTGCACCAGGCACAGTTCCCACCTGGGTCGTCACCACCTTCCCCACTCATGGCTAATAGCAACGTTTTGGGATGTTTGCGCGTCCGGCGCATGGTGCTTGCATGACGGGTGTGTGAATCGGACCGACTGTCGGGGCGATCATTAGCCGAGCAAGGTCGGAGCGGACGTCGCGTGGGGAAGGAGAGCAGAGGATGGATGTTTTTCGCGCATGCGCTCGAAGCGCTGGAGTGGTGCGAAGTCATGAGCTGTGGTTAAGGGCTCGAGCTCGGTTGTTGGTAACACTAAATATTTGATATCGTAATCTTGCTGCGATGCAACATGCGCATTGTTTCTGGTGTAATGGTATGTCTCGGATGTTTGATGCTCGGTAAGTCCGTGGTAATAGATGTGTGCAACCGCCTATGGTGATATGAAACTACCAAATCAGTCACTACCCTCTACTTCCTATGCAAGGTGATTCGAAGCGTCTTCGTCTCAAAGATCAGTTCTCGAAATCTGAATGTTTGCACTTGCTAATGACTAAGTCTTCATCTTGCACATGTGTAGATGCAACATTCTTCGCGCCTCTAACCACAGGTGCATGACCTTGCCTCATAACAAGGCCACTTTCCAGCGTGCATCTGATGAAGTCTCGCAGCAGTACCAAAAGACTGCTTTGATATATAGCACTAACACCTACATCAACAGTCGTAAGTACTCTGCCATTTTTCCACATCATCTTGTAGAAGGGTTGTGATACGCATGACGATCACACTCTAGAGGAGAGCCCCTTCAGCATTTCGTGTATGACACCACAATCAAACTTGTGGTGATCACAATATGCGACGGAATCTTTACGCGCAGTACATCGCATTTACCTCTTCTTTAGTCCTTGCAGCAACGGAGAAGCTGTGTAAACTACTGCGAGATAGCGGAAGTAGCAGCCGTGCTACTCAAGATGTGTGCTACTGAAGACTAAGCTGCATAGTTACCCACAACATCGCAAGCTCTTCTACAAGCGTCTGGCCAGCTTGCTGGACGTAAGAGCGAAGGAGATGCAGATTCTGGTACCATCTAGAAATTCCAAAAGACTGCGCAGTTCTGGTAAGAAGGCGTGGTGGCAGAGCTTGGGAAAAGCAAAAAGGGGACAAACCAACGACAAACATTCAAACACCAGCTGGGAGCCACACTCCCATGAATCGAACTCGGCTCCCTTGCTAACCCTCTTTGTCGACTCATATACAACAAACTAGCAAAAGGAAGAGCAAAAAGGTTCAGGTACCACAGATACTATACTGTGGTACCCTACATCCTCCGGGGCAGACGTAGGCACACCCCTCATTTACCTTGAACCTCTTGTCGAATTCACGTTGTAAAGAAAGACATCACTTACCTGTGAATCCAAGTGGGATCCCACTGGGCCATATTTTGTTGAGCGAGGTGACGCCCGCCGTTGATGGAATAGAGACCAAATCTGGCGTATATATACCGCAAGCTAAAAGGAGGGGTTGATCCAACCGAATTTCGGAGTCTGAGGGGAGAGGCGGCAGCGTGGGCATTTCGCTAAGGTAGGCGACGACAAGGTTTCAAGGGGTCCAGGTGACGAGGAGCACCGATTTTGCATTGTGGCGCCTGATCCGATGCTCAGCTTCGCTGGGGTGATTGCTCTCCGAACGAGTCCTCCTCCGCGGCCATAAACTCAACCCTGTCCATCTCCACTGATAGATCACTCTACACCAGTGTTGGGCTGACAAGGTCGTCAATGCCATGAGGAACATGCTCGAAGCACTCTCAACACAGCTTGATATGGTGTTGCATCTCATCTGGCTCGGTGGTGAGCCTTGGCGCAAGTTTGACTCGATATTGCCCCCCCTCGAGAGCGACAACACCACCACAACACCAACATTGCGCAGCCGAACAACATACTAATACTCTTGAGAGCTGCAGCATCCAGCTCTCGTAATTAGAAGAGATATCATACGCGTCCAACATGACTCCATTGCGGACCTCGGAGTGATGATAGCTTCGACGATACCTTGCGGAACACCCAGCAAAGTGGCAACTGCCTTAAGCATGTCAACCGACTCCAAGAGAGTAGAGAAGAGGACGCTACTCGATAGGTTATGCAGTCGAAGTATCGAGCATCTAGCCTGCGCCTCTTGTAGACATCCAGCGCAACAGCGGACTTTCCACACCAACTCGTAAGTAACAGCCAGCTATGAGGCAGGTACCTCTCGCGCAGAACTTTGATGGCTTTGCGAGATTGAAAATCCTTCAGGAAGTCTGTCACAGCGCCTTGCTTACGGCAAAGCCCATCGAGCGAGATCCTCGCGGCCGAAACCTCTGTCGTGGTTTTCAGCGGCCTCCTATGCGCAACATTCAAGCACAGCGATGATGACAAGCCGGCCTCCATCACGAAGGCCGAGAAAGTATCACCAACAACCGCAGCGAGATGGTCATAGCCCTCGGTTTGGGGAGCACTCGACTCAGGGCTGCCTCAAGGTCACATTCGCCACAACAAACTCCGCGGGGATTTCCAAGTCTTCTGAGAGGTAAACAAGAACACCACCATTGCGGCAGTGATTACAGAATAAGAAGAACTGGGATTCAACAAGACCAGAGGCATTCACACCCACCTTAGGTTATACCGGAAAAACTGTTACCTCTTTGTCTTAGAGTGCCTCCCCAATGGCCTGCCCCCAACCAGTGCGACATGGAGCAGACAAATCTGACAGAGATGCAGAACCGTAAAAACTGATGGTACTCAGGGGAAGGCATTGAACGTGCACAGCGTGGCCGTTGCCCCTTTCTCGAGGACTCAAGGAGAGTCAGGCACCCCTTCCGCACAATGCGTACTTTAGCTATACGCCTACACAACACAATCGAGTTGAGAAGCCACGAAGCGACACGATGTCCACGACCCTCGAACTCTATCTCCCCCGGCGTCGACGGCGATACAAAAACTCCTGTTCGAGTCGAAAGATAATAAACGATCTCGAGGATACAGCAGAGACCGGTAACACTCACGCAAGGCGCGACCAGGAGACAGAAGCCAGTCACCTAAGGTACAGGCTGCTGTTAGGTGCGCATGCCATATGACTGGGCTGATAAGGAAGACGCCGAGAGTGCTCGACACGGAAGATCTGGTATGATATGGATACCTTTGGCCGAAGAAAGAGAGGCGCCGATTCAGCCCTTGGGATACTGACGAAGTGTACGAGGTATCACTGCCTTGTCGCTACCTCCCAAGACCATGGGCAAATGGCGGAACGACTCGCTCGAGTACTGGATGTTTTGACCAGACATAAGATCTCGAGTCGTCTACGATATCTGATGTTACACCGATTGCTGTAACTGCATCCCGACACACAGAACGCACTCCAAGCCTCATCTGCTTCGTAGCAGTGTAGCGATTTTGAAACGTAACAGAACACCAGTAACGTGAACGAGGGGTATAAGCCACTGACTATCATCGTCGACACATCTCTTAGAGCCATCTCAGCAACCAGGTGTCTACCAATAACAACGACGGTGGCACGCACCGCGATACATGCTAAGAGTAACAAAACGTCACCGTTACTGGCTGACTTATAGTCACTGGCGCTGCTAAGATGGGATTCCCAATTGAAGGCAATGCGTATACGAGTGCTCCGATTCTTAGTCATACTCGCTGGCGCATGATGATACTCAATCGTCAGTCAAAAGACC